ACAGGGTTGATATTCATGTTCCGACGCTAACCGTTCCCACTTTCACGTATGGTAGACCCTGCTGTAGCTGCCAAAGATAGCTTTGAACCGGTCTACAATCTTAATTCACTAGGTGTTGGGAACCCTAGTTCAATGAAGTCTTAAGTGCAAATACCAAGACACCACGCCAAAGCAGGAAGAGCATGGGGCTTTTAGGAGGGTAGGCCGGGAATTACACATATTTAGCGCACTAGTGCCCTATAAGGTAAACTCCGGGCGTAATAAACATCATTCATTCATTCATTATATATATCTAATAAACGACATCCACACCAGACTGTGTTTAACCGGTCAAACTAGCATCAAATTGAGACACCTAAGAACCATAGTTTAATCACAGAGAGTACATTCTTCAACAACTTTAGAATCGGTGTTCAAGGCTGCTCAAAGTAGATGCCTAGAGCAGAAGTCCATGTAGCATAAGTACGTATCATCAGCATCGCAAGAAAACAGTGCTGCTGCTAACTATACACGATCAACATGATAGATAAGCTCCCTTCTGAGCTTCTCTTGGCGATTTTCGATCTGGTAATCTTCTTCCGTGGTGCGACAGCCAATTTTCACTAACATCCGCAGCTAGTGTCGGACTACGATTGGAATAGTATTAGCCTAGTAAGCCGGAGATTTTATCAGCTCATCATACTGCTCAAATACCGCACGATTACATTCTCCTCAGAAAGCGAGTGGTCTCTAAATGTTCTATATACACATCGTTTCATAGCGATTGTTGGTATTTGCTGAGTGGTTGGCCCATCCTCAGTTTGCGAAGATTGCTCGTTTCTTTGCCTACCGTTCCTTGCTCGGAGATTCTCTAACGTTGGGAAAATAGGTGCGTTTTCTGGCATCTCGAGCTTCTGCATGAGGTCTTTCTTCCCCTTTAGATACTCGAGAAGATCCTTTTACTCCATTTTTGCTCGAAAGACCTTCTCCCATTTCTTCCAGTCGTTTGGGACGGAGAGGAATTGCTCGGTAGCAGCGTTGTTGGCGTTTCTTACAGAAATTTTGTCGAATATTGAATTGTCGAATGATATAACCGTTTTTCAATGATAATAATTCAGGCCTTTAACTGTTGGAATCCGTACATATAGTGTAGGAGCTTATGACACAGGCTTGTTAACAAAATTGTATGTGTATTAATGCTTGATCGATTGAACCCCTCTGGTTTCTGACATTGGGAATTGTCCTCTATAATGAAGAATCCAAACCCCTCGCTTGAATTCGTGTTTCTTGCTGATTGGCAACCCAGTTGGCGAATTGGGCTTCTCAGCGGATTCCACTAATGATATCTAACATCAGGCTTCCAACAAGTTACTACAACTACTACATCATCATCGTATGCATCAAGCGATGAATCCGAGATCAATATTCACTTATTTCATTCCTATCAGGATAATTGGTACTGACTTCGCGAGTTTATTCAATAATGCAATCTGATGAGAAGAAAATTGACACAGTAAGTACATCCAATCCGAAACAAGCCCCTCATACCATACATAGCCACTCGATCAATATGCATCTTCCATAAGGTATATTGACAGTCACAGTCAATGCAAACCCATCTGCGCAAACGTAACTTCCAGATCTCTAGCATGTGTGACCCCCTCTACAGCTTGATGATTCTGCCCTCCAACTGGCTCTCCGCATTCAGGACACACAGCCCTCTGCATCGCCATACCGCATTCCCCAATGGTGAACGGATGCCCATTGCGACAATAATACCAATGGCCCGTACCACTAAACTCGCGAGCCATGGCCGCGATAACAGCCATGCGCTCTTCATTGGTTACTGCTGTGTAAAAAGTCGTGCCGCGAAGCATCTTCTCTGCGCCTTCAATATCGGTTGCTAGACCCTGGGTTTGACCAGGATTTTCGTTGCAAAGTGTCTTGGCTTCATTGATCGCTTCTTTCCCTTCTATTAAATGTCGTTCTGCCATCTCGGGCGATGAACTGTGTGATCGCTCAAAGGCGTGGAGTTGAGCAAGGAATATGTAGCCCTCCGCCTTATGGAGAGGACGCTTTGACTCAGAAGCACTCTTGATCAATGTTTCACATTCGGTTCTCATAGCTGACAGATCCATATCAACTTTTATTTCACCAGCTTTAAGAGCATTACGACGCATCTCCAGAAAGTCCGCTAGCAATTCAATATCCAGTCGAAGGCTCAATGCCGTTCCTTGGAGGAAACCCTTAGTTTGCAGGACCTCACTGACATCTCCAAAATCATCAGAAGTATTAATAGTATTCTGCCGGCGGCGTGCATTTGTGGCTAGTTGATGAACTCTGATGAACGGTTGCTCCTCTGGGGAGACTCGTTTCTGGTACGTGGAGATGCGCTGCCGCAGGTCCAGAATCTCTTTCCACCTCCCGTTTTTTTGGGGAGAGATGATAAGTCGCATGTGCCGAACTAGTGCATTTCGTTCATCTCTGATTCTAATGGTTTTAGGCCAGGAAGTGGACCTTTCGTTTTTGGTATCCTGCAACTGTTGTTTCCGCTGCGGAAGCTCCTGCGCGAGAGGAACGTACTCGCGGTTCAGATATAAGATCAGTTTTTTCGTAGACTCATCCAAAATAGCCCGACGTACCAAGCGTCCGTATCTGGCAATATTCCTCAGCGGTCCACGACAAGTAGCACAGGTTTTGATATCGCTGATGGAGAACGGCTCTGACGAAGTGGAAATTTTACTCGGTTTCCTACGTTCGTCAAGCACGTAGTACTTGCCGATATCCATCAGTCCGTCCAAGGTTTCTGTCGTGAGGAAATGCCCACATTTGGGGAATATACACGGGTTATCGTCAAGGTCGATGTCTTTGTATGATTCTCCTAAAATGAAGTCGACAGGGTAATCCTTGATCTCTTCACTGCCGCAGATTTGACAATATTTTTCAGGCGGGCAAATCTCTCCGCAGACTGATGGGCATTGATGTCCACATGCCAGCAACTGGTCGCATCTCAGTGAACATGGGACGTGATCACAGGGGGCAGCACAAGGCATCGAACAAGTACTGTGCGGACATGAAGAAAGACATTTCTCTTCGGCGCAGGGTGTGCACGGCTCCGAACACTTTCGCGCGCATTTGGAATGTCCGCAGTCAACTTCGCAGGGTGACTGGCATGGTGGGCATTGCTGTTCACCGTGGCAAGGGGTGTCGCATCTGTGAGCGCATGTATTCTGGTTTCGGCCACATTTCTGTCGACAAACTCCATGATCCGTGCTGACATCCCCTGACTCAGTTCTTGTGAAGCACTTGAAACATTGGTTTTTGCACGAATGGCCGCATGCCAATACACTCCCGCATTGCATAGTACACCTGTATTGAAGCAAACTGACATCAACGTGACATGCAACTCGAACTTTGTGGTTGCAACTTGGAACCGTCTTCTCGACAAGCACAGAGCAACGTACGGCCGACAAATCCTGGCTCTGCCAGCAGGGAAGCCTTTGCGCCAAATGACCACAACTAAGCTGCCTATCCGCCTGAAAGACAATTTCTGTACATTTGGAAGGACACTTTTCACCACATTTCTTCGGACAAGGATGAGAGCAACCCTCTCGTGGTCGCTGACAAGTTTCTAGGCATTGAACAGCATTGTGGAGGATCTCCGAATGACATTTCTGAATGCATGCATGTCCACACGACAAACGTTTAATGCAACGCAGATCACATCCACCTTCTGGTGAGACCCGTGGAAAATCATCCGGTTTTGATACAGTGATTAGAGTTTCGGGATGGCGTGGGCATTGCAACTCCAAGCTTGTGCCAATATTCTCGTTGCGCTGGAAGATATTGATGACATCAGCCCACATCGGGACATGCATTGCGGTTATCGAGTTTCCGATTATGTACATGCCATGCTTTGCTCGAGAAAGAAGAACGTTGATTCGGTTGGAAGTACGGAGGAAACCACATTTGTTTTGCGGATTACTGCGCACCAGTGAAATTACCACCACACTCGCCTCCTCTCCCTGGAAGTTATCGATTGTGGCTACCCGCAGGCTTTGAAGAAGTGTTCCTTTTACTGCGATGGGAGTTGAGGCCAGCTCCTCATCTTCTTGGAGACCAGCCTTGTCGAGATCATCTTGGTCCCGATCTCCTAAAGTGATTGCAAATGACCTGCCCAGTCTCCGCCTCAATTTTTGCAGCTGACCCAGGTAGGGTGTCAAGACGGCTATTTCGCCACTGCCATACTGTCCCTGGCAAACCAGGTGGTTGACTAGGGCAGTAGTCATTTCAACTTCGTAATCGTTCCATCGCGACGTCGCTGATGCCTCCGCATTTGATGGGTTGCCCTCTGGTTCGCGGTGATCCAACCAAAACAATATCTTCCGAATTCCCCTGACTTGAGGATAGTCAGATACCGAGGGAGCATCCTGAAGCTGCGGGTACAATGTCTCACGCACAAGCTGAGCAATTGACGGATGCATCCGTCGTTGGGTCTGCACGTACTGTATGCAGACGCAGCCCATGGCACTGTCTATTTCAACAAGACGTTCAAAAAGCGATACATCCAATGAGTATCTCTCTCCACCATTCTTATTCTCGCGAGAGAGCTCATAATTCTGAACCTGCGGACGGAGCTGATAATGGTCGCCAATAAGGATGGCATGCTCGACTGATGGGAGTAAAGCAGTAAGAAGATGCGGCTCGAGTACCTCACCTGCTTCTTCACATAGTACAACTTTTGATTTTAATCTTCGAAGCATATTGAGATTTCTGGCTAATCCAGTCGTCGTGACACCAATGACATCGGCTTGACTGAGGCAACGCAGATCTACTTCGCTCAGGATATTGTCGAACTCACGTCTAGTGTCTTTATGAGAAATGCATATGTTGATCAACTCCTGATGCATCTCGTCTTGAATTTGTGCCTGCCAATGTTTGTAGAGACTCTCTCGCTCAGGCTGTGACATTTGCCAGAGAGAGACCGATTCAAGCTGTGCGACACGTCGAATGTGCCTCGTGGAGGCTTTCCCACCTGACTTCCGCCATTGATCGAACGCTTTTCCAGGATTATCTTTATGTGCATGCTGGAAACCATCTTCGTCAATTCCGAACAGCTGATTGTAATGTGCAGGGTAGCTGTCGCGTAAATGGGTCATCACACGCGTCGGCGAGATATCATCTCGAAGACCAATTTGGTCGAACTCCTTCTCGCATCTCTCTAAGGAACTATGACAAATCCACAGACTGCCCTTTTCCATCTTTGTTTTACTGAAGTTCCTGGCAAGCTCGTGGAGATTGTAGGGTTTCAGGCTTTCGGACTTCGACTGTCCCCCCATGCGAACGATCTGTTTTGTGACATCCTTTTGCAAAAGAGACTCCAACAACTGATCGAGCGCATGGTTTGTATAGGTAACGCAAATAATTGGACCTAGGCTTTTCTTTCCACGTCCCTTGTTGGCCAATAGAACCTTGATGAGAGCAACGCCTGTGTAGCTTTTGCCGGTTCCAGGTGGACCCTGAATCAGACCGATCTTTCGTTGCAGCGTGTGGATAAGGGCAGATGCTTGTGCACCATCCAAACTCGAATTCTGACGCAGCTTTTGCAAATCGGTAGGATGGCCGACACGAACGAAAAAGTCACTGTTATCATTCATCAGGCATCGCAGATTGAACTGAAACCCAGGTTCGGCTGCGTAGAGAGGGGCGGCATAGGTTGGAGATCCGGCATGAGTGCTGTTGGGGATCAGCAGTTCAGAAAACGGAAGATTATCAATTCTTTTCATCAACTGAAGTGCTTTCAGTGTTGGTTCAAACGCTGGTAGAAGAACACCTGGAAATTCCACAAGAGCGATGTGCGAGTCTTTTGTGGTGTAGTTGTTCAGAACCATTTCAATACTTCTGTCGTTCAAGCTGGTCAATTGCAGAAAGACGGCGGCTTCTTGAGAATCTTTCCATAAAAAATCCGAACCCCTGTGCTGAGATTTGTTATCATTCTGTCCTTGTCGCTTATGCGCCGTAGCTTGCGGGTTGATGACAGTACAGAAAACCACAGAGTTTCTCTGCAGATGAGGCAGACCAAAGCCCCAGATTGCAGACGTTTGGACATGTTCACATTCCTCGCGTCTCGGGGCCGTCATTTACCGACATGAGTCGGCTGAGAAAAGCCCAGCTTGAACTGAAATCCATCCTTCCAATGAAAACCGAGCTGCACGATCCTACCACTCTGATATACATTAGTACGTTGTTGGCTTTTGTGATTCAGGACGCTTCGTGATGGCTGAATCTCGGAGTGGATAGCATCTCGGAGCAGGCCGACGGTATCTTCGCGCAGCAAACGGAAGTTGCGATCCAGAAGTCCGTGAAAGCCATTGACATGCCATTGTGTTGGGTCGAACGGTGGAAGATACTCGTGACGGCGACTGGAAATCTCTTGAAAGGTTGGCATAATGCGAATCTGGCAGATGTCTGTGTGGTCATTGTCATGGCGGCCACCGGGGGGGTCGTATGCAATGACGAAAGAGCCTCGCACTTTTGGCCCTTGAGATACATTGTTTTGAGCCATGTTTGGCAGTGAGACACCCACCTCAAAGCGGCGGAGTAAGCGCTCTAAATGCACTCGTGACTCGTCAAAGGATGCTCAGGATGATCGGTGACCCAAGTGGTGAATATCAATTGGAACTGACTCGCACAATTCTTGAGAGATACTGAACAAGGGCTGTGGAATTGAGATCCACAATTCGCGAGAACACCAAAACAGAAGCATCTAACCACTCCAAGGTAGACTCATCTTTTGTACAATGCATGAGAACTTCGGAACAGAAGGTCAGAAGCTTTGAGGCTCTGATTCCTCCTACTCCAAACAAAAAATTGTAAATGGTTCCGACCGGCCGTTCGAGTATCAACGATTGTAACACGTCGGGATGGGAGATAGTTTTCAGGAGGGGAAGAAATAGAGTTTGGAATAAGTGTTCCTTCGTGCTTGTAGGAAGTTGTTCAAAGTTCTGTTCGACCAGCATCTTGATACAACCAAGACCACCGTCCTCAGAGAGCTTCTGAATGACTGCTTGACGAACACTAACATCAATCTCAATAAGTTGATGCGCTTTTTGAAATACCAAAGCAAGCTTGCCGCTAGACAATACGGTTTCGCTGTTGAGGGGAATACTATGCTTCCAAGATCGAAACTCTCTCCCCGAGTTAGACAAGCTGCCGGACGGCCATGAAGGTTTTCCCTGGGTACGAGAGGGTTTCTCTCCATTTGCTATGTGCTGAAACTTGCAGTTTTTGTATTTGCATGTACCGTTTCTCGCAAAATAACGACATATTCTGTCAAAATTAGCGGGATGGGCTTGAAAAAATGGGGATGATTGAGAACGAACTCTTGAGGTTCCATATTGACAACTTTATGTAAGAAAAGCACCAGTCAAACGTATCAGCGATCTATTCTCACAAGTATCTCACGTATCGAGTATTTTGTAAAGAAGGAATCTATCTTTTAGAAGCCCAGCTTGTTGGTGGATTGAGGCTCGATAAGTCTTTCAGGAAACGACAAAATCAAGGATTGTTCTAAGATAGTTAAATGATAACAAAGATGAATATGAGGAAGTCTCATCTCAAAAAGAAAAAAAAGGAAGAAGTCTTCTACGGTGTTTGTATGCTCTCTTATACTAAGGAGCTCATTGTTTGACCGGGACATGCCGTCAAAATACAGCTCTGCTTACAGCCAATGGCGACCTACCATTTTTCCTTTGAAATCATTCAGAAACAGCATTCAAAATAAAAATAAAGATAAAAATAAAGACATTGGAGCCAATTGTTTGTGATGCGAGGCTGTTATGAAAGGATGTGCCACAAGGCTGAATTTACCTGACATGGAGGCCTCCTACTACCACTATGTACCAAACTATATGTCTCCCCATTGTGCTGTGACTTTCTCATGGTCCCAACACCTTCGTAAGATCATGGGACCACCTGTGAAGGCTCAAGCATCAATCATATTGGAAGAAGTAATCTAGGAAACTAAGTATGGAGAGGAAAAAGAAAGAATATCTATATATGTCAACCTTTGGATTTAATAGTGGTTGTAAGTCCTCATTCTCATTTTCGTTTGGACTTTTCTATAATGCCTTGAAACTCCTCAGACCGAACCACCCTCCAAAACGGGTACGTATTTCTTCATCATTGCAATAAGTAAGTCGTATGAGAACTGCGGGACAGACTGTAAAAGTGCGTCTTGGAAGGCGGCAACCCCGGTTTTACTGGCACTCCGCAGTGTGGAAAAATGCTCCATTGTGATTTGTACAGCTATGTCACGTAGTCCTCGGTCCTGTTCAGGAGTGGTATTGTATATTTCAACAATCACCGATGGGAATGATCCTGCGTCCAAACGTTGAATTAGCGCGCTTTTAAGTTTTTGGCCAGAAAGGATTTTCAGGCCCTGAATCAAAGGCGATCAGCAAGGGAGTATATCAAGATATGGAACGAGAGAGGATCCAAAAGCGGCGCTGTCCCTCAGCCGCATCAACATCGTGTTCATTTTGGGCTATGCTGTGGCTGTTCGGTACGTTAAACGAGTTCGCGCCTTCTTCAACTGGATTCGGTGCGTTTTTCTCAGTTTCCCCGCGATTAGATGTGACGACATGGGTTTCGACCTGGTAGTCCAAGGTGTAGAGATATTCGATCACCTGCTTCACTAAGGCAGGCTCTTCATCCAGCCTCACCTCCCCGCTCAACGCTTCCTGTGATGTAATTAGCTCGTGGAGAAAAACTTGATGGGTGTATGAAGGCCTACTTGGAATTTTCCATCGCAAGCTTTTGCAAAAAAGTCAGACCGTGTACAGACAATAGATCGATGAACCGCGTAAGACTCCTGACCACACAATATAGTCAGATCGCTGTATTTTGAGTTGGTCTGCAACCTACAAGGTGTTAACATACGACCACAATGTCAGACCTGTGAAAAATACCTTGCCAAAGCATCCAGGAGTTCTTGGCCCGGATAAGCGTCTTGAGCTTCGGCATGTGATGCTTTTTGCCTGCGAAGTGGGAGTTTTCGCGGCATAACGAGATAGCCGTTCACAATATGTATTGTTAAAAATAGGAGATAGGAAATGTTTGGTGGAGTTCAGAACTGAATAGAGCAAATTTGACATTCACACTATGACATAGAAAACTAACAAGAGGTGAGCTGGGAACTAGAAACTATCTACAGGGAGCAGGCCCGTATTTATGCTTGAGCATGTCTCCAAAATCCTCTCAGAGTCTTCCAACAAAGCCTGCAACAAATCCTCAGAAGAAGAAGCTATTCTTAGGTTGTGAATCGCATAGAACAAAGCTCCTCACACAAAATCCTCTCAGAGTCTCCCAATAAAGCCTGCAACAAAGCCTCAGAGATAAAGTTATTCTTAGGCAAACCCTCCTCCTCTAGTAAAACGATTATGAAGAGGTTATAGATTAACCTAGCAGAGAGGGGAATTTGAAAAGTCTCGGCCGCTTTCTTCAGATAAGGATCGAAGATGATAGGAGATACCATTTGTTGTTTCTGCCCGTTCAGATCTACACCAAGGGTAAGATACTGCAAGCCCCGAATAAGTGTCCGCCGCATGTCGCTGAGTTGTTGAAACTGGGTGTCGATGAGGCAGGCTTTGCAATCGCATACGAAACGTAGAGCTTGATGGCGCTCATGTCTAAGACGACATTCGAAATCTGTATTATAGCAAAACGTGATCTCGTGACCAGCGGCAATATCCTAGGTCGCAAAACTCGTGATAATCTCTTGATCGGTGTTCGGGATCTTTGAATTAGGTATACACGAATGATTGAAGCGAGAGTGAAGAAGGAATAGACCGTGTATTGAAGTGCCTTTAGACCGAAGCGAATTATCCCTTGAGATTGCAAAGGAGTTCTCGGCGAAAGCTTCCTCCATATATGTGAATGACCGAGAGCCATTGTCGCGGAGGCAGAGGAACTGCTCTTTCTCACTCGGACTCAACTGTTGAAACGCTGCCCAAACATCTCCCTCCGTGATCTCTGTATGTGGCTTCCGGATGACAAAGAGGGGCTTCTCAGTGAAGATTATCGATCCTCGCTCTATTCGTCTGGTAGCAAAAGCACCCCATCCTTTTCCAGGTGAAGGTTTTAATTTGAACGGCTCATCGCTGGGCACTTGGAGGCTATGGTATGCTAGGAGAATATTCAATAGCCAGACGACTTACGATGACCCTGAAACATCGTTGTTCATCGCAGTAGTGTAAGAACTCTAAGTTGCGAGATCTTTTTGCAAGGCCTTCGAAGTGTGTTCTACAAACAAAATATAACTTTCGTAGGGAATCCAACGGAAATATGCTCGACGATGAGGCGGGCGGAATTTAGTGTTGAAAGATAAAGGCAGCTTTAAATCTTACCACAATTTTACCACAATATATTTGCTCCGTAGTTATAGTCTGCAATATGGATGCAAGAAGGCTCCAACCCAAACGAAACTTCGCTACGACAGACTTAGTCCAGATTAGAATAATATAATGGCGTTCAGCAGCCCATTATTCTAGACCGCGGGAGAGGATTTTATTTTATTTCCTTCGGTAGAAAAATTACAGATATGGATTTTCTAATAGCTATCAAAAATTATATAGAACTTGCAGCAGATGCGTCAGCTCAAAAATCTCTGCCTCGACAATTTGAAGCAGACCTTACAAAATCTTATGAATAATCAATCGACACGATAATATTTTGAAGCTATCTCGGCTGTGATGTCGCTACATGTCATCTAAGCACTAAATCTTTATACTCCGTACAGAAGGATGATCTACATGACTTGAGAAAATCTGTATTATGAATACGGAGAATTAGATACTCTTAGTCATCAAACATACCGTATCCGTTGTTACAGTAACCTGAGAAAGAGTTTTGTGGGAGCTAAGAGTGGGTCCTTGCACATCATCCGAGGCCCACTGAGCTTAGCGTGATCTTCTACCCAATCCTTGCCCGATTGGGATAATGCTCACTACTTGAGGGTCCCCTTTCTAAAATGGTTCCATCATCACGTTCTTAGTTAGTGCACTGCAGTTTCTGGAAATAACTCCTGTCTACTGACGGCGCAGTGGTTTGCAAAAATGTTTTGCGCTCGCTCTTACTTGCTTCAATTGTTTTAACATGTTTTACACTAACCTGATGAGCAGGCGAAGCATCTCTGATTAATGATGTTCCATAAATTTCTCTTGATTATTATTTACTGTCTATTAATATGACCGGGCTTGTAAGCCAGGTAAATTCATGTCAGGCTTTTTAGAAAAAGCTGGTGGGGGTTATCAGACTATGTTCAATTCCTCTACTAAACATACAAGAATGTTGTGGTGCTATTATATAAAATTTGCTGCCAGAAGTATCTTTCATGGCGCATACGTGTTTTCTTAACATATTGTCGTATACGAAAGTGGGAGTCAAAAGTGAGAATAATACGCTAAATATTAGTCTACACGCCAAAGGGTACTAGAAATGTACTATGGTACTCCGTATATCATAAATAATTACGGCCAGATACAGTTTACACACCTCTAATTTGTCAAAAATTTCCGTATCTAGTCCCTTCTAGTTAGGTTTCAAAAAAGAAAACATGAAAATATTCCAAGTAAAGACTAGCGTATAGACAAAGGATTACCATATTGTTATCACTTTTGACTCCCACATCCGTAGCTTGCACACTACTAAGGCACTTGCATCATTGATGGCTTTGTTTAAGACACCTGTGAAGGAACGCTAGTAATTAGATGGTTGGCATTGCAATAAACTCGGATCCTGTAATATGGCTTGTACATGTATTACAGCTACCCTAATCCTGTCTAGTAAAAACACTGTGCGGAGCCACTAGCGCCAAATGTGAGGCAGTGCTCATAATTCGTCCAGTAGTCCTTTTACGCAGTATGTAAATTGTCTCATGATGTGACCCAGAACTAATTCCTGACGGTTGTAGTGGACTCCAGCACATCTCAACCAATAATGACATTCTCAGCCGAGGCAATAATTGCTCTAATAGCCCTCCTTGTCGCTTGTGTTCCCGGGCTACGGTTTTTCTTCAATAATAGACGCTACTTCTATCAATGGTGGGACAAGGAAAATGATGTTGAGGGTCAGGCCTTGGCATTGTCAGGTACCTACAAATTGTCTTGGCTTCCTGCAGATATCCTTACTGAGCGAATTATCAAGGCTCTCAACCCAGCTTCCCCGTCCGTGTTTATACTACCGGTGATTCTTGTCTCTCAAGGACTTCAACAGGCTATCCGCCCCAACACCATAATGACTACCCTTTCATTGGGCCCTTCTATAGGGAAACGTCCGTTTCCCTTTACTCCAAGGTGAGCTTAGCATGGTTCGCATCTAACAAAAGCCTCTTCTGATGTTGTCTAGTTTACCCATCTAGAAGGTTTTTCGAGACCTCCCGAGCCTGGTTCCTCGTTGCGAACGGGGTTTCGAAAATGACCACTCTGTCTTGTTACTCTCATCTAGGTCATTTAGGGGAAGATGGTTGAATGCAAATTTCGAACGTTTCATTGGCTGCGACGGAGGATAAAAGCCATTTAGAAATGTTTAGTGTCGGAGCGTGAATATCAACCCTACTATGTACGCGCGCGCGTGTGTGTGTCTATTTAACGGCCGTGGTTCGTGACTCGCACACTTCCCACCGATCCCTACTGGGACATAGGCCGCGAGGAGTAAACCTCGGGCTTCGAATCATCTATCAGATTATATACAAATAATATACTCTTTGGCGCATTTCCATAGCTGCCGTGGTCTTACAGGAAGGTCCACTTCTAAGTGGGCTTTAGGTATTTGCCAGCTGCAATGGTCCACCTACACTCCATGACCCATTACTCCACTACTATCATAGCTGAATAGTAAGTTTTGCAAAGAGAGAAAGAAAGAAGAGAAGAGAATGAAAGAAGGAAAGAAGAAATATAAAGGAAGAGTAGGGCTGTCTTAGCTAGGTGCTAAGGAGAGGTTGGCGAGGGCAGATATCCTTAAAGAAGTGGGTCTCTGCTAGCCATGAGGCTAGCTTTTGTGCTCCTTTCGCAGTACCTAAAAGAAAAGAGATAACCTTAGAAGGGGGCCCAGGAGGCCGAGGGGCTCGTCTCTTGGCTATATGACAGAAGAAGAAGAAGTGCAGAGATGCTTTTCGTGCTCCGCACCGACAGAGAAGATAAGCATCATCGTGGTTGAAACGTTTATGTAGTCCGCAAAGTCTCCATGACTAGTACGGGCTGCAATGATACAGCCGAGGTCAAGTCGGTTGAGTTGAAGCTCTCTAGGGCGCTTAGGGGATGTAGCTATTTCTAGATCTTGATACCTCTGTGACCCATCGAATCATCTCCTTATCAATACTAGCAAGCAGCTGATCATTGGTCACTACTGGATGATATCAATCCTCTGAATCTATACGATCAATTCACCGATTTCTCTACAAGATGATAATGTACATGGGAAAGAAGGAGAGAAAACATACAAATTCCTGTTGTGCATACCACTTAATATAGGAAGAGAGAACCGTGTTGTTTCCCCAGGGTTACCTTTGTAAGTCTGAGTATGCAAAGTAATTCCGGGGTATTTCCGTAACTCCGGCGGCCAAGGATTGGCCAACCAGTGTCACTCGCCAGATCTGGAGATGGTTTCATGGATGGCATCAGTGAGGGCTCTGTCCCGAACCACCGATATGGGGTCAGCCCATAACATCCTGGATCCCTAAATTCTTCACTCAGGAGATCCACGGCATCTTGTTCCTTGCAAGACATATCAAGAGATACGCATGTTGTCGATCTTGCTACTATATAACTAGCTGTTTTAACATAATTATATAGCCCATCTTGAGTGCGGTTACTGCAAAAAGAATCACTAGTCATCATATTTTTTACAATTTACACTGACGGAATTGCAATACATCATCAACGTGGATTTACAATAATAGAGACTGTGCCCCTTAGTTATAGCAGATGGTTTCTTACTAAGATACCGTACGGAGAATTACATGATCTTGTGCTAGTCTAATAACAAGCACTAGATGCTTTTCAACAGGCCATGCTACGACGTAGACTACATGAAGTTGCATTTCACACCGTCCATACTTAACCAAAGATCAATTACAATATGGCTAACCATTTGAAGAAATTATATCTCGCTCTTTACTAGGAGCTACTCGTTTTCCGAATCCGTATCCATAGTGGTGAGTCCATAGTGGTGAGCCTTCTGGTAACACGGTGGGTTCAGGGGCCATTAAGAAGGCGTTATTGACAGCGACTTCGCGTCTCAGTCTCAGTCTTTCCACTTGAGCCGATGATTTTAACATAGTTCGTGGCGCTGGATGGTTCGGGTAGTATCCAGTTATATGGCCAACTCGTTGACAGTTGTAACAAGTTGGTTGGGATCGAGAGGTTTATCTCGACATTGAGAGCAGATCGCAAACGTGCGATTCGTACGTCTTCGGTCCAGTTCTGACCGCCAGCGAGCATGAGGATCCTTTGAAGCTGACAAGAAACTCGGGGAATGGGGTGTTACCTTGTCGAAGGCGGTTAAGATCTGAATTAGCTCGCTCAACAAGCTGAGGGTCATCAAACAAGATACTGAGATAGCTGAAAAGTTATTGAGGGTTTCTCCATTAACAGTTGCGCGATTAAGGCCGTATTGACGGATCCAGGGAAGATAGCATCCTTAGTCTTTCCTTCAAATCGTGAGTGCGCATACCATACTTGAGCATATGCGCCTCCTATCGCAGGCCCTCGACGGCTAGCTTGGCTTGTAGTTCAACAAAGAAAGAGAGAAATTGAACACAATTTTCGTCAGAATATTGTGCCGGGTGGATCTAGGGCATGTCGGGGCCTTGACAGCTGCTGCGGCTCCTGTGCTTGAGGCACATTTTCTGGAAGGGTAGCCTCATTCGAAGTTGCTGAAGGGGTTGGAGTTTGTAACAACCAGCGAGCTTGACGTTCATTCAATACCTTCACAGCACCATGGCAAATGGGCGGATACTCATTGTGGCAAATGGGTGAATGGATGCCACAAGCTGACGAGCCTGATCAATGTGGTATTGTTGATATCCTAAAGGATACCCGCTATCTGATTTCCTAATCCGACACCGGCCCTCGCTTGGGATCACACAAAAAGGGGCGCTGGCACTCGCCTTCTATCTTAGAGGATAATCAAATATTACTTATTTTGAGGGTAATAATAACTTCATTGGTCTTCACTTTAGAGCAGTGGAACCAACATATTCTTTCTTCCAGGTTTAGATATCTCGTTACAGATTCCTAGTGGAATATAAGTGTGGGCGCTCACACCATTTCTGATTCCAATTTCATACGAAAGCCTTCAAATTTCGCAGGATGGGTGAAACTGCCATTATTCCCTTTGCGTGTATCGTCATATCTAGCCTGCTTATCTTTTTTGCCCGGATCATACTGCGTGAACGTGGCCAAGTCCTTGCGGCAGAGACTACTGATTTAAAGACAATTTACCATACACCGAGTGAAAACCGTTCAGTCATTGCGGCCGAGATAATTCACGGTGCGAGAAATCAGTATACAAAATACGAATCCAAAAGCGTCCCAAGCGAACCGATACAGCGAGGATTTAGAATTCAAAATGCTTTTACAAGCGACAATAAATCCTACGTTGAGGAATTTGTTAAGATATCAAGGAATTTGATCAACATATCAAGTGACAACTGGGAGATTATTGTTTCAGCGACTCAAGACGCTGTCAGGCGATGGAAAAGCGACGCGCAAGGTGCTTGCGAATCTCGACGTGAAGTTGAACTCGTACCTATGGTACAGTCAATAACTCTGAACGCTGTTCTGACAGCTTTTTTCTTCCTTAGGAAAAAGGTTACTACCAACGACGTCACCTTCAAATCCCTTAGTAACCTGGCTGAGGCTATCAATGAAACATGGATTATGTCCAAGAAAGAAGACACCTTCATACCATTCGAACAGAATGATAAATTACGATCAGCCCTTATTGAGGTGTTACCAGACGGGAATATCTCGGATCCCTGCGAGAACCCGTTAAACTTGATATTACCTGGTTTTGAAACCATGTGGCGAGTGGTCTTACGAGGCTTTCTTGAGGTCGCATACAAAGCAGGTAAAGAGCATCCAAACTGGAGGGAAGCGCTCATAGGCTACTCTGAAAAGCCTACCGCAGAGCAATTCAAGCGAGCCTCTTCACCGGACGGGGCGTCTGCAAAAATCTAATCAAGGAAGTACTTCGGCTTTATCCACCAACGAAACGGATATATAGAGCCTGGAAGGAAGCCAATTTCCCTGAACCGAAGATCATCGCCGCGGATGTTGAAGCTTGCCATCTGTCAACAAGCATCTGGGGAAAAACAGCTGGAAAATTCGACCCTTTACGTTGGCAAAAATTGACAAAGGAGCAAGAGGAAGCGTTTTTAGCTTTTGGTTCTAAGCCGTTTGAATGCCCAGCAAAACCAGTGTTTGGGCCACGGCTAGTAGGTGTACTGGTTGGAACCTTACTTGATGCATTTCCGCATCACTGGACGTTGGTTTCAGCCTATGGAGATGCAGTGGAATTCGGCACGGAGAGACTGAGTAACGAGAGAATGGGATGCTATGGTTTGTATCTAGAATTGATTCGCGACTAATTTGGTGATTTCAACATGCATTCGTGTCAGTGATGGCGCATGGAAACTCGTGTTAGGACATGAAAATCGGAGACTGCTGGGTTAATTGTTGAACGGATCCCGTCGTGATCTTTGAATCGCGTCCATGCGCACCCTATAACCCTAGGATTCGGTTAGGGTCAGAGTGCGTTACCGCGCAGTCCGTTCCAAACTTCTGAATCAAGTCTAAGCACACGTGGTAGTGGTAGTGTACGCGCATCAAATAGATCATATCTTAATTCTTCTCATCTTCCTCTCTCACCTTTACTGAAGCCTATGTATTGTCGGATTGCTGGGTTAACTTCAGGCTAATCCTGAATAGTATTGTACAAAGGATGGGAAAAGAAGAGGTGACTATCAAGATTGTATGTATTCCGTTCTCTGTCTCCGTTTATCTGTGATGGTGCCAATCCTGTGTATTGGAAAACCAACTATCCTACATACAAGGTATGCGTATCGACGAAAATATTGAACATGAGGACAGGAAGGAAGGGCTCTGCTCTAGCTGCGTAGCTAGCCTTTGTGTGTGCTCTACACGAGTCACCTTGCCCTATCCATCTCCGACATCTGATGTCAAGATGATTTCCTAATACGGCACCGATAGGGTTGTGCCCTATCTGCAAACCAGGAATAGAAGGAGACTCAGCCGTCACACTATCCATCAGGTTTCAAAGCTAGTTTTGATAAAAATCTTTGGCAGGGTTATTTGCGAGGTATCATGAGGGTAAACATTAGTGTTGGTTGCTTCATGCAATCGAGATGTGCCAGATAAGCTGGCTTTCCAATGAAGCCATCAAATGAAGCGATCAATCCGAAACTGTTATGTGTAAGAGAAAGGTCTCAAATTTACCCCATGGGATAGCTTACAAATCAGCTCAGGAGAAGGTCTATATAGACGCGGCTTTGGAACATGATGTACTTAGAGATAAGGACAGACAATCGAATACATTTGACCATAGTACTTGGAGTACCATCTGATGCGCATGTACGAACGTACGTACGTTGATTTATTGGCTTTATAAGCCAACCCACAATTAGGCTGAAATCTAGGTGCCGGATATATGCCCTAAGGCGCCTTTTTAGACCTGTAAGATCGTACAGTCGATCTCTCTGCCTCGTTTGAAGTCCGGATTATCTAACAAGTCTTTAGAGCTAGATAACCATAAGCAAGATCAATACAGCTCCTATCACAAATCTATAGCCAACACACACAGTTTTCTGTATCTTGGTTAAGGCCATCTTGTGACGGCTGGGCATGGCTCTGCCTTCCCGTCTCAGTTCACGGATAGGGCTAGGAGCCGTGTAACCCTATCCGCACCGTATTGGGAAGTCACATCAACATCAGATGTCGGAGCTGGATAGGGAAAGGCGCGTTGCACAGAGATTTACATGAGCAGTGAGAACCTGGGCTTTTACTTCATTTCTTCCTTTTTCCCTTTTATGCTTAATATTACCTGTCGACAAGCACCTCTTGTACGAGATAGTTAGCCAGAATAGCGTACTCAAACCAAGCAGATTGGCACTGTCACAATCTGTGAAAATCTTTCGTCACACTGAGAAGTATCAAGAATATCTTTGTACTGTCGCATCGTTTGAATACCTCCTATAGAACTCAGCAAAGAAAATATGCAGTTCTCAGAATTGGAAACAAAAGATCTTCCGATAAGCATTCACCACCAAGGAGAAACACTCCATAAACCCCCAGCCACTCTTATCGCGCGTAATGGGACGAAGTTTTTCAGCACTAGTGAGAGTCAGCACTCTGCCACGTCCCTGGATATTATCCAGTGACTCCAAGGTAAAACATCTGCCGAGGATGCCCAGAAAAAGAAGACGAATAAACTAAATAGAAGGAGGGAGAATTATACAGTTACTTAGTTATTCTGCGGCTCTACATCCGAGATTGGAATGAAGTTGAGGTACATAAATGTCAGCGCTATATTATTTCTGGTTTTGTACATAGAAATAAATGACAATGGATATCAAAAGATATGTATTAAGGACTAAAGTCTTTTCTGTCGTTTTAAATCATCTCGTTGTTCCTGAACTGTGAAATCCAGAAAGTACTGATGTCTTAATGCGCTTTGAGACGAATGGTATTGCTTTAGGGTCCCATTTCAACATATCTGCGATTAGGGCTAGCACTGGCCTGACCTTTTGGCCCCTGTCTTGTGATTCAAGGACCTTAGGGACTGCTCATGACGTGATTTGTACTCCCTAAGCCTTGGATTCTTATCAGGGCGCCATGGATTAACAGACAGCAGCCAAGGATGATGGTCTAAGAAGATTTCGCACCCAAAAAGGCTACTCGCGTAAATATCGACTTCCTCATTATAGCTTCGAGCTCCATTTCTGGTGCAAGATGATGTACAGTTACTAGCTGGCCTCGTAAAGAGGGAATAAGACCAGCGCTATCATCCAATTTACCAACCGAACCAAGGTCGAGGATTGAAACATGAAGATGCCCAAAGCTAACTCCGATATTGCCGGGCTTGATGTCTCGATGCACAAGACAACGTGAGTGGAGCCATTGAAGTCCCAAAAGAAGTTGTTAAAAGGCATGGACTCGAATATTCTAAATTGGATTCGTTCAACGCCATCAGTAGCCAAGTCTCGATCAAAATGAGGCGTCAGCAAGGCAACAAATTTAAAGAAGAACATACCAAGTCAGATTCTTAGCAACCATCACTACTGAGTGGCTGCGTGCCAGTCGGTCTCTTTCTTAAGATAGAGCCCTTCTCTTACAAACCAGCTCTGTTTGAAGTTGCTTAATGTCCTTTTCAAGATCACAGATTAGATTCTGTGAGCGATTTATTGTTGCCCCTAGGTCACGTCGCTCACATTTCCAACGCTCTAATCGTTCCAACTCCTTTTTGCGGTGGTGAAACTTGATTTCAATCTTCTTACAGAGCTGACATTTCTTTGATTCATGTCCTGTGAAGTTCACCAGTTTCATGCCACATGTCTCGCCCGTCCAGCACTCATAATTGCACTGGTGGGAAAAGTTTGTCCAGCTCCAGTCTCCACAAATGAACCTTTTCTGATTATAGAAGCACATTTCTGGATTACTTGTCAGTGAATTATACTCTTTTCATATCCACAGGATTACTTACTGCTTACTCGAAAAGAATGACGCAAGCTTTATTGTATTTTTTTGATGCTAGCTAGTCTAGAAGATGTTAAGAAGCTGTCGAATTTCAACCACTGAAACTTATCTAGCTTATCCTTCTCATCTCACTGGTTGCCTCGTCTCCCCCAGATAATATGCGCTGGACCGACGGATTAATGACTTATATTAGCGATGTTAGGCTAAGTGCGTCCATACTGAGATCGCAGTTTCATATCGATATCTAGGTGGGGAATTTCTATCAGCTGGATCTTGAAGCAGCACAATGCTGTCTCATCCTAAAATGTGCGGAGAGTATTTCGACTATGTACATGCAATATCCATTAGGATTTGACATGGGCCTGTTATTAAAAATACAATACTGTAAAGATAGGTCTCTATGTGATTGTATCACGTTACATTTATGGCATGAGTGCCCACGTCAATATGCTTCACGAAGCTATAAAGTTGTAGCAAATAGGAGCGTAATGGAGGCAGGCTAGCCTCTAGTGAGGCTTGGATCCATGGTCTATTTATTCGAACTAAAGAACTACCAATCAATGCTAACAGCTAATGAGATGGATGGCCCTATCAGAAGGATGTAATCTGTATAGAGGTGGGAGTATGGTATTAACCGTGTTACGGTTATGGCTAGGCCTAATACGAAATCTACAACTTGGCTCTCATTGGCCGATGACTTTTCTTCTCTATAGCGATTGCAAAACTAGACATACACAATACATACAATTACACATCTCAGAAGGCACGGAGAATATACTAGTACGTGTATCATAATTGATTACAGCTAACTCCTCCGTATGGAGTAAAACGGTAGGAGAACCACCGGGGTCATCCGATTGGAGTGGGCCGATCATGGGAAATCTTAACTACAATACAACAACCAAGACATATTTAATTGGCTATGTTATATCCTGGTCACAAAACAATGCCCTTTATTCTTCTTATCGATGCCAATGAAAAATGCTAAACCCATCTATATTAAACCTGGGTCCGATGCTTGGATGTGAATAAAAGAATTTTATACGACAGGGCTAGTTAACTATGTACGTCCAATCAAGTTGCACGTACCGAGGACTCCATGCTTCCCTTCTTCTTCTTTCATTCCTTTAGAAAATGGTAACACAGAGGAGTTATTGTTCTTGGTACAGTATGACAATGGAGAGATCTCGGAAATGAAGGCGCAGGAAGCGCTGAAAAACCCGGAGGTTTGCATGGAGGTAACAGACCTCAAGAACAAAGAATGAGATGTTGGATTAGCAAGCTGGTAATGTGAACATTGACATGACATACATAGTAAGCAGCAGTCAGTTCTCATTGCACAATTTGTGGGTCTCATACACTGGCAGCGAATCGCGTACTAGGAACATCAGCTATCTAGAGTCCGGCTAAAATTGCCCCACCACAATTTGGTGGGACAATGGCACTCTATACTTAGTGCACTTGGTAATTTTCGTACTGGTGAAAAGTCCCATGTGTGACCCCATGAAGATTGCAGCAAGGCCTTCTCCGACGTGAGCATCAACGCTTTGTTCAAGCTAAGTCGCGTGGTTGCTGATCAATTGTCTAAAGTCATCGAGCTTGGCGCGCCATCGTCGTATACATAACCGTAAACGTTCCCACGTTTTCTCGGAGCCAACATCCAACCGACGCCAGAGTCAAACTCATCAGCTGAGTGCAAACACAAGACCATCATCGAAAGAGGCAGCCCTTTTCCAGAACATAAACTATATAACGCCAATACCTACCACCCTGGCTCCTGACTATAGTCCATACATGCTTATGCTGCAACCCTATTATCACGTTGGATCTACACTAGTCACTGCCGATTTCTACCAGATCCTAGATTTATCTATGCATATCACTGAACCACGGGCGATGGTATCTCGACCTATTTTTACCGCTAGCCCTCCACCTGCATTTTTCAACCAGTATGCGCAAGTAATGCAACAACCCAGATATGGCTTCACCCCTCGCCAAACTGACATTCAACTACAAGATCAATCACCAATTCCGCCATTTATCGCGCAACAACGACTTATGGCAGGGAGCGTTCGCTTACAACAGCCACATATCTTACCAACCGATTCGAATCCTCTACTCGATTGTTAACCTCGTGGGCTTTGACTGGGGCGCAGACATATTCGTCATCAATAACCACTAAGTATGGAACGCTTTGAGACTCGTCAACCATGCTTCTGACAACGTAACCCTAGTTATAGCTGTTGCACGCGTCGGAACTGGCATTGGGTTTAAATTAGATAAAGGTACAACTCAAAGCAACATGTTGAGATTGTACAATGCGGGGGCTTTAGTAGACACTATTCTTGATCTAAATAACAATGGCTTAATAGTGACTCGCTATCAGGCCATGCCAATATGCTTCAGGCATGGGCTGGTGATGAATCGAGTGTTTCGAGGCCAGTTCCGCAGCAAAGGTTGAAGCGGAGAAGAAAATTAATGATATACTTTCTTCAGGTCAGTCTTAAGCGAACATTATACAAATCCTTTATTAACAAATTTACAGTTGAGAAGAGCATAAAAGAAGTACAGACTACTGCTCAAAAGACAAATACAGCAATTGAAATCCTAGATAGTGATCGACGGCGCGAGAAAGTAATTGCGAAGCTGCCGTATGCAAAGGATTCCTTAGGGTTATTTGATGAAGGCCTGATCAAAGATGCCATCCGAAAACCAGAATCGACTTGCGCCGTCAAATCGGAGCATGGGCCGAGAATGGACAAGGAAAGTCGATATTCTTGCTGAAAGGAATGGCTGCTACAGGAAAATCAACGATTTCTCGAACAGTTGCCGAGTCCTTTGATAAGGAACAGAAATTAGGAGCCAGTTTTTTCTTTAAACGAGGAAAGGCTGATCGGAGTAATGTGGCTATGTTATTTACCACAATTTGTGCCCAACTCTTGGGCAAGAATCCGTCACTGATCGCTCACGTCGAAATGGTGATTGATGCTGATCCCAATATATCTGACAAATCGATGGGTGAGCAATTTGAGAAGCTTATCTGTCTACACCTGTCACAGCTTCGGCATAACGTTTCCCAAGCCCAAAAACTCATTATCGTGGTTGATGCGTTAGATGAATGTGCGGAGGATGGAGACACCCTCCTTCGCCTTCTATCGCAAACAAGGAATAAATGGTCGCCGAGCTTACAGATACTTATCACGAGCAGACCGGAGCAGCAAATTCGACCTGGATTTGCAGATATACCAGAAGAGGTATGCGAGAGTATAGAGCTCCATGAAATACCTCAGCCTATTATAAAGCAAGGCTTCACCACTTTCCTCAAATGCAGATTTCCCTAAACCCAAGAGAAGTATTTAAAAGATGGTCGGCCACTTCCTTTTCACTGGCCTGGCCTAGGGGCGATGTCAGTGTTGGTTAAAATGGCGGTTCCACTCTTCATTTTTGTTGCTACCCTGTGCCAGTTTGTGGAAGATCCAGCATGGTCGGACCCGACAGGCCAGCTGAAAAAGGTTCTTGAACATCGAAAAATGAATAGTGACTCTGAGATTGACAAGTTGGACGCCACTTACTCTCCAATTCTGAACCAGCTGATCCATGGACGTCCAGTGAAGGAACAGAAATCACTGGTGGATAAATTCCGATGCATTGTAGGCACAATTATTGTCCTAGCTGGGCCTCTTTCACGGTCATCCTTGGCATCTTTGCTTAATATCGACAGCCAAGAGATTGAGGGACAGCTCTCGTCTCTCCATTCTGTCCATAGTGTGCCATCCTCCGCGGACTCTCCGATAAGGATGTTGCATCTCTCGTTCCGTGAGTTCCTTATCGGTCTTGACAAATGCCACACAAATCCATTCTGGGTGGAAGAAACAGAAACTTTCAGGACGGTCATGACTAAATGCCTTGAACGAATGTTTCAACCGGGGACTCTTCAAGAAAATATATGCAATCTGCAGGGTCACGGAACACTACGAGCTGAGATCGATGGCAGAATCATAACCTACTACTTACCACCAGATATACAGAGGTTTGCAAAACTCCTTTCCCCCTTATACTTAGCCCAAGATAATTTTATGCCCCGCTTGTGGGGACGTTAATCTGAACGCCAGTCATAGTATATACAGCTAGTTCCTATGTGTCCTGGCCCTCCCCAACTCTGAACAGATAAACCCTCTCCAATATGCTCCCTGACTCCCACGCGAGTCGCGTAAGAATGCCCAAGCTCGAATAGGAGCTCCCATGGGACGCACTAAGGAACAGACAGCGGCTGATTACATGGACTTCCAACGCACCATCCCTGGCACTGATATTGTAGTCTTTTCAGATGGATCTAGGCTAGTAAATGGACATGCTGGGGGTGGCTATGTCACATTTCAAGCATACCACCAGTTCCTCCGCTCCTCGCTCTCATACGGACATGGGAAAGAAGTCTTTGATGCAGAAGCAGAAGCAGCTCTAGATGGTGCCCAAGCAGCAATAGCATACCCAACAGCTCGATTTGCTACCAACCTATGGATCTGCCTTGACAACCTGGAAGTTGCTACACGCCTCCTATCTCCCTCCACAGGATCTTCCCAAGAAGTCTTTGAATCCTTTCGCACTCTTGCAGCCGCCTGGCCACTCCGCGAAAGACTTCCACACACTAAAAGTGGTTCAATCCAAATCCGATGGGCCCCTGGACACGCTAAAAACCCTGAGAATGAGGCGGCTGATCTTGCTGCCAAAGAGGGAGCTGCCTCTATCCCTTCCTCTCTACACAAGTCCTCATATGCCTCGCTAAAGAGATACGCCAAGACACAATCCCATTCCGCTGCTCAGATACAGTGGCAGACTGTGGCTCCACAAACATATCAAGATCTAGAAATAACTACATCTCCTAAGCGCCCTGCAGAGCTTCAACTCAACAGACTTGACCTAAGCCATATCATCGCGGCCCGTACTGGTCGTGGTGTAACAATCGTCACGTAGGTATGTATAGTTACGTTCGAGAGGGATCACAGAAGGCTAAGCACACAAGGTAGGGTACGACACCGGTGTGATGTGAGATTCCACAGAGGTACTGGAAAGTTCCTCAGGAGACTCTGCATAACGATTTGAGAGAGTCTGGAAAAAGACTGTGGCCTGACTCATTCGGCTCGCGTATTCAGTCCTGGGATCCTGGCGAGGCTGAAGTGATTCTAGGCAGCGGCATTATTCAACAGGGAAGAGCAGCGATCACATCACTGTCATTCTTGCTCCACTAGGAGCAGGGATACGACCGTCGATGATAGCCTCAAGATTCAGACTCGACAAATATGGTTGAACTGGAGTCCAATCATCTGCGGTGGCCAAGCTCGGTGGCAGTGATTCTGGAGGAGCTGGGACATGGCTGACGTGGGCTGGCGCGAGGTCCATGCGATGCTATGCTTTTCAGCTGCGGGTGTGACGGGGAAATGAAATTGAAAGAAAAGAAGAGAGAAAGGAGACGACGAGGTGAAATCGTTCGAGGGACGCACTTTGGGTTTATCTACATAGTAGACATCGCGGACGACGCTCGGGCCCACTATTCCCGGACGGGACGGGCTTGGCACCTCTAGGCCCGGTCGGGTAGTCTCATTCCCCGAATCGGCAGGCGGTGGACAGTGACAGAGGAACGGGTGGCCCAGAGCGGTTTCCAGCGCCCCGCTTGCCGTCTGTTAGAATACTACCCCTGGGAGATTCAAATAGCATAATGTTCAAATTAAATTCGAAGTATAAGTCATCTTAAAGTTTGGATCTGTGTAGAATGTTGACGTAGATCTGTTTGAATGTAGATACATTTTAACCTAGATCTGTTCAACTGTGGATCCATTTAACTACGGACCTGTTCAACTATGATCCGTTCAAGTGTGGAGCTGTTCAAGTGTGGAGCTGTTCAAGTGTGGATCCATTCACTGTGGATCCGTTTAACTGTAAACCGGTTCAACTGTACGGGGTAGTTCAACAGCGGATTGGTTTAAGCGTGAATCCATTCAAATATGGATTCGTTCAACTGTGGATCTGTTCACTGGACCTGTTTAACTGTGGGCCTATTCAACTGTGGATCTATTGTAATCCTACCTGTGACGGCTCAGTCAATAGATGCCTGATTGATGCCTTTGAGCCTTACACGTGATCCCGCTAATATGTCAACCCCGCTCAGCGATCGCGCACTCCATTCTCTTTCTTCCTCTTCTCATGTTTTGTATTCTCGTCGAATAGCTCCTAGATTAGGCATAGCAATGGATTGTTATGAGATCTGGTTTGGCACCATCACACTACCAAGGGGTTGAAATATGTATTTACTTAGTGAACTGAAAGATTGACTATTATATATTTTGTAAACTAGATAATACGTAACCGCAAGAGTACTGCAGCTAGTTATGCACATGTTTTCAATACAAGTGAGGCTTTTAAAACTTGATCAGGGACTGGATATGTGGTTATACATGTGACATTCTAGCTACTGAAAGTGTAAGGGAGGTTGTAGAGAGCGTGACTATGAGGCACAATCTGTAGCTATTACGATGGACATACACTAATGGAACGTGGAACGTAGAAGGTAGGGTCTGATTGATGAAGTAGCTATTCGCTACTTCTTTCAGTCTAAGAATCATCTACATATATGAACCGTGTCTGGTTGCGTGATGACTAAGCAGCCGTCCTTGGCGGCACATGACGATTCCGTCGCGAAGCTATTCCCAGCTCTCTCTGCCTTACAGAAAGACAAAAGTTCCTATAGGCAAACAGTTTGAGTTATTAAACAGCTTGTGAGTAATCTCAGTAGTCTTGTGTATAGTATGATGGGGCGATACACTCGGATGCAAGACCGGCGTCAAGGTCCTACTCTCTTTGTGTTGGAGCTCGGTTACGCTAGGATGGATACGGAATATAGGCAAATAATAAGAGCTTAGAGTTGAGAATTTCTATGTATTGATGCACACCCTCTAATACAAAACTTGTCAGGAATGTTGACCTCTTTTATATGTGAGGTCCTGTACAAACTAGATCATGAGATGACGTCCAGTCGAACCTTCTAGACATAGGCATATAAAGCTGATTGTATGTCTATATCTCGTCAGTATGTGAATCTAGTTCTCGAAATTTCTTCATGTTAGTATTATGATGGATTCCCAATTAGGGATAGCGTATTGCGTTCCAACACTTTGGTTGTTTCTCGAATCTTACGCCAAGCGGGGCTAATCTACTACGGTACTTTTAGAGAAACTACAACACAACTCCATTTCGCCGTATCACATAATTATACTGTGTTCATCTTAATTAGTGTAACCGCACTCCAACTGTGAACGTGGGTGGGATATGTAATTGTATGTATTATGTGTGTAGCCTCTCTCAGGGAAGAAAACTCACACACAGGTGTCCATACAAAATGTGGTACAAATGTGGTGCAAATGTGTGTACAATAGCTATAGTGAGGGAAATTAACCACCAATAAGAGTCAAGTATCGTTTTTATGCTACCTATTCCATATTAAGCCTAGCCGTAATATATGGTTGACACCAACATAATGTACTCAACGGTGACCTGGATACCTTTCAACAAGGGGTAACCTAGTATTGTAGTCGTCAGGACTGGGTAAAAGAGCAGCAAGACGCTGTAATCAGAAGGGCCAATAAACGGCCTACTTCCACTGTAATTATGCTAAGCTCAATGCTAGCTTCAGTGTAGTCTTTGAAATATCGAGGAGCATGTGAGGGTTGGGGATAGCTTCACCATTACCTTTTTCTCTTCCTTAGCTATCTTTAGCTATCTTGTATTAGCTACCAATAAGATCTTTGTTGAGCTGCCACAATTATTAGACAAGTTGATTTAGATGAATTCTTTCAGTGTCAACTTGATAGTAGATAATTCTATAGTGCACAACTAGAAACCAAGTATGGTGCAGAAATCTCAATTTAGATGAAAGTCAAACAAAAATATGAGAAGGCCATCTCCTAGAATAAATATGTAGTGGCTTTGTCCACTTTATTTCCCAACTGGCCGCAGGCTTTGTGATATGAAACTGCACGTCATGTTGATACTGTACTCAACAAGCTGTCTTTGTTTGATAGGAAAATGTCAAGCATATTCCTACCAGAGCTCATGTCATTGAACACAATCTATAAAAAGCAGCCATGCTTATGAGCGAAGTGCGCTTTGAGGTCCATCTTCCCATTCAGAATAAGACTAGTGCAGGCATGATCATCAGTACAAGGGATAGAACTGTCTGGATCATAAAATTTGAGGCGATATTAATTAACATGTTTCTGAAGTATATATTTTTGTTTGTACTTGTGCTTTTGTTCCTTCAAAGGAAGGTCATTACTGGCTAGACAGAAAACGCATTGCCAACTGTGGCATTTTAGTGGAGAGTTACGCTTGGTTATTGCATCTATCTAGAACAGCTATGGTGAAAGAGTAGTTTTGATGGGAACCAACTCTAGAGAGCGCTTAGTCTTTACCTAGCAGCGATTTCTTCGTTTACACAATGCAATTAGGTTGACGGAGAACTCAACATGCAAGGAATAACCTTTCTAATTGCTAAATATAGATGGATCGCGCACCATACATTCCATGATGTAGCGTCTTTCAGCAATCCGAGTGGGGGCGGTTTTAGTAGGAATATTTCCCTTATTGTCATTATTATTATCATTATTAGATTGTTCCCCATTCAACTGGCGCTGGATGGCCAAAACGGGGGCATTTAAGTTGTACGCCTTCTGAATCCACTTCAGCAACGCACGCTCCTTCTTTTGGATGGTAGCAGCAAGACATGCCTTTACGGCTTGGTAGTCATTATAGATTGGTTTTTTCTTCGCCATTTCGACCACACTGAACATGTCCTCGATCTGAGCGCATAATTTATCCCGAACAGCTGCTAATTCTCGAACTTCAGGGTCCTGTTGTATCTGCTGTCCTTATTCAGTGCTGAGTTTCCTTGGCCAGTGAGGATCTCGGAGTAGCCTGATCTGACTCGCAGTCCTTGCAGATTCATGGTCAGAGCTTCTCCCCCAGAATTGGTCTTGGGTAAAGTAGCGAATTGTCCGCGAGATATAGTTTTATTCGAAGATCTTAGATCTAGTGCTATAATTAAGGACTAGATTTCGAACCGCAGTGTTCGAGTTGGGATCATCTACAACAGGTCAGTGGGGGACAGCTTGTCTGATAAGTGTACAAATCAATTAGGAGCCTTACCATTGATAATATTACCTAATGCTCGTCGTAAACAATATGTTGTCAAGATATAGATGAAGCCCAGCGAAACTCCGAGAAGTACAAGCCAGCCATGATACTGCCAGTACGGGAGAGTTACATCTTTGGAGGTTTTTATACCTTGCGTTATTTTGATAGCCCTGCAGAAGATAGGAATGTTGAGTACATCGGGCTTCCAGGGCACAACTTAACTAGGGCCTTTCTTAGCTTTTAGCGCAAATAGCTGCCGTGGAGAGACCAGCATTGACACATTATAAGCCTCATCATCGAAAGTAGTGCTAATCATATGGGTAATAATACAGAAGACTGGATTCTTATTAAGATAGAAAATATAAGTTTTCCTACCATGTATGATTATGGCCAGTTATATTTGCGGAGTCAACTAGAATTAACTTACAGTCGTTTCCGCTTCTGTTCCGACTTTGTTTTAGTCAACATCACCGCAAGCCTCAGCTTGTGCTTGCTAGTCTTGCGGTGCTTCTCCACATACAGGCGCAGGTCGCGATATGTGATGTTGAGAAGTGCCCCAGGCCTCAAGCCAGTATACGCGGCCAGCAGAAGAATAGCTGCGACCTGGACGCGTTGCCGCTCATTGGGGAAGATGTTAATGTCAGCAGCCTAATGATATTGTATTACTTCGATAAACTCTTTGGCCTCAAGTAGTGGCTTCTTACTTTTGATGTTGTCCAAGCCATATTCTTTTGTTAGTGGACCCTCAATGAACTACGCTAGAGTTAGCACCAAGGTTATTATATAGAGAGAGTGAATATTTCCAGGGCCTATACCACAAAGATTTCTTTCAGAGTTTGCGGCGGGATCCAGCACTGCCACCAGGTGATGTATAGTTGACTCAGTTGACACTAGTATGTTGTTACTGCGCTAGTTTTTTTGATCATGCAGGTTCCCACTAGCTAGTGGAGGAAGTTCTCCATACAGGCAGTCTCACACTTTCTCAGCGTCTCATGGGGTTCGAGATCGAAGACAGCGCAGTATCTGAACTCGTTAGCAGCATTCCTATTTTGTGAGAGTAGAAACAATAGACTCAGTAAATAGCTTCTCCATCCTTTTAATATGATATTTCATTGTGTCAGCGTAGAGCGTCATAGCACGAGTCTCCGTCAGAGCTTAATCATATTTCTGCTGCAGGACCTCACGGGAACAGACACCAGTGGCTGACCAGCCTTTGTAAGATCCTCCCGATCACAGCGTAACTGTACACAAAGCCTTGTGACGACCCATTCTCGACGGTGATGATGGTATAACTTGGGGAAGTGGAGGAAGAGAGATGAGTTTGTGAAGGTGAGAAAGAAGGTGAGGGCAACATGGCGGGAAGTCAGGGAATTTAAGCATGAGCGAGAGAAATGAGGGATGCCATTTCTGGCCTTCGTCGTGGTTACGATCCGGTGCGTCTAGAAAAGCGTGGTCGAAGTCGGTTTAAGTCTAGGGTCCACCAGTAGCGTCATTGAGCCACTGAGGGAGAAGAGATCGTAAAGGCGCATTGTCGCATTTCACACGGATCAACTAGAAAGATTTGTAGTGGCGCCATCTGTGTAGACCACTATCCAGTTGGACAACTGGACGCGCAATGGAAAAGTGTAGAGGGGAAGCGATGAAATTGTGAACAGGCGAAAATGCGAATGGCTGTTTCGAGTTCCTTTAAAGCGGCAACGATGAGGTGGGGGCCGGCTGGTGAAATCGACGCTTAAAACAGCGTCACTCGACGCCGAAAAGGGCCACACTTTCACCAAAACAGACATTTAGGGAATAAAAGCATCAATCTAGCTAGCTGGTCTTACACTGTTATATCACCTAACTATTAAATTCTACATATTTGCTATCAACATTGCCTACATTTGAATTCAAATTCCGAACCACACAATCTCTATATCCATAATATCTATAATAAACTATATTTGATAACCTTTACACACATAGATTGAGAACTAACCTGACTAGGATGCTCATAAACCATAGTATATATAGTTCTTGAGGACATGAACGTCTACCATCTAGCCTGGGGTGGCCCTATCATCAAAATTAACGAACAAGCCACAGAATTGCTTAAGATCATGGATTGCCATGAGATTAAGCTTGCTACCAAAGAAGGACTAGTCACCTAAGAACGTGGCTAATTATAATTGATAATCGATCTAACATTCTTATCTATAACCTTATTTTATCATCTTGTATTACATGAGCGTGCAGATAAGATCTAACATAACTCTAACCATTGGCCAATCAGGATGTAGATCAACATTAATATACCAACTCACAAACTACTATAGCACTGCAACTGGGCAGCGACAGATATTAAAGTGCTATAGAAATTGCTTAGCCAACTTATCGCACTAAGGCTTATAAATGCATTAAAATCTTATATTAAACTTGCAATAGTGGCCTTTACAGCGGCTATTCGCAAAGCGGTTGATCAATCAGTTCCATGGGCTTATCTAAGTGCGTGGAGCAATCCAGATTTTACACCTGAATGCAAAGAGGCTGTACGAACCTGCCGCCAGCTACGACATCAATTCTCAAACACCCACAATCCGTGGATCTAGAGGGCTTACCTACAAGCCTGCAATAAGAAGAAACGCCTAGTCAAGAAATCCTTATGACTAGGCTATTAACGTTGCGTACAGTAGGCAATAGAGTAAGGCCCCTTAGGCCTCTGGAAATTAGCAAAGTGGGCACGCTCGCGTAATGGAACATATAAATCAGGAATCACCCCAACTCTACAAGACTTGGATGGCCATACAGCGGAAACAGTGGAAGTAAAAATACAGCTTCTTAGGGAAGTATTCTTCCCAGCTATCCTAAATGTAGATCTATTAGACATCATAGATAGCTAATATCCATTATAAATTGAATTCCTAGAGATCCCACACCATAAGATTAAGTATATTATTTATTCAACGCCACTAGATAAAGCGCCAGGTGAGGATAGCATTCCAAACAGCTTCTGGCATAAAATCATTAACATTCTAGTAATTATTAACACTCTATATGAGATCTTTAATACCTGCATAAGAATTGGCTACAATTCTACTCACTTCCAGCGCTTAATCACTATTATACTACATAAAGGCGGCAACAGGGACTATTATATACCCAAGATGTATAGATCTGTGGCCTTGCTCAACACGCTTAGCAAGTTTCTCAAAGCAATTATTATATGCCGCATCAGCTATGCTATGGAAAGTAAAGGATTACTTCCTTCAAGCCACCTAGGTGGCTATAAAGGAATATCCACGGATCATGCCATACAGATCATCCTTAATCAAATCTGTGGAGCCTGGGGACGTGGCCATGCTGTTATATTTATGCTCCTATTAGATATCAGCGGTACTTACAACAATGCCCACCACCTACAACTACTACACAATATGAAGAAACGATGTCTAGGGCACTTTGTGCCGTGAGTGACTGCCTTTCTCACAAATCAAAGTACCAAGATACGGATCCCTGAGGAGATATCTAGCCAAATTCCTATACCAACAGGCATCCTACAAGGATCACCAATCTCACCTATCTTATATCTGATTTACAACGCGGATCTGATTGAGGATTGTGCAGATATAGTTAATCACACAACAATAAGTGGATGGATGGACGACGTAGCCTTGATAACCATAGATAATATAGAGACAGAAACAATAAGAAAGCTTCAAAAAGCTAGCAAGATCGCAGATCAATAGGCAGTATAACACACTTCAGTATTTGACACAAAGAAGTATCAACTAATTCACTTTATGAATCCACGAAGTACGATTAATCCTAAATCGCAGCCAATCTAGCTGCGCGATAAAGTTAAAATAAAGCCCAAAGAAGCTATTAAATATCTTAACATCCAGCTTAATACAAAGCTAAGCTTTGACACACATCGTGATGAAGCTATTGTAAAAGCAGGCACCAGCCTAGAAGCTCTACATGGCCTATCAGGATCTACATGGGGGGTTGCACTAGGCTCCATGAGAAGGATCTATTAAGCAATTGTTATCCCACAGATGCTGTATAGCGCTGCAGCCTGGTTCCAACCAGATCTCATGAGCCAGAGGCAAATTACACAAACTATACATAAATTTACAACTATCCAAAAGCGCGCAGTGTGCCTGATCAGCGGTGCTTTTCATACAATGGCTGTGGAGGCCCTCAATATAGAGCTTCATCTAATGCTAATCCGGTTGCAACTGGATTAACTCATAAAGGCTGTAGCCATCTAGATCCGCACAGGTCCTACCTTTGCAATTCCTGATGGCCTAGTTAATTAACGCACCAGCGACAAACTTAAGCTTGACGGATACACTCCCATAGAAGCTCATGCCTAGAAGAAGGGCGGATGCTTATTGATTCCCCCCAGAACCTTAGCAGAGAAATGGGAGAGCCAATCTGCATATATTTAGATACTATGGTATGAGCTTTCAAAGGTTGTAATTGATGAGCAAGAGAAGGCAGTATCAGTATATAACGACATCACATGCAAGAATGAGCATATCGCAATATACATGGATGGCAGTAGATATCAAGGCTATATTAGCGCGTCCATGGTCATTCTAACATTCAGAAAATAACGAATGGAGTGTATTAGTATGGAAGGCACCTCAACAGTATACGCAGCTGAGGTCTGTGGGATCAAATTTGCGCTTGAAACTGCGCTTCAAATTGCAGATCAGGACATACGAACCAAGAAACTAGTTATTTTCTTAGATAGCTAAGCCGCGCTTAAAACTCTCATGAACCTGTGTATGGTCTCTGGTCAAATGTACATTCAGGGTTGTATTGATTCACTGAGGAAGTGTATGGATGAGAACATCAATGTAATACTGAGGTGAATTCTAGGCTATGAGGGTGTTCCTAGAAATGAAGCTGCAGACAGGGCTGCAAAATATGTAGCTCTAATAGGTGCATGAAGGTAAATCGTACCTGGAGATCTATTAAGTAAAGGATAGACTATACTTACAGCAGCTGTAAAACATAGAATACATTAATTAATTAAGGATACCTGGGAGAGACAGTGGGACAAGCAAAAGATAGGGAAATCTACTAAAAAACTTGTCACTTAGCCTTCTAAGTGCACACTTCAATATTGGACCTTTCTCTGTAAAGCAACATCGTCAATACTGATACAGCTACGTACCAAATAAATTAGGCTGGCGTACTATCTGTGGCAAATTAATAGGCGAGAACAACCATACTGTGCCTGCGGCCTATCTGGTCAATCAGTACAACATATTCTTATAGAATACCCACTATATAAGAATAAACGTGGTCTCATATAGTCACGAATCAAGGGATTCCGACGCACAACAGATCTGCAAGCATTACTCAAGGAAAAAAAGGCCGCAATTGCAATCGCGCAGTTCATCATTGACACGCGAGTGCTTAATCAATTCCGTGAGGTAGATCCGGAAGCAGTTGGCACCTATGAAAGCGCAGAAATAGCGGCTCAATTGGAGCCTGCAAATGACAAGGACACTGACGTAGGAACATGTATGAATACGCACGTAGATGATGTGCATTCTAGTTCGACGTCGTTATCAGTAAGGACCAGGATTGACACGAATACGAGCCTTGGATCAAGTGATTCAGAGCTAGCCAATGGGATGCGATGTAGAGGACGTACAATTCGGATTTGCAAAGGGTGAGATACGCAGATTTTTATGAGGGATACAGGATATGTGGGTATGGAGCGAACTGGTGCAGTTCAGAGGACTTGAAAAGAATTTGGGAATTCTTGTAGGCGGGGCGTACGCGCACTAGCCGACCAAGATGTTTGATTTATTTGTTTGTTTGACATGTTTGCATTTGTTATTCTTGTTTCCTTAGCTTCCGTTCTCTGTGGCGCGCCTCTATGGCGCACCACCCGTGGCTGGGCCGCGGATCTCTTGGTGCCTGCAGGCTTAGGCACACACCTGGATAGCGGCTCTTAGTCAGCGGCCAGCTACAACGGGTAACGTAATTCACCACCGAAGCGGCACCACTACCGAGCCGGCATTTTTTCCCGAGCGCGTACACGATATTGATTTTATATTATTCAACACGTCAATATGCCACCAATTCGCAATAAAAACCGGAAAAATTTAGATGAGCAAGAGGGACAAATCTTATTAGCAATTTCCGATTTACAGAATGGCCGAATTCAACGTGTAGCTCAAGCTGCAAGGATTTACGAGATCCCCCGGACAACTTTACAAGATAGACTCAATGGTATTCAACAAAGATCTCTCGTACGCGCCAACAGCCATAAATTGACTCAATATGAAGAGGAATCGCTTGTCAAATGGGTGCTTGATTTAGATCGACGTGGATTACCCCCCCGGCATTCTCTTGTACGAGAAATGGCTAATTATATACTTTCACAACATGGCAAACCACAAGTTGGAAAAAATTGGATAACTAAACTGATTAAACGCCGTCCAGAGATCGATTCCAAATTCGCAAGGAAATACAACTACGAACGTGCTAAATGCGAAGATCCAAAGATAATACAAGAACATTTTGATCGCGTACAAGCTGCTATATCTGAGTACGGCATCTTACCGGAAGATATATTCAACTTTGATGAGACTGGCTTTGCTATGGGACTCTGTGCAACTGCAAAGGTTATTACTGGAAGCGATCGATATGCTCAGCCGAAGCTTTTACAGCCTGGAAATCGAGAATGGGTGACTGCAATTGAGGCAACAAATTCAACTGGATGGGCTGTGCCTTCGTACGTGATTTTCAAAGCAAAGAAAAACGTACGAGAAGGCTGGTTTGATGATCTTCCAGATGATTGGCGAATCAATATTAGCGATAATGGCTGGACTACAGATCAGATAGGATTAGAATGGCTTAAAACCCATTTTATTCCCTATATTAATGGTCGTACGGTTGGAAAATATCGAATGTTGATTCTTGATGGCCATGGAAGCCATTTGACTCCAGAATTTGACCATATATGTACTGAGAATAATATTATTCCAGTCTGTATGCCACCTCATTCTTCGCATCTCTTACAGCCTCTTGATGTTGGCTGTTTTGCTGTTTTAAAGCGACATTATGGGCAGCTTGTTGAGCAACGAATGAGGCTTGGTTTCAATCATATTGATAAAATGGACTTCTTAACAGCATTTCCACAGGCTCGTACAGTGGCATATAAAGCTCAAACTATTCGGAATAGCTTCGCAGCCACTGGATTAGTGCCTTTCAATCCAGATCGAGTTATACAACAGCTTAATATTCGATTGAAGACACCAACCCCCCCTCCAAGTCGATCAAGCAATACGGCATCATCCTGCTTACAAACACCTCAAAATATACGCCAATTTATACGCCAGTCGACTACAATCAATAAACGTATAAATGAGCGTACAGAAAGCAACCAAAATCAAGAAATCAATCAGGCAGTTGTACGGTTGTCAAAAGCCTACAAAATGATAGCGAATGATGTTTTACTCGTACGGAAAGAGAACTACGATTTACGAGCTGCACATGAGAAAGAGAAGCAAAAGCGCCAAAAATCTAAAAAGCAAATATCTATTGAGCAAGGGGTTACTAAAGAAGAAGTGCAAGCGCTCGTACAAGGTCAGGTTGAGGCATCCCATGCTGTTACTACTACTCCGGCTGAGCCGGAGCTCCCAGCTTCTCAAGCAGTCGTACGCCGCCAATATCGCTGCAGTGGTTGTAACGTTATGGGGCATAGAATTAACCAATGCCCTAGTCGTATTAGTAGTTAGATTTTTGTATATAATTTGTATGTGGCTTTGAAAATTGGGATTTGAAATCAATATCGCGTACGCGCTCGGGAAAAAATGCCGGCTCGGTAGTGGTGCCGCTTCGGTGGTGAATTACGTTATATCAATACTACTACTACTACTACTACTAAACCTAAAATGCCAGATTCGTGAAGATCCTTTAAGAGTCAACTATCCTCCTTGCCAGGACTTCCCGTCATTCCGCAGAATCAACGCCGCAGAGTTATCAGATAGAGAGGAAATAGTTGATGGGGTTTTTCGAGTTATTCACGATAGGACACCATTGATACTAAAGGTGGTGGACCGTCCTTTCTACCAGCCTCGTGATACGGAGGTTCTACGGCAAGAGCTGGAAAACCTCAAGCAATTCCAAGGAGTCCCTAATATCGCCTAGGCAGTCGGTATTACGATAGACACTAACCCGTACTCTACGTCGACAACATTAGACGCTCAACAGGTCGTCATTGGGATTTTGCTAGAGCTTTAGAGCGGTGGCTCACTACAGCAAGTATTTGACAGGAATTGCCTTCAAGATTACTCTTGGCAGCAGTGGCCTCTTCAAATCGCAATGGCCCTAGATTGCTTTCACAGTCCGTGTGAGAACAGTCCAGATATGGGCCCGTAGACTACCCCCGAAACCATTGCGGCCAATCGGTTTGGTCATCACCAAACAAGGCAATATATTGATTCTTGATCTCTGGCCAGTCGCTTTCATTCCGCAGGAAATAATGGTAGGTCTCACTACCCCGGCCTCTTCTATACGTGTAGGCCTTAAGTGCCCAGCCGTCCATAGCCAAAGTACGATAAGTTTTCATCGTTTCATATATTTTCGATATGTCGGTAGAGTGTAACGGAGTAAGCGAAGCTAGCTTGCCCAGTTCTTCCCGGGACGAACTGCGCAGAGACTCATACATGCTCTTCCAATGCGCCCCGTCCTGTATAGAGTTACTCAAATGTCCCGACTCAAAGCTGGAATTGAAAAGGGAGAACGGTATTATATCACCGCTCTTATCAAACCTACAGTATTTTGCTCCTTCAATGTTTGGATTTCGGACCGTAAAAGTTCTGTCTCCTTGTGAAGCGAAAGATTTTCATCATTCACAGCAGACTTTTCCTTCTCTATATTATTGATCCGAGCTTGCAAGTGGTCGACGTCTGACTCAGCCGTTGCTAAACTCACATAGAGCTTCTGGACTTCCTGCTCAAGCCGCTCAATTTTCGCAGCCATAGCAGGATCGCCGGTGGATGATGGCCCAGAAGTCTCGGCTGACTTATCAATGCTGTGCTCTCGAGATTCCTCTGACGATGTATACGGTCCACTGAGCGAAGTTGGGATTCCAACTGGATGTGGGATGTCACTTGCCAATTGTTTACTGGTAGTAGAATCATCAGCTGACACAGCCGTCAGCTCGATGACCCGTGAGCCAGGCTGATAGAAGACGCAGATTGGAGCGTTGTCAGCGTTACTATTCGCTGTATCGCGGCATGACCCCACCCCTGAGCCTTCTTGAAACCTCACAGCAGGACTAGAGAGCGTCTTCCAGTCCGGGTGATTGTAGGACATTTGCGATATCGTCTTCTCTTTCGTAGCAAGAACTGTAAAAACACGGATCTGGAGTTTAGATTGACCGGATCGCCAGCAGACTGCAGAGATGGGCGCTCTGTAGCCAAGTTTTTGTTGCTTCTTGATGATAAGAGCTTATGACCAGTCCAGTTGGCACAGTTTGGACATCTGTCAGTCACCGGTACGAACGACTTGATTGCACTTTTAGGAGAAGTTCAGAAACTCACAGCGATAGCTCCACCTGTAATCTCCGTCACAATACATCTCACGGAGCTGCATATCAGTGCCTTGATAATAGAGTCGCACATCTTGCTTGAGCTTATCGGACACGGCAGAAAGGCGAGTGTCCTCTATGGCATCATCGATAATTGCATTATCTTGAATTGTCCACACCTGATCATTTGCGTCATACCTGATCTCACGTAGCGGACCCCCATCCTTGCTGCCAGCATCACACTTCTGCTGATAGAATAGTCGGAGCAACTGGTCATCCTTGTCGGGGCGTGCTATTGCAAGTTGGGAGCAAGGAGCAATCTCTGTTTCTGTCGCAGGCCCGATGGTGATAGAAGTCCACTGTGACATTGTTTCGTGATTTCCCAAGGACTATGTATGCACTACCAGTGAGATTCTGTAGACGCGACACTTTCAAAAGTCGGAGGACGAGGAAAGTCCACTATACCTGCCGAATGTTATTCTGCTCATCCAAAAAGAACACTCGGATCTGTAAAGCAAGGTCAATGATGGCATATTCCCAAAAACCAGGTACAGAAGCGCTTAGATAAGAACCTACCTGCGTTGATCCTCCATCCTCAGTCCAGCGCGTAGCTGTAATGGGCGTATTGTTCTTCGCAAGGTCGGTGACCACACCGTCGCCTTTGACGAACCAGCCATGTTCTTGATGATAGCAGGATTCCCGGATAACTTTGTCCACACCACTAAATTGGTAGTAGACTCGTATATGTCTCTTGCCATCACGGAAAAATTCAATGGCATCGAGACTTGCAACGTAAGCCATAGGGACAGATCGATTGCTAACGGGAAAGGAACTTATTCGCAGTAGTTGGACAAAATTTGCGATCCTGGTAGATAGACTCAGTACAGGAAAATTCGACAGACTTTTGTCCGAAGCCTACAGTACCCGTCGCTTCACCTCCCCCCACCCTATTCGGACTGGGTACACACATCTCTCTTCTGGCCCCACCGCCAAGGCCTTAGCGCAGATCATCTATCGAGCGGGCCGCATCAAACTGAGGGGCTCGGTAAAATGCGCTCATGTACGTTACAGTAAAATCTCCGTTAATATATATTACGCGTATTAAATTACAGCTCATGGAAATCCATGGAATTCTATGGTGGATCTCTGCAAATCATGTCGGGAAGGCCACCTGAGGCCACCTTGCGCAAGTAACTTGATGATCTGAATACAGTACGAGCTATTACTTACACAATCAGTCCAAGTACCGGTCGTACCATCTGATGTACATCGACGAGACTGGGTTCGACAAACGGATTGACTTCAGCCGAACAGGCTGCTTACGCTCTACTGGGTCCGATCGGTGATTGAGCTATGATTTGGAGCAGTTTAAACCATTGTTCTCCAGATTGAGTATTCTTGGAAGTTAAGAGTACGTCTGTGCATTGAGTAACAACCAGAATTGAGCAACCCTATTGTGCACGCACAAGTTAAAATCTCACTAAGATGGATCGGTTGTATCATAATGAGAGAATCCCAACCTGCACGTACAGTAGCGACAAAGCCCATAAATTATCGCGGATTCTTACGCTCCTACAGCCTAAAGCAGACAAGGAAAAAGAGCAATGAAGCAACACAACCTTGCGAAGGTAAGCTTGGCATTTATTAGTACTAGGATGAGGGAAGGCCAGGTGGCGGTTTCGAGAAGCTAATGACAATAAATCTTCCCGAGTAGATGCTGCTGATGGCAATTCTCGCCACGGTCGGCATGAGTACGGACTGGTAGATGGCTGGACTTTCATATTCTGAAGGTCGATATTCCATCGGTAGCCATAACACCTTGTGTCCATTCCATGTAATCCAGGATCTGTCGGGATGCAGGCCGTACCCACATTGTCGAGCTTCTTGAGGCTGAGACTGGATTGGACCTTTAGCGTCGACATGGAGGCAAGCATCTACTTTTATACAGCCGAAGTTGGTGAACAGGTATAGTCCGTTAGTGTCGAAGGAGACGGAAGAGACCCTGCTACCCTTGAGTGTGTGTTTGACCTCGCCTGTCGCCGCATCCCAGAGCTTAATGGTCTTGTCGCGCGATCCTGACGCTATAAGCTTCCCATCAGGCGAGAATGCGATCGACCAAACTGTATCGTCATGGCCCTCGAGCGTGTGTTTGTCCACGCCCGTTGCCACATCCCAGAGCTTGATGGTCTCGTCCTCCGATCCTGACGCTATGAGCTTCCCATCAGGTGAGAATGTGACTGACAAAACTGTATAGTTATAGCTCTCGAGCGTCTGTTTGACCTCGCCCGTCGCTACATCCCAGAGCTTAATAGTCTTATCGCGCGATCCTGACGCTATGAACTTCCCATCAGGCGAGAATGCGACTAACGATATCATATCGCTATGGCCCTCGAGCGTGTGATTGACTTCTCCCGTTGCCGCGTCCCAGAGCTTGATGGTCTCGTCCTCCGATCCCGACGCTATGAGCTTCCCATCAGGCGAGAATGCGACTGACAATATCATATCGCTATGGCCCTCGAGCGTGTGTTTGACCTCGCCCTTTGCAGCGTCCCAGAGCTTGATGGACCTGTCCTCCGATCCCGACGCTATGAGCTTCCCATCAGGCGAGAATGTGACTGACAATATCATATCATCATGGCCCTTGAGCGTGTGTTTGACCTCGCCTGTAGCCGCATCCCAGAGCTTAATGGTCTTTCCGCCCGGTCCCGACGCTATGAGCTTCCCATCAGGCGAGAATGCGATCGACCAAACTGTATCGTCATGGCCCTCGAGCGTGTGTTTGTCCACGCCCGTTGCCACGTCCCAGAGCTTGATGGACCTGTCCTCCGATCCCGACGCTATGAAGTTCCCATCAGGCGAGAATGTGACTGACAATATCATATCATCATGGCCCTTGAGCGTGTGTTTGACCTCGCCCGTAGCCGCATCCCAGAGCTTAATGGTCTTGTCGTGCGATCCTGACGCTATGAGCTTCCCATCAGGCGAGAATGCGATCGACCGAACTGTATCGTCATGGCCCTCGAGCGTCTGTTTGACCTCGCCTGTCGCCACATCCCAGAGCTTAATGGTCTTGTCGCGCGATCCTGACGCTATAAGCTTCCCATCAGGCGAGAATGCGATCGACCAAACTGTATCATCATGGCCCTTGAGCGTGTGTTTGACCTCGCCCGTAGCCGCATCCCAGAGCTTAATAGTCTTGTCGCGCGATCCTGACGCTATGAGCTTCCCATCAGGTGAGAATGCGATCGACCAAACTGTATCGTCATGGCCCTCGAGCGTCTGTTTGACCTCGCCTGTCGCCGCATCCCTGAGCTTAATGGTCTTGTCGCGTGATCCTGACGCTATGAACTTCCTATCAGGCGAGAATGCGACTGACGATATTATATCGCTATGGCCCTCGAGCGTGTGATTGACTTCGCCCGTTGCCGCGTCCCAGAGCTTGATGGTCTCGTCCTCCGATCCTGACGCTATGAGCTTCCCATCAGGTGAGAATGCGGCTGACAAAACATAGTCATGGCCCTTGAGCGTCTGTTTGACCTCGCCAGTCGTCGCATCCCAGAGCTTAATGGTCTTGTCGCGCGATCCTGACGCTATAAGCTTCCCATCACGCGAGAATGCGACCGAGTGAACACTATCGTGATGGTCTACGAGCGTTCGAACCAATGGACCCCAGTGCTTACCTACGGCAGGTCCCTCTAAAACCCATTGTGGCTCCTCTTTTTTAAAGAGTTCACGCGTTAAACTGCGAGTCGGGCTGAAGAGAAGCGCCGACACGTACGTTTGAAGCGGAGCGTTCTTGATTACTAATCCGTTGTGGAGAAGAAACCGATGCGCATCTACTATCAGGGAGAGTAGGCTAGACTCGCTGGACATAGTCTGTAGTACGTTAGGAATTTTTTTTACTATTTTTTGAGGTAAGAGGTTTACCTTCAGGAGCCTTTCCAGGTTTCCCATGGCGAGTATTGTATCGGATAGCGCCCCTAACAGACTTGAAGCCTCGGCCCAGTAAAGGAAGTAACCTTCAAGAAATTTTTGGACTAGGCCGCCATCACCTAGGTCATTTCGTTGCGGTCCCTCGCAAAGGTGGTCAACCCAGTGGACGCAGGAGTACCGTACGGATGCCAGCGGATCTGGAACTGGCATGTTGAGATCGTCGATGGAGGATCCAGGATGGCGCAAGCTGTAGATGTCCCGCTGCAGCGTCTTTATCATTGCCTGCAGCGATCGTAGGGATATATCGTGGTGGGCCTTGGCGCGACCAGAGGGGAAGATTTTCTTCTTTGCCTCCAGCGACGTCATGAACTTTCTGTTACCGGCCTCTGCATCATCAGAGGGCGAGATTAAGGCTCCCTTGCCCCTCAAGTAGTCGTTGGCCGACTGGTGAATAATGTAGACTCGGCCATCTCGCACAGTGAGGAATGAGCCGCAAAGCCCTATGACCTCCTCAAGCGACTCGGCACCGTCAGAAGACTCGGCACCGTCAGAAGACTCGGCACCGTCAGAAGACTCGGCACCGTCAGAAGACTCGGCACCGTCAGAAGACTCGACACCGTCAGAAGTATCCTTTGTACGTTTGACGAGGGAGGCAAGCTCAGCCAGGGTGACGGGCCGATACACAAGTGTTATAACAGCGAGAATCCGTTTACAAAGATAAACATCATCCGTATCCGCCAGATTAAGTATCTGCTGCATCATGCGACCGTATAGAGGATCTAGACCAGGAGGAAACGCTTTTAGAGCCGATCGTGTCTTCTTGGGTCTGATTTTCTCGAGATTCTCACAGACCAAGGCCACCCAAAGGAATGTGTTGTCTGCTTTCGCGCGTAAGTATTTCTTGACTGTGTCTTCCGTTCTAGAGTCGTACCCCTTCAGCAGTGCCAATTGAGACACCTTGTAGCAGATGTAAACACTAACAGCAGCAGCGATGGACTCGGGGTTCAGCTCGAGACTGAGCTTTACTTTATAGTCGGCAAGATTTAGCTGCTGCTCAATGTCGTGCTTGTTGCGGCTGGAGACAATCCACTTAACGCGGGATGCAGACGTATTCTCAACGATGAGCTTCAAAAGCTTCTGCAGGCCAGTCTCGCACTCATCCAGTGCGTCGATTATGATATACGTTTTTGCCAAGCTAGGATCTCGCAGCATACCCATGAGAATCTTGGATAGGGCGACGAACGCGTTGGTATCCTCGAAGAGCTTGCTGCCAGACTGTTCATACTCCTTGCGAAGATTCGAGGCCAACGACGGCTGTTGGACGGCGAGGAGGTAGATTAGGCCTCTTAGTACTGCCGTGACGTTGTTGAGATTCGCGTCGGTGCCCTGGCAGAAGAAGTAAGAGAGGGCGGTTGGAGGAGAAGTCGACTGTTCTGTCTGCTTAAGCTGAGCAAGCTGCCGCTCTAGTTCGTCGACAATGCCGATCAGTAGCATCGACTTTCCCTTGCCTGGATCGCCTTTGATCCAGAGCAGCCGGCTCTGGTCGTCATTGCGCCATTTTTGGAAGTCAGAGTGGTCGAGGATCCATTTGTACGAGCCCTCTAATAGACCGCCTTTGGTGCGCTTAATCCGCTCCTTATCGTCGCGGGGGTCGGTCAGGCGCAGGTCGTTTAAGCATTTGTCATTTGCCTCCTTGAAGTTGTAGACGATGTCCCCAATCGTTCCTTGGTTAACTCCTAGTTGGAAACCCTGATTATTGTTCCCCGCAAAGGTTATAGTGTTGTCCGGAGCCATTCTCGAATAAATGGGGGTTGGGTGTTGTGGGGTGGTAGTTGGGCTATCGTGTACGATGGATCAGACGGGGGATTGTTGGATCCCCATCCCCTCCCCGCTGCTTAAGTTCCACGTGTTAAGCAGCCAGTCCGCGCACGAGCCATGCGGGCCGGTGAATAATTGTGTCTTCAAGCTGATGGAGCCACGTCAGGAGGCTGTCAACCCTGGTTGGGCATCGCCCGCGCCGTCACGAAAAGAGCTTGGCTTGCATGTCATGCGATAGTTACAGCACCCCACCTCCCTTCGCCGATAAGTTGCCACGGCAAGTGCGTCCAAGGAGGGGACGCTGTCTTGTCTGGGTCTTCCTGAATCACGGCGCCATCAGGCTAATGACGAGAAAACGAGCAACTATCTATAGCTTCACATTCGAAAAGGCATCGCTAGGTGCCTTGATTAGCTAGTGCATTGATGGGGCGCACAGATCGCGTTCAACGTCAAAATGCAATTGGTAAGCCAAACCTCGGAGTCCTTCTATCCACCCATATTGTAATCCTGAGGCCACCTCTGGGAGACGACCGTGAAGAACATGGAGACTCCACTTCAGGCTACATAACCCTTTTCTCAATTCGAACTCTTAAGTTACCATAAATTTCCTTGAAATTGCTGGACCGTGACGGGAGCTTCTACCGCCTTCGTGGGACCCTGGGGTGGGGCCGGGGTGCTGGTGTCGGATTAGTCAGTTTATTCCAGGCCAATCCTGAAAAATGTTTTACTAGGGTCAAAGAAAAGAAATGACTAGCAAGATTGTATGTATTCCGTTCTGTGTCTGTCTATCCATCAGGTTTCAAAGCCGGGTCCTTTATAGACACCTTTGGCGGGGTCATTTGTGAGCTATCATGAGGAGTAAACTTTGAGGGCTGTATCGATAAGAAGATGACTCCCTATTTGCTGAAGTGTAGACAGCTTGAGGTGACTGGATGACCTGATCAAATAACCTCTCTTCTACATCGCCGGATATCCCGGTTATCTGACAGCTGGTGGTTGTGGGGCGGGCGGCGGCGGCAGATCATCAAAGAACCACCAAGCCTAGCCAGCTATCTTTGACTGTCAAAGATCCACTAAGGGGGTTCTATGGGATTCGACGGGATTCTCACGAGATAGGAGTATCATTACTTCGCTAGATACCGTATCATACCAGATGCATTTTACGAGGCTCCTCAACTAATTTTGGCTAGTTCAATAAACGATCTGCGCTAAGGTCTTGGCGGTGGGGCCTGAAAAGAGCGAGTGTGAATCGGTCAAGCCGATTTCGAGAATGACTGTACACTACGCAAGGCATTTGACAGGACGCGACAGAAACGGGTAAGCGAAAACAGTGGTGCATGTAATAGTTTACAGGCGTCTTAATTTGTGAATGCACAATACCTACGGGAGAAAAGTACACGAGCTAAAGTTATTTCGGATCTAGCTATATGTATACCAGTGATGTTGTAACAACCAGCAGGCTTGGGGGTCTCACTATTCTAAGAAATGCACCCATGACGTCTCAAGTTGGGTTTCAACTACAGCAGGAGAAGGTTTATATGTTCGAGGATGGTTTCAGCTCCACCTCGACTGTTGGAGCTATTCGGAATAGGGAGATCTGGTATAACTTATATGTCTATAAAGATAGCAGACGCTCCAGGATAGCAGAAGATAGGTTTCAGTACATTGACATTCCATACCCTACCTTGTATACTCAATTCTTGTGATCCCTCTTGAATCCCTATACGTATCCCTTGTAACGTTGTTACAGATGTCTTGGGACTGTTTCAGAGGAAAGTAAAGAGAGCTGAATTATTACACTGAACCTGCAAACTACTGTAAGAGAAAGGTAAAACACTATAAATGCGGCGTGCTGTATCAATTAAAATCAAGAAAGAGGCTCATAGTGGTTCAACCACTCGCGAACCTCCCCAGTCCATCGGTTTGCCACTCCTTTCATTACACCTTCATCAGTGTACTCATTACAATTTCGATCTTTGTCTATCTGGCTAAGATCGTAGCCATTGGATAATGCTATCTGGCAAGCAAGATCGACGTTGTCTTTCATCTGTTGGGAAGCCACTCGTGATTTATGCCAATTAGCATACATCTTCACTGCCTCGTCGAGCGGAAGGTCCGGAATCACAATAGGGTCAATGATGCTGGAGTTTGAATGTGATGCCGAAGGCGGAGAACCAGCTGGAGTAGCCACGATAGCCGGTTGAGGAGATGGTGTTGGAAGAACATTGATGTTGATCGGCAAGTATGGAGATTCAATCGATGAGTTTCCCTTGGCCCTCTGTTCCCGGATCATATCTGGAACGTCATCATGGGTTTCGAGGAAAAGGCGGTTTTTCTTTACCATATCCACAAGATGTGTCAAATGATGCGTATTGAGTCTGTAATGTTTTTTACCAACGGGATCCTGCCAGCAGTATCCCTCTGAATTTTTGCATGGTGGTCCAGGGCATTTCATCTTATCATAAACATCCCGCCAAGGTGAATACTGACCAGAACCCCGTTCAGCATCAATCCGGGCTTCGCGTTCTGCCAGCATAGCATTTGTCACCGATCGTGTGTTCCTTTTCTCGCCATTCCTTGTTAAAGACTGGTCGTTGTCATCTGCTACGTAATTAACGCAAACATCTAGTTTTAGCTTCTTGCCCCTGCGAAATAGCTCTTTCCACTTAAGGAGTTGCTTTTCCGTCATTTCCCAATCGATATCGATTCCCTCAGCTTGTTGGTGAAGTTTCTGTGAACGATCGTTCAACACGGAAGCCATAACCGTAGTATCCTCCAACCGAGCGCGTCGGTCGCTAAATAATTTTCGGCTTTTCACACATTCAACCTTCTCTCTCAAAACTTTTTGCCAGTATGTACCAGGTGCAAGGACCACATCTGGTTCTGTGACTTTTGTAACTGTTCGGTTGTTCAGTTTAACCTTCCAGTCAATGAGATAATGGAGATAGATTGGCGGATGCTCATCGTAAGTTTTATCCTTGTCCCATAACGTTGGAGGGATGAAACATAATTGATCAGATTGTGGTTCTCGCTGGGAAGGATACTCCAGGAATGTGCTGGATTGGGGACTATGTATATGTGGCGAGGAAGCTACGCTGAAATTACCGGGGGTGGGGGCATATAGAAGATCGTTATCCCATGAATCGTAAGGCTGAGGCGATATATTATCGTCTTGATGGGACCTGTAACTCATAGCCACAGAGTGATACGTGGTGCTAGCAAACCTAAAATTAGTGATGCGTTAGTTTCCGAGCCACATCAGTGCATGGGGCCGCCTGAAAAGAATGACTAGCAGCTGCATGAATAGTCTGTTCCGCCACAACCAGTGTTCTGCGTAGATAAAAACCCTGTTCAAAAGGCCAACGGTTCTGTATCTTGTGATGGCAACAGAATACGAGATAATTCCCAACAACAGATTGCCAGGTTACAGTAACCAGACACGGGTCCAGACAGAGTCGAATATTCCAGAACTGTATTTTATCACCATACATGTATTGTAAATAAAAATCGGTATCGAGAGGTACAGATTTATTTCCGCATTAACATTATTCCTACACTATTCTATATTTATAAGGATATTCACATCTGATTTTGGTAACGATACTTTTGTAAGAAATCCCGTTTGGTGCATCATACGTTCGAGTGTCATTAAAATTCTTAAGCAACTCATGATCACCTCGTATATAAATTTGGGAAATTCCAGCAAGAATAACCCCTAAGACGGAACAGAGCGCCATGAAAAGCTACAGAATAAAGTCAATCACAGTGGAGTCATTTGCATATCAAAAACGGCTGAGCAGCAAAACCACTGCGTTGTTTTTCCTTTAAAAATTAAAAAACTTTGTCGAGGAACTAGAGTCTACCTTCTAAGCGTCATTCTAATGATTTGGCTAGATGGTTCACAATCGAAATCCAGTAAGAACCTCTTCTGCCTATTTTCAAAATAGACTTGGGTCGTTTTGTTTCCATCTTGAAAATTGACAGCATAGCCGTTACTTGAGGGCTTTTGAGTAGTATGGAGGCTCTCCTATACCGATTATATGACAAGGTTGGAGATTGAGGATCTGCTTAGTGCCATAGAATGAAAACTGTGAGGTAGGCTGAGCGGTATCCTTGAAGGAAAGCAATCGAAGTAATTTTCTGTCGTTTAGCAGAAACGGATCCTCTGGGCTTTCGATTTCCGAAACATTAAGTGTAATACCCCAACGAAATTTGATCTCTCTCGTGCGTGGATTATATTTATATGGACGGTGTAGGCACTCTAAGAACAATTTCCAGCGATAGTTAGGGTCCGCAATCCTATCACCACAGTGAATCGTCACATAGATGTCTTTCTTCCCGACTTTGTCGAGCATCGGACCGAAAAGCAAAGGGTTGCCCTGAAGCCGCGTTATTTCCTGGATCCATACATCGCTCTTGAAGATCGAATTCCACAATTTGCCGTGTTTGCTATGTTCCGACGAAGCAAGAGATGGTAGTGGTTGTCGAAAAGCGAAGATATTGTCCCAGACTTCTCGAGGAATGTTCCCAAGCATCATGAATCCCAGGTTTGTAGTATGTAGAATAAATCATGAACAAGCGAAAGACTCTCAAAGCTGAGAGCTTGTATGGAGAATGACATTAATATATACCTATCCGCCCACCATGAATCCGGAATTGACTTCATTCCTGTAGGCGATCATGCTCTTCATATTTTTGAAATCAGAACCTGGATTCAATTTTCCAGATCTCAATTTCTAGATCGAAACGTCAGATTCGAAGTGACCAGGTCACCGTTCCGGGCATGGAGCAAAACGTATATCGATATTCATCTGAAGCTGTCACTACAATTAGATCGCCGGATCTTAGGAAAACTTTAGGAAAAATCCTGGAATAACACTGTTCGTGCATTGCCTATTCTTTAACTGATATATTAATCGACTGATAAGATGGAACTCGGGAGCGTTTCCATTTCGAGTATTAGGCGACAAGACGAGTCTGGAATAATCTTGCCGAACGACAGCTTGCGCAACGTTTAGGCTCCGCGGCTTTAATGTTCAGTCGTTCTCTAGTGATCTCGTTTGTAATTTGGTCAACTGACTTCTATCTCTTTTTTTCTTTTTCATTTTTACTATTGTAAAAGCAAAACCAAGAGGGAAAGCGCATCAATCGGGCTGCATCGCATCCAATTCGTACTAGCATCAACTCATGCCAAACTGGTGCTACTACCAGCTCTACTGAAACCAATCCGCATCTGGATTTTGGTTGCTTTGGACAACAGAGACCTACTAGAAACGACTAAACAAAGAAAAACAATAGCAAAGTAGCGAAAACACAAGAAGAATCGTAGTAGGATTCGGAAACCGTTTATGGAAGTCGGCTAACAGCATCCTATATATGTTTGTTAACCCCTGAGCAAAATATAGTGGATAAACTAGAGGTTCGCGGGAATAATCACCAGCACTCAGATTGCTCCTAATTTTGAACACATTAAAAAGGCCAATTTGATTTACTCAGGCTGGCGTGCTCAAGTCGGTCAATAATTACCACACATCCAGCTTTTTACCGGTGCCTATATCGACCTTAAAGACAAAATTCGTAATTCGCCTGAAATACATTCTCCCACGGATTTGTAATTAATGCCACAACTCAATTTCTATTGGTTACAAGAAAATGAATTCTATATGTGTGCGCGTATGAGTAGGCTTGATCGCCATGCCATAATCATTTCATCACTAACGTCGAGAGACACCTCGCGCACCTATGAAAACGCACCCACGCAGGTAAAAAGTACTGCTAGAAAGAATCTCAGTGAAAATAGACCTCCTTGACAGTCTATTTACCAACTTTCGCCTGCTCAATCGACGTGGTTGAAGCATGGGCCCGAAAAGAGGTAAAAAGGGCACTCCGTGGCCAGAACCATGGTTTGCAGATGACCCTGATATACGCGCATACGTAGCTGCAGCCATCAAAGATCTCGAGGCACTGAAGAAGCACCAAGAAGCACTGAAGATTGGCATGCCCCGTGAGCTCTCGACTTATCTCAGAGAACGCCCCAGTGTTCGCGCAGCTTCCAGCCTCTATGAATGTCACACACACGGGCTGGCTCCTAAGCGAGTATAAGATCAAGGAATAGAAGCTCACAAATGCCCACCTTGTAGTTATATTCAATGATGAAAGAATTGCTAATTTTGCAATCTAACACAGCCTTATTATTAAGGAAAGACAGCACAATGTCTCAATATATGACAAAGCAGCCAATCTCCAGCAGTGCTTCAAGTGTTAGATGTATAAACATCTGTCAGTGCTAGATCTGCTGCGTGTACTGTGCTGAATCTCATGATACAGGGGATTGCTCTACACCGAAAGAGAAAGAATACGCTAAATATGCTAATTGCACTGCAGAAAATGTCCATATCAAAGATCCCGCCAAGAGACTCAATACGAAACACTTTGTGTATGCGAGGGAGTGCCTGATATGAGCTATATGCCTTGTAGAGGCACATCAACAACGTACATATGGCCCACAATATCATACTCCTGTGATACAACCTGGCAATATTCAGCCCGAAGCCATCTCACTAAATGACCCTACACCAGCTGAAGCAGCCAATACAGAGCAAAGTCCTCGCGCACTGGCTCGTACAGCTACCACACGTTGATCTGCCAACTTAAGAAGTAAGAGTGCAGCAGCCGTCCAAAAATGAGTGGCAGAATAATCTGAGCTCAAGCCGATAAGCCCTACATCAGGTGATCCTACCAATAGATCCTCGAAAAAAGCCTATGAGAGCGCAGTGAGATAAAGATCTAGTTATAGATATAGATCCTAATCCTGAACCTAAGACAGGACCTAAGACCCAGATCAAATATATCTATAATACATGTGCACGTCAGAATATGAAGCCTCTACTAGGAACCCTGGTTCTGCAATCAGATATTACTCCACTGGAAATTTCACATGTGCAAGCTGTTAGGACTGTCCACCAAAGTAAGAGTGTGCGTACAATCCTAGATGATGACTCATCTGAGGATGAACTTACCCAGCCATCAATCCATGAAGCCCCTCAGGAGCCAACTGAGCCAGCTCAGGAGGCTGATACGCTAATGACCACGAACCTTGAAGACAGCACCTGGGCTAACAATCAGTAATGTATTGTAACACCAATCGACTACAAATCCTGCAGGCTAACTGCTGGAAATCGCGGGACGAGGTCCAGATGCATCTCTTTGGTGAGAGCGAGGTGCAAAATTATGATATCCTGGCTATCCACCTACATCAACAAACATACTGACCCACTAACAACATACTCACTAGCGCTCAAGGGCAGCTTCCATATCCTACTGCAGCCCACACCCAAGGAAGAATACAAGAAACGCCCACGAGTCTGTTTCTACGTCAATAGAGGGCTAGATCCAGCCACATGGGAGGTCCAATACTATAATAGAGATCTGAGCACATTGACACTTCATACAGCCGCCCATGGAACTATCTATATTCACAATATATACAATCTAGGAGTCAATAGCAACAAGGAATCTGTAATTAGTGCTCTGCAAACCGCCATGGCACCTAGGGTATAGTATATTATATTGGGGGACTTCAACTAACATCACCCGCTGTGGGCGGGCCCGCGGTACCGACACGTTGACAAGGAGGCCACTAAATTAATTAATCTTATAGATGAGCATGGGCTTAAGCAGCTCCTACCACCAGGCATAATCATGTATGAGAGAGTTAACGCTAAATCTACAATTGATCTGGTGTAGGCATTACACAATCTAGCTAACTGGGTAGTGAGCTGCGACACTAAGCCAGAGTGGTAGTATAGAGTAGATTATATCCTAATCTCTACTCAGTTTAACCTTACAGCTGTACATGTTCCTCCAATGGTTCGCAAGCAGTGAAATGCAATAGATTAGGACCTCTTCCTTAAACTGATAGATATATATAATTAGCACCCAAGGGAGCTTAATGACAATGAGGTAATCAATGAGGCAATCCGCTATCTAGTTAAGGTAATCAATTAGGCAGCTGAGTAAATAACATCTACAAAATAGATCAGCATCTACTCACGAGCGGGCTACACCCTAGAGATGGTAAAGCTTAAACACCACGTATCTAGGTATAGACGACACGCACGTTGTATAAATATAGATTAGGCATGGAAGGACTACGCAGAGGCTAGGAAAGAGATGAAATGGCGCACTAATGAGCTTGCACGAGATCTACATCGCTAACGAATTGAGCAGGCAACAGAGTCAATAGATGGATTCTGGAGAATTGCCCATTAGGTCCGCAATAGGGGCAAATCACGTACCACATTTACTCCAATGTTACACTACAATAACATGAGTTATACAGCCCCAAAGGAGAAAGCAGCTCTATTCCGAGAGGTCCTCTACCCAGAGCCCCCAGAGGTAGATCTGTCAGATATTGGACTATAATATAGATATCCCAAACTGTATATGATGTCACCAATCACGTTAGACGAAGTCCGAATGGCAGTAACCAATGTGAAGCCCAACAAAGCACTAGGGCTAGATAGGATCCCCAATCTGGTTCTACAAAGGCTGCTCCCTACTATTGAGGCCTATCTTGTTAATCTTTTTAATGTATACCTACATTAATAATATTGCTCTGACTATTTCTAAAAGTCGATAATAGTCATCCTTTGCAAGCCTGGAAAGCCTAATTACTCTAATCTAAAGGTGTACTGCCTAATAGTGTTACTGAGCACAATTGGCAAAGCACTAGAATTAGTGTTAGCTAGACATCTCAGCTATCTAGTGGAGCAATATAATCTTTTACCAAAGCAACATGTTGGAGGACGTTGTGGCCATTCATGCGAATTAGCAATCCATCTCTTACTAGAAGAGACCCATAGTGCGTGGAGAGAGGGCTCATGAGTAGCCTTAGGGCTTGCACTTGACGTGGCAGGGGCTTTTGATAACATCAATTATATAAGGCTAATACACGATCTACGAAAGCGCTGGGTGCCAGATGACCTAATTGACTAGATTGAGAGCTTTCTAAGTAATCACCGCACATTAATCACACTCCTAGAGGGCAATATGGGGGAATTTCTAGTCAATATAGGTATTCTGCAGGGCTCCTTATTGTCACTAATCCTCTTCCTATTCTTTAATGCAGATCTTATTAAGCAGATACTTGCTAAGTACCTAGACGTGATTGTACTTGGATATATTGACGACATCTTCATCATGATATATAGGGCCTCCACTGTAGCCAACTACTATACACTCACTAAAGTACACCAGGTTGCAGAGTGCTGGGAGAGGACACATGCCTCTAAGTTTGCGCCTGCCAAATATCAACTTACCCACTTTTAGTGGAAGCACTAAATGGTGCCTAAGCTGAGTGGTAGGCTGGATGTACCTCTTACAATCAAGGGAGTAGAAATTAAGCCTACAGACTTGATCAAATATCTAGGGGTTTATCTAGATACCCATCTCACTGGGGAAGTGCACATACAGGAGATGAGAAAGAAGGCTGCAAAACTAGTGGTGGGATTAAGCTCAATTGCAGGATCGACATGGAGAACGCCCCTGGTTCATCTAAGGAAGATATACATAGCTGTCCTCCAACTATAGATTATGTACGTGTGCTCTACATGGTATATATGAGGTGGAAGAGGGTTCACCAGTGCGCAGCGAGCTGCAGAGCAAGCCATCCGATCGATCCAGGATCAGGCTCTTCACCAGATATCTGGCGCGTTCAAATGTACGTCACGACAGGCCCTAGAGATCTGTCTCCATGTACCACCTGCAGAGCTCACGCTCGCAAAGCTGGCTGAGGAGGCCTGTCTGCAGATCATGACCTCACTACTTCGATCTACGCTTTACTAAATATATAGCTAAGCCCACTATAACGACCCATACACGTGTCGGATTAGTCGGTTTATTCCAGGCCAATCCTGAAGAGTGTTTTACTAGGATCAAAGAAAAGAAGTGACTAGCAAGATTGTATCTATTGAGTTCTGTCTCTCTGTCTCCATCAGGTTTCAAAGCCGGGTCCTTTATAGACACCTTTGGCGGGGTGATTTGTGAGCTATCAGGAGGGGTAAATATTGGGCTGAAATCTAGGTGCCCAGATATATGCCTAAAGGTGCCTTTTAGACCTGTAAGATTGAACAGTCGATCTTTCTGCCTCGTTTGAAAACCGAATTATCTGACACGTTCCTGGCCAAGCTCATAACTGTCGGAAACTAAAACATAATACCATTTCACCAAATAGGACGCCCTTGATGAAGTAACAATTGCGCCCTCCGTTGCTTCCTGAAGTTTCTCAATGACTTGTTCCGAAATATGCCCAAATCGCTTGTGCCATACATTCCCAGGGTCCTTCAATACTTTTCTCTCGAAAGAACTGAGTGCTAAGTCGTTTCCTAGAGAACTCCTAGGTTTTCGACTTTCATCCCATTCAATCAGATAAAGCCTTCCTTTCTTCTTCAGTCCATAAACATCTTGTTTCTTTGTCACCAATCGTTGGGTCAAACCATTAAAGAAGAGTCCATATTCCTTAGCCATTCCTTGCAAGATAATATTGGTATGTATTCCTAGAATGTACTATGCTTTCTTCACTCCGAGGATAGGAACTTACCTGTATGAAGCAGTGAATCCATGGGATGCGTACTGTGCGCCATTTTGATGTAGGAAGAAGAAGAAAGAAAGAAGAGAAGGAAAGAGGGAGATTTTTTGGTGTTTTGTAGACTAGACAGGTGCTGGGCGTTTGTCGTGGGTCAGGTGACTAGAGGGCATTAGATAACTCAGGCACACAATTGTACGAATAACCTCAATTCTGACTAGATACAGGATTCTGTACGAGCTTCCTTAAAGAACTCTCCCAGCTTGGCCAATGAGCACCTCATTCTGACTTGAATGAGCTCTACAGCTTTAACCGCTTTATTCAGAGAGGTCCCATCCTTTGTACGAGCATATGTCGCATCAGTAATGATCTTTCTTCTTCCAAACATAACACGTTCCTTAGAATTATATCTCCATTTTGCACCATACTGTTCCTCGAGAGTCTGAACAGCTGGCTGGCTATTTAAGTATATTACTAGTTTCTCTATTTTACTTTCATATGGATGTGGGAAAGAAGTCTTTGATGTAGAAGCAGAAGCTATTCTAGCTGGCGCTTAGGCAGCTATAGCATATCTAATAGCTTGGTTTATCACTAATCTATAGATCTGCATTGACAACCTGGAAGTTGCTATACGCCTTCAATCTCCCTTTACAAGATCCTCCTAAGGAGTCTTCAAATCTTTCTGTACTCTCACAGCCACCTGGCTACTTCACAAAAGGCTTCCTCACATCAAAAGTGGAGCTATCTGAATCCGTTAGGTCCCTGGACACGCGAAAATCCCTAAGAATGAAGCAGCTGATCTTGCTACTAAAGAGGGAGCCACCTCTATCTCTTTCTCCCCACACAAGTCCTCATATGCCTCGCTAAAGAGATATGCCAAGGCTCAATCCCTTTCAGCTGCTCAGACATTGTGGCAGAGTGTGGCACCACAGATATATCAAGACCTAGAAATAACTACATCTTCTAAGCGCCCAAAACAGCTTCAACTTAACTGACTTGACCTTAGCCATATCATTATAACCCACACTGGTCATAGGGACTTTGTGGACTACTATGAATGTTTTAATTAATAATGATGCTTATCTTCTCTACTGATATGGAGTACAAAAAGCACCTTTACACTTCTTCTTCTACTATATAGCTAAGAGATGAGCCCCTTGGCCTTCTAGACCCTCTTCTAAGATTATCCCTTTTCTTTTAGGCACTGCAAAAGGAGCATAAAAGCTAGCTACATAGCTAGCAGAGACCTGTTTCTTTGAGGACATCTGCGCCCCCCCCAATCTCTTCTCAGCACCTAGCTAAGACAGTCCTACTCTTCCTTTATATTTCTCTTTTCATTCCTTTTGTTTCTTTTCTTTTCTCTTCCTTTTTCTCTTCTCTTCTTCCTTTCTTTGTAAAGACTTACTGTAACAACCAGCAGGCTCGGGGGTCTCACTATTCTAAGAAATGCACCCATGACGTCTCAAGTTGGGTTTCAGCTACACCAGGAGAAGATTTATATGTTCGAGGATGGTTTCAGCTCCACCTCGACTGTTGGAGCTATTCGGAGAAGGGAGATCTGGTATAAGTTATATGTCTATAAAGATAGCAGACGCTCAAGGATAGCGGAAGATAGGTTTCAGTACATTGACTTTCCATACCCTACCTTGTGTGCTTTACCTTCAGTGATCCCTCTCGAATGTAATTATACCTATCCCTCGTAACGTTGTTACACTTACTGTGGAATTACAGTGGTGGTAAAATAATAGGTCATGAAGTGTATACAGGTGGATCATTGCAACTAGCAAATATTAAAAGCCCACTTGTGAGTGGCCCTCCATGTATGGCCACGGCGGTTGTGGAAATGCGCCAAAGAGTCTCTTATATGTTTATAGATCTGATATAGATTTCGAAGCCCGAGGCTTACCCCTCGGCGGCCTATGTCCCAGTAGGGATCGGTGGTAAACGTGCGAGTCACGAACCACGGCCGTTAAATAGAAACACACAACACACCCCCTTGCTCTTGGGGGGCAGTCATCAATATCAGGAATTCCATACCGTATTGATCAGGCTCATCAGCTCGTCGGATTAGCTGTTCTACGTATCTAGTGTTAGCGACCTAGGCGTAGATAAACCGACAATTATATAACGAACATATTGGGGTGGCTGCACATCATACTCGCCACATTCATCACATTCATCCCATTCGTCCAATGGGAGAAATCCGAGACGATCTAACGGTTCCTGCGGCAAGATACGATATGGCGAGGGACTAAACGAGGATCTAGGGGAACAACCTAGACTACCCATAGTGGGGGCATACACGTCAGTCTGGTGTTAGCCTTGGACTTAGTCATGACCAATAGAGTGCGCAGCAACACGCAGCCACCATACTGATAAGCAGAAATGGCGTTTCTTTACCAGTACAAGTCTACTTCCTAGAGCCTTCGGTGATCCTGCTTGACTGGATAGCGTCTAGTGCTCTGTAACTCTCAGTAAACTACAAGATGCAGAAAGACAAGTTGTTGACATAGGGTATAGGGTAATCTTGGTACACAGCTTTACACGCTAGACATGCAACTAGAGAGCTAGCGCAATTGGCGTACTCTCATCACTTTTGACTCCCACCTCCGTAGATCAATTTGAATTGCTGCTCTGGATGTCATCAGCTATTCTTCCTGAGAATCTTCCTCTTCGTCCGACACGAGAATTGTGATATCTAAATTCTCTGCCCATTCCTCGTATCCTGCTCTTGTTTTCATATTAAGTTCCGCTTGCAACTCGAGAAATTCGTCATAGCTGCCTTCTGATAAATTTTGAAATGCGTCTTTCCAATTGGCACCAGCTTGCAGTAACTCATTGGCCTTGTCAACCCACTTCTCATGTTTCTCCTTGTCACTCAGTGAGCCCCCATACCAGACTCGTGGGTGGTTTCGTATCATAGCTTCGAATGGAGTATCCCCGTCGTTATTCTTTTTCTCAAGATCTGCTCCGTTCAAATGAAGAAGTTGGACAATTTTCTTACTAGAAGCAAAGTGCAGTGGTGAGTTGCCTTCATTATTCTGGTGATTGACCATATCGTATGGAGGAACATTCTGGTTAGATGGATAGTGAGATGTCCAATTTAGAATGGTTTTCGCTGATTCCTCGGACCCCCATTGACATGCGAGATGTAATGCAGTACTGCCATATTCGTTTCGGAGATACACATTGGCGCCTCTACGAAGGAGGAAGACCATAGTCTGCGTCCTGCCTGTGGAAGCTGCCAGGTGCAAAAGTGTCATGCCATGATTGTCTTGCGGCTGGTTGATTATGGACGGATTCGACCTGATAACATTGTATATTATATGGTCATGTTCCTCACCGCAGCGCGTGAAGAAAAAGAACAGTGGTGTCCAACCTTTTATATTCCGCACGTCGACTTTAGCATTCCTTTCTATAAGTAGTTGGACTGTTTCAGCATGACCGAACAACATCGCTCCGAACAGCGGAGTGTCCCCTCCACCTTCCATTTTTGCTTCAATATCACTACCGTGGTCAATTAGAAGACGAGAAACTTGCGTTCTACCTATATAAGACGCATCGTGGAGGGGCGTATGTCCGTTCTCACTTTTGATTTCCGTGGATGCACCAAGATGCAACAAATGCCGAGACATTTCCAAGTACCCATTCTTTGAAGCCCATCCTAACATAGTAGTCTTTGGCGGAAAGCCGAAGTGATATAATTGATCAATATATGCCATGTTTTCCTCATTAATCCAGAACTGATAAAAGAGCCTGACATGACCGATTGCTGCCCCAATGAGAAACCTCAGTTCATCGGTTATCTCAGTTGCTCGGAATATTTCATCATCTGTGGAACCTGGATCCCAGACAGGTTTTCCAAATTCGTTCAGGAGAGAATTTAATGGCCCGTTAGCATCGCATAACTCGAAGTATTTCGGGACAAATTCGTCTCGAATGTCGAGAATTCGTAGGCCATCGTCTTCATCCTTTGACACTTGTGACTTGAGAAAATGATCTTTCCAATTTTCCAAAAAATACTCCAGCAAAATATATTTTGGCATGGAAGATGTAAGGAAAGTAGAGTGTGACATGTACTCATTTCTAGCCATTTGCAAATCTTCGTGGATTTCCGGACCAAAAAATATGTCCATATTGAGATATTGGATACATATCTCTGCCATGGTAGCATGAGCTATTGACTCTGTAAGTGAACCTTGGAAACCACCTCTACCTTGACTGTAATCCAGACCGGATAAGAAATCTGCATGCAGCTCGACCAAACTTTGTGTCGTAGAGGCAGTTAAGAACTCCCTCGCGGTTTCATGAATGAAAAAGAGCTGACCATTGTATTCAGTCACAAAGAAACCGCAAGACTCTGTAACCCAGTTTCGAAAGTCATCATCACTCATCCTATCTATTTCTTCTACAGAATATGCGTTTTGAACATGATGGAGATGAACTGCAATGTTCATTTCTTTCACCGTAAAAGGCCTTTCGGCACAGTAGATGATGTGAAACATACTCCTAATTCGTGAATAGTCGCTACGTTCAACACGATTGAGTAGAAGCTCGTAGGCCTCAAAGACGTTTTTAGGTGGGCTTTTGATGAGAGCTTCCCAGTCCTTCTTCGCTGTTCTGCGGTTGCTTTCCAAAGCCTCGAAAATGAGCTTCACCCACATATAAGTCCTCTGTCCTCCGCCAGAAGTCCTTTCTAAAGCATTCCAGATCATCTTCTGCGTTTCATTGTCGAGCTTTTTGGCTGCCACAAGTTGATGAAAACGATCTGTCATGACTGCGTCAATATCCTGCTGGATATGCCTCGAAGTGTGCGAATCTTCCGCTGCAATTTGAGTATAAGTCGTTGGATACTCCGCAAATTGCTCCAAAATACTTGGCAGACCTCTTGTTGTGACGATAAATTTTATGTATGCATTTGATTTGGTCTTCCGCATGTCTCCTTTCTGCATTGATCCATCTAAATATGAACCAATCCATTGGATGAGTTGGGCAAGATCTGTGGGTTCGCATTCATCAAGTGCGTCGAGAAGACAAAAGATGGTAGTCGGCTGAGAGTAATCACAAGCTTTCTTTAAAAGTTGTCCTAATGTTTGAAAGCTATCAGTCAGAGATTTCCCAGCTTGATCTACATCGCTCCCGAGGCTATCGGCAATGTATGGACACTGAGTGAGAAGTTGATGCAAGATAGCACTGAAGGCTTTGCAAATCGACCTTTGATCTGGAGAGTTCTTGAAAAAGAAATATGTGACAGGATTGGCTGGCGATCTTCTAGGAAGCTCTGTCTCTGCTAGAAATCGTGACAAAACCGACTTTCCGCAGCCTGGACCAGCCGATAGAAGAAGCAATCTGCTGCTTCCTTCCGCATCTAGCCACTCGTTGAAATTCTCATGCTGAAGGAACCACTCGCAGGTGCCTTGATTACGCTCGGGATTCATTAGCATTCTATCTCTGTAGGGGCTGCTGTTCACTGGGTTGAGTCGTCCAATGATTTGATTGCGCTTTATTTGTCTTTGGTCGTCTCTTTCAGTTTCCTGCGTCTGGCGCATGGCGCTCACATCATTCGACAGTGTGCTCAAGTGACCGACAGCATTCTTTAGGGAAGCAACAATTTTCTCAGTATTGTACTGAGCTGAGCGTTGTTCAATATCCTTTTCTTTTGATATAAGGCCATCCAAATTCGCTTTCCAACCATCCCATTTCACCAAATTCTTGACACCGCTAAGCCAGGGACTAAAACAGGCACAGACACTTCGCATCTCGTACTCTAAATAATCAGAGTACAAGTCTACCAGTTTCCTATCGAGAAGACGATGTAAATTTTGGAAATCATTTTTGTTCTTCCAATTCTCTTTGAGAAGGATATCTGTCAGCGCCATAGACCAATCCATTCGATCTATAATATGTGCCAGTCCTTCATGCATATTTTTATTCTCCAAAATAGGATTGAGAAGCACCTAGATACACTAATATTATTACGGATGAAACCGCCAATTCACCAGCTGCCAAAAAGAACAACTTACCGGCGTTATAATGCAGAACCCTGACCACGCAAGTGACGCAGGAGGATATGAGTCGAGTAAGTCTCCGACTTTATCATTTGCAAAGTCAATAAGCTGAACTGCTCTTTCAGCTACACCTTCTACTTTGGGATGCTTCTGTGCTCGTTCGAGGCAATTCTGCAAACCATTTTGCATCATTTCGAATCTCTTCTGTCGGTCAGAAGTAGAAAACATATTCTTTGAATCTTGGTCTATTGGCCCTGGAGAGTCTGTAATTGACATGAGTATCAATCCCAACTTTCGCTTGCAAACCGACCTGTGCTATGAATGACGCACCATTGAATTGTTGAGTGAGGATCTGCTCATACTTCTCCACCAAGTGTTTGGTTTCCTGATCATCCCGCAATGTCTCGTAAGCATCGCTCCACAGTTCAAATGATATGCTCTCTGGCGATTTTGGCTTCTGTTCTTTAGTCTTGCTAATGCTTGACTTGCTAGGTTGCGACGAAGGAAGCGACGTCTGGCTTCTTGCAGTCTCGGTTTTCTGGGACGCGTTTTGCGGGGACTTGTGGTTTCGAAAGGGATGAAGGAACCTATGGATTCGGTGGTCCTTTCGTGTCTCTGAGTGAGAAGCGGTTCCCATGATGACTGCCAATGTTCCCAGGGTGGCAGCGTTTGATATCAAGATAACACAATTCCTATTCCTAAAGGGGTTCTGTAGTAAATATTGCTAGGTATGACACCTTCAGATATTCATTGAGAAAGAAATTTTTAGATGGCGGGGTAAAAGCTATAATCAAGCCTTGCATTTCTTAGAGGGCGTTTTGCATGCCAGCCAACCACGTTCAACCACGTACGAGAATGGGTTCAGAACACAGTTACAGTTGCGAGATCTAATCAAGTGGTCAAACTAAACATGAGAAGGCCATTTACTCAAAAAGGGTCAAAAAAAAAAAAGAATTCAGCAAAGCCAGAAAGAACCAAAACAGAATCTACAAGATGCAGTCATGCACATGTATAAGGTGCGCTTTCAGCTCCTTCTTCCCATTTAGATTGATCCCAGCGCACGCATGACCATCAGGACAAGGGATGGGATCGTCCGGACGGTAATATTTGAGACGACATCAATCGACGTGTTTCTGAAGCGTATATTTTCTTTTGTACTCGCGTTCTCGCTCCTCCAAAGGAAGGTCGTAACTGGCTAGACAAAAAAGGCATTGCCAGCCTTCGCACTTCAATGGAGTATCACGCTTGACGATGGGTTCTATCTGGGACAGCTGTGGCGAATCCAAAGCACTTTTGACGGGAACCGGCTCCGGCGAGCACCTGGTCTTCACTGGCGGCGATCCCTCCGTTTACATAATGCAATCAGATTGACGGAGAACTCGACATGGAAGGCATAACCTTTCTGATCGCGGAGTACAGATAGATCCCGCACCGCACATTCTGCAATGTAGCGTCTCTCAGCGATCCGAATGGAGACGGTTCAGCGGGAGTACTTTCTTTATTGTCGTCATCGTCGTCATCGTCAGATTGTTCCCATTTAATTGCCGCTGAATAGCTAACACGGGGGCATTCAAGTCATACTCTTCCTGAATCCGCTTCAGCAACGCGCGCTCCTTCTTTCGGATAGTAGCGGCAAGGGACGCCTTCACGGCTTGATAGTCATTATAGATTGGCTCTCCCTTCGCCATTTCGATAACACCAAATAACTCCTCGATCTGAGCGCATAATCGATCCCGGAGAGCCGCTCATTCTCGGACTTCAAAGTTCTGTTGTACCTGCTGTCCTTGTTCAGTGCTGAGTTTCCTCGGCCGATCGGGATCCCGTAGTAGGCCGATCTGACTCGCGGTCCTTGCAGATTCATGGTCAGAGCTTCTTCCCCAGAACTGATCTTGGGTAAAGTAACGAATGGTCCGCGAAATATAGTTTCGTTCAAAGATCCTGGATCCAGGGCCATGATCCAGGACTAGATTTCGAACCGCCGCGTTCGAGTTGGGATCATCTACAACAGGGAAGTTAGTAACGGCTCGGTTGATAGGTGGATCGGGAGCCTTACCATTGATGGCATTGCCTAATGCTCTTCGTAGACAATACGTTGTCAAGGTATAGATGAGACCGAGGGCAACTCCGAGAAGTACGAGCCAACCATGATACTGACGGTACGGGAGAGGAGCATCTTTAGAGGTTTTTACACCTTCTTTTGTCTTGATAGCCCGGAGGAAGACAGGAATGTTGAGCATTTCTTGCTTCCAGGGCACAGTTTGACTAGGACCTTTCTTAGCTCTCAGCACGAATAGCTGTCGTGGAGAGACCAGCTCTGGCACGTTATAAGCCTGATCATCGAAGGCGATGCTAATCATGTGGGTGATGATGCAGAAGACCGGATTCTCATTGAGATGGAAAATATAAGTTTTCCTGCTACGAACGATTATGGTCAGTCACATTTGTAGAGTTAAACCAGCAGAGACTACTTACGGTCGTTTCCGCTTTTGTCCTGATTTAGTTTTAGTCAACGTCACCGCAAGCTTTAGCTCGTGCTTGCCGGTCTTGCAATGTTTCTCCACATACAAGCGCAGGTCACGATATGTGATGTTGAGAAGTGCCCCAGTTCTCGAGTCAGTATACGCGGCCAGCAGAAGAATGGCTACAACCTGAACGCGCTGCCGCTCATTAGGGAAGGTGTTGATATCGTATGACCTCGATGAACTCTTCGGCCTCAAACAATGGCTTGTCGCTTTCGGTATTGTCTAAGCCGTATTCTTTCGTCAACGAACCTTCAATGAACTATGACAGAGTCAGCACAAAGGTTGTCATGCGGAGGTAGTAGATATTTCCAGGCCCATACCACGAAGATCTTTTCAGAGTTTGCGGTGAGATCTGGCACTGCCACCAGGTGATGTGTAGTTGACTCAATTGACGCCAGTAGATCGTGAGGCGCTAGTTTTCTTGAGCATGCAGGTTTTCAGCACCCAGTGGAGGAAGTTCTCTACGCGGGCAGTCTGAAATTCTTTCAGTGTCTCACGGGGTTCAAGATCGAAGGTAGAGCAATATCTGGTCTCATTAGTAGCATTCCTAGATTATGAGAGTAGAAACTACAGACTCAGTCCACAACTTCTCCATCCGTACGATATGGCATTTTGTCGTCTCAGCGTAGAGCGTTGTCGCACGAGTCTCTGTAAGAGCTTGATCATATTTCAGCTGTAAGAACTCACGGAAACACACGCCAGCAGCGGACCAGCCTCTGTAAGAAACCCCCCACCCCAATTGCAGTGTGACTGTTCCCAAAATCTTTCGACAACCCATACTGAACAATGATATGAGATTTCGGTAGAGGGAGGAGAAGATAAGAGGAACATGGCGGAAGGTCTACGCGTTTTAGCACGAGCGAGGGAAGTGAGATGACGTGAAGCCATTTCTGGCCTCACCTGCCGGTCACGATTTGAGGCGCCTGGAAAAGCGTGGTCGAAATCGATTCAGTTCGGTTCATCTCCATGACCCACCAACAGCGTCAGGGAGCCGCTGAGGAAGAGAAATCGCAAAAGCGCATTGTCGCATTTCGCACGGCGTCGACCAACGGCATTGTAGCGGCACCGTATGTTCAGACTATTATCGGTTTGGCAACTGGATATGAGATTGTGCTACACTTTTCACCTAGTTAGATAACTTATAGAATTAGTTACGAGAGCAATTTGAGCTAATAATTATAGTCTTGTGGCTCTTGGCTGAGCAGTGGCACGATCACGTACGGTTTCATCTCTCCGTATGATTGAATATATGGCGGATAACTCAAATATTGGCGCGGTATGGCAGATATCGTATCCGCCGCCGATATCCGATCGAATAATACCTGCCGAGGCGGATATCGTCAACAGCCCTAAATATCATCTGTATGGGATTCTCAAGTATAAATAGTGTCCAAATATCCCATCAAGATGTAGATAGAAGAGTGTGCACAAAAATTGGTCAATATCAAGATTTCCCACTTAAAAACGTCTTTGAGTATTGAGCTTAACTGAGTTTGTGCTAGAAAAATGCACTATGGTATCCCCTGGTCTGGGGGCTAGTGTAGCGCTAGTGTACGCTAAGGGATCCAATATATCTAATTGGCTGAACTGACATCACCGCCCTCAGGAGCTCTCACCGCCCTGATTGCCAATTTACTTCGGTGATTGTGGTCTCATACAAATTACGAGAAGAAAAGATCAAACACCAAAAACCTCAATATTGAATATAAAATATAGATTTGAAGCTATTTACATATCCTAAAGAGTAACAAATATATAGTTAACGTGTATGGAAGTCCTGGAAGCACGATTTTCCGGATCCCGGTCGACAAAGTGGCAGGTCGCAGGCTTGACAAATAAACTTCGTGAACACTATCCCACCCCCTTTTTGGCGTTTGGGATTCTTATATTGACACCAAATACAGCGTTTTTGAACGTTCAAATAACTCCGTACGCAGATATGTGGTAAGGAATTATTCAATCGTAGTTCCGGTAGTTGTAGGTCCTCCCTCTTGCGCTTCCTTGAGTTCATCTGATATCCCGTACGTAGGGGTCTAAAGGTCTAAAGGATAACAGCTGTTTGCAAAGCCGCCTTCGGAATTCCACCTGAGAATATGAAGCTATTCCCAACTCTTTACAACGTAAAAAATGTAGTTTCCAGGCGTTGATAACACCAGCATCTAAACACCAGTTCCATAAAGGCCACCATGAGCGAACGGTCTTTGTATGAGTCTTATACTCAGCTCGGTGCTGATTGGCTATATCCAACCCTCCCATACAATAATTGTAATCGTCAATAAAACGTGGAATCAGCATATTTTTGACTGCTTGATCCCCAAATTCCCGATGTACTAAAGGCCCATTTGTTAACGTTTTTTGGGGTCTTCGGCGCTCACGCTCAATATAATCATCTGTCTTATTAACAGTATGAATCGTAGTGAGGCAGAGGACAATATTATTATCCTGTCATGCAACGCAAAGGACATCTCGAACGGGGATAGCACAAACTTTATGATATGGGATGTAGTTGCTCAAATCCTTCAGTTTTTTGAGCAAATCGGAGAAATCCTTGCTGGCAGAAGTAGGCCGAGTGGTGCCACAAGCTCCGATTTGTATATCGCGAAGCTTTTTGAATAGATCAATGCTGGTAAAATAGTTGTCGAGGTACACGATGTAATTGCGTTCGTCTCTCGGCAGGGTTTGTATAAGCTCATATACCATTTGGCCTGTTTTTGTAAGCTCAGTTGGTGTTCCTATCTCAATGACCCCCTTCGTACGGCTTGCCGGGTAAAAGTAGTAAACATAATCATGATCTGCGAGCACAAATAGCTTAAAGCCTTGGCTGATCGGTTTATTAGGTAATTTAAAGGTATGAGAAGATCTTCCATGGCTTCGAACCATTGCCTCATCAATAGATATATTCGCTGAAGGAATATATAGATTTTTTGAGACTCTCCGCAGCATATCAATTACGATATGAACTTTATGCCACCATATACCGCTCAATTGCTCTTCGCTCATTTGTAATTCTTGCTCCGGGGTAGGCTCTGGGGGGTAATGAGTTGTTATGAAGCCTCCAGGGATCTCGGGGGGTGAAGATATATGAAAATATCGTTTCAATTGCTCATATCGATACTGCGTTATATAAGCAGATAATGGGTGATTTGCATGAACAGTGTTATTATCAAGACCATCATCCCAGTAATCTTTTAGTTCTGGCTCCTTCGTAAAACCCATATATATTTGAGCGCCGACGAAAACCTTGAGTTCTTCCGGTGTTGTTGGATACCAAGATCGCTGGTGTAGACTGTGGTTTTTTGATTCTTTCGCGTACGCATATGAATTTGTATTGGTGGCGAGAAGTTTCCATAAAGTTTCGGTAAAAAATAGGGTAAATAGTTGATATGGGTCCGTCACGTCAATATAGAGAGGAATTCGTAGCTGGGGAGGGCGATTTTTATCGGTTTGTAAAGGTTCGAATTGGACATCATGCGCCTCCGGAATCTGTGCTAAGATTGACATAGCCTCAGCTCTTTTCCCCGTTGATTTTAGCCGCGAACTAGAGCCAGTTGGATGCATCTCCATACCGGTATACATAGGTGTTAATTCCCTGCCTTTTTGACGTCTTTATATGGCCTCAAAGTGAATATATTTGACTGTAAAAGGGGTTTCCATGCCTAAGAAATTCTGCCGGTTTTATGACTCTGGCCCTACCGCTATTCTAACCAATAGGAGGCTACAGATTCGGGCCCGAGAGGCCCGCTACCGCTGATATGACCAATGGGAGGCTAGGGATTCATCCTAAAATGTACTAAGGACCCTTAGCGTACACTAGCCCCCAGACCAGGGGATAGTCGGCGACAAGAACTGCACACGTACCCAGTTTCCGTTAGTGGTGGCATATGCTATTACCGTTCACAAATCTCAAGGCATCACTTTATGGAGAGCTGTTCTCAACATAAAGGACACAGTAATGGGTTGCTTCAACATAACGAGTGAGGTCTTGCTTCGCAGATGTTGTGCAGTGGCTTGAACTCTGGGTAAGCGTAGATCATTCGATGTTGCTAGCACTTCCCAAAAAAAAAGATCAAGATTAATCTTTCTTCACTGAGACGCGCTACGAATTATACACGTTTGCGCTCATAACTGATCCAGTTATTGCTTTCATTACTGATGTAGAATTGAAATCATGATAGTAGAATTGCCTGTCTCATTAGTGGCATTTTTTTTTACATTTGTTCAGGTAAAATCAGGTTATGCTGTATTCGGGGTTTCATTCGGGCTTCATTTGGGTAATCGGCGCCTCGGTCTCGTACGAGGGGCGAATAAGTTTAGCGCGAGAGAAATCGGGCATTTTGATATACAAGTTGAGCATTCTTCTAGGTATTGAAGAATTAGATATGTGAATTGATATAATAATTGAGAAGTAGAGAAGGTTCAAATACTCAAGCGTGATACCTAGTTAGTCGGTGCTTGTGCGAGGCCGTGCTTCTTTCCCCGTAGCCGGTGCCCCATTAATAATATTGTAGTATGAAGCTGTTCAGCGGTATTGACGCAGTCTAGATCGTGGCTGGGCAGATGTCGAAGTTTTAGTTGGCTATGTATTTAGTGTCTCGCAAAACATAAACCTGCTTTTCATTTAAATCCGGCCTTCTCGATCAGGAATGTCTTTACCCTCTCGCCGCGCGTCTTTATCCATGCCTACTAGCGGTGGATACTTCCAGACAGGACATAGCAAGAGGTGGTGCCTATTAACTTCAATATCTGTTCCCATTCAGCAACTGGGTAGACATGGGCACCGAACACCGAATCAAAAAGCTCTTCGTACATGACCCGAAGACCCGATGACGCCGGTTCGAAGACTTATAGACAGTCGGGTGAACATCGAATCCTTCTTCCTTGCAAGCCTTTCCACCAAGGACAAGGTACAACTCCAAGTCGGTCTCTGCATTCTCAATCAACTTGTTCATCAATCACAGAGCTAACGCCAACCCAATACCTCCCGCGAACATCGAGGCGACCGTGATAATGCTGCTGATTCCCAACATACTCATCCCACTAATCCCATGTCCACTAGTACATCCGCCTGCAATACGCGCTCCAAACACCATAATCGCCCCACCCAGGATACCTCTCGCAGGCGAGATGACCAGGGCATCCTTTATGATCATCTCTGGCATTGCCTTCGACAGCACATAGCTGCTGGCCAGAATTCCGCTTGCAAAAGCAATCGCTTTTGACAAAGGAATTAGCCTTCTCGTCACACCCTGTGTCGGGGACGAACTAGTCTCACAGCCCAGACAACCCCAGAACCAGAGCCCGATATCCTCATAGCATGTTGAAACACCAACCGGTGATTTGGTCAGGATGAGCGTCGCCAGCTGCGCGGCACCAATCAACGTGCCGCCAACCACGGGATCCAGAAAGGTTTCAATCTGGCTGGGAACAAGATATCTGGCAGCCAGAATCAGGCAGATGCACATCCCCTCGAACATCAGCAGAGCCGTATTGGGGTCAACGCCGAACTTTGCAGGAAGGCTATTGTTTGCTTGGGGACTGGCGCCGGTTGGAGCTCGGCGCAGTCGTTTCGCGAGTATTATGTACAATATCCCCCCTAGGATACCGCCGATGATTGCATACCGCCCGGATGGTACCCCTGTGCCAACTTGGACGAGTACAGTGCCGGGGCAAGCGCCTGTTAGGGCCATTCCAAAGCCTACCATCACACCACCGATGATATTGCCGTCATACGGACCTATCCAGCCGAGATTCGAAGGAGGACGTCGGCTCAATTGTCGATGAACAAGGCGCTCGTAGAGCGCCACGGCCAATCTGTCGAAATTTAGTGCCCGAATAAGAGTGAAGCTATGAAGATTGAAGCAGGACGGAATGTCTTACCCGCTCGCGGATCCCGCTGTGAGAAACACTTTCAACATGTGTAAGTCCTGCAGCTCCATCTGGGATAAGATGACACTTGGGAGGTAAACCCCCGAAGCAGTGAGGGCGGACCCGAAAAGGGCACCTGCCATGGTGGAGGGAAGCAAATCGCTAGACATGGTTCTTTCTGGTGTGCCCTAATTGAGCTGGACTTTTGATCTGAGAGAAGACTTTATTGAGATCTCCCGTGGAAATAAGACAGAGTCCGCTATTATCCTTTGGAAAATGTCAACGGCGGGAATACAGAGCCACGAGATGGTCAACTACCTAGATATACTTCTGCATGACGCAAATGCTTCGCATTCACATTCAAATTTTTCCTCTTGAAAAGGTCTCCGAGAAGGTCTCCGAGCCAGGGCTTTAATTCGATGATTATTCGGGGACCCTATTTAAACATCCCGCCGTTCCCTATCACGATATTCGTCCGCCAAAATGCCGTGAACGGCGATTGGCGAGACATTACAAGTCTTAACAGTGGAGACAAGCCTTGTTTCCTCGAGTGATGGAGCAACTAAGCGGTAAAAATTAACCTAGAGAATCTCGGCCGATACTGTTTGACTTTCGTAGATGCGCGCCACAGACTGTGACGGCCATTCTAATTGTACACACAAAGCTCCAGATGTATCAATACGAAGGCTACTTAACCTTTTGTGGCTAAATAATCTCTCATAGCATATTGTAAATGAAATGGGAGGATTGATTTGATTTCGTCTGACGCCCTCGGGCAAGGTCGTTCGCGACCCGTCTCAGAACTGTTGGTTTGCGCAGAGAAGCCTTTTAGTCACGGAGAGGATTCGGCGACATCAACGGACGAGGAGGCTCCTACTACTACTATATGGCTTCGATCCCGTATGGATCTTACACGTGCTATGTCGAAAAAGCCGTACTGACGATCATAGTACGATCATAGGAATGATACAGGATACTAATTTCTAATCATCCAAACCAAACCGTTACAAACATTAGCCCTGAGAGAAGCCAGAAAAATCAAGCTCTCAATCCTAGTTGAAAATCTTCATCCTCTTGCATGCTGTCGTGTCATTGCAATACCGTAGCGCCGATCTCTAGACATCAGGGACTTCTTTTTCCCTTTTGAACCCCTCAGCAAGGCGATAGAGGTGAGTAGAAATGGATTGGTAGGCTGACTGAAAAATCACTGAGATAACCTATAGCTACTTCCAGTCATCCTCCCGACATCTAGCATGGTCTTCCCCAGGCCCGTGCCGGACCTGCCCCATAAATCACAATCGAGGCTATGGCTCTACCTGACGGATGATGTCCGTGAAGACGTTCGTTAGAAAGTGAGCTCCTCCTCCTATCGTTAGCAACCGGTATCCAAGACGCCGCTGCCTGGCCGGACAACACTTGCTTCGCATCGAACCAGACCGGCAACACGCTATTCCTTGCCATTAGCCTTGCAGGGCTTGTAGGCAACGCATATAGCCTCCCGAACATTCGCATGATTCTTGGTGCTTTCGTGACTGGTGGATTACAACGACAACGCCACGAAGACCAAAAAGTATAATTAACTCAACACACAGTGAGAGCATCGGCGTGCGAACGTCAGAGTCTCCACCTTCCCCCTTTACATTATCACCTCTATTGGGTTGTGGATTTATCATACTATAGACTATAAATTCAATTTACGTTCAGAGTAGCCAACACACCATATATCACTTCAGAATGGAGAAATAGCCATATTATACTTACGGTAACTCGTAATACAAGCAATATATGGGAGACCCGCATGATCCCCGAGATAAATCCCTGACTGGTGAAGCAAGGCATGTCACAGATACTTACTTTCAAACGACAGCTTGATATCAAGCACCAAGGTTGTATCACAACTTGGTTCAGCATGGATGCAGGCGAAATGACGCACTTGACAAGTACAATGGACAGTAGATCCCCACCTATGCCCTTTTGCCCAAGAATGTTATGCAAAGCAGACCTGGGTCCTCAGCGGGTGACTCATAGCGACTTGTCCTCCAGAGGAAAGTGCCAGTAAGAAAATGATAGCGTATGCCTCCGGCCCATCGTGATGCAACGGGACGCTCTATCGCTGCAGCGGCATACACCATCGCCATTTGAATGAGACAGCTGGTAAGCAGCCAAAGTTGTTTCCGGGCACCAAAATAATTCCCTATTTGGCTCATCACTAGTCGGCGCAATCGGCGAGCGCTTTGCTTCACTTCGCCGACAGTGAGAAGTCACAGATTCCCCGTGTATAATACTAGTGTTTTCGAGTGACAGGGTTTATACGGTGTTATCTGATAAGTGGCGTTGTCAGCCGTTGTTAAATCCCTTGATCGTTCTAATGAATCGTTAAATATTCCGTTTAATGCACGACACCTCAAAGATTTCCAGACATATTTCTACGAATCCACCTGACAATGAGCAATATGGGACAGCCCACTGTGCATGCTATTTTCGAGAAGAATACCTCGACTTGGCAATACATTGTCGCTTGTCCATCCACCAAAGAGGCAGTCATCATCGATCCCGTCCTTGACTTCGACCAGGAAAAACTGACAATCAGCACGAAGTCTGCGCAAAAGCTCCTAGAGACCGCTAAATCTAATAACTACCGTATTGTCAGACTCCTGGAGACCCACGCTCATGCCGATCATTTGACAGCGTCGCACTACTTGCAGAAGGCACTCATTGCTGCAGGCCAGGCCCGGCCACCAATCTGCATCGGCAAGAGGATCCGGACTGTTCAAGAGACCTTCGCCAAAATATATAACATTCCCGAGGATGAGATCAGAAACGTCTTTGACCACCTCTTCAGCGACAATGAAGAATTCCGCATCGGTGAACTGACCGTCAAGGTCTTCCATCTCCCGGGGCACACGCCCGACCATGTCGGCTACGTGATTGGTGAGAATGTCTTCACAGGCGACTCTATCTTTAACCCGGACGTCGGAAGTGCACGATGCGATTTCCCCGGTGGAGATGCACGTACATTGTGGAACTCGGTGCAACAGCTTCTTTCCTTGCCGCCACGCTACAAGTTATACACAGGACATGACTATCCGCCTGCAAGCGGGAGTAATGACCAATTTGAAGGCAGAGAAGCCATGCCTTTTGTCACAGTAAAAGAACAGCAAGAGCGCAACAAGCATGTGAAGGAGGGTACCGATGAGGAGGAGTTTGTGAAATGGAGGGCTGAGAGGGATCAGGGTCTTCGCGAACCAAAACTGTTGCATCCGGCCTTGCAGGTCAATGTTCGTGGAGGGCAGCTGCCAAAGAACAGACACAATGGTGGAGTCTTTTTCAAGTTGTTGGTCAAGGTTCCAGCCGAGTTCAATAGACAGCTTTTTGGTAATTTGTCCATAATTTAGAGTATAATTTAGAGTAAGTCTATGCACGATGAATCTGTAGTCGTTTCATTCTGGTACCTAGCAAGCCGGTTCCTCATGTACCTGACATCGCACCTCTGAGGACACCAGCGCCTTTAGTGTGAAATTTGGAGTCGATCGGTCCTGAGTCTGAGTGTCACGGATCTGACTCAGTGTCACGGTTCTACCGCCAGAGACTGCCTTAGACAGCTATTCTTGCACACGGGTGCAGGAGCGGGTAAAGTAGGCGAGGTTTCACAACACTAAAGATATCCCTGAGGAGCTTGTTCTATGTATTTCACAACCTAAGAATAACTTCATCTTTGAGGCTTTGTTGCAGGCTTTGTCGGGAGACTCTGAGAGGATTTTGGAGGCATGCTCAGGCATTAGCACTACAGGCCATTCAACCATCCGGAATGAGAGATTTCGTACAACGATTAGTGAGACCAGTGCCTGGTCAATAGCTTTTCGGTTCAGTACTTTTTGCAGTGTTTGGCTGTTGATCTGTTCTACTTGGCCCGAGGAGTCTGCTTGATGGTAAAGCTGTTGAAGTTTATCAAGTGTGGCTGATTGTACACGGCGTAGGTCTCTTCAACCTGCATTTGGTGCTTAGAATTGAGATGTTTCCGAAAGTTAGTAGTAATCGAAATACTATATTGTGATCCTTGGCCTTTAATTTCAGGTTCATCATCTTGTGCTGTTCGAGGATGAGCCCATGTCGCAAGAGCTGACTGGCTTCTTGTTGGTTGCGTTGAGATTGAATCCACAGTTATCGAAAGTGCACGGAGTGATGAATCTACTTCAGAATCCATATTTGTATGATGTTGGTTTTGATTGATCGATTGATTGATTCATCTAACCGTCCCGGCCGCCCTACAGGCATGTGTCCTAATTCTGACTGTCAGCTCCAGTCCTATATACATGAAGTAACCATGTATCTAAATAATTTAAATTGAAGTGACAAGCTGGCGTGTACTTGCTAGAGCCCATTGCTGCTACTCTGGCTGTGTAGTGGCTGTTATACCCTTAAGGACTCACCACTCTGCTGGAGATCTAAATCTATGCTCCCAAATTGCCCAAGGAGCTTGATTTCCAATATGAATTTTGCTGCTCTTGCGGCATATTTTCCATCAGAGAGAATCTTCCTTGTGTCAGACAACCATGTTCCTTTATTCTCCTATACGTCACGCTTCTTCTTGAACCTGGAACAGCTCAGTAAGATATATATGACTATTTATACTCCATATCGGCATTGACATTCTCTATTATTAATTCCCAGGATATGTCTTTTGTATAGGAAATGCAGCAGGTTAATATTGCCTGTCCGCATTTGTGTTAAGATAGATGACAGAGGCCTGCTAAGTTTGGCGTGAAGCTCTATATTCTTCTTTAATGGTTTATCAATAATCTGGAAGAGAGTACGGCCTTGTTGATTCTGTTGTTAGCTCTGTTCCTACTGTTTATAAGCTAGGGTCTTTAGGTCTCTTTTGAGCGCGGACTAAGGTTGCTGGAGCCCAACTAGTCTTAGGGCAGTACTTTCCATGTCCACTGGAATATGTCTTCCCCTACTATTCTACACTAATCTTTCATCTAGTCGTCTCTTTTACTGCTCTATCTGCTCATTCATTACTCTTAATTCCCTAGGGAGCTGGGATCCAGTGGATATTCACCTGGAAACCCTTGCTCTGGAGCTCATCCTATTTTTCCATAATGCTTCCTAAGTTCTGTTGGCCCGTCTTTTGAGTGCCATCGATTGCCTGAATTACAGCCTGACTGTCGTAGAAGATTATAACCTCTCTTTCTATCCTTTGCTATACCATTTCTAGGGCGATATGTATCCCAGCCAGTTCCGCTAAGAATATATTTGCCTCTGGTGTTCTTCCCACGTATATTTATCTTGTAACTGAGAGGCCATATTGGACGGCTGATGCCCCGACTTTTCCATTAATAGCACTACTGGTAGTATGTATAATAAGACCTGGGTTTTGCTGGAGACACAAGTATAGGCGCGAAACATTATGGGGATCTGAAAGAGTCAGGAATTTAGAATAGAGATATCTCTTCCTGACACTTCCCTGGTGGGAACCACCAGGGACATATATAGCTATCAACGCTAAGACAGCAAGGATTATCCATATATCCATAACCAGATTCGCTCCAGTGGCCCCCATCTACTTGGGAGATTATACCAGCTTTTAAGCCATCCCAGATTCTCTCTCTCCAACTCTGCTCTAATAACCCTGTGCTCAATCGAACTTTCTAAATATAAGCTGTAAAGTTGATTTGTATTTCAATCTTATGTCGATGTGTGAGTCCAATTTCTCGAAATTTGCTGTTGATCAGTACTTATACGATTCTCTGAATCCTATCCCAAAGAAAAATAGCTTAGTATACTCTGTAATTCCAACATGGATTGGTCCGCTATTTCTCCAATTGTTTACTATCCGAACGCGATCTACTACTAACACGTTCCTCTACACTCCATGTACAGAGTACAATCACTACAGTGAGCTTCAATGGTGTTTGAAAAGCGTGCCTGGTGCACAAGCTGCAATTGCTTTCGACTCATAACCGATTTTCATTGAATAAACAAGGGAGAAAGAAGAAAGCCTGGTTCGACATGAAAAGAGACATTATTTGGTCTTTGATCAATGGGATGGCTTCATAACCGAGATTCAAGCCTGGAATCAACCCGTATGATCTCTATATAACCATTTTTATAGATTAAGAGACTGACTAGTTGAAATAGAATCAGAACACCACTCTTGATGAAGTACATCTTCGACCTAGACCAGTTGCCGATTAATTTTGGGTCTAAACTGGAGAGAAGTACCGCAGGCACACTTAGCTGTGACCCATTAAATTAAGCCGTAAAGCATCTCCTAGATGATATCTAGAAAGCTGGAGGCTACCGACTCTAGCATAAGAGGACTACACAAGACTCAAGCTTGATATATGAGTATTATTGCTGCCAAGATAGCTCCGAAAAGGTTAAATCCATGAAAAAATGGAAGCGTGACACTGGATGAATGGAAAGATTCCAGTGTAAAAGCAAGTTGAGATTGCGACCATTAGAAGATCGAACGCTGACAATTACATTATATCACTTGCACCACACTCCATATGTTGATGTTGACCCAGACTACTTTCTAGGTGTGCTGGTCTCTTTCTTGGTAAAGGCGGATGGAGACTGTCAAGCACTTTAAGGCGAATTTTCTTGGGTGATTCGGGGTATTGAAACAGTCATTCATCAGAGTGAAGATATTCTCCTCGGCAACACCAGTTCTTGCCGAGGAGACTTTTGCGGTTCTGGTCTGTTGAATACATTTTCGCAAGCTGGTTATGCTTTTGATTAGGTTCGCTTACAATTCAGCTACACTGAGAGGAGAAGAAAATGAATGGATTGAACAAAATCTGCAATTACTGCCTATTCAAAGTCTGTAAAAGCTGCTTCTTCACCAGTTTAGATAAAGGCCATACTTCACTCAAAATATCCAATGTTCTTATTCCTAGTTCGATTCTGGAGGTGAAAAAGCACTCGTCTTTACAATTGCGCTTACATTGAGGATAGTGAGAGTGATCATGGTGATGTGCATCAACAATATGAATCATCAGGCTCATCGTAAGCGCGCAAATCATAAACGGCGTGTTCCATTTAATCGAATTAATTGAGTTGGTGCTGAGGACGCTGGTGGTGATCATGCCCAATAATGTGCTGGCTGCCCGTAGTGCTTTGAGGGAATGCGAGTCGAAATCGTTATTATCCAATCCGTCTGCTGTAACTTCTGAAAGGCCACTTGTGATGCACGAGGGTGGACTTTTCCACAAGCCTAGGCCGAGGTTTGATTGTGGATGATGGAGGTATATTATTGCTCTAAATTTCGCACGTCTTAGTCCCATTTCTTGGAAATCTAGAAAGATGTCTTTCGTCCAAAGCAGAACTCACAAAAGGGTGATCATTTGTGCCTGTCTCCTCATCTGGTCATCAGGTTCATTGGCACTGGAAGTGAAGCACTGATATATCTTCATTAATCGTATCAAAAGCGTAGTCAAGCGTATGTCTAAAGTATCAAGTTCGATTTCGTCAATATACATCAAGGCAGTGCTCCTCGAGTTCACTGATTGCACCATCTCCCATAGTCGGATGGCTTCAATGCGGTACGAAAACGACGAAAACGTTTCTTCGGTGTCGTTGTTCACGCTGCGCCACACATTTTGAAGCTGTGGAAGGGTTTTGCTTTGGGGAATAGACTTGACCGATATAAAACGAATTAGCCATCAGAAGTTTAGGGACAAAAGCAAAACAATGAGGTTGAATTTACACCAGCTGCATAGTAAGTAGCTTCATCACATGGCAGTTCCATCTTCAAAAGGTCCTCGTCTCGATATCCACTCCATTGAATGTCACAGTTTTGCTGAGCAGAAAATGTCTTGAAAAGATGCACAACAATAAATAATTCCCAAAAAGTCCGACGCCAGCTCTCTTCAAGAATCGCATTTCCAGGGTAACTGTGCCCGGCGAATGATCCGCTCTGGATGCCCAATTGACTTGCCATTGTAATAGCGCTATTTAGCATATAACCGGCTTGTTCCTCATTACCATGGGCATGATACGCGATTGCAGCTAGTAGCATAGCCTGCACTTTGAATCCGCTGGGTTCGGAGGAATCATTTAGACTCATGTAGGCCTTTTTCTGATATCGGTCTTTTACCGTCGGATCAGGGTGAAAATGAGAGCCAATGAACTGCATCATGGAAATCAAACAAGGCGGTAGAAATCGAGTTAGGTCGTAGTTACTGAGAGATTTTCGTGGAATAACGAAAGGATGAGAGGAATGGAAATTTTGGTAATAGAGCTTTATCATGGGGTCGAAGGCGATGTTATGGTAGGCTGGGACAGCACAAGACTCGGTCGATACCACAGTTCTGGTTTCCTCGGGGGTTGATAATCCAGCCAGTCTTTGGGATGTCTCATCGAGTGACGGGAGGAATTCCTGGTCGAGCTTTAGTGAGCGAAATGGGGGAGGTCAGCAGGAAGGGTAAGGAGGAATTTACCATTGGTATCAACCAGTCAAGTGGAAATTTATCACTATTCGGAAACAACGTATTGAAATTGACACTTATGCCCGGGCTAAATGTCGGCGTCAATGTCTGTGTATAGGGCGGCGAGGTACAGGAAGCGTCCGCATCAACAGGCTCGGTAGTGGGAGGGCTTGTTGTGGTGCTATCCTTTCGGCGCAGGCCTCGTTTCGAGGCCACATAGTGGCATTTAACATTTGATTGTTTGCATCGGGAGCAGGGCGGTATTAAAGCATCGCATTTAAGATGTCTCTGCCGACAGGGGATACATGCTAGCGAAGACGGGTTTCGAGCGTTTGATCTCAATGGCATTAGTGTTGCAATGGTTAAAGAACCTTCCAATACTAGTCATATAATCCGAATCGGCGAATGCAAGAGTAGGCGTGCTGTCATCGAATGCGTCTCCTGTACTAGAAAAATGGGTTGCAGGAGCCTTAAGAAAGAAAAAAATGAAAAATGAATGAAAGATAAATAGCATAGCCTTCAGTATTGCCGGACGTAGGTAAATCAATAGTAGTCGGCGACTTCGGGGACTTCACACTTCGAACTTTATTTCCCAAATTCCAGCATGACGGCGACAAGCATAAGGCAAGGCGATTTACTTCAATAGGACAAATTAATTCTACAGTAAGAGGCTTTGTTTGATATTCAATCCAGAATAGATTTTGTGAGTGTTAGGGTTGGGCTGCCCTATGTACATGTTATAGAGATTAGGAATTTGAAAGGAGGCCATATAGGTTAACCTAACTCAGCATTTGATCCAATCAATGATAGGCCGATATCATTTTTGCCGCAATTCAATTTGCCTTCGTGGCTGACACGAATGAGATCTCTTCAAGTTACTGCGTTAGACTCACAGTAACGAATATAAAAATATTTAGCTTTCAAACTTATTCAAAATACGGTAACTAGTTAGCGGATACTGGCATTATTATTAATAGAAAATATGCCTATATTACCATATAAATTACTACCCCACTAATAGGGTTTGTTTTTTGGTCGAATGGTGTATATTTTCTGGATCACAATACTCATATAACTAGTGGATATGTGGGCTGGTGTGGGTGCATAAAGCACGTGTACACGTTAATGTACGTACGTACGATAGATGGTTAGCAGGTACTGCAATTCTGTATGGGTTCAAATGTGTGTGATTGTAGCTATCTAACTCACGCCCCGACGCGGTCTTACATCCCTCTATCCTAGACGAGGTCACGTGACGCCCTGCGGCTGTTGGATATTTGATACGCTAATCCCAATCAGGATGTCATTACTAATCATGATTCCTCGGAATAACGACATATCCGTGAGAACATAAGAGCCAAACTCAAGCCTACATTTTGGAGTCAGGATTGTCATTTATCCCGTAAATCCGTGATACTTTGCCACTATGATGTGTATATAAAGAGGATCAAGATGTGTAGTTAGCTATGTTTTAGAAGGTGCAAATCAGAGTCAATTATTCCTCACCCAAATTGTACAACTCCTATCAGAGCCTAACCCCGTTCGGACTAGTACCAAAAGATTCCAATAGCGGCTCAGTGCGTTGGAGTGAGGCATCTCGATTGCTTCCACAATGCACAGGAACTCTTGCACAGATAGACGAATTCCCTACAATTGTTTATATCAAACAGTCAGAGGCCCAAACTCCTCACCCCTCTCTACCACCTAGCCACCAGAAGTGCGGCCTTTGACGCGTCTCAACGCGTCCGGCAACACTATGGCGCGTAAAGGCCCTGGTACAGATGGCCCTCTACAGACAGCCCTACTGGAATCCACGTCCGCAGCCACGACAAGAGCTTCTGAAGGACAGAAGATCTTCAGCCCTATAGCTGCATTCCTCGATAAACACCGCAGCCAAACCACCGGCCTGGCCCCTCATCTACTGAGAGCTCTCACCGCTCTAAGCGATGACCTCGCCTCAGTAGCCCAATGACATTTTAGCGCCTATATTAGCGGTATCTCGACGACCTCTATTCTACCTGCCCTGTCCCCTTCCTCTTCCCCTTCCCCTACTCCAAATTCCTTACCCCCTTCACCCTCTTCCTCACGTCCCCTCTCAGGTCTTGAACAGTCGACTTATGTGACTATTACCCAATATGCCCCAGTCAAATCAACTCCTACTACTCACTCCAAAGCCCATGTTAAAAAGCCTATGCCTCTGATGAAACAACCCCCTCCTGACAACTGGCTCTTCGTACGCCTCCTAGCTGACCATGCAGCTAGAAAAATGGAAGCCTACACTATCTACTCTAGCCTATGGTCTTCACTAAACTTAAACAGTTTAGCACTAAAAGAAGTTCAAGCCACAAAGACTGGTTTTGCACTATGTCCCTCATCTCCAGAAGCCCTTCTAACCCTTGAGGCCCAAAAAGAGATTATCTCTGCATTCTTTGTTAACTGCCAGATAGAACGCAGCTCCCGATGGGTCTCGTACCAAGTCACCAATGTGCCAAGGAAAATTAGCCAAATCTTGGACGGTTAATACTCTCTAATCCCTGTCAATCCTACACTACTATCCTCAGAAATCAGTGAAACTACAGGACTCAAGCCTATATCTATTAGTGAGACCGCTACAAGTGCTGCCAACCCTAATACTCTTTCCTCAAGCTGGTTTGTCAACTTCCCAGAAGGCACGAAATCACCACTGTCTATCCAGCTATGTCTTTTTGACACTATTACTAATACTTGTCACCTCTCTAAGAGAACAACAGTTATCCAATGCACATGATGCTGGAAATGGTATAATGCATGATCCTGTGCTCGCCCCTCTCGATGCTAGCTCTGTGGCTCCTCAGAGCATACTGAATAGGGACATGTTAACTACTGCATAGCCCTGGAGTCTCATCAGTGCTCTTCTAGATGTATATACTGCCATGGACTACATCCTGCTGATTTCCTAGAATGCCTCCTGCGCCCTAAAGGCAACTCTAAATATACTAAAGCTTAACAAGCAGAGATCTGGAAATCCTGTGCTATTAACCTCGCAAAAGCTCGAACTGAAGGAGGATGTAGCACTCAGCTTTCCATTGGCACACAAGAAACACCTATGGCACTAGACAAGATGCTAACTTAGCCTCCAACCCATAAGATTATCTCTCCTTTCCGTTTAGTAACCCCTTCACCTCACGCCCCAACTGAAGATCCTCCAATTACAGCTCACACAGTCCACTTTATAACCCCTCAATCACAAAATTGGTTCGTCTCCCTTCTTAAATAGGAGCTATGATCTATCACTATCTAACTCAAAAGGTGCTTCTTAAAATCCTACAGCTAAATATAGGGCACGCGCCAGATGCACATGAAATAGCTCTCACATTAGCATATACAAGCGATATTGATATTATCCTAATCCAAGAACTATATACATTCAAAGATCTCAGCCGACAGATCACTAAAAAACATCTATTATATGAATGCTTCTCCCTAACTGACAGTTGGGCGGTAAGTGGCTGACCACGAGTTCTCACCTATGTTCAAAAGAAGAAGGGCATTCAGACCTCCCAGCTGCGCCCCTTCACAACTGATACTAAAGAGGCCTCAGATCTCCTATTCCTACAGATTTTTTCGCCCACAGGAAAGTCTGCTCTGATAGTTAACATCTATAATGCTCCAGCAGGCTCCATCAGAGCAGGCAAAGCCGCGAAAGCTCTTATAACCCTGCCAGAGGTATATTTCCCTCAAGCAACAATACTTGCAGGCAATCTTAATCTACTACATAACAGATGGCAGCCCTCGCTACATCGCAGCCCCACACCTTCTGCAGAGCTGTTCATTAACTGGCTGGACCTCCAGGGTCTAGTACTCATCTCTAATATAGACTGTCCCACACATGAAAGGGGTAACATGTTAGACCTTAGTTTCGCCTCAAGCCCTCTGGCACTCGCGGGAGCTAAAACTAGCATAGCGAGCCACTTAGATGCTACCTCTGATCATCAACCACTAATCACCACTGTACCATGGGATCAGAGATACAAGGAAACAGCTTAGAAACTGAGATTTGACACACTAGACCACACCTCCTTCCTCTTGCTCCTCGCCTCTAATCTTGCTGGCACCGAGAGCTCAGCCACAACAGAAGAAGATCTTGATACCCTTGCTAAAAAACTAATATCTGTAATTCAAGGAGCATATAGAGGCTCTGCTAAGAGGACTATGACACAAGGCATAGAATAACCATGATAGAATGAAGACTACAAGAAAGCTTTACATAATTACTGCTTAGACCTCTGCTCAAAGACAGACTTTCGCCGGACTACTAGACGGACTCAACAACAATTCTGGCGTGATAAGCTCTCTATAGTATCACAAATGAAGGATGTTTTTGATATGAGCAAATGGCATAAGTCTGTCGGATTGGTCGGTTTATTCCAGGCCAATCCTGAAGAGTGTTTTACTAGGATCAAAGAAAAGAAGTGACTAGCAAGATTGTATGTATTGAGTTCTCTGTCTGTCTTTCAAGTCTTTAAAGCCGGGTCCTTTATAGACACCTTTGGCGGGGTGATTTGTGAGCTATCAGGAGGGGTAAATATTGGGCGGAAATCTAGGTGCCCAGATATATGCCTAAAGGTGCCTTTTAGACCTGTAAGATTGAACAGTCGATCTTTCTGCCTCGTTTGAAAGCCGGATTATCTGACAAAGTCTACAGGCATCTTCCGAAGCCCTCCACTGAAAGATCCGCTAAGGCCCAACAGCCTCCCAGCAGTTACTATACACGAGAAACGAGACGTACTAGTCCACAATCTTCTCCAGAACTCGGCAGAGGCAGGAGATATACCTCTGGACTCCCCAGCAGTCCCTTCCACTAGTCTCTACTTCCCAGATATATCGATGCTACAAGTGGAGGAGTCAGTACTTCAGGCAGGAAACACAGCCCCTGGCACAGATGAAATCCCAACCTGTATACTCAAAGTAGCATGGCCTCTGATCAAAGATAAGGTATTAATGCTATATTAAGGGTGCCTAAAGATTGGTTATCATCCTAAATGCTTTCGACACGCAATCTTAGCATTCATCCAGAAACCAAAAAAGACTGATTGATCTTCATCTAGCTCATACAGACCAATCGCTCTCCTATCAGTACTTGGCAAAGGACTGGAGCGCTTAGTGGCACAGAATATGGCATAGATCTCTATACACTATAAAGTATTAGCAAGGCAATAATTTGGGGCTCTCCCACTAAGATCTGTAACAGACCTAACCACATGCCTAACACATGATGTCGAACAAGCGCTAAATCAAGGTATGACTGCCTCACTCCTTACCCTAGATGTCAAAGGCGCCTTTGATTCCATGCTTCCCAGCAGACTGATCCGCAGACTACGCGAGCAGGGCTGGCCTATCAATCTCGTTCTCTGGATTGCCTCCTTCGCTACTGGAAGATCAGTTCAGATCCGACTCGATGGAGAGATCGGCCCCTTAACAGACATTGCATGCGGTCTTCCACAAGGATCCCCAGTATCTAGCATTCTTTTCATGCTCTACATAGCACCTCTATTCTGTCTAGGAAATCTAAGGAATAGATTTGGTTACATGGACGATGTAGCCAACCTAGCGATCTTAACATCTCTTGCTACTAATTGCGAAGCCTTATTAGACTTACTTTAAGAAGCTCTTAATTGGAGCGCTACAGAGGGCATTACATTTATACTAGATAAATATGAGCTTCTTCACTTCTCCCGATATAAAGCAGACTAGGACCTAACCTATATACCTTCAGTAAAAGCTAGATCTATTACAATATCAGAAAATACTAAACAGCTATATCTATAATGGCAAGGAATTCTCTTTGACAAAAAGCTAACGTTTAAATGGCATATTAGAGAAACAGCATCTAAAGCCCTCACTGTGGCCAACGCTCTTTGCTCTCTAGGGAATACTATAACGTAGAAACCTGGTGGCCAGGATATACTCGCCCTGGACCTTCCCAGATTTCAAACCAAGTTGGAGAACATCTTGAGAAACTAACTAAAGTAATACTAACAGGCGCAAGAGCAGTCCTTCCAGTCTTCCACATAACCCCAAAGCCAGTCCTTTATCGAGAGTCTGGATTCTCTCCATTAGAAATCGAACTAGATCGAATAGCCCTTCTTGCAACTGTCCGCCTACGGCGTCTCGATCCTTATCACCCACTTCGAAGACGTGCAGAACAGATCGCTAGTAATAGCCAACAAACCAGCTGATTTACCTGTTATACACTGGCCCTTCTAAACTCTGAATAGATAAACCCTCTCCAATACGCTCCCTGGCACCCTTATAAGCCTTGTAGGAATGCTCAAGCTTGAATAGGAGCTCCCATGGGACGCACTAAGGAACAGGCAGCGGCTAATTTCATGGCTTTTCAACATATCATCCCTAGCTCAGATATTGTAATCTTTTCAGATGGATCTAGGCTAGTAGATGGACATGCAGGGGGTGGCTATATTAGACTCCAAGCACACTATCAGTTTCTCCGCTCCTTACTCTTATACAGACATGGGAAAGAGGTCTTTGATGCAGAAGCAGAAGCAGCTCTAGCTAGCGCTCAAGCAGTAATTACATACCTAATAGCTTAATTTACTACTAACCTATGAATCTGCCTTAATAACCTAGAAGTTGCTATACACCTTCTATCTCCCTCTACAGGATCTTCCCAAGAAATCTTTGAATCCTTCCACACCCTTGCAGTTACCTGGCCACTTCGCAAAAGGCTTCCTCATACCAAAAGCAGATCTATCCAAATCCAATGGATCCCTGGACACGCCAAAATCCCTAAGAACGAAGCGGCTGATCTTGCTGCCAAAGAGGGAACTGCCTCAATCCCTCCTGCTCCTCACAAATCCTCATACGCCTCGCTAAAGAGATACGCCAGGACTCAATCCCTATCCGCTGCTCAGTCACTATGAGAGAAGGTGGCACCACAGAGCTATTAAGATCTAGAAATAACCATTTCCCCTAAGTACCCTGGGGAGCTTCAACTCAACCAACTTGACCTTGGCCATGTTATTATAGCCCGTACTGGTCATGGAGACTTTACAGACTACTATGAATGCTTCAACTATGATGACACTTATCTTCTCTGCCGATATAGAGCACAAAAAGCACCTCTGTACTTCTTCTTCTATCATATAGCTAAGAGATGAGCCCCTCGGCCTCCTGGGCCCTCTTCTGAGGTCATCTCTTTTCTCTTAGGCACTACTAAAGGAGCACAAAAGCTAGCCACATGGCTAGCAGAGACCCACTTCTTTAAGAATATCTGCCCTCGCCAACCTCTCCTTAGTACCTAGCTAAGACAGCCCTACTCTTCCTTTATATTTCTTTTCTCCTTCTTTCTTTCTCTTCTCTTCTTTCTTTCCCTCTCTGCAAAACTTACTGTTCAGTTATAATAGTGGTGGAGTGATAGGTCATGGAGTGTAGGCGGACCATTGCAGCTGGCAAATACCTAAAATCTACTATTTACCACCTCGTATCGTGAACCTTATGTTCTTTTTATTTAGGGACGACATGAATAAGATGATGACTGTTCTTTGTTTTCACCACCTAACTATATCTAGGTCTATGCCTCTGAACGGGGCAGCCAATTGATAGATCTGATACTAGAGTACCTTCCTTACACCGCCATTCTGTGGATATACATGAGTGGCCCTGCTTCTACCTAAAGAAATCTATTACAGACTGCTGCAAATTGAACATGATGAAATATGCATCATAACACTTTTTCCTCAATCGAGGGCCGTGAGGGAAGCACTCTCGATGTGGTGGCTGTAGGAATGGCCTGAAATGATGCGAAAGCATTGCCGAACCCCAGGAAGGCTCGCCGTGAGGATGAACAGATTAGCCTCAACCCCACTGGGCATACTGTTAACATACATACAGCATATCAAATGTCATAGAACTTACACGAGCAATGCCACGGGCGCAGAATCGTAGGTTTCATCGCTGGAATGTAAAAGGGAAATGGTGACTGTCAGTCGGACCGCGCCCGTTATCACGGTTCTACCTTGCAGGAAAAATTAACGATGCAAAACATCTAGTTTCCGCAGACCATTGCTTACATGAAAAAGACCAGCATCATCGCAATAATTCGCACTTTGTGAGCGGAGACCAATTGCGAGGATATGACCAAGGAGACCGGAAGCATTGTCAATGTCAGATCGGAAATGATGTTTAGCACAGCAATCGCCACATAGACTGCGCCGCGGTTGAGGCACTGCCCATCTTCAGCTGCATTCCACGACTTGGAGATTGGTCGACATGCGAAAATCAGACAACCCGAGGTCGTAATTGATCCCATGATGATGACGCAGGCTACATAGTAAATGCTGGCACGGAAGCGACTTTGATTCGCCGTGAGTCGGTATAGAAAGAACAGCTGCGCAACCTTTGCTAAGCAGAAGCTGGACATGAATAGGCATATGGCACTGAGATACAACTAACCAAGTATAGTTAGCGTCGTGTATGTTCTTGCAGGAGCCATATGTGATTCGCTACTTTCTGATAATGGTTAAGGGTCGATAGAGCAAGATCAGCAATATGAACTCCAAGTCCAGCGTGGTTAAGGGCATCTATGCTGGTCAATACGCATCAACGGAAATGGAGAGTCTGCTCACATAAAATAACCGTTTGAGTACCAAGGGATAACCCCTAAGATCGACTTAGTTTCAACCATGATGTTGGCGGTGTGTAATCCTTACCCAAGAGATGAGCAGACAGACTGTGACTTTGTCAACATCCAAAGACGCAAATAGCACTAGGAGAGTACATTAGGTAAGTCTAGAGAGCATACCGTCGTCCGCGGTGAATTTCAGTGAAGTGCGACGTTTGACTGCAAGATGGATGGTTAAGGAGATCGTGCTCAGAAACAGCCCGGTAATCAGTGTATCTTGGATAGGCGAATAAAGATACGGCAAGGGTGTATTTTCTAGCATTGCGCGTGTCAATGTATTTTCTATTGCGGGCCAACAACTATATTGTCTTTCTGCCATCGGCCAATTTGCAGTTCCAACCTGTGCATCTAGCCATCTAGTATAAATACATGCTGTATTTGAGCTCGAAGTATTCACTCTAGTTTCACCGTGATTTTCCTCGTTCTTGTTGCAATTCGACAGGATACTGTTCCTCTTATTCCTCTTGATATAACCCCGTGTTGATCCACAATCATGATCTGACGCTTCTTGGTGATGTAGTTCCGTTACGGAAAGAGCAAAGACTCATAGCGATTTTTCTTCTGATAGCTTTTTACACGGGAATAAGGTGGAGAGTATGGTTATTCAAGGATTAAGGAAACACTATGATACACACAGGAATAAACTCCGAGCGACACACGAGTAAAAACCAGCGTAAGCCTGCAAATCAGAATGTTCTTGAAGAGGTACAATTTTCAAGTTGATTGTACCTGGATCCGCCACCTGTTCTCAAACGGAACGCTTCTTCTGACAATTCAAAATTGATAACAAATCCATATATCCACTCATAGATCACTAGACGTTCGTTCCTGTTTCGGGTCGCTGGGTGCACGTTCCCGTTCGGGCCACTGGACGTTCCCATTCCGATTCCGGGTCACGGTTGTTCCTGTTCAGGGTGCTTCTATGTAAGATTTGCTCGGCTCTGAAAAGAAGACGTTACTATGAGATGTCAGAAACCAGGAAAATCACCCGTGCTGAAGATTCTCAACATCGAACATGAAATTAGAGTCCATGGCCGTAACAATAGCTGTTCTTGTTTTATACACGTTAATCATGAACCTGAGTCACTCCTACTTGTCATGCGAGTGCCGAAATTCCGGATTAGGTACAATACAAACAGAATTGATTTTCTATGGCCTCAGGTCTGAAAGCAAGACATCGACAAAGCTATACTATGAACATGTGTAATTTCCCTACGAGATCGTCCCGTTGACTTGTAAAATGATCATGGCCGAAAAGACAGTAGCATAGGTAACCCAAAAGACGAGCGTTCTGATTGGTTTGTTTTTTGTTGGCCATTTTTCGATAGATTGACTACTTTACATAGGCTCTAGTGGATAGCGTAGACTTTATAAATATTTGACATGAAAAATTACCTCCATCCAAATCTTTCCGTGGATAAAACACATGTAAGACTATGAAACAACCTCAGCGCTTAGCCTTCTTCAGCACCTCCATACTCCAGTCGGACGAGTGTTATAGGTTCAATCCTCTCCGCCAGCTTCGTCGATCGCCGACTCTGGATCCTGATCTTTGTTCCGGCCTCGTCCGTGCTGAAAATCCTCTAGCGTCATATTGATGGGAATAGGGTAATAATTTTTCTATTCAACGTTAGTCCTGGTATGATATCAATGAGCCGAAACATACTAATTTCAAAGTAGCAGGAGACCAGAGTCCTTCTGGGTCTGAGCAAAATGTAGTGACACGGCCTGTCTCCCGGATTCGAATACCAAGGAATATCTCCGCATCGCAGAGAATGCTCATATCAACTGCTTTCAGAAGAAGGCTTTTCATTCGTCTGTTGCGCTTCTGAAGGGCCTTTCGTCGCTCAATCTTAGGATCCATGGGGTGTCTGACTCGTAATATGTTTATAGTTGATCTGTGATGCTTGAAAAGAAGGACTTGTATCCTATTTATATCTGCTGTTTCTAATAGCTTGTCCTAATGAACAGATTAAACAAGAGGTTCGTTCTCCCACAAAATCCTCCAGCCATTGTGCCGAGAATGACAATGGCAGTAGGTTGCCTGGCCCTGTGCTCCCCTACGAGCACCGATCAGTTCAGATAGAATGTCTACACTTAACTGAGATGCAGATTCCTCGAATGGAACCTCTGTCACGACGACGTTGTGGAAACCGATTGAGCGAAGAGTTGGTTGATTAGCAGAAAAAACCCGTTTCAGGGTATCGTAATCAATCATCATATCGCACATGTCAAGCTGATCGATGTTCAGCTCCCATTGTGAAAGTAACTCCAGAGCTGACTCGGACTGTGTCATCTTTAGACTGCGTATACCAACCAGCAGCTCCTGTAAGTGAGCAGATAGGGACATTAGATCTGAGATCTCATACTGATGTCCGGTCTGAATCTGAAATCCCCGCAAATGAATGCTGTCGACTTGGTCTAAACCCCACCTCGATCTGTCAGACAGGGCTTGTGCAATCACTTGCATGTGGTGTGCGTACAGCCCCTCAGTTACATTCATGTCGAGATCGATATATGCTTCCAGCCATGGTTTCGTTTCCAGGGGCACACAGAAATGCACCGTGAGTTCTTTCAGGTGTGGAAATACACACAGGACTTTCGATAGCGCGGCTTGATCGATATTATGTTCGAGGATCTGATTCTGTTTCCTACACATCTTTTGCACGGTCTGAAAGATGGCCATATATGGCGGACATTCTCTTGGTAGAAATCCCAGATCGAACTGAGATTTCGCCATTTCCACATAGCGTTCCGGCGTCAAAATAGAAGATTTGAAAAAATCGAAATTGGTCACATCTCAAAGAGGGTCAGTTTGGGTTGCAAATCATACAGCACACCTCGTACCTGTTTTCAGTAGCTGTGGAACCACATATGTGAAAGACCTCACTTGTTGGCATAGAGCCGACGATGTAAGGCTCATCAGTGTAGAGAGGCTACTTCTTGAGAACCCTACTCGTACTGAACGAAAAAGAGATGGAATGCATATTGCTCTCATTCTTTTATCCACTAGCGATAAGTGCTTGACTTCCCAGGATGGCAGGTAAGAGATTATGAGCAGTATTATCTCTACAGGCAACTGCATGACGATTTTGGTGAACAGACTGCATGAGCTTAATTTGGTTGTAATATATATAGGCTGCGAGCGCGAAGTTGAACCAATGAAATTAATTTCTTAATCATTTTAGGCTCAGAAACCAAATTTTGATCTTCCGACTTGATGCAAGATACAGACTCAGTATGAAGTGGTCTCACGTTCTCAAAACAGAGCTGGTACCAGAATTGAATTCAGTGGGAGGAATGGTCCCGCTCCCAAAAGGGTTGATTCAGGAACGGTTCCGTGCTCATGCTGGGGAATGATGCTAGAAACCGACTCGAACCCGTTCAGAACTGGTTCCAGGAGTGATGAACCATACATTTTCCCTCTCTTTAGTTAACGTAGTAGATAGAACTAGTTCATAAACACACTTGTAATAATTGTACATATGTGAATAGCGTACATTCGTAAGAGCTGTACATCTGTAAGTAGTGTACACTTGTAAATGGTATACATCCGTGAAAGCTATACATTTGTAAGAGCTGTACATTTGTAAGAGTTATACATTTGTAAGTAGTGTACACTTGTAATAATTGCACATATGTGAATAGCGTACATTCGTGAGAGCTATACATCTGTAAGTAGTGTACATTTGTAAATGGTGTACATCCGTGAAAGCTATACATTTGTAAGAGCTGTACATTTGGAAAAGCTATACATTTGTAAGTAGTGTACATTTGTAAGTAGTGTACATTTGTAAGTAGTGTACATTTGTAAAAATTGTACATTTGTAAAAATTGTACATATGTGAATAGCGTACATTTGCAAGGGTTCTACATATGTAAACAGTGTACATATGTAGGCGATGTACATTCGTAGATGGTGTACATCTGTACAATCTGCTTAATCAGGCCTTCTTTTTCCTGTCTTAGGATCAAAACTGACAACATATTGTTCAAGATCTTTCAATGTCAACGCTCCTTCACGAGCTATACTCCTCGTAGGACCATCTTTTGATCCAACCAACAAAAGACTAAACCTCAACAGCGCTGCGACAGTCTCTTGGTATGGTATAGATATTACGTTATCGCAGATTGCACAAAAGTAATTTTCCTGAGCCAAATAGTGGATTCGGTCGCTGAGCTCCTTACTAGAGTTTCGTCGAAACTTATAAAAAGCTCTTCGATCAAACAAGAATAGCACTACCAGGTCGGGATCACGGTCGTGGTACCACTTCTCCATCATCTCACGGCTTCCGCGGTGGTGTGAAATATAACATAATTTTGCAAGTGGACCTATATTCTCATCGTCCTCAAAGCCCGCTGCTTTTGGCGGTGCCGATTCCATACTTACATCGTTCGACGGTACCAAGGCTTGCGCGTCCAAGGTCTGTGTTTCATTAACAGTCGTGACTTCGTTGGTACCCAAGATAACTAGAGGAGCCGGTTCAGCCAGTTCAGTGCTGACTGAATAAACAGATGGCGAGCCACTCGGATGAGGCTCCATCTCTACAGGACTTGAGATTGATTGCAGCCAAAAGCTTCCGAAAAAGTCGAAGAATATTTCTCTCATAACAGCGATAGCTGTCGGGTATGACTTGGGCGATTGATCATCATTGCCAACGATTTTCAAATAAAAGTACTGGCGAATTCTTCTATATTCTTTGACTTCTGGCCTCCCGGCTCGAAATGTGGCTTTTCTCTCCTCAATATCAGTGCTCCATTCAGGATGAGCTTCCCTTGAGCGACTGATATCCTGGGATTCTGGGAAGGCTTGAACAAATCCGTTTCTGACATTGCTCACTTTTTCGGATTCCACAGAACCGCTGTTCGTCAATGTCTTGGATATGTACTGAAAAACGGGGTATTTTGCCGAACGTGGAAATCGCTTATCGAATCCCAGTTTGTGAGCTGTAAACTCAAAATCTGCTTTTCCTTGGATATCCAACAACGGCTGTACGCCAGGCTCTTCGCCTTGTTTTCCTCGTCGCGGATCAATGAAATGTCGAAATGCAGACATCCAGAGCTGCAAGTATGATACCCAGGCTGCGTGTCGGTGTCCTTGTCTCGAAATTATCCTATCAAGGGACATTTTATCGAAGTAAAATTCAGTATCCTGAACTGTTACGGCTTCGCCTGGTATTTGATTCCACGAGCCAAGCAATGCTTGACGTAACGTTCTCTCGGAATTCTTGCCTGAAAATTGCCACAATGGCTGCGCAATCCGCTTGATTAGCGAGGCGTCGGAGAAGAAAAGCTTTAATGATAAGATCCTTCCTTTCATTGCTAGGAAGTAATCCCTGACCCTGATTCGCTCAGACTCGTTGAGTAGTCGAGGAAATAAAGTACCATCGTCCATCAATGATCGAATTTGACTCCTGTCATGGATGGAATATGAAGGCATCATACCCTCAATCAAAGTGACGGAGTTCGGATCGACGACAGGTGCTTCAAAAATTGACCATTGTTTATAAACATTTTGCAAATAGTGTGCCATCTCCTAATGTGCGTTAGCCAAAGCACGAAATGTATTTTCAGATCTTACCTCAAGGCTATGTGATCCTATCACATAGTCTAATTTGCGGAGTGTGAATGAATCCCATAGACCTGTGTATGGAAGCAATGCGCCAATCGCATATCGCAATTCCCGGTTCTCGTAAGCGCGTCTGACATACGTATAACTAGTGCCGGTTTTTGCTTTCCAATCTATAACACTTGGGTTATTTTGAGACCACAACGACTGAAGAATTTCCAAATCCGCGGACTGGTATGCAAGCGGGTAGCTCTCATTTAAATACCGCTTGAGGTGCTCTGGGATATCTGAGCGCGGATGTCAGCATGTTTTTGGTTGTCAGCAAGGCGAGCCTACCAGCCGCAAAGAGACGAACGACCCACCACTTCTCTCCAAAGCCTAGGGAACGCTTAGCAGCTTCCAGGAGGTCCTGCCCCTGGACACATGGCAGTTGAATATCTTGCTCTAGAGTGAGAAGTGGTGGCGTTCGTGGATCGTAAAGCGCGTTCACATCAATGCCATGTTGTGAAACTGCTCTAACTAGAATTTCCGACGCTATGGTTACCGCAATCGTATGCAATGGGTCTTCTCGTGAATATTGACCAGCTTTGAAAAGCCGAAGATATCGACGCACATTCTTTTCATTGTATATATCCCCAACAATGTGACCTAAATGTACTTTGATGAATCCGCGAAAATATGCAGACAGTTCTGATGAGCTAGTATCCATGACGATAATGTGTAGAATTTTCTTTGGGAAGCAGAAATAGAGACTATCATCCTTTTATATTGCCAAACTCAATTTTTCCATGTTACTTCATTCCATGTTCAATTTTGACCAATCTCTGCTCTCCTCGTGCATAAAGTACCAGCGTTCACAAAACGGAAAAGCAGTTAGATTATGAGGCTTCAAACACCATGCTGCCGGTTCCGGAGGGGCTTTCAGGAGAAAATCGCACTCGCGATTTGTTAGTAAAGGTTTGCCTCTTCTAGAATTGACTTACTTGAAATAGTTCTCGATAGGTGGCGCTCTTGGTCATCTCGATGAACTCGCAAGCTTCACGCGACACATCTCTTGGATTATTTACATGCATTCTCCCATCTTCCAAGATTGTGTGGGGGTTTTTCAAATGAATCAAAACCAGCGCCAGTCCTTGTAGATCTCCTCTTCTGTGCTCTAAAGTCTTGCCTTGGAGCATGCTTTCTCCGATATTGGCTAGACACGGTCAGCTTCTCATCATCCGTGGTCAATTGGATACCATACCGATTTTGACCTGTCCTGACTGACTTAGCACCAAGTCTGAAAGTTTTATAGATCCATGGCTGATCTTGAGTTTTTCATGGATATACTGAAGACCCGTGAGGACTTGGCGACAGACTATGGCGATATCAGCTTCGGTGAATTGGACATTTGGACTAGCGTGGACCATAGATAGCGGTAGATCGCAGCGATCAAAGTCATAAATCAGATAGGTGACATTCTTTGAATGAAACACTTCTTGTAAGTTGATCAGGTTGGCTTGATCGGTTTTATGGAATTGAAGTTTTTGGTGACTCGTAGCCTTGACAATTTTGACAAAAACCGTGCGGAGTCCTTGACAGTTTTCGAAACCAATCCATCCTGCGCCCGCTTGATTAAACTTATGAGACAAAATGTATTTCGTAGACGGATCCTCCTCTTTCCATAACAGGTCATCTGGAGGTTGATCTGTCGTTCTTGCAGTATCAAGAGGAGTAACCAATGTGTCCTTTACAGATCGCAAGTCTTTAAGAGTCTTGGGAAGGATGGTTTTGCGGGAAGCCTCCTTTCGAGACATACTAAATAACTGAGCTTGTAGATGCTAGATGCTGGAAAGGGTTGGTTGGTTATAGAACAACTAGTCAATGCTTTATATGCTCTGATGAATTGGGGTCTTCACAACGATTTGTGCTGTATCCACTAAAGTTTACTATGGTTCTGCTTGTTTTTCTTATTTGCAGTCTGCCTCGCACATCTCCGCCTTTAATGAATGTATAGTATCAAAAACAAAAAAAAATAAGTAAAATCAATGTCCAAGTTGTTCGCTTTTGCTTGTAGCACAGTAATGAAACACATGATGATCTGACACGAATATACATCTAGTGATCCGAAACAATTCAAGGGCAAACGTTCTGAATTGGCCGGGACCGTGGCGGGAGAACGCTTGAGACGAAACGGGAAGCTTACTGACACGAGGACGCTGCTGACACCAAATGGGAACTTAATGTCACTAAACGAAACGAGAACACCACTGAGACCAAACGGGAAGTTTACTGACACGATCGAGAACGCTACTTACACCAAACGGGGACACCACTGACATCGAACGAGAACTTTTACGACACCGAATGGGGATCATCTACCAACACCAAACGGGAACGCCTACTGACATGAAATGGGAATGTTTACTGACACGAAACGAGAACGTTACGACACCAAACGGGAACGCACACTGACATAAATGGGAACGTTATCGACACCAAATGAATGTTACGACACCAAATGAATGTTACGACACCAAACGGGATCGATACGACACCAAACGGGATCGGTATGACACCAAACGGGATTGGTATGACACGAAACGGGATCGGTATGACACCAAACGGGATCGGTATGACACCAAACGGGATCGTTACCAGCACCAAACCGGAACGTTGCGACATCAAACGGGATTGTTACCGACATCAAATGAATGTTACGGCACCGAACGGAATCATTACCGACACTAAACGGGAACATTATCGAGACCAAATGAATGTTACGACACCGAACGGGAACGTTACCAGCACTAAACGAGAGCGTACACTGACACCAAATGAGAACGCACACTTAACACCAAATAGAACGTTACTGAAACCAAATGGGAGCATTACCGACACCAAATGGGAACACCACTGATACTGAATGGGAACATTACTGACATCGAACGAGAGCGCACACTGACACCAAACGGGAACGCACGCTGACATCGAACGAGAACGTACACTGGCACCGAACGCGAACTTCAACGACACCAAACGAGATTACTTCTCAACACCGATAACACGAAACAGGATCACATAGTCACGCTAAGTAATTTTGGAAGAAAAAATAAAGGTGCAGTCCCGCTCTTAGGTTTATAAAGATCATGTGACCTTCGGGCCGATATTTATCGGTACGGGATAGAACACATTACCCCTTTAGATAGCTTGCTCTAGGACAGATAAGGCAGAGAGAGGGAGAATAAGAACGTTGAAAACGCTCTATCGAGAATCCATCAGTCCCCAAAGGGGAACGTACAACTGATATCTCTACTACTGCTCATAATCCCTGGCAACCAGAACTTCCTCTAGAATCTTTACAAGTTTTATGGACCGCAAGCATGTCAGTAGTTACGGAGTCTACCAGCGCCTACGATGTATGTCTAGTTGCAATTTACGCTCAAGCCTTGGTTGTAGAATGTAATTATGATCAATTATCAATCTGTCAAAGGCATATCATGGCTTGATGTATTATGCCAACTGACACTCTATCAAACTTTCTCCGCCGTTGATATGACTCCAAATATGGACAATCATAAATCCTGCATCCGTAAGAAGTTGGTGCCATTCACTTTCTCGTCGTTCTCGAGCAGACGCAAGAGTCATCAACATCAAGTCTAGCCCAGTAATCTGCCAGTCCGCTTTCTGATCAGGAACGACGTTCTCGTTGATGAGTAGCTTGCTATATCCGGGAGCCATTGCGTCTGAGATGTGTCGTAGGATACGCCTGCATTCTGCATCAGGCCAATCATGTAGGACCGAATGAAGATAGTACGCCCTTGCACCTGTACAAAGTTAGTGCTGGCTGGTGAAATGAGGAGCTCATTCAGACCTTTGATAGGTTGTTCGGTAAAAAAGTCGTGGGCCATGAACTCGACTTTTCCCGGTTCGTTAGGAACCTGTTGAATCACATCGGCCTTATCTTGCACGATAAGTCTTCCCGGGGCAGATGGATGCTTTTGATGGAATTCTTGTAGGTCATGGCCGAATCCACCACCAATATCTACTAAGAGGACCGCGTTTGGACCAGGTTTCACAAGGTTGAGAAGGGCATTCTCCACGGGATAAAAGTCGCGGTCCATCCAACTTGGCCGACCTTGATGATATGCACTCATATGATGATTGAATTGCTGGCATATTGCAGGACGCTCTGACACCCATTGGAACCAGTGCTGAGAAGTTTCATAGGCAAACTGAAAAGGGCCTGCGGTAGCCTCATCCGGGTTGCGATATCCAGTGGATCGAAAATATTCCGGAAGCCTGTAAATCGCTTTCATTGCGCCTTCCGCCCTAATAGCCGTCAGTCACTAGCATTCTATAGAGAAGTAAGCCAATCCTACATGCAAGTAAAACCACCAGCGTACTTGGAGAGAGCTAGTGCTTTGGATAAATTCGTGGCAAGATAGAGATCCGGTGCACTCTCTTGAAATATGCCCATCGCCGATAGATGTTTCATGAGCCGACCTGGGGCAAAAGTGATTAAAAATCAGACCAGCGGATTCAAGGGAGAAATGAAGACAGACTGGTTAGAATTGGATCCATCTCAGTGACCCGAGCAAGGTATTCAACCGGTACGGGCTCGTTCGGGGTCTGGCTCATGTACGAGAAAATCCCACAGTCGATAGCAACAATGATAGCACCGTATAGGGTTGGCTAGACTCTTAGTCAAGGAAAATCATTCCAGACAGGGCAAATCTCACCTCTGCCCAACACAGTCTAATCACAGTCTCCCGTGGAGTCTCCAAGGCCTGCACGAGAAGGCGAGCGATTCGCAGCAGATGCAGGCGATGATGCTCGTTTATTGGGAGGTCTAGATATGGAAGCATGTCCGTGATGAGATGCGGCACGGTAACTACATCACCGGCCTGGATCGCGACCGCATCCAGTGAGGAAGAAAATTCATCAAGTTTCACGGCCATTGTTTGATGACATGCACTAGTTTGAGAAATCAGATCTTTGGAAATGTCCCAGAGCCAGCCTTTTATACAGGGGACTCACGCTAGTGTTTAGCGTCTATTTGCTGCTCCGATTCCGGTTTGGGATCAAACTGTTTCTGAAATGATTCAGAGAGTACAGTTGGTGGACGGATCACGAACCATAGGCGGACCATATTCGATCAGGAATGAACGGCAGCGTGCTTGTTAGGCGATATTCCAAGACCGATCAAATATAAGACAGGGCAGCACCATGACTTTTCATTCAGTTAACAACACCTATGATGGCTCAAAACAGAGGCCCAACTATCCTCATTGCGATGTGGACCACCACGTCAATTGCAACACTCTTCGTCGCTGCAAGGTTGTTTACACGAATCAGGATCTTAAGGGATATTGGCCTTGATGACTACTTGATCGCAGCTTCCATGGTAAGGATCCTATTTCTTGTCATTCAATTCTGAATTGATACCATCAGGTAATCGGTCTTTTATTCGTTAGTCTGGAAACAGCCGCCGTCACAGCTGGTGATGGCGAGCATGTCTCTGCACTGTCACGTCACAGTTTCGAAAGAGCAGCAATGTTAAACACTGCGGCATATGCTCCGGGTATCGTATCCTTTGTTCTGCCCAAGTTAGGGGTAGTGGCCCTTCTATGTCGAATTTTCAACCCGACTCGGCGCTGGAGGATCTTTCTGTGGGCTTTCGTGGGGGTCAGTGGGTTGGTCATCTGTGGATGCATTATCATCCTTTATACGCAATGCAGTCCGATGAGAGCCATGTGGACACCCGGCTTGGGAAAGTGCTGGAGTCCAAGTATCGTGGTTGACTATTCCATCTTCGCAGGCGGTATTTCAACGCTGACATATTTCCCTACTTAAATGCTAACTGTGGCTAGCACTCTCGGCTTTTCTGGACATCTTTCTTGCAATCTATCCCGCAGTGATACTGTGGAATCTCCAGATGGCAACCAGGAGAAAAATCCTACTCCTCAGTGCTTTCGCTTTAGGATCCTGGTAAGTGTCATGGATATTATCTAAGGAAATATACACTAATCAATGCAAGTGCTGCTATCGTGGCTGTCGTTAAATGTACTCATATTCCAGGACTAGCAAATGAATCCGACCCGACCTGTGAGTAGCATCCACACGGATCACAGCTCACATAACTAACCGTAGAATACAGATAGCACATCAGAACTCGTTATCTGGACGAAGTAATATATTCCTGCTTTGGGCGTGGCATCGCTGACCTAGCCTAGTGTTGAGTCCAATTCGATTATTATTGCTGCTTGCATCCCCTCGTGCATACCTCTAATTGAGACGTTATGCTGCAAAAGAAGGGCAAAGAGCTTTCGTGGCAAACAGGAGATAACGCCACCATCGAGGAGCAGGACCTCGCAGAAACCGAATAATGCAGTGGATAATCAACTGTCGTTGTCTGAGATTCGAAGAACCGATGAAATTTTTATCTTCATCGAGTAGAAATTTGGCTGAGGGAACGATGCTATTAGTAGGAAGTAGGTACATTGGATAAATGTAGATAAGTCAGGGCAGGATAAATACCAGATTTTCAATGGTGTCTACCCCCCGTAGACTTCAAATGCTAGTTTCCGCTGTAATTACGAATGATCATCCGAAACATCTAAGATCTTTTACGCTTCATGCCTTTTTCGATGGAGAGTTATCTTGGGGTGACCTCTAAAGTCGTTAAACTGTCTTGCGTTAGAGCAGGGGCGCTGAATCTGAAAAAAGGACATCATTATGATATTGTCGGCACCGAAAGACGTCGAAGAATAGATGTAGTGAATAATCAAAAAGCACAAATGAAGGATGGCAAGATGAGATCAGAGCAAAGCATATTTTAATTGACTTTTGCTACCTAACTATCTAAGGAAACGAAGAAGTGATCAACGGTGCAGTTATTCAAGAGACAGTTTTCTTAACGTTCATTCCTCTTTGTTGACCATCGCAGACATTCTGGTCATCATTTCATTCATTTGGGTCATGATATTGGCGGTCATCTTTTGCATTTCAGCCATGATCCTGGTTTCCATATCATCCTTCATGGACTTGATCTCTTTCACCTCCTGCCGAATCTGATCAATTTCCTTTCTCAGTGCTGCGTTCTCCACATTCGAACTCTGTAGAGTGCTTGTATCGTCGTCTTTCAAGGCTACTCTAAAGGACGGCTTCTGACCCCGTTCTTTCCAGTAGTCATCAAAGCGATGACCCGCTTCGTCACCGTAGAATTTGGTCCAAGCGGACCGAGTGAACACTTCATACCATTCGGCATTGATGTTCGGATCACGAATACCGATGACACAGTGTTCTGGAGGCATGGTCCTACCCGTGGGTGTTCGTGGTGCCTTCCGAACTGCACCGAGAAACAAGAGATTATCAACCCCCGTTTTCTTTGTCAGCTCCAACAGGTCAGAGAAGTATTTGCGTGAGTATGTGATGCCATGGCGGCGCTGTCCATAGTACTCCCCTATCTTGAGCTTGCTTTCCTTCCCGTCTTTGAAATAGCCATCGATCGCACTCTGGCCGACCTCTTTACCGGTTTTCATGGAGTATTCACCATCATTCCAGACCAGAAAATTGTACCGTGGCGGTCTTTTCTCCTTTTTTGCCTCTTCACCGTTGCCATCGTCTTTTGGCTTCTGTGCAAAATATTCATTATAGCGAAGTATTTTTCCCCCGTCAAGTGTCGATCCTGGGGAGACAGACACACCAATCTTGGTAGACACACTCCTGGAGCCCATCAGCTCAGACAGAAATGAGCTGGAGACAGGTCTTTTTGCTTCGGGTAAGGGCTGATTTTCGTCACCATCATCGCTGCCGTCTTCCATGAGGTCATCCTCCTCCCCCCCCTCGTACTCCTTTATGGCATCCAACAGTACTGTACGTGGTCAGCGAGAGACAGATGACACTCATGTCAATATTTGTATACTCTGCATAGCCTTTTCTGCTTCGGGTTCTTTGTTCCATTCTGGGCTCAGGAGCCATTTCCAACTTGCTACCTTCACTTCTCGGTCCTCGTCACTCGTGGCTTCCAACAAGTCCACGAGCCCCATGTCCGGGTTCTTGAGGGCCCTGTTAATGGCATTTTTGGACGAGGCAACCGTCTTCGAAAGAGAAATCTCTGCCTGCTCGACCTCTGTGGATAATCAGCCATGGTCCTTTGCCGTTCCACATCACATACTTTGAAGTGCTTTCTTGGCCTCCTCCGAGGTTTCCTTGTTGAGTACCTCTTTCAGAGCTGGTACTCGAGATTGGAAGGCCTCAGTAGTCCGAACACCTAGAATGCCAAAGTCAGTGTCACTGTCCTCGATGCTTTTAATCAGAGCTGAGATTCGTTCGGCTCGTGTTTTAGCATTGTTCTTTTTTGAAGGTAGCTGTGGCGGCTCTGGTGTGCTTTCAGGCGTAAAAAGCCCGGTAGAGATCGCTTTGCCATCTTTAGTCTTCTCTTTGTAGGCGTCTACAAGTGCCTGAGGAATTTCAACAGATTGAACAAGCGCCATTTTGATTATTGGTGATGCTGTCTTGATGGCAGTAGAGACAGAGACAAAATTTCAATTGTAGACAAGGGGAAGGGGGCCTTTTTATATGAATTCCAGTCACGTCAAAGACAGCCTTTGACCAGTGCGCTGGACTGCCACGTACACAATGCATCCGAACGGTTACAATTGCTGCTGGAGTTCTGTTCGCCAGCGTAGAAGAGCAGCATGTCTCATCTCTTGCTCATGTTCTCTTTCGATATCCGCCAATATCACGTAGCGAAAGTATGCGGTCAGTGTCGCAGACACAACCATCACCACGACGGTTAGAATCACGGTCAGAAGCGCCATGATAGACCAGTCCCCGTCTTGCGCGGAATAGATATTAACCAGTGTGGTCAGAAACCCGGCCAGTGAATTGACGATCGTAGGTCTATGGGGCCATTAGCCGGACGCCTAAATTAGGATGGGCTACTGACCGGAATAACTGAGAGAGCCAAATGTAGTTGTACCGCCACCTCCACGCGAGCCATACCAATACAGCCGCTCCGAAGACAAAACAGATGCAGGCAATCGCTAACAGTGGCGGGTTTTTAACCATCTGAACGATTCTGGCTGACGTGCCGTTCAGCAAATTTGATCGTTGAAGCGAAGTAAACGTGCCGGGAATCACCAAGTAACCGGCTAGAAGAATCCACTGTGAGACCGCTGCTAAAGTCTTGTGACTGAGTGGGATTCTTCGATCACATTCTTCGAGCATGATCATGTATCGGGTTCGAACCACGATTTGGGTGTCTGCTCTGGGCGTGGAGGCATGCAAATGCAGGATCGGCGCCATGTTTGAAAGTGGTCAGTAAAGTTCTTCTACAACCAAGACGTGTATGCCAATATATACAGAAAACGTTCCATTTCTTGTTTACGAAACATCTAACACCAAACGGGAACGGTTACAAGACGGGAACGTGTGCCCACAATGGACACCAGAATCGGTTGCCCTTCATCTTTAAAGACACGGTCTGTTCTTGGACATCGGTACTTTGAACCCGCATGGCTTCTGACACCGGCTTATCGCTCCTATTCGAGCGGATGGAGCTGAACGCCATTGAACCTGAACAGTCCGCTGCTGTTCTCCCTGGGCAAAATCTACGAAAAATTGCTCTTCAAATTGGCGCGTTGGAACGAAAGAACCGAGATCTGTCCAATACCAACCGCAGATTATTCATGTTACTTCAAAACTACCACAAACAAAGACGGTCGTAAAGATTTGTACCTGGCCGTCGCTCCTTCTACCAAATACAAGCTTCGCTCCTCTTAGGTACTTACCCATTCGATTTGATGTGCGTCTTTGTAACATTATCTTACTACTGATTTTAACGTTTTGCAGAGATGCTCAGCGATCTGCCCGGAGTGATGATCCCGGTTACTTCCATTGAGACTTTGATCGCATCACCCCAACCTCAGCAACTTTAATGGGCAATTACTAGCATCCACCGATATATCTTTGCTGGCTATTACGGTTATCTCCTCATTGAGTATTGCAATGCCAAGTTTTCATTCGATGCTAAGGTGGCCTTGCTCGTCTACCGGGTCGACGCCGTGTTATCTACTATCATGTTAGGGTTGGGATCTTGTGATGTTGATTCGATTGTATACTATAGAGCAACATGAAAGTGGATGAAGAACGCCATTACTCCAATCCCACTCTTTGGTAATGACAATGTGATTTTCACCATTTCTAACTCAGATTGCCTGTTCCGTAGGGCTTTTTTCTAGATGGGTAGAATTTTAGAAATACGACCAAAAGCTACGCTTCCACTCCCACGGCTGGAACTCCAACTCTAGCAAGTCCACCGGTTGATGTTTTCGAGCCATTCTACGGAAAACGTCACGAACTCCCGCTTTTGCAGATACTACATACTGTCAGCTATCCATCGATTGAATTGGGACCCGGTCGTACCTGTTATCAGCATATCGCCCACCTGCTTTTGCAGTTCCTCTCGCAATTCCTCTCGCCAATCGACATCCCCTCCCCAAATTTTGATCAACTCGTGTTGACCAACGTCATGCGGATCTTGAGATGGCCGTAGAGAGGGATTGAATATGCGTACCCGAAAATGCTCATACATTATTTAGCAAATACGCCACACCATTTCGCGGGCCACTTACATATCCACTGTCCTGGGAGACAAGCTCTTGTAGCCAATCTTGCACATCATCGTAATCCGCTACGGAGATTTCAGTGCCACACACCAAGTAGCATATAGTCCTTGAACTGACCTTCCAAATCCATCTGCCATATCAGGACAATTTTCTGAGTCCGTACGACTCCGCGCCGATAGCCCTCCAAGAGTTGTTTGATGTAAGGGATCTGAGCCCCAACTCCAATCCCTGTTGCAACCATAAAGATATGACCGTAGTCTGATATGGGAGTGCCTAGTGCTCGATCTGGCCCGTATGGACCATCTATCCAGGCCCTATGGCGAGTGCTAGGCAACATCTTTAGCTTGTTGGTGAATCCTGAGCGCGGTTTCACGAGCAGCGTGAATGATTCTAACTTCCCCAACTCATTATTGTCCCACCACGTAATCACAAAAGGGTGCATTTGAAAGACGGACATCAGTCCCGCACTGGGGATACTGAGATTGACCCTCTCTCCTGCTCGAACTGTCCATGGGCGAGCCGGAAACACGATGACCTCTAAATTATTTCCCTGGTGATTGATCAAACATTCTGCACGTCTGGCAAATGCCAGATTCCGAACTGCTATTCGTAAGATCTGAATCAAGAATGTGAGGGCATACGCGGCAGCGGCACCGGCGATGCACCAAGTGGATAGTGCTGACTTGTTGTAAGTGTGCCTCCAAGTTGCAAATACTAGACCCAAAGCACAGGCACGATGTGATTGCGAAAAAAACTCGTAGACACGTGCCTTAAAGACGGATGATAACATGAGCGAAGCAAAAATGATTGATGCCTGTCGGTTATTATTTTTAGCAGAGCCTTATCGAATGCGAGCAAGAACATACAGATATTCCATACACGACAGTGCCATCGTGAACATGCACTGGTGCCGACGCTACCTCATAAACTCCGTGGGCGAGGCCTTGAAGAAATGCCATGGTTCCCAACAATCGGTGAACGCTATGAAACAAATCAAGAGACACCCCAAAAAGATGAGCACCGACCTCATGACTGCACACCATAAGAGGAACAACGTTTGCAAGACAAAGCTTAGCCGCCCGGGAACTGGCTTCGGCGAGAGTCGAAACATAGATCACGTTACTTGCTACAGTGCCACCGAGGTATATCGCCAGCAGAGCGATCCGAGACCAGTCCTTGGGAAGAACGCCCGAGAGACGGCTGCGTGGTCGTGGAAGGCTGAGACGGTGCACCAGATGCTTAAGTCTGGGGTACAGATAATGAAAAACGGTGTGGGACAGGCGAAATGTAAGAAGGAAGATGACAATGCACCCAACAGTCAATGAATATGCTTGGCTAATGTCAATGTCCCCCAGAGGTGCCATTCTTGAAAACTAAATACATGCAAACGAGCAGATAATTTCAGCGAGAAGCCCATGTGTCAAGGTGACACTGAAACCTTTTAAGTAAGATTGCACCAGAAGTTAGGTAGGTGGCTCAGGGACGACGATGTCCCAGAGATTATTCTCTTCTGTGACATCCTCCAAATCAGTGCCGTCCGTAGAGTAGTCCATATCCAAATCATCTGCGGAGTCTTCCATGTCAAGTTCGGAGCCGATGTGACTTCTGTGAGGTAGAGCGGTGGTCTGGCCGTAAATCTTCTCGAGATCCTCTATGGTGAGTCTTTCAACAGTGAATGCATTTCCCTATGACGATGTTAGTATCGTTGGAGACAACCTTTAATTGGAGTCATACGAGAATTTCCTCTGCAGGTAGATGATAGTTGCCTGCAGTGACCACGGTGGCCTCTGTGCCATTCACCATCAAGACGTGAAATTCCACATGGCAGAAAGTGAAGAATTCCCAGAGTTTCTTCAACACTGTCCGTTTTCTTTTTTCATACTTTGTGCGAACTCTGCGATCGTGGATGTGAAGGACCATCGTGCGCAAAGAATGATCTGTTCGTTTGAAGGAAACAAATAATCAAAGATAGAGGAGCCTCAAGACAAAATATACCGTATGAATTTAGCGCACGCAAACCCTTTTCCGTCTGTGTTCCGCAGTGAGGTTGGAATTTCGTCTCCGGCGCCTACCACGAAAAGGCAACCGACTGGGATCACATGCAGGACATGGTTTCCGAACAGGACATCCATGATCAGCTTTTCCAAACGGGGAATCTAGTTGTTGTCGATTGACCAACTTGGTAGGGGTGGATGGAAATGAATTGATCCTCCATTTACCATATCGACCAGATTTGATGTAGACCTGAATACACTGGGCGGGGTCGTGACAGCGTAACGAAACAGGCCAACAGAACCGGTTGCAAGACGGGCAGATGTCCCTTTCAACACGAATCGGTCCAAGACAGTGGGAATCAGTTACAAACTCAAGTGGATCCGGAATCAACTGCTGCAGCGCCGCCAGAAGTGGACCAACTGGTCCCTTGCACCGAATGGTTCCATGACACCAAAATGGAACATGGTGGAGTTGGGGGACCGAGTCGAGTTCGAAAAAGAAGCGCGCCGTAATCAAATCCACAGTAGCCTCCTTTGCCATACGTGCGCTTCCGGGATGGCGTATAACCAGATTGCGGTAATGGTCCATCATCGCAACATTATCCAATGCTGACGAAGTTTCTTCTAAAGGCACATTCAGACGACGAAAATTTCCTGCGATTGAGTCATCCAGTTGGCTCTTCATCTCGCGCCATTTGCTTTCCCCATCCAAAGAGGTCATCCAGGCGTTGAAAGCGCGACGGAGAAATCCGTCGACAATCGAATTTCGGAAGTGAGGCAAACCGTCATCGGCCGACAGTGGGGGACTACCTGTGCCCAACGATAGCAATCTCGCTGGCTCGCGAGAGCCTGGCCAGATGGTTCGACTAGCGCGGCGAGCGATTCCTCCGGCAAAGTTGTCAGTCAAACCTCCATCTTGGAAAGTACCCGCTGGGAGATCAATTGGAGGGAACATGCTGGAACAGATTAGCCTCCTTTGCAATCTTTCACGGTGAGAACTTACAAAGGCGCTGCGGCAGTTGCTCGGGCCCTGTTCCCGGCCTCAGTATGATTTCATTATATCGTTAGCGGAAAAGAACTCACGCTTGCCATACTTGAAGCTCATGTTGAATATTCGTAGGCCGAATGAGTTGGTAGCCTGAACCGTTAGCGAGTGGGAGAGTGGGAGCAAAGACAACCTTACCGCAGTCCTCAGATGTGCCATTGACAGCATTGAAATTGCCCATCATCACCGTCTCGGTTTTCGCCCCGATACTAGTTGCCACCACTCCAAACTTCGCTCCGGACTTTATGGATCCGGATGAATCGCGGCAGTAGTTACGAAGTAGAAACTGATTTCCATAAAGTTGTTGCAGGATCGCATCAAAGACCAAACCGTCATAGCAGCTATCATGTCTCCACCATGAGTACCATTGGCGCATGCGCCCTAGCATAGATGGAGGCAACCACGGGAAAGCAGGACGGCGGCGCTTCTCAAACAAACATAGAGCAAGGCGATTGAAGATTGCTGCGCACTCTTGAATCGGTAGACCCAAAGCCCGAAGACCTAAATCAGTTAAGCCACCGGAGCTAGTGCTCACATCCAAGTCGAACACGTCTTGGAGGCGACATTCGCCCAGGTATTCTTGAATGAGGATCAGGAACTCAATAGGTATCACCCCTCGAACACCTCCTCCGTCAATGGCCAGTATACTAGGGCCCATGGTGGGGGGCAGGACGTCGATAGTCATCGAGATGGTATCGCAACAAAGAAGACACTGGTCCAACGAGAACTGATATTCAGTATCCACTGAGGCGCTACCAAATTTCTGCGCGCAAAGATCACACAGCGCATGATCACACGGCGGGAAATGCTGTGCCGCCTGGACCAGACAATAAAGGCATATGCGATTGGATTTTATCGCCGAGTAATGTCCAGTTTTGGCAGTCATCAATTGTTTCCGTCGGTTAAGTGAAGTGTAGGTAGCAAGATGAGAAAACTCGGTAGCCATCTCAGACTCCATCACGGCGACTAGGGTCTTTGGTGGGGAAGGTTTCGTGGCTAGAATCATAGGGCGATACAAAGTCTGGAACACTAGTCTTGGATCCATCACTGGTTTCAAATAGTGAGTTTGCGCGTGCAAAAGAGAACAAATAAAAACTCACACGGCATCTCCGGTGAATAATGATCCATAATTAGAGCGGATGCGATAAAGCGAGCAGTATCCAAATCAGGTAGCTCCGCCTCGATGCACTTTTGATAGATTTCATTGATGCTACGTCCCACGTCTGCTGGTATACCTTGTGTCCGAGACGCACGAACAAAGTCGTAGGTATAACTGTGGGTCGTCGCCAAGCATGCCATTGCTGACTGGAGAAAGCCCTTCAGCTGCACCCCAGACAACTGTCCGATGACATGCTTGCGTAGCTTACGTACCTCTTGTGAGCGGGTCTCTAATAAAGTCTTGAGCGTGTCACGGGTGGACTCTATAGAAAAGACGCTGACAGCGGAAAACGCCTCGGAACGCAGCGCAGAACCAGCAGTAGCGGACCACGCAGAGCACGATCTGCCTGTAACAATGATCAGGTGGGGACGAGCCTCAAGCGGCAGGCCATCAACTGCGCAGTGCTTTGTAAGAGCAGCGAGATCGACCCCGGTTGGGAGATCCTCGGCAAACATGCAAATAACATCGGCAAAAAGGAAAAGTACCCTAGAATACAACCCGTGAACGACATGCGTGGGAGCGCCTACATTGTAGTCAAGATCGTAACGCCGGTCTCCCCTCGCGAGACTAGAGTTGGGTAGAACGGAAGCATTCCACGGATCGCCATCGGCAAAAAGAATGGGTGAATCACTAGCTGCAGTTGCTTCGTCACCTCGCAATCGAATGGTACCTGCATCAGCTCGAGTAAAAGCGTTGGCTGGGAATAGATCGTGCAAGTGCTTATTTTTTTGGGCAGAGCCCAAAAAGACCCATAATTGAGGATATTGCTTGGTTGGATTTGGCAACCCCTGCACTAAGTATTTCAGACAAGCGCTCTCGAGAATGGTGTATCTACCTGCACCAACAGTGGCAACGTCCAACCAGCGGCCGCTTCGAATGCGTCGCATGTTGTTTATTACGATTTAATGATATGAAAGTCGACGCTGGGAACAATTCTTTTATAGTGCGAATTTTGATTTGCACCAAGTTTTAGATCACGTTCGTACCACCGTCTCTACACTAACACCAAGATTGAAACAGGGACTCGTCATGTGTAGACTTTACGAATGAAATCCAAATGGAATTAATCTTGCGCTAATGTAATCAATTGCGTTTACATGCAAAGTGTCCGAACTTGTCAGAACACGTATACACAAGGAAATAATCACAGTTCCTGAGACCAAACTTTCACACTGCCCTACTCCGACGGATTCGGTGGTTGTTCCTTTGGCGATTTGACGCAACTGTGTTTTCGTTCTCGCCCCGCATATACTTCATTGCATTGACGGCCTTGTCCAAAGTCTCCTTCATGTCGCTAGCCCAGACCTGCAGATTTTCAACCTTTCCAGACAACTGTGTATGCTGCAAATCTCTGGTCTTATCCTTAGCGTAGATCTCGGGAAATTTGGACTGTAGGCCCTCAATGTTCTTGGACATTTCGCTAAGTTTGGCTTGTAGAATCTTTAGCGTACGCCTGGATGGCAATTCCCTAATTCTGTTGTTCATTCGAAGGTTGCCTTTGCGATATTTGCTAGTAATGGTTGAGCTTCTCGGTTTCCAGTTGAAAGACGCTCAGCTTACTATAAACTTTCTTCGAGAGACCTGACACGTTCCTCTAGGAGTTTGTTTTCAGTCTCACTTTCATCAGATAGCTCTTCCTCCTGGCTATCGTCGGGATCTATCCCTGCTGTCTGAGGCGGTGCTCTTCCAACCTTTGGCGCAACCCACGGCGCTCCTGTTGTTGCTTGAGATGCTTGGTTTTGGAGATTTGGACTGGGTTCGTTGGTTATACCCGCAGGCATATAATCGTTGTCAAAGTTATATGCATTAAGCCACTCATCCATTTCGTTTGCCATTTTGAAGGTGATTTGTAGTTAAATCGAGAAGTAAGGAGGAAGGTATTGTACTGCTTAGATATTATTTTTAAAAACGAACACAAAACCTCGTACAAAGATCTACCGTCCACTGTGATCTGATTGGACCGCGAGACACTTCATTAGGATCCGTGGACATCATGATTGGGCCATCTTCCACGCGGACCGTTCCGTAACCTTGGTTACCCCCTGTCAATTGAATTTTAGTCAGGTTACATTCAATTTATACTGTTCGATTCGATCCGGTCACATTGACTCAAAACGGTTCAGTCACAGTTGATTCAGAACGGTTCGGTCACAGCTGATTCAGAACGATTTGGTCAAACTTGATTCAGAACGATTCGGTCAAACTTTGCTTCAGAACGTTCCGGTCACAGCTGATTCAGAACGTTCCGGTCAAGCTTGATTCAGAACGATTTGGTCAAACTTTGCTTCAGAACGTTCCGGTTACAGCTGATTCAGAACGGCTCAGTCACACGCGACCGAGGATGATTCAGTCACGCTCGACTCTCACTAATTCAGGGCGACTCACTTGACCTCCTCATAAAGCTTGCGCTGTAGCCTCTGAGTAGACACAGCCAAAGCGGGATAATCACCTACGATACAGTCACTATGACCGTGAGTATACCTTCATATGGTAAATTCTAAGACTAATACCTTGGAAAGGACGCAGAGGACGTGAACTCCTCAGAAGAGACTAATCATTCTCACGGAAATATTACTCGTCTGTTATCACGTGCAAGCAAAGCCGAAGGAGAGCTTGCTCTACTACATCAACAATCAATAAAGGAGCAAGCTGAGAGACAGAGACTGGAACACCTTCTCAATGGATTGCAGAGAAAATATCGCGCACTTCAGGAAGCAATGACTATGGCTGAGTCCCAGTATGCAGCTCAAAACCGTGCAATTGAACTACTCGGGCAACGATTGCGATTTCGGATGAAACAACTTAGAGGTGTTATGTGTGTGTTGACGGAGGAGTCATGGGTTGAAGAGGAGTTCGAGATTGCATCCAGTTAGGCTCCGTTTTGTATATAAAAAGTGTGTATCTTAGAGGGAGGAATTATTTGTGTTCCTCTGCATTTAGTTTGCCTGGTACGAATGCATGATTCCTTGCAGTGGAATTAATCGAAAAGACAAAATTGCCTCACATCCGTCTGCATATCGTAGACATATCGTAGAATTAGTCTCTTTGACTGACCGGCTGGCCAACTAGCCAACGTTACAATTGACCAAGGAAGGTTTTCTCGAAGGGGTAAGCGAAGGGATGAGACGTCAACTTGACGGGTGGACCGAAGATACAGCGGATTTCTTCGCCCATCCATCAAGGGACAGAAGGATACGATATCGGGTAAAATTAGTTGAAAGAGATCTCGCTAGGGTACCAAGCTTCTAACAAATTGCCAAAATAACTTCCTATTCAAGGCAATACACTTATGCGCTAGTGTCCTACAACGCTATTTTCTGAACGAAAAATTAATTTCTCTATGATGCAAATTTTCTAATTTTTTTGAAGGACCTAACAATACTAGTGCCATCCTGAACCATGGGACGCCAAATGTTGGGTTAAGAGGAACAGGTCATGCCTTCTATTACGCTCTGATTGGCTAGGGTACACCATTCCTTTACCCACAACGCTATAATCACAAAAACGCCAATCACCATCAATATCCCAAGTGCATTCAGGGTCGTAGTCTATTCACACAGTGGCAACTCTTGGAAAATATGTTGAAGCATGATCCGGTACGGAGAATTCGTGTCACTGAGCTACTTGGCACTGGTGAGAGTGAGCACGGCAGAAGTATATGTGAGTAGATCTTACCATGAAAAAGCCAATATAGCCATCCCACCATAAAGAGCACTATCACACAGCTCGATTGAGCCATAATGTAAAGACTTCGCATGGTGATTCCCGAATGCATTCTGACTGGAAACTTGATTGTTGTTACCAATGTGTTTGAGATCATAAGGAAGGACTGTTCGTTGGAAAGTGAGACGAGAAACGGAACGAAGCTGTCTCGTAGAATATATATGATTGAGATGCAACGCAGCAGCAATGTGTGGGGGTCGGAACGCGTGCACCTCGGTCTACATCAAATTCTAGGTCCACAACTTACTGTACCCTGTTCGAAGGACCTGACTCTAGAAAGCTGGGTCTTATATAATCAGCAGAGCCCTCAGCCAGAGGAAGTCTGGTGTTTTACTAATGTATAGGAAGGAGTAATGGATTCATACCAGGTACATAATTGCTCCTTCATTCCAAATTCCATGCACACTGACTATGCTCGAGCTCGCTATTTCCCTGGCAAACCACCTGGTGACTCTGAAACAGCTGGACGCTGAAAAACTTCGTGACACCATTGACCAGGCTCAAATGATGGTTCCGCTGGACGTTCATATATATCGCTTGCATCGAGACATCTGCATTAGTCTAAGTGATGCTTCTGCCCACAAGAGTATGTCTTTTGGAAGTCATTCAGAAGGTATGACTCCGGCAATGTATTTTGGATCAGATGACTGAGACCGGTGGAACAGGAGATGAAGATTGCTGTCAAGTATCATTGAGTGCAATCGGTGACTCCATGGCTGAGGTGCTAGATCCCGCTGAGTAGGAATTTTCTGGCAACGTGATTTTCTGAATTCCCCAGTCTGCCTTGGTTAAGTATCTCAGGTGGATGTAACCCGTCTGGGAACGCGATTGATAGATTACCAGTTTTGATTTCGGTTCTGTATATTCTTTTATGCTATCGCGAATAAGACCCCTTTTTGGTTCTACCTGGTGAAGCAGAACCTATTCAAATCATTATTCTATGTACTTTGGAGATACTGCTTGCTTTCTTTTTTGTATACTGTCTCCCGTCGGAATTGTCAATTGTTGCAGCAGTGGCAATCAAAATCAATATGCTCTGAGATCTAAACGCTTGGTCAGTATATCACCAAGTGTCCACCTTCAACTTTTTGATATGCTAAATTGTCAAATACTAGCGATGATCTCTCTTAACACGTTTTTAAGATGCCCAGAATCCCACAGGACATATCCCCACAATGTGTGATGCTCAATTATGCTCTGAATCGTCTCGTTATGCCAAAGAAGTGACCATGTAAGAGGTGGCTGGATAATAAAGGCCTCTAGCAATTGGGATACAAACTTGAAACTATTCGTTTGACTTGGAATCAAAGAATGCAAGAAAGTAAGACCTCTTGTCAAAGGTACGCTCAGATAATGAACTCCTACTCCGATAATTTAGCAATCGACTTATCACCAAAAACATGAAGACACCTACGATCGCTGTAGCGTAGGTGAAGGGCGTTGTTCAGGGCAATATCAAAGACATCATTGCAGACGCTCATGGCGAAACAATCGATGCAGAAGAGCTCCTTGATCTGCCAGGGCTCAAAGGAATTCTTGACCAACATGACTGTATCCTCGGAACTGAGGCCTGGATTGATCTCATGAGGACCAAGACCGAAGAGATTGCAACACAATTCGAAACGATACAGAGAGCGCATGATACGGTCTCGTTCTGCAACACTCAATGGCTCCCTGATTTTCCAGACATCATACTTGATCTGTAAAGTCTCCGCATCTTGAATGATATTCATCAATGCCCAATCAGCGTAGCACCGCACAAGGGGCTGAACTACCATGCGGTGAAATTTGGTCATACGAATCAGATCATCCAGACTCAAGTCCTTCGTAAGCGTACCGTACATTAATGAGAGACCGGGACTTTGGTGAGACATGAGGAAATCCCTTGTCTTATGAAACGTGCGTGCTTCTGCAAATGCCTCAGTGCTAGAGATATAGGCAGAGTAGGCTTCGGGGATGGCGCTACCCAACGCAACCTCTAGGCATCGACGAAGCACTCTTTTTCGATTGTAGAGGTATTGTTGATGATAGACTGTAGAGGCCCGTACGAGGCTTTCCAGTCCATGGAGATCCATCGCAGAAAGTATGGAAATCCTGATTTCAGGAGGGAGCCCTTCAAGGTTACGAGTCATATCTTTGCGTCTGGTACACTAACGGTCATACATTTTCTTTTAGTGACAGGTGCTATCATTTATACTATCGACATAAGATAGATCGTGCTCGAGAAAACCTCATATCTTGCAATTAAGCAGCGCAAGAACTAATCGTATCTTGAAAGGACATCATTATCCATCCAACTTGGCCAATCCACGACATCAAAGTTGTCCCAAATGTATTCTTCTGGATAAATGGACATGGCCTCGACGTAGCTTTCGAAATCGGTGGGTGTACCCGGGCACCCATCTGGTGTATCAGGATCTTCGGAGAACTCCAGGGAGGGAGGACGAGGTGTATCCAAGTCATTCTCCTGGAGTATACTTGGTAGAGCCATTGGATTCTCGAAGGAGCGATCTGGAACCACAGTAATGTGGAAACTGCCTTCCGCAAGAGTGGTGTAAATGTTTGGAGGTAACAATTGCCGTATCTCAGTCATCGTTTTCTGTAGGCTGATGGAATCCAGTGCCGTCAAGCGTTTAAGGCTTTCGACGACGCAAAGAGCGAGCTCGGGCAAAGTCAGTGCTAAAATAAACACGTAATGGCCGTTAACTTACCTGGCCAGTCATCTGTTCCCTATCTGCGTCGAGATTCAACTATGGAGGCTCAGTTAATGCTTGAAAATAATAAAGGGTACAACCTTACCGTCGACAATGCGCGAAGTCTATTGGATGACATGTTAAAGCGGAGTGATAATGACTTCTCTGGTCGTTGATACTATTTTCACTATATATAACTTGCCATGTGTCCGTTCGGTCATGCAGATGTTAATGGACCCAAAGAATGGGTGATTATACGGGTACTATTCAAAGTATTGAGCCGGACTGTTCCGTTGATTTCAAATTGGAAACGAGTTCGCGAACCCGAACGGGAACATGTCGACCCTAAACGGGAACACTGAGTGATCTCGAATCGGAACAGCATTGCCCCGCACATGCTAAGACAGTCACCTCACAAAGATTGTTTGATTGTTTGGTGTTGATATCAACGGATCCGAAAATCAGATTCGTCAATCCAAACCATGGTATACCAACTCGAATTTCTACCTGGATTCATGTCATAATCTACTGCCAGAATGGTGCGCAAGCCGCTCGTCCCAGTCCTACGACAGCTTATCATGATACTGACTTACTAAATCCTCCATGGCATACAGAATTTCCTCGTCGAAGTAATAGCGTAGTTCCGATCTATGGACCAAGTTTTCTTCCGGCGGATTTAACGAGTAGCTATCGTCTGAGTCTTGGATCTCGTTAGTATTGAGGATGTGCTGAATCAATAAATCAATACGAAATAGAAATACGTATTCGATTTATTTTTCATGTGAGGATGCTCTATAGTGAACTGATATTACCCTGGAAGGATTCAGCATATCTATCTAGAAAAGAAGTATTGTAACGAAAACAGCTACACGCCAAATCTCGTGTCGTCCATTCATATTTCAGTCAAAGCTGAGTCTATAAATCGGGGACACTACCGCCTTTGGTGGTTCAGATAGCCATGTCAAGATGAAAGTACTTCCTATCATTGCAATTCTCATTGGCGACTCACTTGCATTCAACCTTGGGCCCTGTCCCCTATTAGGTGGTCTTAATGCGTGTTTACCACACCAGAAGTCTCCCTATGTCTCTACTACATTTTCAACGGCAACCACCTCCAGTTTGACAGGAACTATATCGAGTACAAGCATGACATCCAGCAGTTCTACGTCGTCTCAAACATCCCCAGTCAGCCAGAGTACCGGCCACCAGCAGCCGTCTGTCACGCCGCATCCAAGCCTCTCCACACGTACGGTTGTCATCACAAGCACTACCATTGTTTGGAAAACAGCTTAGATAGCTGTTTATACATGCTTTCCTCGCTGTAACTGGGCCCGCTGCTCAGATATCCCTTGGCTGGTCTCTTCGTCATTTTAGTGGAAACGATAGACGCCGGTTGGAATGTTTCATATCTAGCTAGCGCACTCGGAATCTACATCCCGGTTGTAAAGTTTTTCAAAAAAGCACTTGAAGTTTCCTGGCCTCAGCATATTCTAAACTGGTTCTCAACATTGATACCATGTAATCAAGCGACATGATACGAATCTGGGGTTTCTTGACGTGGACTTCTTGAGATTTTGGCTTGCATTGTGCTTTCCGTTGTTTACATTATTGGCACTGCAACTTCTCAGGGTGAAGCTTGACAGGACCTCTCCATCGAGAAACGCGAGTGGATCACGCCTGCGGACATTTGAGCAAACACTGATGGGCTGCATAGGCCAGGACCATTTCGGAAGAATCTCGCACGACTCAAACCGTGCTGCGTACGACTCGGGCTGGTCGAGGCTTGGCTGGGATTCGCGTTCCATGACGACCACTACGTTCGATTTGGACGCTTAAGTGGCGGGCAGGTTTGGGAATTACTGATGCAGTCATTTACAAGACAAATATAAAATAGTAACTCTTGTCCCTAATTTACTCCTAATGTATACTCGGGCATTATCTTCTATTGCACTTGTCATGGATCGTTTCAAATCCAGCCCGCTCTATCCTATAGAGGAGGTGACCCCCGTCGATCACCAGATTTTACATGTTGGAGGCTCCACATCCACTCTGGATCGACTTCCTTCACGCCTTCAACAATCCAAAAGCCAAAGATCCCTGAGCCTCAGGGACGAGCTGGAGGAGCTAGCGTACGAGAATAGCTATCTCAAAGCGGAGCTCGCATGGAACAAGGAGACTCGACAAGTGCTCATGCATCTACATGGCAGGACGCTCGAAGCAGTGTCAATCCTGAGCGAAGCCTTGACCGAAACAACCTCTCAGCTGCGACGGTGTGAGGAGAGATATTTGCAGCTCTGGGGGATTGCACCTGGAAGTCAAAATTCGGGAGGGATGATCTAGATCCCAAGTCTACTCTGATGGGACGTGTTCCTGATTGTTTTTCTGCCGATCATTTTCGCAAATCTGAGTTTGGTTGGCTGTCATGTTAGCTCATGATATGCTACTGTGTCTATAAATTAGAGCATTTTCTACAAGTTTCTTGACTTTGACTCATCAAAAGCCCCAAAACCAGAAGCTAGCTTGAACTTTTTGCTATTGGGGATGTCTCTCGCCTTGAAATTCGAACCTTGTGACGGACTGATCTCCGTCAATACTGGTTTGGATCACGAATCACACAAAAAGTAGGTCGTCTCCAGCAAGGTCTCCGGCACCATCTCGGCGTCCACTGAAACTCTTCCAGTACGTTGGCCAGGTCGTTCATGATTTCGATATCCAAACGGTACCCACGACAGAACCTCCAGACTTCCTCTCGACTGATACCATCTTTCAAAAGCAACTATAGTCTGGTTGACAATTTGACCAAGTGGTCAAATAGACCCCAGCGTACGGAGGCGTACCATAGTTTTGTTTCGACCAGGACCAGTTCATATATTTATATAGGAACCTCCCAAGCTACGATTATGATGCGGATTGTTTTCAAGAAAGATAAGATAAACAGATAGACACCATGCTATTCAAAAAGACCTCATCCGGCGCTCATCCCCGGCTAAACAGTGTCTTGTGGGTCACGTCTGCAGTGGCTGGTTTTATCTCACTTGCACTGGCAGTTTCGGTGCTCTTAGATCCAGAATTCGCAGAATCCGGTGTCTCCATCTTCCGCGTAAGTGCTTCTTTCAGTTTTGAGCCAGCCGTTGCTGATGATTGAAGTTCAATTTTACAAGTCTCCTCTCTACACAGTTTCTCTCTGAGCGGCAGCTAGAATTACTTTCTATCCCAGAGGCTTCATCAGAAGATGTCCCGCCGATAGTTGCCACCGCGGTCGAAGGTGCGGCGTCAGATATTCAAGCTGCACAGACCGTTGTCAGCTCGGCTCTACAGGCTGCTGCAACAGATGCTGCGACAGCCGTACAGTCAGACCTGAGTACAGTGGTACCAGAGAATATGTCTATCGGACTAGGCAAAGTCTGTTTCGGGTGGGAAAATAACTCAACCCAGGATTGTCGCGGTCTACCTTTCAATATCTCGTCCGTTGTGCCCAGTACTTTGTCGGGAATTCTGAGTGCTCCCCTACAACAGCTTCAAGAGGTCGAGAACAAAGTTGTATCTGCGATTCTAGAGACAGTTCGTCGATCACTGATTGTGGGCATTGTCCTCCTCCTCATGTTCTTCCTCTTGCTCCTTTTCTGGGAGTTCCCGAACGACTTGTGGAGACGGGCTGTCATGACCCCCTTAGGATTTACATGCTTAGTGGTCCCATTCTTGATCTCTACAGCGGTCATGTTTGTGGTACAGTCTGATATTCGCAAGAAAATTGACGACAGTTCCTTGATATCCGTGCAGGATGGTGGTGCTAGCAACCTCATCTTGGTTGGATTAATTTTTTCGATTCTGATGTTTGGCGCAACAGTAAGCATCACCTTAATTTAGATTCAATGTCGTGCTCATTCCAAAAATTCCACATGATCCTCAAATCTCGTCATTCTTTTTTCACGGCTTTTAGCTAGGTTTGCTGCTGTCGCGGCAGAATCCATGATGCCACAGCATATCGAAGGTAGATTACCATTAAGGCTCAAGGTCATTTTACGCATACAAATAGTATGACTCAAGATTACTCAAGACTTTACCTGTATTAAGTCACATTACTATCTAGGGCTAGGTATCACTTGGTGTCCTAGCATCCTGGGATGCTCAAATCCAAGCCGTGCTTGCGCAGTATGCAAACATCCTCCATGCATTGAAGTATTCTCGAAAGGATTGGCTACATTTGCTTTTCGTCAATACATTACAGAGTAGGCTATGCTGTTCATCGATATTGAATCAGAGTAGATATGCGGACTACGTTTAGACTGACAACGAAGTGATCTCCTACGTAGCCTTCTTGGAACTAGCCTATTTCCCGTACTGTTCGGTTTACAGTGTGGTAATTTTATCTTTCATTTTGGAAACTCAGCATAGACGCGCGGTCACCGACAAGAAACTGCTGGAGCTAACAACCACTTATCACGACTGGAATCCATTCGGCTCGTAATACCCTCTTCTCCTTTCCGTGTGACTTTTGATGTCGTTTGAGATTATCAGATCTTGCATACGCTTTACCGCAGTCACACTGATAAGGCCTTCCGTTATAATGTGTACTGTAATGTTTCCGCATGTAGCGGCGTTTGGCGAAAAGCTGGCCACATTCGCTACACTCGTGCATTCGTTTTCTGTTTCCTGGTCCTGGAGTCATATTTACACGAAATACATGAATTCCAGCTGCCATATCACTGCCCGGCGATTTTCTTGACAAATCAGTTGTCGGATTAGATGTCAATGGACTAGGATTGGGATTCGAAATGCTTTCACAGGTCGAGGACAAAGGCCTGGTAAAAGAGCGGGTCCTAGGAGGACCTGATGTAAATTCTGGACGCTGCGAAGGATTGCTGATCTGGTACCCTCGAAGATACTTCAACCCTCGTAATAGTGCAGCAAATGACTTAAATGGCTCCATGCTCTTAACTTGGTGCTTGACAGCCAGAACTGCATTTATCCCAGAGTCTCGCATCTGATCGGGATAGAACCTGACCTGACATTGGAAGATTTCTTGAAAATAAGACACAGCCGATACCATGGATGCCTCAAAATCCCTGGGCGTCCACTGCAATCTCTTTTGGATGGTTTCCAGATCTTTTGCGAGCTCTGATGGCGGGTCACGAAAAGTGGTAATGCTCAGCATTTGATGAAGTACTTTAAAACTTGTTACCGTCATTTCATTGGTGTGAAAAGCGTGAATGAGAACAATAAGATCTTCTTCTGCACCGGCTATTGGGAACCACAATGGGCATAGAGCAGCTAATGCGTATAATGACAGCAGCCACTGCCTTGAATGAAATCTCTCATTACTGCTGAGAAGATGTAAGATACGTTGGGTATGTATGCTGGCATGTGGGGAAGCGAGGTACTTCTGAAACTGGGCAAGATCTGCTGGAATCGTAAGCGGTGGCTGGAGGTGTCTAAACCAGGCAATATGCTTCTCGATCCTAAGATTATGATGAGACATGAAACTGGAATCCAGAGTAAGGAACCTGCCACTCACCATACTAATATATTACGTGCAGCTTCTAACTGAAATGTAGGAAATTCAGTGTTCACATCGAAAGTCCGATCAGCAATGCTGAGTGATCTCGAAAGATAGTGGTTGCGAAGGGGGATATTATTCTGAAGACCATGAAGTATGATGCAACATTTCTCAAACTCTTCCAAGGGCAGAACCGTTGTCGATAACTGAGAACCGATACTTTTTAGTTCTCTGATCATAGGGTGCCATGGGTCTCGTTCCATCAGATGCTGCGTGAATATACGCGTCGTCGCCAGCAGCGGCAAAGTAAAGTCTAAGCGACTGATGTGGCATTGGAGTATCGATATCTGGACGTCAAGAAGATCCAATATGTCCTTGTCTGACTGAGTCTTTGACAACAGCAGACGGAGCATTCGAAACAACGTTGCATAGGTCGTTCGGTCTAAGTTGCCGTTCTGGACTACCTCCAGCCAAAGCGTTAGATCTTGCGGTGTCTCCTGTATATACTTGAAAGCTCCTGAATCATAGAATGGACATATCGCTGCAAGACCGCACAGTACAAAGGTTTTGTATCTTTGGTTCTGGTGATCAATAATGCGTTGCAGGAGATGTTGTCGCGTCTGAGAAGCCTCTGAGGACAATACGAATTGTTCATACTGTTCGACGCTCAGCGATGGGAATATTGTAGCTTGCTCATTAACCCATTTTCGAGACCTGTATTAGTGTTAGAGAGGGCAATCAAACAGGTGAATCTAATGTACTCAATGTAGAGATTGTATCCTGCAATGGTTCCTTCCATCATGATCCGGACGGCTGATGCACGAGATTTCATGGTTTACTTGACTCTATATTGCTGTACTTTCCGGGAAAGAGATACTCTTGCAGAGCGGCGGACGTGGGCTCTGTTAAATCTTCATGGCCTACGGTCTCGATTGCCCCTGCAGGAATCAATTCAGACTTTTCCTGTAACGGAAATTTTTAGCTTGCATGATACGCAGCATGCAAAGCCCACCTAGTTTCACGACAGTGCATGACTAGTATAAGCTCGAGCGCCGTGTGAACAAGTGGTCATTATTTTGACCAATCTTGTTCTGTAGTATCCTAGGTTAAGTCACTTCTATCAGCCGAGTTCAGGAAGATCTTCAAGAGTATCGACACTCTAGATGTACGCTTGCAATCGCTGCCTCTAAGGCCACTAGCTATTCACACAAGATTTAAGTGATACTTAAGTTTGTGAAAATATGGGAACCGCAGAGTGGCATTACAACGTATAAAAAAAGGGTAAATTCCACAGGTCAAGTAGGGAAATAGACGAATTGCTTCTGAATTGCTTTCGTTGGTTTGAGCCCCTTAAAGGCATTATGTAGCTCCTTGACCGTGAGTTTGCATGGCTTTTCCAGTACAATACGAACAAGTAGTTCTCGTATCTCTAAAAGACGTTAGTCTACATTACCCCCTTGTCGATATCACTTTACCTGGATCTGAAAGATCTCTGACTTCCTGGGACCACCACTCGCCACTGTCTGACGGGCATCTCTTTCTGAGAAGTGAGATGTAGATTTTGGCCAAATTTTCACAGAACAGTGGATTTGAGTCAATGAAGTAATTCAGATAGAATTGAATCATTGGACCAGCAGGACGCAGCCGCCGAAAGCGCCGTTCGACCATTGTAAAACAACAGCTATAGACGGTGATAATGCATGATCCTGCAGGTGCTTCTGCAGGGGTTTATAACATCGACTATCATAGTGGTATCGTGTACCAACCAGCACCTAGGCTACATAAGGTTACATGGTGGTAACGCCACCTACGAGCGCTACTTGACGCTCCTCCAATCGAGACAGGGCAATTGATGCAAGTGCTAGACGATGAATAGTTCACAGCTACACACCGAGATGCTACGAATTTGAAATCCGATCGATAGATTCTATAATGATTAGCATTCAGCACCTAGCCTATTCAAATTTCATATACAACTTTATTGTTGTGGATGCTTAATTAAGGAATTTTAACCAGCCTCTATTTTCACTAGATGATATTTTGCAAGCTCACGTCTGAATATCTGAATCCGCGTCAACGAATCCCATCTTTCCCTCTTCCACCCAGGTTAAGTATTGATTGTAAGATGGAAAATAAACCGTAGTTGAACCGTCTGAATTTGATAAGTCTCTCTAGATATAAGTATAAGCAAGGAAACTCAACATACCAATTTCACGTCTATCGTATCGATCGCGTACTTCTCGCAGGCGAAGAACTTCCTCTAAGATCCTCCTCTCTCTTTTGGTTAAAGAAAGATCTTCGCTTCGGAAATGTTCTTTTAGAACGTCATATGACACGCAGCAAAAGGCATTCGCTAATCTTAAATCGAGATCACAGAACCCTAATGTATTTAGCGAATGTAGGTCTTCAATTAGAGAATGGCAACTTACCTTCGAAATTCTGGAAACATCGTTTAGCCAAGTGGACTTTGGAAGAGGGTCCTATTTGGGAAAATGCAGCCTGATAACAGAACTGCACAAGACTAGAATTGCCGATTGCTACTCGTGTTGTGTTTGTCTATAAAAGATACAAGCATGACCATTTCTTGTTTGAAGATTCCATACTGCGAAACATCAGCCAATGATGCTCGTACCTCCTTGTGGTATGTGGTTTTTCGTCTGTCATCATGAATATAAGGTAGAATGTTGATGTTTCCAGATATTTCAGAGGTATTTATACATGTAGGATGGATATATCTATATTTAAGAGAAGGCAGTGCACAGCGAGTCGTTTGTGAGCGCAGTATACGTGACAGACGCGCCAGTGCAATACTCCGGATTTAGACTAATTGATCACAGCCACAAACCAAGTACAATATGTCTCGATTTTTAGGTCCTCGGCGGAGGGGAAAGTTCATGTTATCTCTTACATTCACCCTCATGCAACTCCCTTGATAGTAGCCTGCATCCAGTGTTCAGGCCTCCTAGCTAGCTCAGTCCTTTTAATACACAGCAAAAACTAGCTATGCATGTATCATTGTGCGTCATACCGAATACTACATGAGGAAAGAGAGAACAAGCTAGGTATGTATACAGTGACAAGACGGATACACTAAAATACAGGCTTGTGGTTGATCTAGTCTACCGATAATCAAGCTAGCAAGCAATCCATCAGTTATAGAGTCTGTGAGTACTGCTACCTCGAAGTTTAAAAAAAAAGCACTAATGACTAATGCAGTAAAATTCTAGTTAGAAAGATCCTCTTGTATCTCACCCCTTAAAATCAGTACATAGTTGTCCGAATCCAATATTTAATACATTTCAATATCCCAAATCCAAATTATTATACAGCATAACAACGAGAAATTGATCTTTAGAGACGGTATAATAAGCAGCTAGGCGTACCTTGATTGCTTGGTCCTGTCTGAATTCAAATCCTGCGCAGATGGTCGCTTGCCAAGTAAAGGTGCTGGTAGCAGCAAGGTCGACTCCGTTTCTTTACCGATGATATGCCAGACATCATCGAAACGATATTCCACTTGCTTTGACGTAACGTTCATCTGGGAGAATGCCGGACAACGATTGAGAATTTCCGCGAGTCGCACATAGTCAACTCTTCTGTGGTAGTCTGGCGTACAATAGACGTAAATCCCAATACACATACCAATGCCTAAGAAGTTTCCTGCGTCTGTGAAACCCGCGTCACTTGGAGTAAGTCTCTCCTTCCTATTCCTCTCAATCATCTGAATATTATTGTCACCACTAATACGCCCCAGTTCGTCGAGAAGGTAATGGAGTTGACTGCGAAGTTGTGATTTCGTGATCGTCAATGGACATCTCCGAGTTAGGAATGAACAAGCTTTGTCCCATGCGTTCTTATCGTCAGAAGGGAGACCACGAGATGAAGAGTAAGTATCGTATCCAATCCTGGGTGTCCAGTTCTCGATTGGCCGTCGCGTGAGGTCATCCACAGCCCGAGAGTCGCCGTAGTAAAAGCCACTGTCTTCTGATACCAGGTAAACTCCCAGAAAACATAAATATTGCTGTAAGGTCCATCTTCCTGATACTTCCTAGTCTTGATTAGTCTCGTATGACATGATAGATAGTTCATCATACCTCAGCTTCGGGGTCCACTGGAGTCGAAGAACTCATATTTAGATAGATATAAGTTCAGGGATCGTGAAGGTCCAATGAGACAAGCTGAACCGCAGTGGTTGGGAGATGTTGACACATTTATATTTCAAACCTAGCCAGAACTTGCATATTCTAATTAGTACCAATTGGGTGAGAAGCGCAAGGGCTTGCCAGCCGGGACCACGGGCTGCTTTTCCGAGGGTGATCTAATTTATCACTATTTTTGTGCCCTTTGCTGCCCTTTGTAACACTAAATGTGGAGCAGGGATTAATTAAAAGAGTGTGGAGAATTCGGTTTTCCACACCATCTTGGACAGGACCATGTTTCTGTCTTGACCGATCGTGCCTATTCAGGAAGTGTCAATAGCTTAGACAGTCTCCTCTTTTGGCAAGTGTACTACTATACTTCTAGTGCGTAAAACGGGGCGTGATCTAAGCTGTCTATAATACGGAGGTAGGAGTCAAAGGTGAAGGCAGTATATTAATGCACGCTGGAGGGCACTAGAAATGTATATCATGAGTAATCGCAGCTCGATACAAACCAGAATTCCTCTTATTCGCTAGCTCATTCAGGTGCCAGGCCCCTTTGGTTTAGCTGTATATAAAAACATTCCCAGTACGCAGGATTACACACTAGTATCTAGTGTGTTTCCAGATATAAAAAATACAAGGCGTAGAAAAAGCTGAGTGTTTGCAAATATGAACGACTAGCAGTTGCGACCTTTATTCAAGTCCAAGTTCGTATTTTTTGGACTATTTCGTTCTCCGGTATTGATGGGTGGGCAGGGGGGGACTTGCCGTCACTCAAAATATGGAAATAACTGTCCTATATCAGCTAGCTACTTTCAATTGGTTGGAAGAGCCTACTAAAATAAGCCAAGTTTAGGATTTTTGCTCAACGACTTATGACCATAACAAGGAAAGCGTGAAGTGATATCTCGAACTGTAGAGTCCAGAACCTCGGCTTTTTGAAGGAGAAATTGTGGGTGGCCTTCTGTAAAGCGTCCCAACGAGCCCCATTGACTATCAATAATTCGTTAGTGGGCTAGACATTCATGAAGCATAGCAACACTTACTAATTCCCAGATGTGTCATAGCAAGCACAGAAGAACCAGCAATCTTGTTGCACATTAACTATGCCGCTCTCCTCTTTCCTCTCACTCAGTATTTCAACGCTCACCAGAGCATCTTTTGGCGAAGGTAGCTTAGGACCATCCTGATTTTGACTAGCTGCACGTAGACGAACTTGATTTTGCCACTCAATTTCAGCTTGTGTTCTCCTCCACTCCGAAAGTTCGTCCGGTTCCACCATTGGAGAAGTCCCACGGAAGTCAACGTATTTCTCAAGCAATTTGCCCGGGTAAAACACCGGCGTCGCTCGTTCTCTATATATGTGGATCTCAAGGTTTCTAGAGTGGATGAACAGTCTAGAAGCTCAGTGGCATCTCAACATTAAATAAAGAGTGTATCGAACCCACGGTTACGTCTCTCGGTCTGGGATAGAGCACAAATATTAGGACGTGCTAGAGGTTAGTTCTACCGAATATTGATGTTACATATGCATTTTACACCTAGCTTTCGACTGCTTCTGTATTGTAATGATTCAGGATCTTGTAACTATGTTATGCGTACCTTGCTTGTAGTGAGAAATCTGACATGACTTTGGCCAATCAATAATTGGATACTTTTTTTCGATTAGCCTCGAATAAGATCAGATGCGAACAATACGATCTTTCTTATACCGATACTAGCTCGAACCGGTGCTCAGACTGTTATACAGTCACTTTCACCAAGAAGTATGGTATTCAAACTGAGTACTTGAGCTAACCAAAAAAGGATTCAGCCAGAAAAGTTGAGGTCATTGCAAGGGCCCACATGCCGCAAAATCCTGGACAATTCAACCAATGAAAGTCATTGGTTTTCTGAGTACTTGGGCTAGCGATTTATACACTAGCGCTTTAAAACTAAATCGAACCTCCGATTTTAAGCTGTGTTTCTCAAACATGGAACAACGACGCCAAATGCGAAAGACAGGTGCTAGTGAGGTACTCTTAGAAGTACAGATGAAAGAGAAAGTCACCAGGGAATTCTTTCAGCAGGACTGGTCCCTCATATTATCCAAATTTCAGTTGAAGGCCGATGACGATCCGAGGCTTGTTGGCCTCTTGCCAATGATTAAGGACGAAGGGCTCTTGGAAGCGCAGCTGAGACGCTTGCTTGCATCCAGACATCTAGCACTGAAAGAAGAGCGTTGGTTACAGGAAAACTTACCCTGGCCGCCCGATAATATCGCCTCAATTCCGAACGCTTATCGCCGGGGCCCTGATTTTCTCAGAAACGAGGGCTTATCGGGACATATTCAGTACGCAGCAGTGAATGGCCTCAGTCTGGGCCAGCGGTCTCGGAGACTTGAAAATGATGTTCGCAGCGAAGGTATCGCATTTGCGCTACTCCCCGTCTTCTCCAAACTGTCCCACTTGGACTCGAGCCAAGAAAAGGAACTCAACAAGAAATTACAAGATGAGAGGTATTCCAACATACTACAACTGAGTCGAGACCTCTCACCACTGGTTTCTCTATATCAGCGAGGATTCGATGATGAAATATCTTTCTATCTACATAATTGATCTACCTGTTCTCCGTTCTCTTATAGTTAATATATTTTCTTCTTCCATCACGAGAACCGGGTTCTGGAAGTGGAACCCGTCTATAATCTACCATGAAAGGAAATACGTCCGACCGTCTAATGCTATCCCCCATCGGTACAGTGGAGTATCCTACCCAGAGGAATATGCAGCCTTCCGGAGGGGTTATGTTGCATCGAAGGGCGCCTCGCAAGATGAATAACCTTGTCGTGGACACTTTCGGCTGCACAGGAGGGGGGGGACTCTCGCCAAATTCCTTCGCCAATTGGTGATGCGATGTTACGTAGAGTTTAAGACTATCAGCGGTATCCACGCTCCCTCGTACCAATCGGATAAACGACACCCCGTCCTTTCCTCTCGGATGCGCGAGCCTGGGTTCGAGCTCTGTAGGGGTCGGATTATGGCCCAGGATCACAGGGCCCTGTCGGAGAACCATATTCTGGCGGAGTTCCCTTTGTGCAATTTGCTGGATCTAGAATTATTTAGCCATATGCACTATTCCTTCCGTGGCGGGATGCTTACCGATTCCCCGACGCCGGATTCGAGGGCTACGGTGCATTCTGCAATCCCTTCGATGTGGGCTGTGGGGCCCTTTGTAATTTTCTCGCTTTCATCGAAATTTCTTGCAATCTCCTTGATTGTATCTTCGTCTGGCGGCGCGCAGTCGATATACCTAAAACCGTATGGCTCCATAACGTTTGTGTCGGGATCAGGCAGACGTTCCCCAGGCTCTGATGGTCTGTCCATGCTAGGCGGGGCATTGAGTGGGGCAGTGTTTTGGCCAATAGTATTTCCTGGCGATATGGGGGAAGATGGGAACTCGATGTCAGGAAGATCCTTGGAAAGCATTGCTATTTCGCGTAGCAATTCCTGACGGTTCGAATCCGACATTTTTGCACGTTAGCTATCTTGTTCCTAACAGAAAACTAATATATAATCGAGTACAAAGTAATCAACATCGGGTAGGTTGCAATGTCACCGTGATGGTCTCGAACAGATGATCGGACGTTAGAAAAGTCACGTAGTTTTTATAGTAGATGCACTTGTGGTCCTGCTCGTGCTAGTGTAATTTTTCAGAGTCATGAAGTTAATACAACCATTGCGGCAATGGTTTTGTAGCGGCTTTTCGAAGAGCAGCTTCACAAGGTCAGGATGTAAGGTCATACCCGAGTGGACTTCAATTTGAACATGGTTAGGATAATTCATTGGATAACTGTCCACTTGTATGATATGCTTGATGCTCAAAGCTACCTATGCCTACTTTGTAGATCTTGTTGTTTATTGTTAAGATGGGCTCGACGCTCGCTTAGAAATGAAGCATCTGAAGCATGATCAATTACTGAAGGGAAAAAAAAAAGGTTGGCTGGGCCATTCTGTGGATCAAGCTCGAGTATATAATACACTAAGGACTAACGAATAAACAGTTGTATTGAGTTATGACTAGTGAATATGAATACTTGCTTCATTACAGAGATAGCTAGCCAGTAAACTAAGATACAGGATTAAACACCAACCATTCTTTTTTTAGCACTAACGATACTGCTCCAACTCCCACTCAGCCACCCACTAATCTATCAACGCGGCTTTGAAGGGTGCGTTTATATTCAGAGAGATTCTGAAGTACATAAAAATGCATGTGGAGAATCTCCGAGATCACCACCATAATAATACCAATGAAGAGCATTGAACCCTGATGGGTTTTCCATCACAGCTCTCCAGTTCCATGAAGGTGGGTTTGCCATATTATCCTTGGAGATAAAAGATGCTGACGAGAGAGTTCCCTCTTTATAGTTAACTTCTGTTATCTTGGAATCTTCAGACGGTCGCTTCGCTTCAGGTGGTCGCTCCTGAAAGTAACGTATCAGCGCCTCAAGGTAAATATTTTTCTGTTGGAGTTCGCCGAAAGTGATCCGTTTGCATTCGCCACTGATTGAGACGGTGAAAATAGTGTTAGAGTCGACATCAATAATACGAACTCCCTTTTCAGGATCTCGTGCGTTAACCTAATCTGTCGGTAAGCAGCGTTCGCGGAGTACACGAGAGATTAGATCATGGGCCATACATACAGGTTCTATCTCATTATTAGTCAATGGAGTTAGATCATCATCACCTCCAAAGCACCACTCCAAGATACTGACAAGCCAAGACATCGTTGAAGGTAGCAAAAAGATGATGTAAACAATTTTGATTTGGTCTGTTCCAAGATGCAGTGAGGCGAGGCTGGAATCTTTTATAATATACACGAGTATCACAGGTGTCTATATTGATGAACAGGGTCACCTGTCGATCTAGAATCAAGATCACCCTATTCCCAGGAAACGTACGATGGTGATAATCTACTATTCCAATTCAAATTAGTAACTTCTGGTCGGCGATAAGATAATAAGTAGACATCTTACATATTATTACTAGTTTTAGAATAGTGATGCGGCCTAGCGTGTACGAAAGCAGGATAGGAGCGAGTTAGAAGTCCACGCAAATTCATTTTAACCTATAAAGAAGACAATATTCTTGAAACTGTAAATTCCATACCTCTGCAGTCCAGATTCGCATATTCCTAATTCAGTCGCCAGCCTTAGACAATCCTAATAAACTCCTTTCAACAAGCTTTCGAGTCTGGGTATTCCGCAATATCTAGACGATCGTAAATAGGCATTCTACTATAATAATAGAATCCACTCACCAGCCAGTCACGGGGTTTCTACTGCTATTATTTCCGATTTCATAACAAATTGAATCACGGCATTGATCACAGCAACAATCGACACAGGCGGTAACACAGGCGGCACAAAGAACGGGTGCCACTGCAAGGCAAAGTCCACATCCCTTTGATGTTTTTAGACACGTTACTGTGTGGCTTTCAGGTTCTTGCGGGGGAATTATTGCCATTGGTTTGGTTGAATAATAGGAAGGAAATGACGATTGCAGGACGCTTGATGGTTGTGAGACAGCTGAAATTACCAGTTTTCCCTTCCCCTGTAAAGCCGCTTTGGCATCTTCAGCCGGCTTCGTTTGATTTGACATCTCTCTATATAGGGATTTGTAAATTGAGGGAGTGAAGTATAGAGATCAACTAAAGGATAGAACAGATGACAGTTATATATGATTACAGTGGGTACACCGCTCAGAATTCAAAGAGAAATCATGTATCAATATTTAGGCAGACTTCTCCACATCCTGTATTTTCTTAAACTAGAACGTCGATTCATCTTCGATGTACATGTACATCCTGCTCGAAATTGGTTTTCCATACAGTGCAGATACCATGTTCTGTATTTTTTCATCCACCATTTCGTAGTTACAATTTCCCTCTCTATTCGCATCCCAGCTCTAGAATTAGTTGTCATTCATGACCGTAGCTTCCAATAGTTACATACCATACTCTGCAATGCTGCCACAAGTGGACCAAAGCTTTTCATTCATCTCCTCTAACCTATTGATCGCGTCGTCTTTGGCCCTAGACAGCCATTAGCATGGGATGAATATGACTCTGATAGAGCCAGGGTTACCGAAGTAGCTCTTGGACAGCAGGATGATCTAAGGCTGCTTGCCGATCAACACTTCATTTGTAATTAGTCGGATGTAATACATCAATCACGGCAAATACAGCATACTAATATGGAAACTCGACGGTTGGTAGTAGACTGGGATGATTTTCCCCTGTTATTGCATCCGCTCCAGCCGCAAGATCAAGATACGGTTGTAACCTCTCATATGGATCATACTCGCTTCTTTCACTGGGACTGGGGACCCACGTCTCCGGAAATACGCCGGTATCCATAGGATCTAAAAACAGTTAGAAAGCACAGAGATGCTGACCGCTGTGTACGTACTCTGATTTTCTTTGTCGTCGTCAAATTGACGAGAGGATGTGGCGGATGCGGGAAGGCCTGGCATGCTGAGCTGCAGAAGTGCAATCGAGACTGTCACTAGCGTATCGCACTCGTAGTCCGCAAGACGGTCTTTGCATGGTTGACGAGACAAAAAACGCCTTCTTATAGACAAGTGATAGATACCTAGCTGCCGTCGGACACGATTTTCATTCCAGAAGGACGAACTGTTGATTCTCCACAATGCCAAATATTGGTTGTGATCCAGACCGTATCGGAATGCAGATGACTTGCTCCGTAATGGATCTCCCATCAAAGCCATGCCATGCTGGTGCAGCTGAGAGTTTTGGTGGGTCTTATCGAAGTGGAGTTAGGATAGAACTAGCCATCCACCAGCTTACTCTGTGCATACGCTGTAATTCCGTGCTAATGCAGCTACTAGTCTATGAGCACACGAATCCCAACCTGGGGCGCAGCGATGCTTCAGAGCTAGTCATGCATGGGTTGGGCGGGGGTGCGCGCCATTTGAGCAGGAATGGCCCATTTTTGCACTGTACAAAAATTGACCGTTCGCACTTTCATCCTTTGTTCTCTCTGTTTTCGCTTTCCTTCCTCCCCTTCATCCATCCTTCAACTTCGCAGTGGTCGAAAAATGTATGTTCCGATGAGTCGAAATAATTCCAGTACAGAGGTATTTTCTATACCCTATGGTTCGGCTATATATGAGCACCTACACGGCCTTGAGCGACTTGTAGTGGATCAAGGCGATGAGGTACATAGCGTGGTCATTTGTCAAATACATTAGTTTAACTGTTCTTTAGAAAACCGCGAACCTTCTCAGGGCAATCATATCGTCACCAGATCCCTTAGACAAACTTCGAGCCGCCCTAGGCAATAATCGGAAGGAAAGGTCATGTACTGAACGTGAGCTCTGGTTTAAGAACTGGAACGATGGGGTATTATCTGAGAAGCAGGCTAGGTTTCTTGCCTCTGTTACTAAGGACTGGGTACTTGATGGCATTGCCGTATCCATTGTCTCTGCATATGCTCGGCTTTGGATTGAGCAACCCCGTGCGTTCTGGTATGGAGTACCAGCAGACCATGATATACTCCGGCGATGCTACAATGAGAAAAAAGTCATTGAAGAAGTTGTTCCTACAAGGGCGAAGGTGATCTCGTGGATCACAGCTCAAGAAGTAAGAAAAGAGCAAAATAGAATTAGGGAGTGCGGGAATAGGAGATACAGACGCAGGGCTAAGACTCGCAATGGTGATGAAGTTTTTCTCGGACGGGCTTTACAGGAAATCTGTCGTCAGCACTGGGGTGTTGTTGACAAAGACAAGACGAGATGGCTACGAGACGAATCGCGCGAAGGCTCAAAGTGGCATTATATAGACAATCCTGGTATCATTTTGTCACTGTATAAGGCTGGGAGCACGCGGTGAGTTCACCGAATCTTTCTCCAGGTCCTGGCTAATCCTGTACAGAATTACGAGACACAAATGGGAAAAGGTAGAGGTCAAGGTGTTAAATGAATTCGTCGCAACTCTACCTCAAATGAGAATATGCGATCTTCTGAATGAAGCGTTCGGTCATATAGCACAAGATTATTTATCTCTGGGCACCGGAGAAAGACATGCACTGTCGCCGTCGTCCATCAGCCGTCATGACAGTTCCGCGGTTGCATCTCTAGCAGAATATCAGAGTGCGGACTTACCGCAAGACGAGACAACCGACGCTATACGCGGCCGAGACCAAGACGTTGCAGGCTCAACAAATCCGACTACCGAGTCCAGACCAGAAGTCAATGGTACCAGCGACTTGGAGTCGTCGGACGCCAATTCCTTGACGGTTCATTCGACATCCGACGAGGCGTCCAACCACTGGGTTTCCAGCACAGTGGTAGGTTGCAACTTGCAACTCCAGCCTGTCAACAATGAGCCGTCAGATGAACAGGCAGCTTCGGTTCTTTACGCTTTTCGGAACCCACAAGCAGCTTCGGTTGTTCCTACAAATCAAGATTCAGATCTGCATGATTCAGAGTCTCTCAGACGGTCAGTTCAAGACTCGCAGGGAAGTGAGGCAAGCCAGGATCACACAGTTTATGCCCAGTTACCTGTCACGGCTACACCACAGCCGGAGCACCAGTTGAATGCATCAAATTCGGCACAGTTTCATCCTTTACTGGACAATCTAATTAGTGAATCCTTTCGTGTACAAAACCCAGCAGCTACTATTGTTGAAGGCCCATCGTCTCAGTGGCAACACAGTGCCTTACAATCAAACGAGCCCCTGGAAAATGGTGACCAAGCCTACCAGGTACCTCTGGGACACTGGGACCAAGCCTATCACGTACCCTTGGAAAACGGTGGCCAATCCTACCAGGTACCTTTGGGACACTGGGACCAAGCCTACCAGGTACCCTTGGAAAACGATGACCAAGTCTACCAGGTACCCCTGGGACACTGGGACCAAGCCTACCAGGTACCCTTAGATAATGGTGACCAACTCTACCAGGTACCCCTGGGACACTGGGACCAACCCTACTAGGTACACTTGGAGAATAGAAAACAATCATACCACGTACAATTAAATGACCCCTTGGAAAGCTGGAATTGGAATCATTTCGTCGTGCAGTCTTCTAGGGTACAGGATAGTGTATCAAATCCTCCGACACCGATTTCAGTCTGATGACTTGTACACCAGGGTCTGAAACATCCCTCCACCGCCTGTCGGATGAGTATAAACCAAATCACCTCTCCATATCACAGCATCTCCAGCCTCAAGCCGCATTTGTACAGTTCTATTTTCATCGGGTATTGGGTGATCAGCACGAGAACCTTCGTAAAATATATACCATCCATTGTCGGGACTAAGATCAGTAAGGGCGATGGTAACATATATTTCATCCCGAGCTGCGGTCTTCTTGGGCAAGGATGGGTTTGCTTTTGTCTCTCGGAATTTACCCGCAAAAACGTGATTCCGTTTCAAGCGTCGACGAAATAGCTGTGATAATAAATCCAAATTCTCTTGCTAGATATACATTAGCATTGTTCAATAAGTCAATGAAACTAACTGTTCTCACCGTCTCGAACGTCGTTGTTATTTCGTTGCAAACAGAGGGCAGATTATAGGCATCGTATTTTTCTCTTGACCGCGTAGGTTGAACTAATAAAGACTCCGACACTCTTTTGGCGAGCTCCTTTGGTATAACGGTTGATAGTTTTTTATAATCGCGATCGCTAGACATTCTCGATTCTGGACGCTAGAAGTGAAAACGGGAGAGTGATAACTGGAGATTAAAGTATTTCCTTTTTCCAGGCAGTGATGCAACATGATTTACCCCTCCTAGTTATGTGGGATGACGCCGGGTAAGGTTGGCGGTAAAATTAGGCAGTATACCTTGGTAAGGAAAACTATTTGAAGATTTCATTATATATCTGTGTTTGCATATGTGCCCGATGAAGACTTAGTTCTTCATGTGAGCGGATGTCTTTTTGGTAATGCCTAATTTAATCACTGGTCTGACACCTAAATTCATTCAAGAATAGTTAATATGGGATATCTAACACATACGAGAAACCAGAAATACACTATTGAATAATGCGACTATTCCATTTAAGTAGAAGTCATCCGTTTCACGATAAACGATTTCTAACGAGTAGGCGGTGACAGCGCCATAGTCAGAAGATTTTATCTGCTTACAAAAGAATGACCTCGACACCAACTGACAGTCGGAACTGTTAATCTGAGTTCGGTTTTTGAAACGTGGAGATTCGTCTTTGGTTTGTGTGGTAACACTATACTGGCCTATACCATTTTTAAACTAGTGGAACGCGGAATAATATTATTGGTACGGTGGACGGTCTTGCCATCCCCCATCAATCTCCACATTGAATCTGCGATCTAATGACTTCAACTTATGCTTCCTTTTATCTTTGTTTACTCATAAATAACTGGTTACTATTGTGACAATGGTCGAAACCGAGCCCGCTTTAAAAATCATGATCCTTCCTAAGACCTACGAGGAAGAAAGGCAGTCTGGCCAAATTCAATGTTCACAAAAGGCTATTATACAACAAGTTGACAGAAGATGGCACATCCGGGTAACCTGCTGTGAATTGGCAGGACTCGAAAAAAGGATTGAGAGGCGTGATGCACTTCGACGAATAATAAAAGCCACCAATTTTGTGTCTCTGAATTTATTAAAAGACACAGTGACACAAATACGCATTACACACTGCCCGAGTCTGCGCCCCCTTCATTCGGAACAAACTCTCCATTACGAGACGTCGGAGGATCAGCGTCGCATTCGTTATCCATTCACCTCTCTCTACAGTATCGAACATGGATTGATTGAAATCAGATCTCCGTCATTACCTACTTTCCGATGTAGATCTTTACCTGCTATTGCTGTCGAAAAGGTCCAAGAGTTGGATGACATAAATGGACAAGTTTTCCGTGTTCGAATTGAGGGAAAAGATGGCGACTATATCCATAAAACACTGGATAGACCTTGGTACGAACCTTCCGATACGATAGCTTTTGAACATGAGATGCAAAACTCCTTACTACTTCGCGGTATTCCAAACATTGGACAAATCATAGGAGTTACTGTTGGGAAAAACATATATCAAACCACACAAGACAGCGAGACTCCCGAGGTGATACACGGAATGCTATTCAAATACTACCCCGGCGGCACAATTAAACAATTACAACAGAACAATCAGAAGCTGGAATCATGGAGGAAATGGCCGTTGCAAATTTCCCATGCGCTACGTGAGCTACATAAAAGTGGGCTTGCTCACATGGATATCAAACCCTCAAATATTGTGTTGGACAAGGAAAATAACGCTGTAATAATTGATCTCGGTGGTCAATCTATCACATATGAATGGCTTGCCCCTGAGTTGCGCGAAAAGGAAAATGTTCTTATGTCTTGTTTCGAAGACAAAGTGCGTGGTGAACTGTGGACACTTGGAAAATTGTTTTCCGAGCTTATTATATATAATACCGGCGGCTTAGAAAACGACTACCTAAGCTATATATCAAATCAGCTCATGCACGATGATCCAACGTCACGGATTTCACTCGACCTAGTGATATCTGAGCTTGAATCACTTGAGAATGATAGATCCATAACAGCAAGTCAGGCTTCATCCCAGTCGATCTCGTCATCATCAAAGTCACCATCGGTAATATTCCCTTCACAATGTTAGGATATTGAATCAAGCCAGTATAGAAAAACACACCTGGTCCTTCACGTTTTAGTGACGGTTTCTTATCGCATCCTACTCTTCCACAAAAAGAACCTACCTGCGCTCGATTGGTCGGTCGATTCAGGCAGAGCACAGGCACTCTTTCTCTTCTTTGCAGGCTCGCAAGCCCGTCGCAAAGTCTTTTTGTAATGGCCACAGCGATAGACACGCTCTGAGAATTTACACATCTTTCTGGCTTAGAAACATAATACTGAAGCATTTAGAAAATAGATTTTGAAAATTTATAATTCACAGAAAGCCTATAAACAATACATCATCTTTGACAAGTGCGGGGTTTGACAACAGCGGCTATTTGATAGTAGTAATTGGTGTATCACTTCAGAGAAACAACATGTAATTGCATTGAAGTGATTGATTTCTTTGACTCATATCTAGAGCTAACTGGATTGGAGGAATAAGACGAAGATGGTGCAGCTGAAGGCTTACAAAAGGATTGCACAACTCGTTTTTCATCTAGCTGGCTTTGACAGCCAACCAACAACATCTACCGGAAGACCAGTATTATTGACTACAGCAGCAGCGATACATCCAAGGATTAGTTACAGAATGTCAATTTGTCGATTTAAGTACCTAACAACAAGTTTGCGGTTCTCTATTCATCTTGGCTTCTCACTATGTTCAAGACGCATAAATAATTGGTCTAACAATTTTTCTTCTCGTGCCTTCTGTTGTTCCATTTGAGTGAGACGCTTCTCCTGGCGTGCCTTCTGCTCTGCTCTCTGTTCTTCTAACTGTTGTTGCAAGTTATGGATCATGCTACGTAGTTCTGCATGTCCCCGATATTGCGAGGAGGGAGCGCGGCTATATGCAGATCGTTCTCGAGATCCAATCCCTGATTCCTGGGAGTCATAATACTGCCTAGTCCTGTTCGGGTTAACTTACAAAATCGACTGGTATGCCAAGCACATTTTCGCGATATCTACGGAGTCCCTCGTGGAAAGTCACCTTCTCGTGGTGAGGGACGTCAGTAAGCTGGACTGAGGATCTAGCTGAAGCTGAGAACTTTCCAAGTCGAAAACCCGGTGGAAGACCCTTTATTGGTTGGGATGACGCGGCCCGAAGCTTTCAAAAGAACACATTGACAACAGGAATCTTCAAGCTTGATATCGTTGCCACAAAGTCCGTCGTTGGAGATTACTCAAGAAATCTAAATGATCGACGCCAAGTTCTGTAGCATAAATTCATTCCAGCCCGCGACATCAGCATCATCTTCGTTTATTATTTTGCCGTACTGACAAGAGAATATGGCCGCGTAACAGCGATCCTACCAAGATAGACCGGGATATTCCTTTCTTGTAAAGGCGAAATATATGAGTACATGTTGATTTCATGGGCCAAGTCGCGCTCATTTGCCTTCTGCACGCCATTGGCTACAAATGTGTATCCATACTCGGTTAAAGTGACTTTGAAGGGCGCACCTATATATCCAAATAACCCTTTTCTATCTAACATTCACAATCTTGATCAAGGCTCAGATCAAGCTGCTTTTGAAGAAGGGAACAATATCTTCTTTGGTAATCGAGTGCTTTTTCCCGCGAGCAGAGCTCTGCTTGTGTATGGAAAAGTTGGGACAGCTCACGTCCAGCGGCAGGCAAACGGAGGAAATGATGTCCACGTAAGACTATGGAATGCTCTCTTTCATTGTGGCGACTGGGCAATTCAAGATTCCTCTCCCTTAGGTCTGCAGTTCAGGTCGAAATGGGCTGGCCATTATGTTGGTGATACGTAAAAATTTTCGCCTTGGACGTGACGAATTTGTCGCATCTCGTTTGCGCTTCTTTGTCCATGATAGTTCAGCTTTGTGAAAATCAATGAACTGTACGCGACCCAACTCTGTGTTCCAGAGTATATTGGATTCGTGTAGATCTCCATGTCTCACACCCAAGCGTCGGATATCCTCTTTTGTTCGCTGGTACTCGTTCCACCGTTCTTCTTCGCAGCAGAGTGGATTAAACTGATCTCCACCCCATGACAAGATTAAGAAGTGAGTGATCCTAAACCCTTCGTGAAAATAGATCCATTCGATATCGATAGTGCCGAGGAAAACCGGCACCGCAGAACCTTGCACTGAACGCAGGACCTGATATACATTTTCTTCCTGCCGGACGATAGGCCACCGGCGGTCGGTGGTCCCCTTTCCAAGTATTGTATATCCGAACGGCATCAAGCTGATCTTGAAAGGAAAGCCACGGATCCCTGATTCCCCACATGGGGTACAGTAGTGGTCTAGATCATTATCTAGCTGCCATTTGAGTAGGCGCAAGAAGTCGGAGACATGGATCTGGTGGTGTTTGCTATTAGCGTTTCGGTGACGATCGACATTTGGACAATTTTCATCCAGCCAGTCACCAGTTTTCAATGATAGCAGGCAGCGTTGAGTACAGAAATCCAAAGATTCTTGTGTCGAATCATCCGTTCTTTTAAACTGCCGGCCCGAACGATGTTGACGTTGCGGGGGTGAAGAAGAGAAGGTCAAGGCACGTATTCGTGCTGTGGAGTCGAGATTCCGTGAAATATCTTCCGAATCAGAGTCATCAGGAGGACAATCTCGCTTTTCCTCTCACCTCATTTCACTCAGATGTTCAGACACAACTTGTTTACCATAGCTTCAAGTGGGTAAATCCATCATGGATGATGCGTCATCCCAGGATTTGTCCACCATGGTTGGGAAACTAAAATTTCGGTATACATGCAAAGTTTGCAACAAAGCATACAGACGGAAACATACCTGCCCTGGTAGGGCTCATGGACGGGCTGCGCTAATATCGCCGACAATTCCAACAATTCGAACTGCTTGCCAGACGAGGCATGTGCAATCACACAGAGTTCCATACTGTCAATTGATTAGCAATTGCCGAGACACAACTCCTGAAAGATCACGATGCGCAGTCTCCGAGGATATTCTGCGCTTTCGCAACGAGCTTGTTACGGATCCTAATCTGTATGTTCTGTGTTTATAGCTTTAATCGGAAGATGTGGACTGAGTCAAGACTTATCCTGAGGTATGAGAGAAAGTTTAATGATCAAGGAAGCCCTGAATTACCGCGGAATCTTCCAAAACTTAGCTTCCTGGATAAATTTGCCGAGCAAGTATATAATTTCTTGAATGGCGATTCCATTCCTTGCCGCGAGATTCAGGATGGGTGTTTTGAGTTTGAAAATCAGGCTAAATTTGAGTTATAGTTGAGATTTCTTTTTGGCCACTGGAGTTGTATCTGGTATGTAAGCTTTTTTGTGTTATCTAAGTCTTTCAAGATACTCCGAGAATAGCAATGGCGGCTGTTGTGGTTGAGTAGACAGGAGAATGGTTCGGCGAGGAAGAAAATGTTGCCTTGGCGGGTAACCAAGCTGGTGTGGGCCTAGCAGATTTTATCCAATCCCAGCCGCCGCCAAGGTGTGATAGACCTAACCAGAACGGGGTTAGGCTCTGATAGGAGCGTACAATCTGGGGAGGAATAATTGACTGTGTTGTTCCCGTCTTCTCAAACACAGTTAGCTACACATCTTGATCCTCTTTATTACGCAATATAGAGGCAAAATATTACGGATTACGGAATAAATGACAATCCTGACTCCAAAATGTGGGCTTGGGCGTGGCGCTCATGTTCTCACGGAGTCACGGCTATGATGTTTTTCCGAAAATTCACAGGGTAGTTATTGCTTGCATCAAACCTGATTGTCACACGAAATTGGAACCCCATCTGATACGAGGGACAGTTATTTTGACAATTCGACTGTTATTTCGACAATTCGACGGTCATTGCGACAGTCGGCTCGACGACCAGCTGGGGATGGCGGACGCGATGGTGGAGGAGCCAGCGACAACGCGTTCGGGACGCGTGATAACACCCTCGACAAGGGCCCGAGAGGCTTCGGGCAGCACCGACAGCACCGGCACGGTTAGAACATCGAAGAAATCAATGACCCAAATAGAACTCACGGCGGTCAAAAAGGCAGCTAACCTCATCGAGGAGAAACAGAGCACCAAAGACGGAAGCAAGGACATGCTAAGAAAGATTTGCCAGTACCTGGAAAGCACCTTTCTCGAGGTCAAAGGGCTGAAAGAAACTCTCAGCAAACAGGAACAGATGATTCAGGAACAGTCCGAAATGATCCGAAAACAGAGTGTCTCAATTAAAGAGCTACAGGCCCAGCTAGAGGCAACACAAAGCCAAAAGACAGAAGAATGCAAACAACTCCAGGAGCAACTAGAGACGATCTCATACGCAGGTGTGGTTGCTACCCGACCCCATCAACAGCAAGATGCACTACGCGGCCCGCCAGGGCCTCCGACATTGGGTAACACATTGTTTTGCACAATCGACACGTCCCGCGTGGGAGAAGAACATAAAGCGCAAGCCCAGATAGCGAATATTCGACAACGGATTGAGAAAGAGATGCGAGGGAGTGAGGAAACCAAAACCTGGCGCTGTGCAGCAATGATTAAGGACCCCAAAAATGCAGACCGAGTCAAAGTGATTTGCAGGAACGAAGATGAGATTCAACAGGTGAAAGAAGCGGCCCAAAAGATCGAGCTACCCGGAATGAGAATCCTATGTGACCAGCTGTACCCGGTCAAAATTGACAATACTAACCGGACAGCAGTCCTGGATGCAGATGGGAACATCCTACCAGGAGCAGCCGAGGCCTTGGGAAAAGAGAATAATGTCAACATTGCTAAGATCTCCTGGCTCAGTAAGAAGGACTCCCACAAAGCGTATGGATCTATGGTGGTATATGTCACAAAAGGAAGCGATGCTAAACGGCTATTGAGAGATCAATATTTTGACATTGCTGGAGAATCAGCATACACTCGACTCTTTGAACCATCAGCAGGACCAGCTCAATGCTACAACTGTCAAGAGATAGGACACAAGGCCTTCTCCTGCAAGAAGGCTCAGACCTGTGCTAAATGTGCAAATAAGGGACATCACCACAGTACTTGCCAGGCTATAGTCTTAAAGTGTGTTCCTTGTGGAGGACCTCATGAGTCATTTAGTAAAAACTGCCGTGTACGCCTTATGCAATCTCATGCATAAATCACTCCGCGTACTACAACTCAATGTGGGCAAAAGGGACATGATACAACAGAGCTTAATGAACGATGACAAGATTAGAGATTATGGGGTGGTGGCAATATCTGAACCATACGCACGGACAATCGAGAATGCCGTGGTGACAAGCCCGATGGGACATAGTTACTGGACAAAGATGATACCTGATATAGGCACGTGCAATTGATGTCCACTTGTCCGATTGCTGTTTCATAGTCGTGGCAAGTAAAGTGGAGCTGAACGTTCCAATTTCGAAGCCTCGTGAGTCGCGATATTGCTTCTCAATCCAGGAGTGTATGTGACTTCTCGGCGTGACAACTCTGTCTGTCTCCATGCTATGCACAAGAACTTCTAGATCAGGCATGTCGCTGGTCTTTCTGATCTTTAAGTGTTCGACTCTCGCAACAGCACGGGCGCTTTCCACATCCTCATCTTCATGCTTGACCTCTGAATCGGAGCTATTAGAGTCTCCATCGGCATCTCGCGCAAATTCATATTTGTGACCCCATACGGCCATGTCCTTGGAAAAAACGTCATTTCGATTCACAATCCTTGTAGCGAGTCGGAGTTCCCATTGGCTATCAAAAGAATCGTTGGAGCTGTAGCTTGTAGTCAAAGCCTGCCGCGTGATGTCCTGGAATAAGTTCATGATGCCCAGCAGATACCCAAGCTGCTGCTCTCGGGTTTCGCGTTCAACTCCTAGTGCTTGAAGCTCATTTTGGCAATCTCTTAGCTTTTTGCTAATCTCACCACGTACCTGCTTTCATTAGTGACGTCTTTATAATGACACAAGGACACCTACCTCAGGGAAGGTTTCACGGGCGTTTACAGTCACCGTTTCTTGCAGACGAGACTTCAAGGCCTTGATTCCAAAACGATCTTTGCTAAGGGTGTTCCACGGAGGGGTAAGGCGAAACCTCTCCTCTGCGGCATCTCGGTCGGTAATCCCTTCCTGAAGCTCCATTTGGCCTAGATTTCGTACTATGATCCAACCTAGCTTAAGTCTCATCTCTCGGTCTTCCACGAGGTCTACGACTCTGCTTTCAGCACCTCTGTCGATCAAATCTGGTTTTGTCAGAACTCCTAAAGTTCTCTTGCCCTCCGGATCTACTTCTCTTTCCATGTCAATGATTTCTTGTGTTGCGATATCAACATTGGCCGGCACAACAGTGAGCATAATAGAGCGCGGATTCCGCATATACTCAAGTACCATTTCTCGAACCATATCTTTGTCCCCTTTTGTGGTAACTCCCGGTGTCGTATTTCGAAAAATTCCAGGTACGTCAATCACACTTAAATGGTCTTCATCCGGGCCGCAAATTTCCAGTCGCAGCACATTGCTGGAAAATGTGGGTTTTCCGTCTTCCTTTGATGTAGAAAGTCCCATGAGTGCATGGACCTGTCAATAAGAGTATTAGCTTGTTCCATATTAGCTCAATTTCGATAACTAACTTCTGACATCACTGCAGAGAACGCAGCACCATCCAGAGACTGCAGGTCTGATGCTTTCCATTCTCTCAGCTGAGAAGGATTATTCGCATCGCTGCCTGGGATAATGGTGTCTGTAATAGTTCTCTCGCCAGCCTCAATCCTTCGAAAGATGATTTGTGTAGCAAACCTAGTGCACAAGCCGCTATCTCGAGGAAAGGCAAGCTTTGTCAACCCCTCCAAGACCGAACTTTTGCCACTAGACTGATCTCCCACCACAACAAGTTGGGGCAGGTTAATATATTCACCGACATTACAAGCAAAAAGCTTGTCGATCTTGTCCAACAAAGCTGGATCTGCAAGTGACTCATGGTCGTCAGAGGTTTGAATACTCATCTTGACAGTGTGAAGGTGCTAAAACCAATACCATGGGGTAGCTGTGGATGAGAAAACTAAGCATGGAGATAGGAAAAAGTTCAGGATCTAGCTGGGTATTGGAGGCGTATAAATAGACAGCCAACGCAAAGACAATCAAGAATACACCGAACATCTCCTACAGTAGTAAATAAATAGATACACAGATCAAACAAACACAGCTCGGAGGGTATTGACATGACGGACAGTTTTATATCACAAAGACAGCTCACAAACCTGTCAGGGGCAGTCACACTAGCAACTAGTTCACAACGTAAAATTTCATACAAGTTTACTGGTCAAATTAATAGCTGTTTATTTGAAGGCTTTTGAGCTGTAGCTTACGAATTTGAAACACAATCTCTCATACCGAAGAATATATCGACCGTATCATCTATTCTATTGTGACGGCTTGATCCGGATTTGGGAATTACTGGATTGAGCTTTTGCTTCCGAAGTGATATTGGAACACCGACTCTCTATAAGCAAAGGATCCTTGATGTATCATTGTACGGAGATATCCGGTCAATCATGAATGAGATCACGTGTAGACGGCTATGAATATTGAGGCTCCGTGCTTCCACTCTGATTCCAGTTTATATTCCTTCTTCATGCCTAGATATCTTGGTACAGCTTCCTAGCAGAATATTAGTTGGGGCCCTCAAAGCCTTGCTTGATTTGAATCTCGAATACGAAGTCTTCAAAAATTCGCAAGATGAGTCAAAACGACATTATTGTCTGTATCGTCCTGCCCACGGTGCTCATCTTTATTACGGCGATCTTAGCACGTCAACGGGGCCAAGTCCTTGCAGTAGATGCTGCTGATCGAAAGACAATTTACTACACACCGAGCGAAATTCGTTCACTCATTGCAGCCAAAACGATCCACGGCCGAGATAATCAGCTTAGACCACTCAAATCCAGAAGCCTCCCGAACGAATCGCTACAGCTAGCATTTGGTATTCAAAATGCTTTTACAAGTGACGACCAATGCTACGTTGAGGAATTTGTTAAGATGTCAAGCAACTTCATCAACCTCTCAAGTGACAGTTGGGACATTATTGTCTCAACGACTCAAAACACTGTCAAGCAATGGAAAAGTGACGCCCAAGGTGCTTACGAATCTCGATGTGAAGTTGAACTTGTGCCTATGGTACAGTCAATGACTCTGAACGCTGTTCTGACAGCTTTTTTCTTCCTCAGGAAAAAGGCTGGCACCAACGATGTCCCGTCCAAAGCCCTTACTAAGCTGGCTGAGGCTATCAATGACACATGGATTATGTCCAAAAAAGAAGACACCCTTATAGCATTCGAACATAATGATAAGCTACGATCGGCTCTTATTGAGGTATTACCAGATGCGGACATATCGAATCCACGCGGGAACCCGTTGAACTTGATATTGCCTGGTTTCGAAACCATGTGGCGGATCGTCTTACGATGCTTTCTTGAGGTCGCATACAAAACAGGTAAAGAGCATACAAACTGGAGGGAAGCGCTAGTAAGTTACTCTGAAAATCCTACGGCAGAGCGATTCAATCGAGCCTTTTCACCGGACGGGGCATCTGCAAAGAATCTAGTCAAGGAAGCACTTCGTCTGTACCCGCCAACGAAACGAGTATATAGAGCCTGGAAGGAAGCAACTTCCCCAGAACCGAAGAAGATCGCCGCGGATATTGAAGCTTGCCATCTGTCAACAAGCATCTGGGGAGAGACAGCTGGAAAATTCGACCCTTTACGCTGGGAAAAAGTGACAAAGGAGCAAGAAGAGGCTTTTTTACCTTTTGGTTCTAGACCGTTCGAGTGCCCTGCAAAACCAATGTTTGGGCCACGGCTAGTAGGCCTATTAGTTGGAACGCTACTTGGTGCATATCCGCATGACTGGACGTTAGTTTCAGCATATAGAGATACGGTAGAATTTGGGACAGTAAAACTGAGCAACGAGAGGAGCGGCTGCTATGATTTGTATTTAGAATTGGTTCGCGACTAATTTGGTGATTTCAATATGCATTCGTGTCAGTGATGGCGCACGTAAACTCGTATTAGGACATGAGAAGTAAATCGGTTTGTAACAAAGCCAGGCACGATGAATAGTCAACATGGCTGATAATCTGTAGGAGTAGGGTTAACCCTAATCCTCAAACAAACATGTAATGAGTGATGCTATTCTCAAATTTCAGCGTCCTCGCGCCTGACCAAGCTGTGGGTTAGCTAGTTTTAACCAATGACGGTGGTCGCCAAGATGTCTACGGGCGCGAAGCCCTATTGTGACTAGTGGCACGCTAAGCCTCATAATAATGGGCATATTACCAAACGCCACTGAGGGTTATCCCTTTTTCGGTCAAGTGATTATTTTCTCTCTGTTATCTCAGGATGAGTCAATAGCTGGTCAATACAATTTGGATCCCAGCGCACGCAGACATGAACTTGACACTACGCGCAAAAGATGAAGCACGGAAATCAATGGGAACAGGACGCCTGCCGGAAAAACAACCATTCCAAGCTAAATCAACTGCCATTAGACTCGCCACTGCTGAACACCTTGGGTGTTGAACATTCTCCTCACTCGATCGCCTGCAATTACAATTTCCGGCAACGGACGACCCGAATCCGAAAGACCTGCTGGACCTGATGACGGTCCTAGCATGTGGCGATAAGATGAAAATTAACCCGCTTGTGGAGGAAATCCGCAAGCATAGTTCACATCAACGTATCCAGGATGTCGCCGTGAACTCATCGAAAAGACGTGGAAAGCTGTGATGGCATGTGAAAAAGCACCATAGTTATAGCACATTCGAAACAAGGACAAGGCCGGACGTTTGGCAAGGGAAACATTATGCCCGATTCAATACTGAAAAAGCTGTTTGCATGTACTGTATGGATGGCATGGATATACTGAGCCTTCCTCATACTAGCTAAGGCTCAGCTCCAGCTTAGCAGTGGACATATCACCCTCATCTGTTCTGATACATTTCCTCCTTGCAATTGACGGCGAAACAAAATAGATATAGCATGGTCACAATGTCTGCAGGACCGGTTTTCAGTCTCAGTACGTGTAAAGTTGTCTTATCACCTTCTCCAAGGTTTGCAAATCCTTTCCGCAGTCAATCCAGACTGCACCGACGACAGCCTCAAAATTGGTCGCTAAACCATGGATAGACTGGGCTTGATGAGAATTCAAACAAACTGTATCTTTCAGGTGTGTTTTATCCTCTTGGTGAGCCATTGCTTCATTGCTTGCTGAATGTTGCAGTAGTGAGCTTCCCGCGGCTATAAAATGTGAGCAGCAATTCTTGACTGGCAAAGAGAAGAGGTACGTACAGCAGCTTGTCCCAGTCTGATACCACGAATCTATCAGCACGAGCGCCACGACTTTATCTCCCAAAAGAGCCAAGCGCTTATTTTGAGTCTGATGTAATGCTTTTGCAAGCAGCTCGCGGTCATTGAATGTGTAGCCAATGATGCCCTCGACACTGTTACAATCCATCGCTCTGCTTAGAACTTTTTGTTTGCTGATTTACTATATTCGTAACTTAGATTAATATAAAGATTTGAACCTACGTATATCTGGTGAAGTTGCAGTATTAAGGTTGTTTACAACTTTTGATTACCTCATCTCCCGGGAACGGTTGTTGCGCTGGTGGTTGAAAAAAGGGAATGGAATATTCTGGGCCTCATAGTCTAATCCGGAAACAGAAAGCATGGTACGATATACAATATGCAGGATAACTGTATACAGAACTACAAGAATACTGATACCGGTGGTAGGTTGCGTTCTGCCGATGTGGCAATAGACCAGGGTACATGAGATCATCAACCCATCCAACTGTACCACGTCGTGGTTGATTGTGTCTAGTACTCATATTCGTGTTAGTCTATGTAAGTATATCAAACGACGAAGATTTCTTCGTCGAGAATTGTCACTTCTTTCAATCGAAGCGAAGTCAAAAATAGCATTCAGTGTTGCGGGGTCGATGCAAGGCTTAATACTCGTTGGAATAGATCCAGTGCCTGGAATTTCGGACAATTATTTACCTGAACGAGCAAAGCTAGTGTACGATATATTATTTTTGCTTCATTACTATAGGAAACTATTGTTCAATATGGCATTAGTCTCTGATATACTAACGACCATAATTGTCTCTCATCCATCATGTATGCATACATTATCTGCCATATTCACGTGAATGTCATACAGGTGGTATAGCATAATAATTTTGGTGAGTTTTACGCAAGGCTGAAGTTGTAGTGAGGGGTGACTGTGCCGCATAGTACTTGAGGACAATAGCCTTGTTTGCAGAGACAAGGTAACCACTAAGGTCATTAATACATGTGACTGCGGTCCACGTTAGATAGAATAGTGCTTTAGCGTGTCAAGAATACAAATTCGATCATCCCATCTGAGAATGCTTGCCATAGGATTCGTGCCATGAAAAGGTGTCAGACGTCAGACAGCCCTGTACCCCTCCTATCTTCCTGATATTCTCATGGTAAACGTATATCTGGTCATCTACGGAAAGCTTGCTCTATTGTGGCAGTTCAGACACTTCGCGTGAAACCAGACACCATCTTTGTCTTGGTGTTGGGATGTTGCAAAAACGAATCACATACAAAGATTCATGTGCATTGAACAAAGTGGGCTACAAGACTGTCCTATCTTGTAGAGTACTCATCTACCGTAGTCTCAGGATGTCCCACTCTGAAGTGTTGGTACATCGCCAATCTGCCAGTCTGGATATCACCCTGTCCATCACGAGAGTTTCTACTACATTAATCACGACGATTTCTCTAGGTCCCTTGGCAACGACGGAAAGCCAGGTGCAACCGTCTCCAAATTCGGTGTCTACGGCACCACAAACCGTCCATAATTCCCATGCTCAACTGATTGGAGTAGTAGTTGGTATCATCGTTGCAGTCTCAATTCTTGTCGCATTCTTTTGCTGCTGTAGGCCATACTATCGAGGCAGCCCAGGAAAAAATGGTGTCGATGGCTCTGTCGGGCCACCGGGACCCCCTGGAAGAGATGGTTCTGATGGTGCACGTGGACCACCAGGGCCAGTCGGACTGAGAGGGCAAGATGGGACTGATGGTGCACGAGGATTACCTGGAAAAGATGGTCAACGTGGCACAGACGGACGAGACGGACGAGATGGACGAGATGGACGAGATGGTGTAAATGGCGCACAAGGACCACCGGGGCCTATGGGACCGAGAGGGCAAGACGGTGTTGCTGGTGCACGAGGATCACCTGGACAAGATGGTCAACGTGGCAAAGATGGACGAGATGGGAAGGACGGGAAAAACGGTGTGGATGGCGCACAAGGGCCACCAGGAGCGATGGGACCAAGAGGTCGAGACGGTATGGATGGCGTTCGCGGACCACCGGGCCAGGATGGACGTGATGGAAGAGATGGTGCGAATGGTCTACCAGGGCCGCCTGGGCAGAACGGACGGGATGGACGAGATGTTCACGATAATCGTAATAATGTGATTAGATTCACTGGGAGAATTCAAGGTTCAGCTATATCATGAAGGAGTTTTTTTCCAGCATTCAGCTATCGGAATACCACAGAAATACTAGAATCCTTGAGGGGCGTCCTCTTTTGGTGAATTGGTATTACATTTAAGTTCTGACAATAACAAAGAACAATGCCGATCGATATCACGTTTATTGACAGAGATCTCGTGCCGCGCCAAACCGGAAGCTAGGGTTCAGCTATTACAGACATATACATGATCAAGTTTTGCATTACCTGTTCCTCCTATAGCTGTACACAATTCTACAGTAAGTCAAGGGCTTCCGCGCAGCGTCCTTGCTTTTTCAAGGTGAAGGCGAGGTTAGCCATGCTGGTCAGCATGTCAGGATGCTCTACACCCAGCACCTTCTTCCTTGTCTCTATCACCTGCACAAACAGCTAAGGAGTGACTATATACAAAAAGAAACTTACAAACTATGACCCCCTGATGCAGCGTTCCAACACGTGTTTGATAGCATTTGCAATGAACTCCCTCTCAAGCTCCCGGGTCTTTTGGAAAACGGGGCGAATCTTCCACGGCGTTATACACTGATAACCCTCATGACCACCTTCGGCCATGAGTTCAAAAATAGCCGATATCCCACGGACAGTCTGAAGATACCGCTTCCAATCTGTTCCAATGACATCGCTGACAATGCTCTGGCGCGAGAATTCTAGAATTAGACCCGCAACACCCGCACCTATGAACGTCGACATGGACGTTCCAGTCTGTGGCTTTGTACGGGGCCGCGATTCTACCTCGTGTCCGAGAATCGCAAAATTCGGCCTGCCTTTCAGGCTGGGAGATGGGTTGATGGAGCTGGTGATGGCCTTTGCGTTCGCGTCGGTCGCAAACATGCAGATGACTTCAGGGTTGTTTGCAGGAAAGGTGATGAAATCGGAGTTTCCGCTGTTGCTGGCGGCTGCGAAAATGAGGATTCCCTGAGCGCAGGCTGCGCGGATTTCGTTCTCCATGCGCTCGTGTGGGCGATTGAAGCCCGATGCTAGGGTGACGATGTTCACCTTCCACTCCGTACGAGCGTGTTTAATTGCCTGGTTGGGTGATCAGTTTCTACCTCGATGAAAATGTTGGTGGGGACTAGATACCTCTGCAATGCGATCTTGAACTTCCACGCTGCCAGACGAAGTCTCAAACACCCGAGCGACGTAGATCTTTGGCATCTTTACAACCTTACAGACGAGGTCCACTCCGGTCGAGCCATGTCCTTTGTTGTCCTTCCACTCTTTCGAATCATCAACAAAGTCCCGATAGCCGTGGATCATCATCTTGTTCGGATGGGCAGGTTCAACGCCACTGTCTATAATAGCAAACCGTACAGGCTCGTGGACAGCACCACGAGGCGCGCGAAGGACGGTGCGCAACTCATCTAGTTTGTCAAACCAGGCCTCGGATGAGGTGCAAGAAGTCCTATAGTAAACCTATATTAGCCCTGGAAAGCAGGATTGAACCTTTCGAGCAATGAGTACCTACCCTGTCATAGTTTTACCGCGAACGCTGAGGACGAAATCCTCTTCATTGCCCGCGGCCGTAGTTTCCACTGCGGTTTTGAGTAGGGAAAGCATTTTACCTCCGTCCTCCTTTTCGCCAGCATATGCCAGAGCCGACTTTCCCGCTTTGTCCAAACGCTGGCCATCAGCCCCGTAAGCTAATAGCAGGCTGACAATCCGCTGGTCGCCCTTCTGAACAGCGAGGTGCAATGGTGTCCGGAGTCCATCGACATTGTAACTTTGAGAGTTGACATCGGCTCTACACTCCAGTAACTCCTTCGCGGCCGCCACCTGGCCACATTTGACAGCAACATGGAGCGGTGTGAACCCCACAGTATCTTTTGGGTCGATCTTGGCCCCAGCGTTAAGCAAAGCATGGATAATGTCAACATGACCGTTCTGGACAGCCTTATGCAGTGGCCGATAAGCATCTCTCTTGATTTCAAGTTCCAAGCCGCCTTGTGACGCTGCCAGGAGCACATCGACGACATTTGAATGACCATTGTAAGCTGCGGTGTGCAGCGCCCCCCAGCCGTTGATATTTGCAACGTTACCGTTAGCCCCTTGAGCAAGAAGATATCGCACCGTCTCTGCGTGACCGTTCCTCGCAGCCAAGCGTAGTGCGGTGTCTCCATCATTTGTCCTTTCGTCCAGATCTTTCAACGGCCCCGTCTCAACCAAGAGCCGCACCAATTTCTCACGCCCCCTTGCCGCTGCTATATGTAATGGCGAATAGCCTTCTTGAGAGCTAGCCTTAGGATCTGCGCCTTCCTCGAGCAGTAGCCGTGCCACCTCCCGCTGATCGTCACGCGAAGCAGCGTACAGAGACGTATACCCCTCCACAGAGCGCGCCCCGAGATCCGCCCCTTTATCGAGCAGGAGCCGTACAGTTTCCGGCCTGCCATTGGATGCTGCAACATACAACGGCGTATGACCGTGTTTTGTTCGGGCCTCAATCGCAGCACCGTGTTCAAGCAGGTGCCTTATTATGTCGAGAAACCCGCGCTCACAAGCCTTGTGGAGAGGACGGGCTCCGAAAGGGAGTTCCGCCTCAAGGTCCGCGCCGTGGGCGAGAAGTATAGGCAAGACGCTCGTTTGTCCGTAGTATGATGCAGCGTGCAAAGGCGTCCATCCATCGGAGGTGGTTATATTTGGAGTTTCCCTGTCATCGAGCAATTTCTGAAGGATTGTCAAGTCACCGTTTTTGGCGGCTGTGAATACCGGAGGGAGTCCCATGAGGAGAGAAAGCGGTGTTCTTGTGAGTATTGCGAATGAGTGTTTTCGATGTGCGAGTCCGCGAGGGGGGAAGATCCAGTCGTTCAAGAGGTTGGCGGTTAGTTGTTCGGATTATATGGCGGATCAAATCTGCCCAACACGAGCATCCCCTCCTCGTCAAGGAAGGAAATTCTAGCCCGACCATAACGCAAGCCACTCTCCAATGACCGGGAAGAACGAGGAGGGGAGGCAGTGTACGACAGGATTGATGCAGACCTCCATTCCTGGCGCTCCGGTTGGTGACTCTGGCAGCCAATCCATTGAAAGGTAACTCTCTGCACAATACTGGCAGGGGTATAGACTGGCAGGGGTATAATCAGCCGACCATCGTTAAGTTATCCACCAGACGCCTCAAAGCGCGCACTCTGACATCTCCCAGCTTACACACACCAAACCCCTATCTCGATAATATGTTACTCGGTGCTACTACTTAACAACCAACAGGCCCCGTCCCCATCCCCCCACCACCATGGTCAACCAAGCAAGCAGCGAAAAGAACAATACCCGCCAATACTCCTGTCAATCTTACCTCAGATAATCTCCCATATCATCTCAGCTTATCCACCACACAAATCCCCCTCCCCTCTTCGGACGCCAAAATGGAAAAATGCTGGTTCACCCTCGCTCAAAACCATTACCCACCATCAACCCCAACCCAAAAGGGCCCAATCCAACTAGGCCACCTCCTCTCATCACTCATCCCTCTACCGCCCCCAATAAACACCGCCTCAGGCCCTCTCCCTCTCCCCGCATACATGCCCATCTACCCCTCCCGCCTCACAGACCTCCGCTGGCAATCCGCGACTAGCTCCACTCTCTCCGCCTCAGCAACTGCCCAGCTCCCCATCCCCCAAGCGATGGGACTAGTAAGTGCCGGCGGCGGGGCGGGTATTGCGTTCCAAAAATCCATAGCGCGGTTCTGGTGTTTCGACGCTGTGGATGTGGAGATTATTCAGCCAGATGAGGAGTATATTGAGGAGAGTTTGGAGGTTGAGTGTGTGAAGGCTTGGATTGAGAGGAAACGGAAGAAGAGTTTGATCGGGGCTTGGTCAATGTTTATGATTACGGGTTTGGCGATTGCGAGGGGTGTCAGGGGGGATAAAGATAGTGGAATGGTTGAAGGGAAGGGGTGGGGGATTGAGTTGGGGCCGCAGGTGTATGTGCTTTGGTTTATTTTCTCGTTTTTTTTTTTTATCCGAAGTAAGGATATATTGATTGTATGTGCTTACTGACCTTTCGTTTTGTGTTTCTATCTTAGATCTCTACCCAGTATTGTCGACGTCGGTATATCCGGCGGGGTTGGGAGAACAGGCGGGCAGGAGATGACATTTAGCGGCTGCTCGGACTTTGTGTGGGCGATTCAGGTGATGCGGATATCGAAGCGGTTTATGTCGTCGGGATGGAGCTTTGAGCCCTATGTGAAGGGAGCAACCTACGCAGTGGAGGAAGAGGAGGACATCGAAAAGATGTTGGCTGGGGAGGGAGTGCCCTTTGAGTCTATTCATCGGGATGGTGATGATATATTCGTTGTTACTTCACAGAAGGATCAGGAGATTGTTGAGGACTGAGGTGAAGGAAAGTTGACTGCTTCAAAAATCGTACCGTCTAGGCAGAGCACTGTATATAGATCCTCTTAATATCTCATGAACAATGGCACAACCTTGTTGTGGTTGCTCTTCTCACAGGCTCCAATCTGTAGGCTCCATAGATCATACGCGCCAGCCACCAAAGCCGATCCACAAAATAAATGACAACAGCTTCTTGATAAGGTGTACTCCGGCTTTTCCATAAGCCAGCTACTTGCTTCTACACAATAGAGGGGCATTGGCTGCTAGTCTGCTTTGTAAGAAACACAATTTCTGTACATAATTCTCCCGACGACACCGAATCCTCACCTGTGCCTCAGACTGCCTAGCTGATGGGGTCTCGGACTCTCGGACACGCTATTGGGCAGCTCCCAGCCTGCCACTCTTCAGCTCAGCAATTGCCATAGCGAAAGTTGGGCAAGTAGGTTTTTGATTTAATCATCTCCATCATTTAATGCCTTGCCAACATCGTTATCTCTCCCATCAATCATTCTGGTGGACGTTATATCTTTGATAAACTCAAATCTCTGCGATTGAAGCCATTTTAGTGGGGTTCGCGGTACCGAGATGCCTGAGAACTCCAAGTGGAAAAAGGACACCTCTCACAGAGAGCTCCTGGATGCCTTTGAAAAAGCAACAGAAACGTTCAAACTTTGCCCAAACCGCATATGGGCCGTTGCCAGAGAGAAATTACCGCAGTTAATACCAAAAGACAATTCGATCCTAGCCGACGGCAAATCGATCCCTAACGACAAGGATTGTTTGAATTCCTCAGCTATTGGCTGTGATAGTACAGTGTAGGTCTGACACGGAATTGCTTTGATATTGCAAAGTAATCACGCCATGTTACGCTGCAGCCTAGAGAGAAATTGTGAAATAAGAGTACTTTTATAGCTGTAAGTATAAAAGCTATTGGTTCCATGCAGGCAGGGATTCTGATAAGTAATCCATAGCTGACCTAGCCTTGCGCTACAACTCGCTTACCAGAAGTACGAATTGGTTCATTTAATTTCTGACTAGTCTAGGACAAATAGACTATAGCAGACAAGCATTATGTGCATACCAAATGAGGAAAACACTCAAACCCGACCTAGATCCTGAGGCATATAAAATGGGAAGGAACATGGTAAAGTTTGTCTGATCCCGGAATTACAAGGTAAAGTCACGGCCCTGATTTCGCAACTGATAGATGAAAATTTCATCTTTAGGCCATTTGTTGCTTATATCTTCTCTCTGCAAGCTTTGATCATGGTGAAAGACGGGAAAAGCTATCTCATATTGAATAAACATCGCCGAAATCATGTCTTGACAAGTTTCGGTCCAGGAGTAACTTATGCATGCGAGAATCTGGACTGGAGTCAGAGCCAAGTAGTTACCATGTTCCAGGATACAGATTGGCTCATGCTCATGTCCGGGAAGCTTCTTCAATTTGACGGCTTCGTTCCCCAGCCGACAACAGCGACTCCTACTTCTTTCACAGGCAGCGGCAAACCCATTCCTGCACCCGCACAAAAAGCAGCTTGTCAGTGGACGCTAGGCGCCAAAAGACACGAAGGGTTCGTCTATATCGTCTTAATCTGGACTCTTTCTTTTTCCAAGCTGATATTTGTTTCTCCTCGTTCCTTGGGCCATCCTGCTACTCCTAGGCCGGTGTTACTAACGGAGTGCATGTATTAGGTTTCGACATATCAAGGCCTCTAATGGCGATTATCTTTACATGGACACAGGAAATGCACTGAAGACCTCTAGTGTTGATCACGATGACCGCGGTCTCTGGAAATTTATCCATTTGCCGTCATTAAAAGAATTAACAGCAGATGGTAAGTAGGGCTTCCCCTCCTAAGGTTCATAACGGCAATCAATACTATGTACTATGTGTGCATAACACCTTGCTTACGAATATCAGATCCTTTAGAGAAGCTTGATGGCAAGTCCGCGTCGGAATGGAGAGATATAGCCAACTACATCTTCCAGGAAGGACTGAATTTCATCGGGGGAACCCCTTTGTCGTCTTTGAGCAACCCTGCGCTACGCCAGAGTTGGGTGGACACCTGGAAGAAGATGGGGCGTACTCGCGATGTCTATCCAGATCCCAAGTCATCATTCTAGGAACTCTTATATTTGTCCTCACGACAGAGATCCGGTCTCAACGGAACTGAGTTTGATGTCAACAATAGCCTGGTATACTGCTGTCATGGTTTGTAGCAGAGCACCAGAACGAAAGTCGTTATCCCAACTATAGCACAATGGATCGAGCTGAATGGGTATCCGAACTAGTCTCTGAATCAATCAATGGCTCTGAATAAAGGAATAAATTTGGTTGACAGTATCTGGATCCGTCATGGCTTTCGCTAAGTAAGCTTGTACTTGATTAAGGTGGAACCCAATAGTCTCTAACTCCAGGTCAAAAGGAGTCAGGCCCAAAAGCTTCACGGCATGTGGACGGGATGTGATAATCACATTGTCTTCATTTAATAAGCTATTGAATATTTTAGTCTGGTCGGCTCTGGATGCATTGCGATATTCTGAAACTTCGTCCAGGCCATCCAATAGCAAGAGAGTTTTCTTATGGGTTTGGTCCAAAGCTGTTTTCTGGAGTTTTAGAACTAAACTGTCGCGCTCTGCTTCGTGTTTAAAGAATTCCTGATGGAAAAATTCATCCAAGTCTGACATCCCCTTAAGTCTTCGCAAAGGTATCTATATGATGTGATCAAAAAGTTCTGCCCATTTCTGTTGGTGTAAAAAGTCGTGGATGATCTTTTTGTAAAGCGTTGTCTTTCCAACACCTGCCCGCTCTTGGATGAGAATCCGTCGGGGCTGGGCCTTTCGGTCATCTAACAGCTTCCGCTCGTGGAAGAGTTGTGAAAGTGTAACCTCCTTTTCGGAATACTCACACGGAGCTGGACCAGAACCTAATTTTAATCATACTTCTTGAATCCTATTTTGTCTATTTATCGATACAATTGGAGGCTAAGGATATTCAATGCCCCCATCCAAAAGTAGTATCCCTGAACCTGCACCTTAAACCAATCCTCCAGCTTTGGATCACATGTAATATTATTAGATGGAATGACCTTTTCTGTGGATACTCAAGTTCCTCTGCCGGGCCACCTCTATGCCGGATGATGAAGCCTCCTATGTCTCGAAGGACCTTTTCAGTGAAGAGATTCTATCTCCTGATCAAAAGAGATATTGTCGCTTCGTTCCCATGCAAGATCATCAAACCTCATACATTTAGTAATGTGGTTGGTAACTCATTGGACCTTGAGCAACTGCAGTTATTGAAACACCAAACAATGCTTGACCGGAAGAGTATAACCCTATGATTTTTTCGGTGGAGTACTGCCGCCTGATTGATTGAAAGAAGCAGGAGTGTTGCCTAGAGACGATTTAGGCGTAAGTTGATATCCTCGCCCGTAACGCTCCCTGTACGCTTGAGTTTGGCTTTCCTGATCAGCAGAAGTGGGTTGCTGAGTGTCTTGCGACAACTCTTCATCTGCAGTTCTGCGGAGGTTAATGCTTGTCATGTCCCGGGACAATTGCTGAAGAGAATCATCACTTAGATGGCCGCCGACCTGCCTAGTTCTCCAACCCAGTCCTCGGTTCTTCCCATGGATGATTTGTCCGTTGGTTGAAATCATGAACTGAATAGCATCGCCAGTGCCATAGTTTTCAATGGTAGTAACAGTTTCTTTGAGATGCTTGTCTGCTTGCGAGCATATTCCAATGCACTGGCGGGCTGTTTCCCACTCATCTCGTAATCTTGTTAAATTCGCAATTTCCTCATCCGACGTCAAATGTGACCTGGATTTCGCAAGCATCCGATTCATGATATCCTGCATATGTTTTTCCAACTTTGCAGCTGTTAAGATGAGGCTCTCTTTACATTGCTGCAGCCCCTGATTGACAATCATTTCAGGTACAGCACCAGGCTCCGGTGATCCAGCATGATGATCATTGTGCTCGGGATGGAGCTGAATCTGCTCGATATGCTCAGATAAGCGTGCACAAATCTGGAGACATCTTTCAGTGCTCAGTCGCTCCTCCTTCATCTCTTGCATCTCCAAAGTATCGCGCTCCGAGGCTGCCACAGCCGGTCCAAGTACACGCTCCAGTTTCTCATCGATACTTTCAAGATGTGCTTCCAGATCGTCCTTAGCAACTTCGATCAGATGTTTATGATTTTCGAGGATTTCGGCGGTAATAGAAGACTGGTGACTGCAGAATTATTAACTCAACGTACCCTAACCATATTGGCTAGGCACGAAAACACACACTTACAGTGTTGCGTCAGTGAGGGCAATACTAATAGTCAACTTGTACCCAGCGAGTAATCGCCTGAACCCATCGATATCATCACTCATGTACCTTAATCGAGCCCAGTCGCGAAAGCTTGTCCGATCGCCGCCAGATCGCGATAAGCACTTCATAAGCTGCTGTTCAAATTCTTTACAGGCATTTCCACATCTTTTCAGGGGAAGATCAAGCGCAGGGAGTGACGTCCCCGCTGGGTTTTTGACCATGTCATTGAGCGGACCTAGAACCGCAATCAGAGCCTCCAGCTCCTCGAGAAGGTCACGGACACGTTTTGGATGAGAATTGAAACTCTTGACAGTCTCATACAGTGTGACGCTGGACTGAAAAGCAAAAGAAGCCAAGGTCAGCAATCCAGAAGCCAGGCCTACAGCTTCGGCCATCGTAGTCGATATGAATGATCAAGAAGCAGGGTTTAAAGACGAGTGAGTATTGCACCGGGTGCCGCGGTATTGTGTTGGATTTGATGTTTCGTTTATGAATTTTATTAAGTTTTCAGCCAGCAACAAATATACTATGTATAAGCACGTACAGAGTAGACGGACATCATTTGGGAAGAGGTCAGGGTGGGGCTAGATGTCGTGGGTTGGTAAAGCGGCTAGTACATCTAGGTAATTGGCTGTGAGAACCAGCCGTCTTCTTTCACATGCATGTGTTCAAAATTGAAAGCGGGTACTGGTTAGGGTAAAATAACCCTAAGGGGATAGGAATGAACTAACCTTTTCTGGTAAGGTCCAATCAAAGTTCAGAACACCCAACCGGTATATAGTTAATCCGTGCGATAGATACGAATTGATTCTCCTTCAGTGCAGTATTGAAGATTTTCAATTTCCTCATCATGTGCGAATTGAATATAAATCAGAGCCTATCTACCATGGCTAACTGTGTATAGTAAAGCCATATATATTAAGCCGACAGCAGCATCCAAGGATTAGTTACAAAATGTCAAGTTGTCAATTCAAGTCCCTAGCAATAGGGCTACGGTTTATATCATATTGGCTTCTCATTATGTTCAAGACGTGTAAATAATTGGTCTAACAATTTCTCTTCTCGTGCCTTCTGTTGTTCCATTTGAGTGAGAAGCTTCTCCTCGCGTGCCTTCTGCTCTGCTCTCTGTTCTTCCATTTGAGTGAGAAGCTTCTCCTCACGTTCTTCCATTTGAGCGAGAAGCTTCTCCTCCCGTGCCCTCTGCTCCGCTCTCTGTTCTTCTAACTGTTGTTGCAGGTTATGGATCATGCTACGTAGCTCCGCATGTCCCCGATATTGCGAGGATGGAGCGCGGCTATATGCAGATCGTTCTCGAGATCCAATCCGTGATTCCTGGGAGCCATAATCCTGGTCGTCGTTACCTTCAAAGGGAATATCTTGAGGATCGATAATTTTTTCCAGAAAATGATTCAATCGATTGATATGAATAGGAAGGAATTCACAATTGACGTTCTCCACAAAACGGTAACATGCCCATTTCTCATCGTTTGACCAAATATTGAATTGTTTCACCGACCAGCGGAAGTATTCAATTTTTCCTTCACTGATCTCCGGATAGTACGCGTAGATCCGCAGGTCCTCTAATTCGTGTGAAATGGAAAACCCCAGGATCCTTCGGTGTACCTGATCCAGGCATTGAGCAGCCCGAGCCAGACTGACCACCGCTCGAAGGGCAATGCACATGCTGTGCATGTTCTGACGATCAGCAAATTCCAAAGCCTGATTACCACACTTGATTTCAGCCGTTAAGTAAGGGAAGTACATGTCGTCTCGCACTGCATATACAGATTTCTTGTCGGGCTCAATTCCAAGCTTTCGCCGCTGTGGTTCTGAAAAGGCTGACCATTTTAAGCCCCAGGCGTGATCCGGCTGTGGCTTTGGTCCATGTATTGGCTCCGTCTTGAGCCATGGATCATTGTAACCGTCGATCACATGTTTCAGTTCTTCGCTTCCTTGAATATATATATTCTCGGCAGATGGCATGAGAAGGGGATGGAAATCTACCAGCAGGCGGGCTTCTGACCGATTCCGCAATGTATTGTGAAAGTGGTCGACGTATTCGTCCTCAAATAGAGTGCCAGTAGGAATCTCGTTCGGCTGACGAAGAAGTCGCTCGCATAGCTCAGCGTCCTCGGTGATCGGTCCGGCCATTGATGGTTGCATGAAGCAGCCTTTCTGTCCAAGGATAGCAACATAGTTGACATCCTTGTATGCTGATGACTTCGCATCTCGAGACGATGTGCTTGCATCGGACGAAACCGATCGGGTCCTGCCACGATCGGTCGAGATTGATCGCGACCTCTTGGATGGTGGCTGACTCATATCTTCCAGCTCATGAACTTCATCTGGAATCCGCTCAATCCACTTCCAAATTCTGTCTTCAAGAAAGGTTGACTCCGAAAAGGAAGGCGCATTTGCAGTGCGTTTGCATTCTGAATCAACCAGTTTCTTAGCTTAGTCAATTATATCCCAATACCAATGTGGACTCACTGCTGGCCTCTTTTCCAAGATATTCTGATAATGGTGATGGCGGCTGTTGTGGTTGAGTTTGCTGTTGTTCGTTCACGAAGCCTGTACTCGGCGAACTTTCTTGTTCGCGCCGCTTGACCGGCCGTTTATCGATATCATCGTGAGAGCCGACTTTCCTTTTCATAATCGGATAAATGACAGTATTGAGAAGGTGGTGTCATACATTGACTGAAACGCTGCAGAGAGGAGAATGTTTCGGCAGGAGGAGAGAGTTGATCCTTGAGTGGTAACAATTGTTGAATATCAGCGACCTTCGCGCCTAACCAAGCTGTGGGCTAGCCAGTTTTAACCAATCACGGTGGTCGCCAAGATGTCTACGGCGCGAACCCCCATATAAGTGACTAGGGATACGCTAAGCCGAATATGGATAAGACGGTAATGGGCATACACAACCATTACCAGAAACCGCACTGAGGGTTATCCCTTTTTCGGTCAAGTGGTAATTTTCTCTGTTATCTCAGGATGGGTTAATAGCAATTCGAATCTGTTCTACTAGTCTAATTTATATTTGAGTTCCACGCAGCTCTACTCTAAGCCTCACTCGCTGAGCATATCTGAACACGAGACGATTCCTCCACACCACTGCATCTTGGCAATTCATTAGTGACCCCACGTTTGCTGTTTCGGCTATATTTGCGTATAGCGTGCGAGTCAATACACGCCATAAGACCGTTTACAATATCCAACTGCATGCGTTCCGAGTCCAGCACAGTATCCCACGATCCGATATCAAACCCATTACATCGCTGCTTGAAATTCCAGATCACTCGAGTCCCACAACTCCAATCGTCACTCTGCTGCGGTGTAGGCTGTTCAGGTTAGCAGCTGATTAACAAGACGAACGCAAATCAAAAGCTTACTGCTTCAATATATTGGTACTCTAAATCACCAAACTCATCCTATAACGTTGTTAGATAATGCTTCTGACATCTGATAGAATGGTGGTACCTCAACTAGAGCGGCAATGCTCGTCTTCTTTGTGCCATTGATAGTAGTAGGCGCTGCCAGGGAGTCATAATGTCGGATTACTTTCTCGCCATCATTGATTTCGAGTAGCGTGAAATGTGAATTCTCTTTACAGATAGGAGAGAAGAATGTTAGGGGTCGACAGTCTTCCAGTCCATGTTCTGCTTCTCTGCGGAGCTCGGCGATCTTCTTCGCCCAGATCTGGAAGGGCTTCTTGATTGATCGCATTCGACCATGCCTTCCAATGTCGTTCACCGGGATGCATTCGCTAAACTTGACGAAAGGTGGCCGGTCTGCTACCTGCATCGCTGCCATGATAGCCCAAGAATTGAGCCATTCCCCAGGGCGGAACCGTAAAAACAAGTCGCCCGGTAATTTTACATTTCCAGGAATTGAGAACGTGTCAACATCCTCCAGACTCTGCTTAGTGAAAATTTGATTGGCAACCCGATTGATCAGATTGTCAACTGCTGTATCCAATGCCCCTTCTGGTAGCGCATTCTGGCTATTGTCAGCTCGGTCAAGAAGAGAGATGGCAACGTTCTTACATGCTCTGACTCTTGGCTCTCTCTGATCTTCTGAATTTCTGGTTCAGAGACCAGATCATGTTCTTTCAGCGAGTTGTACAAGGCTTCCGGGTCAGTGGAGCCATGTCTGACCAGTTGTTGCACCTGCGCACCAAGAATTCGAAGTAGGGTCATCCGTTGTGCATCCACCTGAAACTTTTTGACCAGCAGGTCGATTTGACCTATACTTCTTTTGGTATAATCCCTGTACGCCCGGTCAGCACAGAACTAGACTATATTGGCTGATACTCACCATATATCTGGACTGAACAGGATCCCCAGTCCAAGATTTTTGACCAGCTTCGTACGCAATTTCTTTCCTCTAGAGAGTTGATTGGTGATCAGCTTTCTGTTGAGCAAGTCCTTATGACGGGTGATGCGATCTAGCACCTGAGTTGCGGCTCCCTTGTGACCTAAACCTGTACGCTGTGCCAGGTCAATCTGGCTGTCGTACCATTTCGAGGCTCCCATATATTCGAGCATGTTGAGGATGGTATACCGACGGTTTGCGGCTGATCCTCCTTCCAGCACCTGCTTCCATATACTTCCGTCTGACCACTGGTCATTGTTCGACTCCATGGTTGTCTCCTGGTAAGTCTGAAGGGTTTGAAGGATCTGAATGTGGACCGTACGTGGCAGACCGCTCGGATAGTTTTTCAGCTGGTTGACGACGTTGACGACGTGGTAAACCGTCTCAAGGAAAGACGCGCCCTTTGTCAAATCCGTGTCAGGCATATACGGTGATACTTCCTTGACGCCATCGGGAGATATCGGCGTCGTCTCTGGATGGCTGTCCTCGGTTTCAGGAGCGATCTCCATATCTGTGATGAGCGCCCCGGAGGTCGAAACACAAGGAAAGACATCTGGCTTGCTCATTCGTCTCGATGTTAATTGGACCCCATCCGTGTCAATACAGGCCATGGATCCAATGGGATCCTCGGTTTTCTTTTCGAGAATCTGGGACTCCTGCGTTATGCGACGCTTCTTTGAAGCGGGCTGGATCGGATGACTCGGCTGATAAGCCTGATCTGGTTTCTGTTTGCGTTTCGAGGATAAGCGGCGAGACGAGTTTGAGTTAGACCGTGGAGTTGGCGATTCATAAGTTGGGATGTTTTCTTGGATTGCTACCGCAATGGCTTGAGCAACTGCCGGGGCTTCTTGACATAGCTGATGGACGAGGTCACGAAACTAGTTTTCTCTGCGATTAGCATGCTTCTCACCAGTGATTCCGGGCACTCTACCTCTGGAAGCCGCTCCACGTCCTCGATTTCTTGCGTTTCTCGCACTTTGGCAAGCTCTTGGAGTTTCTCAAGTAAATCAAGCAGTGAACTAGCCATTTGGTTAAGTGAGGGTGCTATTTGTGAACTAGAAGCAGCAGAGTCCATCGTGCATAGGATGTCAGCAGCAACTTTAACGGAGGTGGAATCTGAAGGATGACTTGATGATGGGAGAGAAATAGAAGGGAGGGAGAGCAGAAGTGCGGATCGAGGACTCTTTATAGCCATAAGACCTAGGATTTCGGCATCCCAGGATTCCGAAATACGTCGTGTCTGTGGAGCTATAACTAATCAGCACTTCAGCTAATCTGCAGTGAAACAGTGACTCGCCACCTGGGCTGTGCCAGAACGCTTCGGGTAAGGGCTCATCATGAACTAGAGAAGTCTATGGCTAATTCGAGGACAGATCCTGCCTATTCTGGGACGTGGTGGGTCACATAAACATATGGAAGCCCAATGACTGATGTTGAACGAGAAAACCCATCTGTCGAAAAGGAACAAGTCGGATGTGACAATCAGCAAAAAGGAGAAACCTAGCCATTGAGAACCGAGACTAATGGTGATGACCAGAAATTGGATAGTATTGATTTGTCCTTCGAACATGTCGAGGTGCGACTTGTCCTTATTAGGCAGTAAGGTATGCTGCCAATGTACATCTATAGCTGGCGGATACGCAAGGCATGCTGCTTAGCCGAGGCTACAGTGCTTAGCTGAACAGAATAGGCAATATGGCAGCAGGCATGGGCTTTTGCAAGGCGTTATTCAAGGTGTGACGAACATAGAGAATTACTACCCTATAGCCCGGGAGCTCGGGGATTGATTCAGCACCGAAAATTAAAGATACCGTGAAAGCTTTTCATGACGAGCCGGTTGGATGTGATGGGAGTCGGAAATGAGGCAGCCAGAATGGTATTGTTGCTCATCTACGCGTTGGACAGCTTGGTTGAGACATATTGCATGTGCGCCTTGTACACTGATGGTGGACAATGTTGTAAGTTTCACCGTCTTGTCTACAAAATGCGTTAGTGTAGTATTGGCTTCATAAAACATGTTAACTGAAAAAAGGAATGTACTGAACAAAAACAGTTAGATACGAGTTAGTCTATCTAGCCTTGCATATCACTAACCGGAATTCTCATCACTGGTTATACATACTTCATCCGGCTAATAGGCCCAGACAGCGCCTTGAAGCTCGTGTCTCATACACCACGATTCTCAGCTACGCCGAGCACTATCTAAGACGGAAGGACGATCGAGCAAAGAAGGGGTGCAGCTGCTTCCTTCACCAATGATTGGGCTCGTACGTTCGTGTATGTGTTCCTGAGTAGACAGAGCCTGCTCCTTAGTGGCCGTTGAAATTTATGATTGGCTGTAGCATCGCACGCACGGGTTGGGCTTCGGCATCCTAGGATGCCAAAACGCTCGGTGATACACTATATAAAGGTCTCCGTCCGCACTCTTGTTCTGTTTTCCTTTTACTTCTCTTCCACCGTCAAGCTATATTCTGGCTCCAGCTTTGAGATCTTGCCGAGACGCGAGAGATGAAGGAAATCCAGGCCGCCAAACCAGAGGTATGGTGCCCTCTTTTGTACGGTGAGAAGAGGCTGCTAATCACAGAGGTAATAGTTCATGAACTGCTCTATCAAGAAGTCCCGCAAGTTGCTCAAGCCACTCCTGTCGATTCAAGAAGACATGACAAGCGATAAATCACCAACTCAACGGTCTATCTCAGAGTTGTCTCGCCGCTCCGCCCCCAAGCGCAAACGGAAACAAAATCCAAATCATTCGATCCAGCCCCCTTTAAAGAAGGCGAGATACGCAATGCCCGCAAGAAGTTGTTCAGACAAACCAATCCCCTCCATAGAGAAAGAAAGTTATTTACAACGAGACATCATTTTCGAGGAAGATGACCCAGGTTGTGAAGTACATTCAACTCCTGTATTCATCCGTGCAGGCGTACTCGTCGGTTTTTGGTACGCAGATATGAATGGAAATGGGATGCGACCGGTATATTGCTTAGTCAAAAGAGATCTTGAATTCGCATATCGGAAAGGAAAAAAGTTTATTTCCGTACGATACTACGATTTTGATCCCCTGGATAGATTTGGCGACTGGATGGGCGATGATGCAGAAGATGAGAACGCGATGAGCCCGAAAATGGTGAAAATGTGGGCGCAAAACATGTGGAAGCACAGAAACTATGCCGGAAGCCGGGACATGACACTTGAAGATTTGACTAGTTTTGACAATCAAAGCATGTTAGATAGTGATTGGGAAGGGTCAAATCTTCCCGGTGTATAGTAAGAGGTGGATAGAATAGAAGCAGCTGGTTAACCCATACACCTGTATACTCTCTGTGAGGCGATAGATTTATGCCGATAATGTAATCGAAGAGTAGGCTTGCAAGTTGAATGGAGTGAGTGCAGCTAATCATTTTCCCATCTACGTTACGTAAAATGCAACAAGCAGCGCGATACATATCTTGCATAAGCCAGCTGTGTACAGCACATGGATGGGATGGGACCTGAGTCACCTGACTACACTAGGGGCTGATAGTAATTTGGGCTTACTGACCACGGCTAGGGCAGTACCACAGAGAGACTACTTTAAAGCTATATCTAATCAGGAGAAACAGCCTCCGGACCGGATTGAACAACTAATAAGCCCCTATTAATAAACTTTCAGAAACCAGATAGATATATCATGCATCGCTGGTGAATTAAATTTCTAGAATGATGTGAGGTCTTGCTAGTCTTTTCTTGCTTGCTGCATGTAGATAAAAGAAAGGAGGAGAATGAATAATAGACGGGACCGTTAAACCCTAATTTCATGTGGATCGAGAATCTTCCCCGATCTCGCTGTGTGGATCTCGGCCCAGTAGCTTAAATCGACTACAGTGCATCATACTATGTATTTTGTATTCACTAATGGGACGGGCAGAAAGGACATAGTATGCTTGGATTTCTGTTAGCTTGCATCAGGGTGAGTCATGGTCGCTCCACAGAAGTATATGGCGCTGACCAGCATTTCATCTTTTTTCCTTCGATTGTTTTTTGCCACTGTGTGGAGACGGACTGATTAATATCATAAGTATGAGTCAATGTTCTTACATGAAACACTAGTGCGCTTCTGCTTTGTCTACTACGTAGTAAGTAAATAGGATCTCCACTCAGTTATGTCCCATAATCCATCTGCACCTCAAGATATAAATGACCGGCTTCCATCAAGCTGTGACATTGAATATCTTCTCATAAACAGGAGGCTTAAAGGCAAGACATGATGTTCTATATTTGCGTTACAACTAGCCTTTTGTACATGGCCATGGCCTCGCTGGTTTGTGCTAATACGGCTCATCACAGGCAACGGCACAATCATCGAGTGCTTGCACAGCGGTCAATCCGCACATCCTCAGTAGGCATCCCAACAAACTACGGTTCCACAGTTCCTCTTACTGTTGGCAATGATGGGTATGCTACTGCTCATGTTTAAAGGGACATTATTAACATGCAAAGCCTGATCGGCTTAATTGAAATAGGTTCGCCCGGACAAACTATCGATGTCCAGTTCGATACCACATTCAATGGAACCCTAATTCAATCTACTTATGAGGGAGCAGTGATAAGCGGCAGTCCCGTGTACAACAGCAGTGACTCTACATCGGTAAATGAAATTATATCGGAGAACTATGGTGTGCCTCTCTTTCTGTACACATTCGCGGATAGTGCTGAGGCTACGGCGATTGCTGGTAGCGAGACATTCAATATTGGGGGTGTACTCTATTCTGACATTGCATTCGGTCAACTCTGGGAATATGATCTGAAGAAAAGCGGGAGAATTATGCCGTTTGGCGGAGCAAGTGGAGTTATTGGACTTAACCCATACCCGTGGCAACCTCCTGATTCACCGAATTTTATGTATGCGATTCGGAATCAGCTGACAGGTAAGTATCAATTTCAAACCGCAGGCGAGTATATATTGACCGTACTTGTAGAATGGAAATGTTCCTTTGACTTATACCGTGCTTGGAAGAACGGCACATTGACCTTTGGAGCCCTCGAAAACCCAAATAATCGTGCTGATATTGCGTGGGCGGAAAGGAACGCCAATCAACCTACATGGAGTATCAATATTACAGCCATATCAGCCGGTAGTAGAAAAAATCCTCCAATTGCGACCTGGTCAGCAACTATCTCCACGGAAGAACAGTCCCTTGTTTGGCCGCAAAAGCTCCTGGACTGGTACTTCACAGGTGTTGGTGCTACATGGTCGGCTGCGAAAAACACGTATCGCTATCCATGCAATGCAACATTACCGGATTTCACCTTTGGCTTTGGGAATGGGACGTTTACGATTCCTGGTGCTTATCTACCGTACCAGCGTGATCAGACAGGTACTACATGTGTTACGATAATCACAGGAGACAACTCTACGGACTCAGATTATGAATATAGTTTCGGTTCCTGGTGGTCTCAACTCGGAGTATTAATCCTTGACTATGAACATAGTCAGGTAGGTTTCATGAATAAGTCCACACCACTACCGGCCTTCGGTATCTCTTCTCTGGAAAGTGTTGTGATGGGCTAATTCCTCATCCGTTCGCGCTCTGTATGAGGAATCCAATAACTACAACTCGAAAAAACGTCATGGGCCTACAACTCAAGAAGTGTGGCTATAGAATTCGGGGAGCAACGAGATTGTTCATCCAGGCGTATCATTTTACTAGTGTTCATTTAAACTACGATTCAGTCGTCAAGAGGGAATCCTCAAATTGTGCAGCAACTACTGCGAAAGGGAGCTGATGTCAAATGCTTGTTGTAAACAGTAGGGCATTCTACTCTGCTCTCGAGGGAAGGGTTGTCTTGAGGTTGTGCAGTAACTCTTGTATAGGTGTAACTATTTAGTTGTTATAAGCCTAATCACAGGAAGTGTTTCAGAATGGTCTTGTTTGTAATATTTATTTTCAGTTTAATGCAGACCACTATGACCAATTCATGGCAGAGGAAAATCAACCAGATATGAGAGGTTGTATTTTCCGAGGACGTCAGCAATTTGTGATGGAACATGAAGCTGAGTATCTTTCCGCACTTCCCCAAATTATTCCTATTCTGGAAGAAGATACAAGCCCCTCCGTCATTGAATTGGATGGCTGTCAAGGACGGATGTTGTGTCCATAATAGAGGAGCACCAAACCATTGCGCGTGATCTGTCCTATATCTCTGAATGTGTGCGATACCACTGCTCCTCTGCGTCTGTATATGCTAAGCTGAGAATTTTCAACTGGTCCTCATCTGCTTGTTCATAACCATACTCCCTAGCAATATCGTCCTCGATACGGACCCAGTGCACGGTAAGAGAGGCAACCAATCGGTCTAGATCGCTGAAATCCTTTTCCAGCTCCCCTTTCAGCTCCTGGATTTGATCCTTCAAAGCGGTATGCTGATCAGAAACGCTGTCCAGCCCCTTTTGGACCTTTGCTCGTATGGCCTTTGCCTTTTTGGATACAGCCCGCTGACGACGTTTGCCCTCGTAGATTGGGTCAATCAGGCCGCTCGGTTCCCAGTGTCTCATGGGCTGTGCAGGATCTAGTTTGAGGTTAGTGTGGCTCTAGAGAGAATACAGGAGTTGGCTCACCTCCGGCTTGGCCACTAGCTTGGCGCACATACACGCCATAATACGGTATTTGAGGCGGATGTTGCACCATCAGTGCGCGCAGGCGGCGTTCCTCGGTAATATTTTCATCTCCAAGACGGTGAGAAGAGGTTGAAGTGATAGACATCCCACGGTCAGTGTAGTGTGTTTGGAGTTGAGTGTTGTCAGTGGTCACTGGATTGTCTGAGTTCAGGAGCACTAAATCACGGTTAGTCAGAAACAGGACTAGGCCATATTCGATCACAACTCACCGCGGGGTATGTAGTGGGATAACGAAAAATGAGAGAGGTAGAGAGAAGGAAAAGGTTATCTCTGGCCTGATATCTTGTGCGTGCAGTGCCAAACAACGCTAAACTATTTTGGGAAGGTTCGCTGGAAGATGGTCAAATTTGGGGATAGCGCCGCCATGCTACCACAACTCCTGCAACCGAGACGTTAAACATTGGGGACGTACTCTACTCTGACGTTCCATTTGGCCAACTCTCTATATTGATTGCTAACCCTAAGATGTCGACGTCTCTGTGGGAACTGGTTGTAAGCTTCCTACACCGCATTAGTGATAACTGATTAATGATACGATCAAAATCACCTTGATGGATGACTGATGCGGTATTTACTTGAAAGGCGAGACAAGGCCTTCACGGAATGGTGTCTGATCAGCCACGATGATATCCAAGGGGTGCCAAATTGCACCTTTGCAGCTTATTAGCAATCGATTCTAGCTCCAGGGGAACTGGCTCAATGTATGTTCAATCAGCACATGTTTCAGAGACAAAGACACCTTGCAATGATGGTGATATCGCTGCTTTTCTTGAGTATTTTCCTCTTCGGTATAGTCGGCACCAGAGGCATGGCTGTGTGCGACACTCGCCGATTTTCTCCGGCATTATAATACACCAGTACACTGACTGGTCGACGAAAACCATGAGAGCTGTCGCAGTGCCGCTCATGACGCCTCCTCCTGCCTGATTAGGATGCGTCAGGTCGCGAGCCATTGTGAATATCAATTTCTGGGAAAGAGTACCCTCTATGCTGCATGATATCGAGCCACATTTCCTGGGTGGTAGAAATCTGATAGGCCAGATTCTACGCCTCACGTTGTAGTTTCTCTCATCTGCACTTTCAGCGTTGCATCTAATACCCCTGAGATAATAAGAGACGGATCGCTCAGCCCCATTGAAATAACGAATCATCGGATATCTGCTGGCCGAGAAAAGGTATAAATTGGGGTAACTTCCCACCGCAGTAGGAAAAATCCTTCATCTCAATTTTTTTCGTCGACGCTGACACATCCGACAAAATGGAGGGACAGCAGCAACCAGCTTATTTCCTGGTCAGCGATTTGCATATCCCAAGGTTCACACATGGAGGAGAAGGTGAATCCCTGGCTACCGAAGCTGCTGCACAGACATCACTTGGTTCTCCTCCCTCAACCATTCCCTTCGATGAGGAATTACCTCCGTTGCAGCTATCTAGTGAGCGACTTTCGCCTGGTGAAGAGTCCAGTGGAGTACAGAATCTCCGTATTCCAGTCATCGAAATTAGTGAAAACGAGGGTGATAGCAGCACACTCCTTTCACAACCATCACGACCACGGCGTCGAAATACTCGTCATCTCGATTATGCTTACCGAGACTACCAAGCCACAATGGACCATGCGATCTCGACATCATCTCTTGGTAAACGAGGAAGAGAAGACTCGGATACGCCGAGCTTTCCGTCTAAAATCGTAAGGAACTCTTGTCCAAATTCCTCGATCATGGCTGACAATCAATAGAGGCAATTGGTGACTGAAATACAAGGACAGTATGAAGCCTTAGAAAAGCAAAACGAACAATCAGCCCAAGAAAGACATCGATGGAAGGAAGAAAGGGATCGATGGAAGAAGAAAAAGGATGAATGGAAGAAGAAAGAGAGAGAGCTCCATCGGCAGATTCAATTCCTGCAGCGACAAATCAACGAACAAAAGCGGCGCAATATTTTAAAGTGTGTTGTATGCCATAGAACATTCAATGAGAACTGGAACGTTTTCAGCTGTGGCCATACTCTGTGCAAAGACTGTGTGGATGACATCCATTCCAAGGGTTCGTTGTTCAAGTACTCTTGTGTTCAGTGCGAAAGACCGATTCAAGCTTGTTTTGACTTTTATCCAAACGTGGTGGAAGCGTAGACCGGGGTTGAGATTATTCGCTACTAGCCTTATTCTTCCTGAACTTGACTTGAAATCAACATGTCTCTGTTTTTTCTGTACCGTGTTTCTGGGGTCTATGACAGGTAGCTACTTTAACGAATAAGGAACTCTTCTAGGGCGGAACATGCTTCTTGTTGGATTAGCTAAGCTGATTCAACCAATCAGACAGAAGGGATTTGTCAGCCAATAATAGCGAGCCACACACTGATCCACCGAACAGGGGGTAAAAAGATATCTTCCACCTGGACTGTACTTAGAGACAAGAACAAGAAGGACAATAAGGGGATCAAGGATTCCATACTTGTGCATACATAATTTGATACGTTGAGATAAACTGCTAGAGATTGTTACATACAATCCAACACTTCTGAGAGATCTCAAAAAGCACTTGACACTTGTCTCCACTGGGTTCAGTAGCCAAAATCGACTACACTGCTGGATTTTATCGCACTCGGATTTCCTACGCTCACATATATTATGAATGGTCAGGTATGATGCGACAGATTGTATCGCTTCAAATTTCAGCCAATGAAGTGGTAGATATGCTGCGGGATCTTGTGCTAAGAGTATCAGTTTCTTCCAATCATGAACTCCCTCTTACCGCCCTCAACCTCAAAGTCAGCCTTGTTATCGCTCAGCCTTGTCGACACATCTGTATGAACCTCACGCCACGTATCTATCATGAAACAATGTTTTCGTATTGTTGAACTGTTTTCTCTCGTCACTCAACCCGATACATATTTGTGATGTCACGACTCTGAACCATGGAAACTCCTCCGTCCCGATATGAGTTCCAGATCGGTTGGATATGTGCCCTACCTATCGAAGCAGCCGCCGCAATCCAGATGCTGGACGAGAATTTCGGTATTCTCCAAGAGCAGGAAAGGACGGACTCCAATACATACACCTTAGGTCGGATCGGCCGTCACTATGTCGTGATCGCGTGTCTGCCAGATGGACAATACGGGACTACTTCAGCCACCACAGTTGCTAATAACATGATGAGAACCTTTCGTGACTCGCTCCGCATCGGCTTGATGGTGGGCATTGGCGGAGGAGCTCCTTCCGTGGAGCACGATATTCGCCTTGGTGACATTGTGGTCAGTCGTCCTGAAGGCTCTTATGGCGGCGTCATTCAACACGACATGCGCAAAATCGGCAGAGATGGCAAAACTCAACTTGTTGGGTCCTTGAATAGCCCGCCAAAGTCGTTGCTGAACGCGCTGGCTCAGATGAGGGCGGCAGAACTATATGATGATCCTCAGTATCCAGTGTACCTTCAAGAAGCTATTGGGAAAAATAAACGGACACGGAACACCTTCAGCCGCCCTGACGTCGACACGGACCGGCTATTCAAAATAGAGTATGAGCATCCTGAGAACGAAGCATCCTGTGATCAGTGTTTGGTGAAGTGGGAGGAAGATCGTATCACCCGTGAAGACGGCAACCCACAAACACATTATGGAACAATTGCATCTGGGAATACTTTGATTAAAGACGGAAAGACGAGGGAGGCCATCCGCAAGGATACCGGTGCGTTGTGTTTTGAGATGGAGGCGGCGGGCTTAATGGCGGACTTTCCTTGCCTGGTGGTACGGGGTATTTGCGATTATGCCGACTCACATAAGAATAAACAATGGCAAGGTTATGCTGCACTAGCGGCTGCAGCCTTTACGAAAGAGCTGCTAGGCTATGTGCCAAAAGGTGTATCTCAAGAGAGCTTAGTTGCAGATATGTGCCGTAAGTAATTGCCGGTATCATACGATAGTTTCTCGAACAGTCTAACACGACGCTTTATTCTACGATCAATAGCCCTGCTTAAAGATATTAAGGAGGACCAAAGAAAGGCTTTCGATCAACGAGAAAGCCATCACCGCGAGAAAATGGAGAGAGTCTTGACGGAAGATCAACGTCGCTGTCATCAAGCATTCAAGACGTCGACCTATGAAAAGTTCAAAAATATCAATCCTAACCGCGTGGAAGGAACGTGTGAGTGGGTACTCAACAGCCCTGAGTACCTGCGTTGGTGGAACGCCACAAGCAATAATCTCTTGTGGATCTCGGCCGACCCAGGATGTGGTAAATCCGTACTCGCCAAATCCCTGATTGATAGCGTGTTTGGGGCCTCCGACCCGACTGTCTCCATTGTGTATTTCTTTTTCAAGGATAATGACGAGCAGAATAATCTTGCTACTGCGCTATGTGCCGTGCTTCATCAGCTATTCAGCTGGCAACCACAACTGTTGCGACATGCATTACCATTCTGGGAAAGGAATAAAGAGAAGATTCAATATGAAGTGGACGACATGTGGCGCATTTTCATGGCGGCCACATCTGATCGTATATTTAAAAATACAGTCTGTGTGTTTGATGCTCTCGATGAGTGCCATGATGTAGACCAGAAACAGCTGATTGAGAGACTTCGTGAATTTCATGACCGACACCAGGCCAGTCAAGGAAATTGGTTGAAGTTTCTCGTGACAAGTCGACCATATGATGATATTCAAGATTGCTTTCGGCCAGTTACTGAATTTTTTCCGCAGGTCCATCTCCGTGGTGAAGAAGAGAACGATCAAATTCACGAAGAGATCAACCTAGTAGTCAAAGTCAAAGTAACTGAGCTTGGGAAGGACCTAGGTCTGCGTGCTGACACGCAACAGCGGCTTATAAAAGAGCTGCGTGAAATGAAGCATCGCACATACCTCTGGTTGTATTTAGCAATCGATGATATCAAAAGAACGTTGAAAAATAGTCTTCGGCCAGACAATGAAACAATTCCATCACTTCCAAAGGATGTCCCCGAAGCATACGAGAGAATACTCAATCGAGCTCCTTCTGACCAGAAAGCCACGGTAGAAATCATTCTGCGAATTATTGTTGGCGCGCGACGTCCGCTAAGTGTTCAGGAGATGGCTATGGCTTTAGGTGTAGCAACATCTCCAGATGCTGAAACAGCAGCGGAGGCAGGACTGAACCCTAGTGCATTAGACAAAAAGATACGCCAACTCTGTGGACTGTTTGTTTTCATCAAGGAATCCAGAATCTATCTCATTCATCAGACTGCAAGAGAGTTCCTCATTAGCAGACACGATAGATCTGCCAACATGCATTGGCATCTTGAGCAGCGCAAAACAGAAATACAAATGACTGAAATATGCCTCAAATACCTTCTTCTGAATGATCTGGTCAGTAATGTCGAAGAGTCTATACGGAGCTTACTGGACTATTCTGCAGAAAACTGGGCCGATCATTTTCGGGACGTAGTATGCCCAGATGATGAGATAGTAAACCGGGCCTGGAAGCTATATGACGTCAGGACGGAGCGATTCCGCTTGTGGTTTCCTAAATTTTGGACTACAGCAATGCCGTATCATCCACAACCCCAAATGGAGGCACTGCATCTGGCTGCGTTCAATGGCCATCAAGGCATACTGTGTCGGATAGATGTGAATAAGACAGGTGCAATTGATCAAGTAGACGGGTCAAGAACAACTGCATTACAATGGGCTTGTGAGCAGGGACGTCTTGAGATTGTTCAGCTACTGCTCGAGAAGGGAGCGGATGTCAATGCCAAGGGCGGTGGATACGGTAATGCTCTCCAGGCTGCTGCTGAACGAGGACATCTTAAAATTGTTCAGCTACTACTTGAGAAGGGAGCGGATGTCAATGCTCAGGGAGGAGGATATGGTAATGCTCTCCAGGATGCTGCTGAAGGAGGACATCTCGACATTGTTCAGCTACTACTTGAGAAGGGGGCAGATATAAATGCTCAAGGTGGTTACTATGGCAATGCTCTCCAGGCTGCTGCCGAAGGAGGGCATCTTGAGATTGTTCAGCTACTACTCCAGAAGGGAGCGGATGTCAATGCTCAAGGAGGACGATATGGCAATGCTCTCCAGGCTGCTGCTAATGGAGGACATCTTGAGATTGTTCAGCTACTACTTGAGAAGGGAGCGGATGTCAATGCCCAAGGAGGACGATATGGCAATGCTCTCCAGGCTGCTACTAATGGAGGACATCTTGAGACTGTTCAGCTACTACTTGAGAAGGGAGTGGATGTCAATGCTCAAGGTGGTTACTATGGCAATGCTCTCCAGGCTGCTGCCGAAGGAGGGCATTTTGAGATTGTTCAGCTACTACTCCAGAAGGGAGCGGATGTCAATGCTCAGGGTGGAGAATATGGCAATGTTCTCCAGGCTGCTGCTAATGGACGACGTCTTGAGATTGTTCAGCTACTACTTGAGAAGGGAGCGGATGTCAATGCTCAGGGTGGTTACTATGGCAATGCTCTCCAGGCTGCTACTAATGGAGGACATCTTAATATTGTTCAGCTACTACTCGAGAAGGGAGCGGATGTCAATGCTCAGGGTGGAGAATATGGCAATGCTCTCCAGGCTGCTGCTAATGGAGGACGTCTTGAGACTGTTCAGCTACTACTCCAGAAGGGAGCAGATATCAATGCTCAGGGTGGAGAATATGGCAATGCTCTCCAGGCTGCTACTAATGGAGGACATCTTGAGATTGTTCAGCTACTACTTGAGAAGGGAGCGGATGTCAATGCTCAAGGAGGACGATATGGCAATGCTCTCCAGGCTGCTACTAATGGAGGACATCTTGAGATTGTTCAGCTACTACTTGAGAAGGGGGCAGATATCAATGCTCAAGGTGGTTATTATGGCAATGCTCTCCAGGCTGCTGCCGAAGGAGGGCATCTTGAGATTGTTCAGCTACTACTTGAGAAGGGAGCGGATGTCAATGCTCAGGGTGGTTACTATGGCAATGCTCTCCAGGCTGCTACTAATGGAGGACATCTTGAGATTGTTCAGCTATTACTTGAGAATGGAGCGGATGTCAATGCTCAAGGAGGACGATATGGCAATGCTCTCCAGGCTGCTACTAATGGAGGACATCTTGAGATTGTTCAGCTACTACTTGAGAAGGGAGCGGATGTCAATGCTCAAGGAGGACGATATGGCAATGCTCTCCAGGCTGCTACTAATGGAGGACATCTTGATACTGTTCAGCTACTACTAGAGAAGGGAGCATATATCAATGCTCAGGGAGGAATATATGGCAATGCTCTCCAGGCTGCTACTAATGGAGGGCATCTCGACATTGTTCAGCTACTACTCCAGAAGGAAGCGGATGTCAATGCTCAGGGTGGTTTTTATGGCAATGCTCTCCAGGCTGCTACTAATGGAGGACGTCTTGAGATTGTTCAGCTACTACTCCAGAAGGGAGCGGATGTCAATGCTCAGGGTGGTTACTATGGCAATGCTCTCTGGGCTGCTACTAATGGAGGACGTTTTGGGATTGCTCGGCTACTACTTGAGAAGGGAGCGGATGTCAATGCTCAGGGTGGTTACTATGGCAATGCTCTCCAGGCTGCTACTAAAGGAGGAAATCTTAAGACTGTTCAGCTACTACTCCAGAAGGGAGCGAATGTCAATGCTCAGGGTGGTTTTTATGGCAATGTTCTCCAGGCTGCTACTAATGGAGGACGTCTTGAGACTGTTCAGCTACTACTCCAGAAGGGAGCGGATGTCAATGCTCAGGGTGGTTACTATGGCAATGCTCTCCAGGCTGCTACTAATGGAGGACATCTTAATATTGTTCAGCTACTACTCGAGAAGGGAGCGGATGTCAATGCTCAGGGTGGTTACTATGGCAATGCTCTCCAGGCTGCTACTAATGGAGGACATCTTAATATTGTTCAGCTACTACTCGAGAAGGGAGCGGATGTCAATGCTCAAGGTGGTTTTTATGGCAATGCTCTCCATGCTGCTGCTGAATGAGAGCATCGTCGTATTACACAAATATTGCAGAAGTGGGCGGCTATGTGTGGTTTTTCTGTGAAGCCATGAAATATCATCTTTCTTCTCATGCTTTGTAGCCCTGCGAATGCTCAGTAGAACATACTTTGTCCAAACGTGTGCGAAGAGCGTGGATCTGACAAATACATTTAAGAATTGCCTTTTTCTAACTCAATATGAACCAATTTTTCGATGCATCTATATTTCTCTTTCTTGTACCACCAGTTATTTGCTTACAGATGTAAGCAGCTAAATAATGATATCACAGGGACTTTTCAGGTCCCAGATTTGGTAGCCAACGGTTGTATACACTTTCAGATTGTTCTCTATGGTACAGCTGATCGTTAATCGGCCATAGAACCCCAGCTTTGTTCCATTCGTAAAGATTCGATACTTACCGCTAAGACAATTCAGGCATCTGTTCGATAGCCCGAAGATTCCTGTTCAGGAGTCAATGGCGCTTTCGAATTCCCATTTTTCTTGCCCTCATCTATCTCAATTAATCTGGCGGCCCTCTCATCGCTCGTTTGTCTTCCTGGTGACCCGAGATACGATGAACAGTTACTTCTTGATGTGGCTGCACCTGTCAACTTATGAGTAAATGTTATTCAAGTAAGCTGACATCAGAGCAATGCCTTGGCTTCACTTAGAAGGCTAGCTTATACATTCAGTTTGCCTACAGTTGTTCGCCAACGACTCGGTGGAATGTGGCTCACATACAAACAAGAAGTGACTAATAAAGGTATTTCTTTGATAATTCCAGTCTGATTTACGATGCCGTGCCTCTATCAAGATGAAACGGTGGTTATCCACGGCTCTTGATCCGTCTCCTTCTACTTCGTCTTGTCGATCCCTTTAATTTAGTACAGTAGTGCACCTGCAGCGACGACTTGCTAACCCTAACCCCAAAACGCAAACGGAAACAAAATCCAAATCATTCGATCCAGCCCGCTTTAAAGAAGACGAGATTCACAATGCCCTCAAAACGTTGTCCAGACAAACCAATCCCGTCGGTGGAGAAAGAAAGTTATGTACAACAAGACATCATTTTCGAGGAAGATGACCCAGGCTGTGAACTACATTCAACTCCTGTATTCATCCGTGCAGGCGTTTTCGTTGGCTTTTGGTACGCAGATATGAATGGAAATGGTAGGCGACCGGTATATTGCTTAGTCAAAAGAGATCTCGAATTCGCATATCGGAAAGGAAAAGAGTTCATTTCTGTACGATACTACGATTTTGATCCCTTGGATAGATTTGGCGACTGGATGGGCGATGATGCAGAAGACGAGGACGCGATGAGCCCGAAAATGGTGAAAATGTGGGCGCAAAACATGTGGAAGCGCAGAAACTATGCCGGAAACAGGGACATGACACTTGAAGATTTGACTGGTTTTGACAATCAAAGCATGTTAGATAGTGATTGGCAAGAGTCAAATCTTCCCAGTGTACAGTAAGGGTGGATAGAATAGAAGCAGCTGGTTAATCCATACACCTATATACTCTCTGTGAGGCAATAGATTTACGATAAATCTAACCAAGAGTTGGCTTGCGAGTTGAATGGAGTAGTGCGGCTAACATAATCATTTTCCCATCTACGTTACGTAAAATGCAACAATTAGCGCGATACATATCTTGTATAAGCCAGCTGTGCACAACACATGGATGGGGCCTGACTACACTAGGAGCTGATAGTGGTTTGGGCTTACTGATCATGGGCTAGGGCAATACCACAGAGAACCTACTGTAAACCAAGTTTAACCAGGAGAAGCAGTCTCCGGACTAAATTGAACCACTAATAGGTCCCTATGAATAAAATTTCAGAAACCAGATAGATTTATAATGCATCCCTGGTAAATTAAATCCCTAGGACGATGGAAAAAGCGCCGGTTCGCTTGTTGATTACGTTACCTAGGGTTAGTCCCTCCGGGCGTAATAAATTCAATCAATAGTTATGCCATGGCTGAATACAAACTATAGATAGGAGTCAACATTTTCAACATTAGATAACTGTACAAAGACTAATTATTTACTTTTCAAATTTTGGAAGTGTATTCAGAAATGGTAATTCTATCATCCACTAGTTTTTAAAGTCCTCATGCCTTTGCGTTGTGTCTATGTCTAATGCGGATGTTCCTTATGGTGACCGTGGGCCGTGGCTAGCTAAAGCAGGTATATCAAATCTACTACTACTACTACTACTAGCACTACTTCTCTCTTACTATCTCATCGATATAACTTGACGCTCATTTTTGTGATACTCTCGTTAGCAGAATACCATCGAACCTTCGTTTAATGAGGTGTTTATTCTAATTTGACTATCCTCAAGCCAAGGATTATGACATGCCAGTAATAGTAAAAATCCAAACTAGACTACTAGCTGCTGAATCTCCTCCGCAATCTCTTTGATATTTTGAATGAGGATTTCAATAATGGGTTTCACACTCTCAACTCGGGCTGGAGTATAGGGGCCTCCGATTGACATGGCGCGGGTGTATTCAAGCTGAAGACGGCTATGGATCCTAGTCCATTGATCGACATTGGCTGGTCTATTAAAGATAAGAAATCAGCCTAAAATATGGAAAGTCTAAGATATCACATAGAAGAATATACCTTGCTTCAATCTTGGAGTATATGGTTTGAAAAGCATCTTTGATAATGCCTTTAGTGATTGTAAGATTGACAAAGTCAAATCGAGTTGAAGTTGGCTCATTCAATCGTCCTTGGGTAAAATCAAGTAAGGTAATACCAAGAAACAGTAACCGAGCAATGCTTCCTGGACAGAAATCACCAGAATCCCACAAATGCTTGGTCGTACACAGGCAATCTGGCTCATAAATGATTTCATCATCAGATTCATTGTGAATATGATGAGGGCCGAGTTTATTTTCCATATCTAAAGAAGTTAATAAATATAACCGTAGAAATATTGGAATCCCCCAAAAACCCACCAGCGGAGTAAATGTTTGGATTGTCAGATTGGATTTTGATTTTAGATTGTAATGTTTAGGAAATCTTGTAGAAGTGAATAGTGACAACAAGGAAGTAACGCGAATGGTATTAGTCTCTATGTACGAGAGTACCATGCATAAGGAGGAGAACAAACAGTAGGCTACGCGTTTGCTCAGTGTCAAACAGTATTGATCACATGCTTTCAATCATGTGACTTCTCGATCGGGAAACCAGGACAGGGCAACGTCCACTGCCTTACATCCAGCTCTCAACTATGTCCTATGTCGCGATTTTAATAAACCCTGTAGAAACAATAATGCAGATTTGCCCAGAGTATAATCTTAATTTACCACATTGTAGAGCTTCCAAATCTCATAATAGATACTATTGAATAAAGGACAGTATCACCAACGCGCTTTCATATCCAATCTTATCTGTGGTCCATCCATTTTCACTGATATTGATTTCCCAATCATCTGGAAGATCTTCAAACCAGCCTAATTGAGCATATTTCTTTGCCTTGAAAATGATGTACGAAGGCAGGGCCCATCCGGTTGAATTAGTTGCCTCAATTGCAGTCACCCATTCTCGATTTCCAGGCTGTAATAGCTTTGGCCGAGCATATCGATCGCTTCCTGTTATAACATTTGCAGTCGCACAGAGTCCCATAGCAAAGCCAGTCTCATCAAAATTTTAGATATCCTCTGGCAAGATTCTATATTCTGATATAGCCTCTCCTACGCGATCAAAAGATTCTTCGATTATTTTTGGATCTTCGCACTTAGCACGCTCATAGTTGTATTTCCGTGAGAACTTTGATTCAATCCCTGGGCGACGTTGAATAAGATGATATACCCATTTTTCTCCGGATCTCTATCCGAAAGTAAGGAATCCTTGACCCCTTATTGTCCTTGTTCTTTTTTCTAAGTACAGTAAAGGTGGAAGATATCTTTTACCCCCTATTCGGTGGATCAGTGTATGGCTCGCTATTATTGGCTGACAAATCTCATCTATCTGATTGGTTGAATCAGCTTAGCTAATCCAACACGGCCCAGTAGCCTAAATCGACTACAGTGCGGGACGGGCGGAAAGGAAATAGTATGCTTGGAATTTCGTATATGGCGGTGACTAGCATTTCATCTTTTTCTTCTTTCTCTTTTGTTTTTGTATTTTTTTTGCCACTATGTGGAGACGGACTGATTGATATCATAAGTATGAGTCAATGTCCTAACATGAAATACTAGTGCCTGCTACTTTGTCTACTACGTAGTAAGTAAATAGGGTCGCCGTTCTGACTTAGGATATTTTATATATTTTGCAATCAGGACATATCTTGAGTCACTATCTAGGCAGTGGACACCATTCAAAGAGCCGGAGAAGAACATAGATATGGCAACTGTAGCCTACAAGGACCAATTCATAGCAGAGGATAATCAACCAGATTTGAGAGGTTGTATTTTCCAAGGATTTCAGCAATTTATGGTGGAACCACACTTTCGCGAATTAATGCTGTTCTACGAAGAAGATACAAGCCCCTCCGTCATTAAATTGGATGGCTGTCAAGGACGGATGTTGTGTCCATAATAGACGAGCACCAAACCATTGCGCGTGATCTGTCCTATATCTCTGAATGTGTGCGACACCACTGCTCCTCTGCGTCGCTATACACTAGGCCAAGAATCTTCCAGTGGTCATCATTTGCCTGATCATAACCATACTCCCTAGCAATATCGTCCTCGATACGGACCCAGTGCACAGTAAGAGAGGCAACCAATCGATCTAGATCTCTGAAATCCTTTTTCAGCTCCCCTTTCAGCTCGCCGATATGATCGTTCAAAGCGGTACGCTGATCAGAAATGCTGTCCAGCCCCTTCTGGACCTTTGCGCGTATGGCCTTCGCTCTGTTGGCTACAGAATGCCTTCTTTTCTAGCTTGACTTGCATGTCGGCCAGCTCCCGGAGCTTTTCGGAAAGTTCAAGAAGCGAACGCCTCCTTTGGTTCGGGGGGATTGTTGGTCGTGGGCTGGAGATAGCAGAATCCATGATGAACGCCCCGAGAGAAGCTAATAGTGGGAGAGAAATGAAGAAGGAGAAGGCAGAAGTGCGGATGGAGGCCTCTTTATGGCCATACAGGTCAGGATTTCAGCATCCTAGGATGCTGAAACCCAAGTCCGGCCTGTGCAGCCACAACCCACTGAGGAACCAACCATTGGCATGGCGATATAGATTGGTAAAATAAACTCCTCGAAGCTATAGACCAGGTCGCTGGACGATTGATTCATCCTCTTTTCATTCAGTTTTGATAATAGAGATTGCTTCTATTCCAATGTATATCTATTCCAATGTATAAGCAAGCTCAATGGTACCTTGTTCAAGTCTTCTTGTGCCTATGCTCATTGCAACAAGGTGGTATCCAAACGGGAAGGAAGCGTAACTCTGTTTCGTGTGTAAAGATTGCTTTAGTCAGGAGCCCCATGCTAACTGACTTTGAATCGAATTGAATGTACCTACAACAAAAGGTGCCCGTGAGAACTCAACGAGCGGATAACTCATTTGTAGCTACTCTATAATTTTAAGGGAATTCATAAATATGTGTAATAATAAGGCCAGGTGCGCGATATCTTGCCATCATTATAATCTTTTGTCTAGGCAAAGGTTAGTTGGATCGGTAAATTAATTGGGGAATACTTACCAGGGCGTCAAGGAACTCATCAACCATCTCTTTTTCATCCTGCATCCACTGCCATTTCCATTCAGACTCTGAGAATGTTTGTGCATGATCAAAATCTATCCAGAGGACCCTTTCTGAGTATTTCTGAACCATCATGTTTCGAGGATAGGGATCACCATGATAAATTCCTACTCCATGAATGCTTTCCAGAATTGTACGAAGTGTGGCAATGCGGTGGTCTGAAAACGTTGAAAGATCTATTTCATGCAGATCCGGAATGTATTCGATAAGGATAGCATTAGGAAGTAGCTTATCCTTCAAAAACGGCTTCAAAAAAGGTTGGCATGATATCGGATCGATCTGTTTTATCACACCGTAAAAGTCCGGTACCACTCTTTGTTGACATAGCCCTTTCTCTTTTAGACGACAATATGCAGTGCTCTCGCAGGTGAAGGCATCAATTTCACGGTTAGAAGGGTCGGCGTGAGATCTCTCTGTTGTGTGGTACTGAAGTTATGTTAAGAAATGCTCAGGAAACTAGATTCATTAGTAACATACCACCTTTAAGACACGTGTTTTCCCTTCAACGGTCACTTGGAAAATAGTAGAAGAGTCAGATTCTTTAAGAACCCGGGTGAAAGTAATATCAGCAATTGTCAGTCCCATGGCCAGCTTCATACTGCAATGCTTTCGATCGGATATTGCCACCAGTGGGAGGAAGGCCTTATGTAAGAAGAGTTCAACGACGCACGGACCCCGAGCGTTTTGACCTCGGCGGCTATATCACCACTAGCCTAATCTATCACTCTAGCTTCCTCAGCCACATTAAAATATTTTAAGCAACCGTGAGCCAGTCGGTTTCCTGTCACATTCCGCTTTGTAACCTGGGAGGTTTGAAGTTGCGCTCTTTACAGCAGTGTGGCTATGGTGTTGGGGTTTTAGTCCCTCCGAAAAGCAGACGCATAGTCGTTCTGAGGCTGCCTCACTTCCTGACAAGCTGGCATTATGAAAACTTGGGAATCTCACCTCACACCATCTCATCCTCGCTATGTACTATCATACTAGATCATCTAGTATGCGCGCAGCTTTTTGGTCTGGTTGGTTAGTCCCAACATGTATTGGTATCGGGTGTTCTCTCGATCTGCTCTTCTTGGTGTCTTATGTTTTGCTAAGCGCCTGTGAGTATATATAGATATGGCGTGGTCAGGGATACAATATAAAAAGGCAAGTAGCTATGATCCTGTGGTCTGTTCTCCCAAATACTCTAAAATCCTCAACTCCGTATTCTCGAAGAAAACGCTTTCCCTGCTTTGTACCCTGACGGAATACTTCCTATACAAACCATTACTATGGCAAACAACATTAGTCTAATGGAATATCTGCAAGCTGGACCCCCACGATTACCAATAAGCAACCAAGGACAGTCGCGAGACAATACCACAAGCGGGAGATATGCCGCTATTGATATTAATAACGTGGGTCGCTGGAACGGTTTCAATCTGGGGAATATTCTGAACCAGTACGGGCCTCTCCTCACCGGGGCCATGATACAACGTGAGCCCATGCCGACATCTCCTCCGCAGCCAATTACTTCAGAGACTAGCCTTCGACAACGATTCACATTGTATTTGGACTCCAGGATTAGACGCGGGCTTCGTGTGGGCTTTCAACATCTTGGTATGCAGAATAGTCTTGGTAATCGCACGATTGTATCATTTGGCGAGGGGAATCTCGCCCAAACAGTGGAAAATTTCATACCCGATACCGCATATTTCGCAACGGACCTTCCAGAATCTACGAGACCGAATCGTGCCCCAGGAGACCTCAAGCCATCATACAAATGGTCTTCGGATTTGCGAAATGGGCCTACTCAGAGAGATAGAAAAGAGTTTAAACAGGCATTGTCCCAGGTCAACTGGTACATGAAGCAGCATCGCGCTCGTTATGGTTTTATTCTCACCGATCGTGAACTTGTCGCCATTCGCAGGCTTGATAATTACGGCAATCTAGAACTTTCAGATTCCATACCTTGGATTGCGCGTGGTAGTGTATCCCAACCGCAGTTGACGGTTCTGCTAGCACTGTGGTACTTGGGAATGCTTTCTTCCGATAACCAGTGGTGGAGCTTATAGTGACTGGGTCCCAAGTATATTTTGCGCTTCATCAGTGTTTTATTTTCACCCATTTTGTCCGGGTTCGGAGGATTGAGGTTCATTCCGCAGCTTTGATATTCTTTAATTACCAGATGTCTAGTTGTCTTTTCCTTATATACACCTTTTTATGAGCAAAGAAAGTATTTATTGATTGCTACTTGATAGTGAAAATGACGCTTATTCAGTCAGGATTACATTGATCCGGAGCTCTCCTGCTGTAATCTGAAGTGCGAACATCAAATCAAAGGTCTAGATAGTGAATAGAGCCAGCGTAAGCGGCCCAGGCAATGTTGACTCTCTGTAGTGTTAAGTCCATAGCATAATGCTTCATTGCTTTACAAGTTCCTAGAACCGAGGTTGGGGCCCCTTGGTTGGCAGGTGACGTTTTCGTCCCAGCAGCTTGGTCGACCCCTGTCAACGTGTCAGTGATGTTACATCGTGTTCGTGGAAGTAAGCCATTGTAGTCCAGGCTTACCTGTTTCTTTAATCGCAGTCTCATAGCATCAGCGCTCGAGCTCCGCAGATTGTATAAGTAGCGCTCCTGCTTTTCATTTCCGTGATGAACTGCTGTCTCGACAATCTGAGATATGACGGTACAGTATCACTATCAACCACCTCAGCGCCCATATTGTGTGTGAAAACACAACTGCAAAATTATTTTTTTTTTTTCATATTTTAAATATGGATATTAGTTTAATTTTGAACAGTGCTGAAAGCGAAACTGGCGTGTCTACGAGTGGTGGGGGATCATCGAAAGACGAGCCCATTCCATCTCCATTGCCACACTCGGCAGAATTAGGACAAAAGTTAGTCGCAGCCGCACTACGTCCATATATCTCTTACCAACCACAGAATCTTCGACATGGGCTGTGTACGATTCATCCTATCTCTCCTCCTCAAAGACGCATTTTTTCACCGGAGGAAGACGCTCTGATGCAATACATGATCGATAGCATTCAATCCGGCCGTGTTAAGATACTAAGCATATGTCTGAAGCGCACCCCTCGAACGATCAACACGCGGCGGGATGTCCTTGATTCCTATGAGCCATGCTCTACCTGTTTTCAATGCCAAAGATTTCAAAAAAGAATTGGAGAGTTGAGACGCAAGTATGTTCCTGTTAGCTCTCGCTGTACAATACATTGTCTAATCTGATTTAGCTACCAAGGGTCTGATTGGACGATTACGCACTATTTCCTGAATACAAAGATCTATGTGGCAATTCCTCCGCCACGTTTTATTGAGAAAGGAGAAAAAACTCCCCTGCCTATTGTTGTTCGAATATCGGGCCAGGGCTCTAGTCTGTCCGCATACATCACGCTGAATAATGTTCGCTTGCAGGGGCAGTATTTCAAAGGAAAAGACGGAGATACGACATCTTTTGTATTTACCTGCGAGCGATTCTTCCAGTCCGGTCGCCTGCGATTGTGTTTCCAGTCTCACACTGAATCCCATCATATTGACTTTGATATCTCGTGTGTGATGAAACTATAATGGCAAATCGAAAACGGCGAGTGGATTACAGTAGCGTTTAGGACCGACGCAGTACCTGTATATATGCCACATGAGCTGAGAAATTTAACCACGATTTCGGAGACTAGTTATTGTGCTGAATTGTGACCTTCTTTGATAATTCCGCTGGAATCCTGGCTAGTTTCGTCCATGAACACATGCAATATGAAAGACGGTAAACCCAAACATAACAAAAAATGGCGCAAAGCACGTGGCGCGCGCAAAGCTGCTCTCATGAGTTCAAGGCAGAATCAATCCAGGTATGAAATACAAATCTTGGAGGCTATACGTACACCGGCCGGCTAAGCTGTAAGCGGTAGCGAGTTATTACCTCTTAAAGACCAACATCTATTGCTATCCCATCTCCAATGCATCCTGGAAGAAATGTGCGAAAATTTTGGGGCCAAACATGAACACTTCCAATCACTTTGGAGGAACGTGGCTGGACAGAGCCAAACTCACTGGAGTTGCATTCCTGGTGTCGCACTATCATGGACTGTCCAGACAAATTCTCGCCGGTCCTCGCTGTGGTTCGTGAAAAAGACAAACGAGATATCCTCAATATATGTGCCAATATTCGTCACTCGGCAGTTCATCGTCGATCACAGGACGCTGAAACCATCCTCCGGAGCCTGGAATTTTAGGGGACTAAAGATACATGTATGTAAGCATAAATCAATCATCTCATTATTAGTTGAAACAGGATTCTTACTATCCTCTCCCGGAAAGCAAAACGCCGGATGATTTCTCCGGGAGCGTGAAGATGAAGTTACAAGTCTTGGAGCAATAAGCGAACACAGGGCCACTTGCGAAGATTGGTTCTAGAGTCCGAGCTCAGAGGTATTGCTGAGGGATTCAAGATTTACAGTCTAGCTGTTAAATTAATGTTTGAAAGAGGTGTTATAGAATTCAACTCTCATAACAATAACTCGTACATGTACTACGATTCAATCTTCAGCAGAATACTTTTGCGAATGCCCATATCTTCAAGACAGCCCTCGATGTAATTAGCTGCTTCGCGGAGTATGGCAATCTCTCCGGCACAAGCTCCAGCTTCGAGATGTTGCGCGAGCCCACTTAGCGTACTAAAAGACTGAACTGGCTTGGACTCAAATTTTCCACGCAGCAGTCCTATGGGACAGTGGAATTGAGTGCTTGTATGGACAGGTGATTGCTGGTGGTCCTTGAGAGCCCGTAGCGTTTTGAATGTTCTTGAGCACACGTCACAACGGTTCCCCTCGTTCAGACTGAGCACATTGGCTGGCGGTATTCTAATATTCGTCAAAGTTAGGGAAGAAACGGATGTCCCGGGAGTATAAATGATTTCAGAGTTGGTGCTCGTGTCCGAAAATATGCTGCCATTATCTTCCGAGGCAGTGATCTCAAGCGGGTGATCCTGGGTATGGATTATCTGCTTGGTATCATGTGCGACGACAATTGCATTGAGTTGGTCTCTGTCCATCCCGGAGATGCAGGTACCGCTCTCAAGATGATGCAAGAGAGACGAGGGACATCTGAAGTGTTTCCGACACTTTGGGTCTATGCATTCCAAGTCACTGAGGGGATGGTGGGCTAATGATTTTTTATGTTGCTCCAAAGAGGCCATTTTTGAAAACACCCGCTCGCATTTGTCACATGCAAATCCTTTCGGATGCTTCGGAGGAGGCTTATGAATCTTGTTTTGAAGATGTTGTTTTAGAGCAGATTCATCCACAAAGTCTCGATCACAGTCACAACAGTGAAATTGCCCCACATGATCAGGAGAGGTTGCATGTTGTCGAAATAAATCAATAGACGTGAAGTAAAGATTGCACGAGCGACAATAGCAATGTCCAGTCATTTTTTGATGCCTTTTTAGTGACTTGAGGCTGCTGAACATCCCTTTGCATGATCCACATTGATGATTGTGAAGATCCCGAGAGTGTTGCTTTAAACTCTTAGAAGAGATAAAGCTGCGGTTGCAGTGTTGGCACTTGTAGTGGTGTTTTGCCCGTCCATGTTGCCTGGGATCAGCTCGAGCCTTGAAAAGCTCGCCGCATTCGCACTTAAGCATAACGATCGTCGGGCCGCTTGGGTGATATACGCTTGTCTGTTTGAGATCAAATGAGTTAGTTTATGAGCACTTCAGAAAACGCTGAGCCATGACAGGTGGATTTGAAAGCCATAGATATAGCGAACTCGCGCTTGGCATACATTATGTTGGAGTGAGACTGTGACTTGCCAATCTGCTTGATTCGAATACGCTATCCTAGCTATCTCATACAAGAGGTGCTTCGTCGACAGGCAATATTGAGCATGAGGAGGAAAAAGGAAGAAGAAGAAGAACTCTCACTCTTACTTTTTTATAAATCTCTGTGCGAGGCACTTTTCCCTATCCAGCTCCGACATCTGATGTTGATATTATTTCCTAATACGGCACGGATAGGGCTACGGCTCCAAGCCCTATTTGTAAGCCAGGACGCAAATACAAGGCCATGCTCAGCCGTCACATTTCCTTTCATTCCTAGTTTGTTGATGAGCCCTGGAAAGACGATTTCTGATTTATTAGCAGAGAATCTTTGCTTCTTTTGAATAGAAACATTCCCATGATGCACTTCTCTTTTTGGCTGGAATTTCCGCATTCATCATATTTGCGCCCCATTGCTACGCAAAGATGTACCGTCAGCTCATGATCAATCAGCGGATTGGAAGCATGTTATCCTCTTCCGGAACAAAGAATGTGACTTTTCCCAAAGCACGCAGATTGGAAAAGAACGTGGCTAAAAAAGTGAAACCCGTCTATGTAATGATCCATGATTAGTCATTCCAAAACACGAGAAAACCGAGGATATCTAGTTGCGTACATACAGGTATTCTAATCCATGCATCTTGCCTTTTAGCCCGGCAGGCCACATGTTTGATGTTGTGACCAATTGATGCGCAGGTCATGGTAGCCCCAAGCTAAAAGGTTTGGGAAGATACTCTTTATCTGACCCCTTCGTCATATCCTCATTGCCAGTTTTCTCATCGTCGTTCTATTGACTGGATTTTGAGCATCCAACGAGACCTGTTGTTCGCACAAATGAGAGCAAGCCACTAAGCGACGACAAATACCAGGAATCCTGGCTGAATTTGAGAAACGGGTGCTATGTATCCATTAGCTACATTGACCTATAATTTTCACGAAGGATTCGTACCTTTAGAAGCGTTCGAGGATCAACAGTGCTCGGCATGGTGACGAAATTCTTTGCTATGATCCATGACATGCAGGTTGTATCTGAGTTACTATCGAGACTAAGCAGTTGATCGGCAATCTTGCAAACTGCTTGCACGCCGCGAGAAACATCTTTCGTCTTTCCTGTCTGGATCATGCTCTTCCCAACATCTCCTACTGAAGCATCGGCGGAATAGTCGAGAACCTTCACTGGTGGAATGATTTACCAATTTTGATTTCGCCTTCGTCATTGAGATAGATTTCATCACAATGCAAGTGGCCATGGCTGACATTAAGAACCTCAGGAATATAGATCAGTCCGTGTAACAACTATGCAACATTAGTCATCGTTTCAGAGGTGCGAATTGTATTTTGAATACTTTTTGGAGAAAGGTCGGCCGGCATGAGACGTCGCCTATCTCCATTCCATAGTATCCCTCTCCGTATTTTTCTGGGAAGAAGTTGGTAAGAATGGTATCGATTCGGGAATATGGAGGCTTTTTGGAACCGTCGATCAGCGACTGAATAGTCTTCCTTTCGTGAATAACCTTATTGTTATCGGAGTCCCGAGCTAGACTTAATGGAAGAGTGGTCGCCTTGTGCACAGAAATAGATACTCCACCATGTAAACTCATTTTGAGTAAGATATGCTCACCATGATCTGGGAAATTGCTGAGTGTGGCCGTGGGGAGATGGGCGGCTTATATACCTGATGTCGAGGCTCTCCTTGGAGAGCTTCAAGAAGAGTGACTTGTAACAGTGTAAAGAGATTCAAAACCTAAATTCTGAGAACAACGGTTTTCAATTCTTATCTCATCCTTGTCATGACACGAAATGAAACGATGTCACATCTTCAAATTGTACCGGTGAGAGTCAGGGATCAAGAGAAACACAAGAACGAAGTGACCATTTTGAGATTGGCATCATTTTCGGAATAAAGATCATTCATTATCCGTTTCCCAATTGATGTCAATATCTTCACGTTTTGGATTCGTGCTGTTCCCGTTTGGAACTCTTCTGTTCCCGTTTGAGATTGCACAATTCTGTATTCAAAGTTTGTCCTTCGATTGTCAAGTGGCGTTCCCGTTCGGTGTCAGAACCTTTCTCGTTTGGTGTCTGTGGGGTTCTGTCGAAATCACGGAGCCCAAGCAAGACGCTGATACATATCTTCGCCGAGTTATTGCAACTTGTATTGTATAATGTATGATATAACCAGATCCCATACTTACATTCTAGCTTGTATCTTTTGATGACTTATGGTCACCTCGTTATAAACACCGGAATGCCTCCATTAAGGGTACGTCTTTTTCAGCGGTATTCGTTTTACTGTTTTATGATAGTTCCAACACACTATTTCAGAAAATAGACTTCAGATTCAGAGTGATGTCCCATTGTAATCAATGGAAAGGACTTCTGGCTAGGCACAAATTTGAGATATTTGGAGATGGTATAAGCACAGTCACCACACTCCCGGAGTATCGAATCCAAATACTGTACCTAAAATGATTATCAATCAGGGCGACAGCAGTGTAAAAAAAGTCTTCTCAACTTCTATAAAGTTAGAGAGGCACATCCAAGACATTATGGATCGGATGCTTGTCGCCTGCGATTGTGTTTCTAGCCTTATCCTGAATACCATGCTATTGAGTTTGATATCTCCTGTCTGATGCAATTATAATGGCAGATCGAGAATTATGGTGGATAGTCAGACAACCGAGAGAAAAGAAAGAAGTTGGTGGTGATATATTATTGATGATAAAGTACTGTTGGTTTAACTACGGTCCGTATCACGAAGCATAGACGGTAGTAAGGCGCGAACACGAAGCGGCCTAATGAGCCTGACAATATGAAGATATCTTGATTCCTAATATTGTGACTTGTCCCCAAGAACGAGGGGGACGGGGATGGCTAGCTAGATATACACGGCACGCACGTGCCGCGTCAGACTAACTATATCCGGTGCCAAAACGTGTAGGGTTTGATATTCACGTTCCGACAAGTACTTTGAGGTACAATACGCACCAACGTGGGAAAGCTAATCAAAGCTACAAGGATACTAAACGAGCCAACTGTCAATTATTTTTTTTTCCATTATGAGAGCAGAGCCAAGAGCGAGATTGCATCAATCGGCCTGCATCGTATCCAACTCGTACTAGCATCAACTCATACCAAATTTGTGCTGGCAGCAACTCTACTAATACCAACTCGATACCAACTCGCGCTAACATCAACTCGTGCTAGCACCAACTCTACTGAAACCAATCCGCATATGGATTTGATTTGGTTTAGACAAACATAGAACTACTAGAAACGATCAGTGTAGAAAAAAGTATTGCAGAGTAACAGAAACAAAAAGGGTCAATGTTGGGATTCTGAAGCCACTTATGGTTATAGCCTGATAGTACCTCAAATATATATCTGGAAAAACCCACCAAAAATACAGAGGATCACCAGTAGTTCACTTGAAAAAGCACCAGCACTTAGATTGCTCCCAATTTTGACCAGCCACCTTCGTTAACAAGGCCAAATTTGATTTGCTCAGACCAGCGTGCCCAAGTTCGGCCAACAGCCCACCACCTCTCACCCTGCTTGTGGCAAGCCCAAATTTTGCCAGCCTACACCAATGTCTGAGAAACCCAAGATTGGTTATACTACGCCGATCTTTGGCAAGCCGACGCGGGCGTCTGAGAAACCCAAGTTTTGTTATCCTACGCCGGCCTTTGGCAAGCCTACGCCGGTGTCTGAGAAGCCCAAGAATGGCCATTCTACGCCAGCCTTTGGCAAGCCTATGCGGGAGTCTGAGAAACCCAAGAATGGTTATGCTACGCCAATCTTTGGCAAGCCGACGCGGGCATCTGAGAAGCCCAAGAATGGTCATTCTACGCCAGCCTTTGGCAAGCCTACGCCGGTGTCTGAGAAGCCCAAGAATGGCCATTCTACGCCAGCCTTTGGCAAGCCTATGCGGGAGTCTGAGAAACCCAAGAATGGTTATGCTACGCCAATCTTTGGCAAGCCGACGCGGGCATCTGAGAAGCCCAAGAATGGTCATTCTACGCCAGCCTTTGGCAAGCCTACGCCGGTGTCTGAGAAGCCCAAGAATGGCCATTCTACGCCAGCCTTTGGCAAGCCTATGCGGGAGTCTGAGAAACCCAAGAATGGTTATGCTACGCCAATCTTTGGCAAGCCGACGCGGGCATCTGAGAAGCCCAAGAATGGTCATTCTACGCCAGCCTTTGGCAAGCCTACGCCGGTGTCTGAGAAGCCCAAGAATGGCCATTCTACGCCAGCCTTTGGCAAGCCTATGCGGGAGTCTGAGAAACCCAAGAATGGTTATGCTACGCCAATCTTTGGCAAGCCGACGCGGGCGTCTGAGAAGCCCAAGAATGGTCATTCTACGCCAGCCTTTGGCAAGCCTATGCGGGCGTCTGAGAAACCCAAGTTTGATTATCCTACGCCGGCCTTTGGCAAGCCTACCCCGGTGTTTGACAAGCATAAGTTCGGCCAGCCCATGTCAAAATAGCTAAGGCTGATGGCTCTTTGTTATTGAAAAGTTTGGAATCTTATCTGCAGTTTCTTGTACTGACACGATGCTTGGTCTCTATCTATCCCCTTTTTTGGTTTCTTGTTAATGACTAAGTATTTGCGCTTAAATTCAAAATGACGGGACAGCAAGTGTTGGAATTTTAAGATTGTAAGAATGTATACGGATTTGTATGATAAAACGCAACATGAGGCAACATTGGCCCATACAACCTGACGCACCGTACATATGAATCAACGCATACCCTTAAGTAATCTAATCAATGAGTATACCGCCCATCTATTAGTAATCTTTAAGCTTGTTCTTAAACATCTGATAACTAAGATGTCTTCTTAGATGATTAACTCAAAAGAAAACGATGCAAGTGTTACAACACTCTCAGCCGGCCAAGTTGAATGAGACGTATGCTGAATGAACAGCATACTGTATCAAAAATTGGCATGGAATAGAGCAACTCTGCGGATATCAAGTCTAGCGGGGTTGCCTCACATTTGGATTTGTTTCACTGTTTTAGTTCTGACACACCATTTCGGAAAATAGGGTTCAGATTCAGAGTGATGTCCCATTATATTCAATGGAAGGGACTTCTAGCTAGGACAGTTTTGAGATATTTGGAGATGGTATCTAAATACTCCATTTGAATACTTTCATCCTTTAAATTAAAATAGTATACAGTGCAGATTTAAAATTCTGAAAATCGTCGCGTACATGGCAGGAAGATAGCTGTCAGTCTTTTCACATAGTGATTGTAATCATGAGTGGTCGCTGGCCAATCATAAGGCCAAATAATAGAGAAATGTTATGTCCTGTTGAACTATGTGTCTGCATATAAGTGAGCTGTAAGCAACAAACAGGTGAACTGTTGAAGAATTTACAAATAGAAGGTGCCTCCAACAATCATTCTTTAGTCTTGCCTGAAGCTGTGCAAGAGCTTTTCTGTTGCAGTAGCCATTGATGGCTCTAATCTAGTCCTTGAACATTTTCAGATGGGGCTTTAAATCGCAAGCATGAAGGGTATGGATGGAGAATGTCATCTGTGGACAAAGACATATTCGCGATCAGGCGTTGAATTATAGGGTCAAATGATTGGAGATGACCCACAGCGCTGGGATACGCATTCCTAATATAATTAACCAAGAGATCTAACTTGGCATCAGTAAAGGAGGCTCGATATTCCCTAGTAAAATGTCAGCATATTATTGTCAGTTCGATGAGGGTCGGCTTACATATGACTAGTTGTTAAGTCTGATGCACAGGTCAGAATGACAACAAATCCAATACCACTTCCCAGTCGCTACCACCGCTTCCCAAGATTTTTATCTTCCACCACGTCCTGTCAATTCCACTTCTTGCCATTCTTTTCAAATTCACCGACCTTTTCTACTATCAAGTCGTGAACGATAGTCATCATTTTACGGCCGTTACGTTGGAGCACCACCTCCTGCTTGTCCTCTCTTTTCTGCAACTCTTTATCAAATTCATGGACAAAGATGTAAAGAAGAACTTGAGCTAGACGGCGATGTACCGATCTGTGATGACTGCTATTGTGGGTTGATGCTAAAAGCCGATACGCAGCAATACAAATCTCTGCGGACGAAAGGTTGCGGCAAGGTAGAAGGGAAACGCCAGGTGCTTGAAATTCTCGTAACAACCACTCACTCCAACGGTTCAGGATAACATTGGTTTCATCGATAATCCGATCGCCCATTTCGTAGATCTTATGTAAAGTCACAACATTAAAAGATTGGCCGGCTTTTTTTATCAGAGTCCTAAGCAAAACCAAGCGTATGGATTCAGCTTCGTTCAACGGGGAAGAATGAGTCCCTACAATAGTTCCGGTTCATGGACGTTTCCGTTCATTGCCCGACTTCAGCTTCTTGTTGATGCCAGAGGTATTATCATTTGTATTTTCGCGCTTCCGCGCGTCGTTTGCTTGATCGATAATGTGACTTCTGAGTTGGCCAATTTGCTGCAGATCATCTTCTAGTGGACTTGTCAACACATGTATTTTGGCGATGAAGTTTGATAGGTCGTTTTTCAACTGGAGGGATGGGGATAAAATATTGGAAGGGTACCCAGTCCCAGGCTGCAAGCCATTTGGAGTATCCAGTTCTAGAAGTCCCGACTTTGGGGATTCATCAGACTCCAGTTCGTTCTCTTCATGTGGAGCGTCTCTTAGCTTTGTGCCCTCAACGGCATTTTCTTCTGCTTCTCTCTGGAAGTGTTCTTGGTCTACAACTGAGGTTTCTTCCTCCCTTAGTGATTGTGGTTGGTCAGATAATTCAATTCCAGCAACGACTTCGTTGGCCTCTCCTTGTTGGGTTGCTGGATTGGCGATCTCAGTCCTACTCTCGGTATTCCCTGGACCTGGTATGGGATCCATACATTCCACCCGTGGAGCTCCGATTTCACTCCCTTCATGAGCGACAGAGCTGGGTCTGCTAGTTACATCACGATCTAGCGGAAATGTTGATGATGTGGAAACGGGCACTCGAAGACTGTCAGAAAAGCCATAAAGCCTTCCAAAAAAAGCGAAATAAACGTTTCGCCGCACATACCATGTCGACACTGTTCCTGAGACATCAACTGTATCAGTGTGCAGAGAGTCAAGGAAGAGTAGTCTGCGGTCGTGTCTTTGGGCCTGACTGCTAGGAAGTCCACAGCACTCTTTCAAATCAGCCGTAGAATCCACGAGACTAGGGATCTGTGGCTGTCCGCGGGGTGTAGCCATCGAGAAACATTCTACAATGCGGCGGACTAGGGTGGGAAAGACTGTGGCGTCGTATTCATACCGTTCCTGGTCCCGAGCGTTGAACAAGGCGTTCTGTGCAATCATCGCATCCGGGGAATGTGTGATGAGCTTCTCAATAGCCGGGGACTGGAAGCCCAACTTATGTGCGAACATCGCTATCTCATAGATCACTATTGCGTCCAGCGTTTTATTTTGGGATTTCGCCAACGGGTTGGGTTTGGTCAATGTGGGGTAAACACGCATTGCGTACAGCCAAAGCTGTCGATAAGAAAGCTCTTGCTGCACTTCACGGCTACCGAACTGCCTTTCAAAGGTGTCCTCGGACGTCTGGATGAGACATCCTTCCTCGAGAGAATCTCTAGGATTGTAACAACACCGCATAGCCCGCCGCACCGTCGGCCCATTTTTGCTGAAGTTGACAAGCAATTTCATTGCATTGCCACATTCCTTGAAATATTCGATATCTCGAAAGAACGTTCGCAAGGAAGGGATGATGCCATCGTAATCACGCAACCATTTCCACATCCGAGCTCTCTCGGATAAATTAAATTTGGAGAGAACTTTTCCGCTGCGTAACAAACGCTGAACCTTTCTAGCGTCCCTGTATGAGGCTTTTGGCGCCATCAGCTCCAATATCTCGACCGTGTGGGCGTCGATCTTCATCGTCGCCTCAAGATCAGGATTGGTCGGGTCGGAAGTCACGAGGGAGATCCAGAATTCTCGGAGGTGCGAAGTCAGATAGTGCACGATTTCCTGCAAACGGTTAGCCCGGGTCAAAAGGAATGGAAGATCAAATGACCTCATCACAGCGCAATGCTATCACGTTGGCCACATGTTCCAAGCTCATCCCACCCCACAGTCCAGGAATCGACAGCAGGGCATCAAAGGCGGAACAAAGGTCGATGTTCTTGGAGAGCTGTCGGAGGTACCGGGCTTTATCATCAGTCAGGCGCGCCCACCACATTCTTTGAATAAAAGCATTCGGTTCTTTTTGGTACCGACGAATCTTCCGATAAATCTCTCCATCGCTTGGCTGTTCCTTCTCAAAATATCCTTCTGTGAGGGCAGTCCGTAGTTCATAACTGATATCTACAATCCCACGTCAATCGGTGTGGCGAAGGTAGGGGGTATGACTTTCCGGAGTAGACGTACTTTCGAGATAAATGTCGACCGTCCACCATCGATCACCAGCGGTAAGAACCTTGGCGCCAGCTCGGATACGATGTCGACCATGTAAGCAAAGGACTTGGCCAGCCAAGAATTGGAGATGGAGTAAATGATTGGGATCAGAGGTTAGCAAGTCCTTGAAAGATTTCCCAGCGGCTTGCAATGCCGCACGGAGGTCTTGCAGAGAAATGATAGCCGCAACATGATTTTGAGCATCAAGTCGGCGACAGCCTTCCTTTTGAAATTTTTCACAGAGCCGATCAATGATGTGCTGTTCGACTGATTGTGAGGAATCAGGATGAAAGCCGATTTCTTCGAGATCAATCTTAGCAGTTCCTTTGTAGTTACGACTTCGCTCAATTTCCAGATGAGCTTCAGCGTGCGTAGAGGGAGACTGCATAGTTCGGACTCTCAAGGCAAAGTCTTGATTTATGCGTCGAATCTACTCTCACTTGAAATCGAAACCCTAACCCCCTTGACGTACTACAACGCCCTAGCAAAGCCCTCCTTTATATGGCGGGAGCTCTAAATGGCGTCCGCTAATTCGAACGCCAAGGCCTAGATAACGGCCACCAACTCGCACTAGTATCGACACCAACTAGTACTGACACCAACTCGGTTTTTGACACCAATTCGTATTGACACCAACTCGTACTGACACCAACTCGAACTGACACCAATTCGTACCGACACCAACTCGAACCGACACCAACTCGAACTGACGCCAAGTAGTACTGACACCAACTCAGTTTTTGGCACCAATTCGTACTGACACCAATTCGAACTGACGCCAAGTAGTACTGACACCAACTCAGTTTTTGGCACCAATTCGTACTGACACCAATTCGTACTGACACCAACTCGAACTGACACCAACTCAGTTTTTGGCACCAATTCGTACTGACACCAACTCGAACTGACACCAACTCAGTTTTTGGCACCAATTCGTACTGACACCAACTCGAACTGACACCAACTCGAACTGACACCAACTCGTTCTGGTACTAACTCTACTGACACCAACTCGTACGTACTGGCATTAAATCGTACCGACAATATCTCGTGCTGGTACTAGCTCATACCGGCACCAAATCGTTCCGGCACCGATTCGTTCTGACACCGACTCGTTCTAACACCAACTCGTTCTAACACCAACTCGTTCTGACCCTCTGGTGGTCAAGGGAGACATCCGCTGCTTGTGCTATTTCAAATGCTCCGGGAGCTCACCAACATGCAAGTAAAGCAAGAAATGGAGACTGTAGAGAGCCTACCGAAGGTATGGTCCTTACCATCGCCGCGTGAGAAGCGAGTTAAACAGATTAGTCTTTGACCTGATCCTAGTTGCTCGCCGTCAAGCTGACTCAAAACGCTTCGGCCATGGGCTGAGTTGGTGAAAATTTCACGAGCTTGATAGCTAATGTGGTTCCTCTTTGGTTTTGAGAGGGCGAAGAGAAAGACGAAGTACGGATATGTGGTCAAATGCATTCTCTGCCAATGTCAGACGACGGAAGCAACACGGGGATGTGAGAAATTTTTAGCGTGGCAGCGCCGGAACGGCGCTGCTTAGGTAACCAACTGGAACACGCTATCCTGAAGCAGTTAGCGCAGGAGGAATACTTATGGCGTCACCCCTCGGGAAATGCATATCAGAAGAGCCGGTTAATGATTGGCCAGAATGGAACTTATATATGTACGTGATGTAGCATCTTGAATAAACGTACTTAGATACTCCGAAATATCCTTTCTCACTTGACCAATGACTACCAGCAGTAGATTCCTCTGTTCTAGTCTATTGGTTAGTCACGAAGCAAGGCATTGTTGCTTTGAGTGACACGGACAAATTAGACGACCTCATTTAGCGCTCATCCTTCTAGAATGCGAAGATGCGGGAACACATCTTATCATTGGCTGCTGCCGCTGCCTTAGCGCCGTTCTCAGTTCTCCTTTGTCCACGTGTATTCTGTGGCACGGGAATCATTCCTTCTCTTGATAAGTTGATATAGCTTCGCAAGCTTGAGATGGGAGTTTGGAGTTCCTCCCTTGGCTCTCGCCACAGCATAGATTTGCATCGCTCCTCTTTTTAACTCCTTTATACCAGAATGGCGGATCCATTAAGCGTCACTGCTTCAGTGCTTGCGGTTGTAACAGCCGCTGCACAGTCAACCAGGTCTCTTTATGACACCATTAGACGGTTTCAAGATCGTAGCAAGCTGATAGGTCACATAGTTATAAAAGAAATCTCTGGCATAGGCTGCCATACATAATATAGTGCAAGGCTGTGCGCGCTAATTTAGTAAGGGGACTCCCTTGGCAAATCCTTATATCGAGGAGAGGTTGATATCCAATAAGAGCCTTGGAAAGGATTTATGTGCTGCCATCACCATATCCGGGATAGCCAATAAACCAACGAAACGCCGATATTTCCCACAGCCTATTATTTTCACTTGGTTACATGCAAGGCACAGGTAGCTCGCATTCAGTTATGCACCAGTATAATAAATCAGCTTTCTCATTGGTCTTATTTCGGACGAATAATCCTAGACGATCTTGAACATCACTTTTCCTCTCCTCGTTGCGCATGAATTTCTCCACTGGAAGCTCGTCTGTAATGGAGGATAAAATATTGAGTCACTCTTGCAACTATGTGTACATAACCCCACTATCAAAATTGTTATTTAGAGTTTTTGCCGATTGCTAACAGCATGACCTGAGAAAAGTCTTCCTGAACGACACCCACCGCATGCAGAGAATGGACGAACATACCACGGATATCGCAGAGGAATCTATATGTGGCCGTGTGACGAGCAAGAACAGGATCGCCTTGATTTGCTACACAAAGTCATCACTGAAGCCAGGATAGGCGATGGGTTGCTATATGCTCCTCATCCCTCTAATGCACGAGTGCTCGATCTTGGCTGCGGCACTGGAATATGGGCTATCGATGTCGCTAACAAATATCCAGAGGCTTTTGTGATCGGAGTGGATCTTGCAAAGATTCAACCACTTAACCGTCCCCCAAATTGTGACTTCTATGCGCCCCGTGACTTTGAGGATCAATGGGCCCTAGGTGAAGATCATTGGGATGTGATCCACATGCAAATGGGTTGTGGCAGTGTAAGCAGTTGGTCTTCGTTATATCGCAGAATATTCATGCATCTACGACCGGGTGGCTGGTTTGAACAAGTCGAGATTGACTTCGCACCCCGATGTGAGGATGGCTCTTTGGAGCATACATCCATGCATAAGTGGTACCGGTGGCTTCAAAAGGCCATGGAGATGTCGTGGCGACCTATTGGCCATAGCGTTAAAGAAACAGTATCTGTCTTGGAAAACCAGGGGTTTATCAACATCGATCATCAAGTAGTCGGGTTACCTATGAATCCTTGGCATACAGATGAGCATGAAAAAGAGGTGGGCAGATGGTATAACCTCGCGATTTTAGAGAGTGTAGAAACACTCAGCTTAGCTCCCTTCTGTCGAGTATTAGGTTTCTCGCCGGAAGACGTTCGGTGTCTGGCTACCGATGTCAAGAAGGAAGTCAACAATAAGAAGCTGCATACTTATAATATTCTTCACATTTATCAAGCGCAGAAACCATGTGAAGGATATCGGATATGAGGGAATGTCATGTAGACTGGCTGCAGTTCCGGTCTATGCATCCAGAGTTTTAAAAACAGAAGATGGCCCATCATGGAAATTATATGGAGCATATGTCTACTAGATTTGGGACATACTTGTCGCGACTCCGATGCTCTAATACTGTTTATCGGTGAAAGTGTTGAATCTATTGAAAAGCCAGACCCCAATAGCAAGATTGAGATGTGTCAAACTAGCCTCTGATAATGCAATTCGCAGCGATAATACTAGGTAGTTAAGTCGAAGAAGTAATGAATTTGCTAGCATAGCTCGGTAGTTGACATGATTGCTATATAGCTCTCTAAACTCACAGCATTGACATGCGAACCGTCTCCACTATATGAAAAGGATATTACACTCCATCGCCAAGACTATACTAGGGTCGCCCTACGAATTGGATGAACATGATATGCATTCACACAGGCTCATATCCTGGAACTCTATACCGGAACATAACGATCTGGAAATTGTCGTGACTGCCGTAGGCTATATTGGCGACTGGGAGTTGAATTCTCGATATCTTGTAGAGATTTTTCTGCAGCAACCCTTGGTTGGCTAGTTCTCGGTTTCCTGCGACCTTTTGTCTGACTCTTATGCCGCTTATCCTTTAAAGCCGTACAATATCGTACTTGAAGAGCGCTTTTCGTTCTTCCACGAAAATGTGCCGCTATACGTGACCATGGAAGCTTTTCGACCTCTTTGAGTTGTATTATCAGTTTGTCTTCTTCGGGAGTGTACTCGTTGCCTTTCGACGATACGGGTGTTTCCACAAGCTGGGACAGTTCGTTGTCTTCCATAAAGCCGTCTTCACCTGGGGTTAAGTGTTCTTCGTGAGATGATTTGTCATTCTGTGGTGGTGTATATCTCTCTTTAAATGAACAGCTCCATGTATACCCACAAGGCTTGAGTTCCCGAGTAAATAAGCCTTCAATGTTAATAACTTGAAGGTCAGACATGCTGGTCCACTGATCCTGCTCGTTAGCCTGCTTCTGAAATGAGGCCAAACAATCAGATAAGGCAGGGCTAAGGGCGGTCGAGCCTTGATCCTCTGTGAACCAGCAGCAATACTCAGCTCGGCCCAAGGACACTTTACGGAGAAGACGACCATCAATATGGATTGTCTCTGGACCGGTCGAATTCTGTACCATGGACTCTGGACTTGGCTGACTCTGTAACGATGCTGTTGAATGATCTTGTTCCCGCAGTCTTCCTCGATGCTGGCGATAAGGATGTGTGCCAGCGTCAGCCCGCTTCTGTCTTTTTGCCGGACGAGGTTCTGACTCGAGGTTTGTTATCTGGTCTTCTGCATGACTGTGCTCACGGTAGTCACTATCCTCTGAATCATCGCTTTCTGTGCTCTGGGCTGAGGTTGAACGACGCGAGTGCCGAAGGGCACGGGGTGTGTTGCTGGATTGGAGATTTCGAGCAGGGTCTGTAACTGATAGACGTTCAGATGTTGCTCTTGCTGAAGTGGACTGCTTCGGTCGTGACTTGTTTAAATGACGCTTTCTTACTAATCCCGACGTTCGGCTATCAATCTGCTGGGATTGGATCGGTGCAAAATCGATCGCTATAATTCCATCGGTTGGAGGGATTTGGTGTACAATTGGCTGACTATCGTTGTCCTCCAGGATAGTGATAGTTGGATTGCGAAGGCATATTGGGTCAATGATTGGAATAGTGTCAATAGGACTGATTGATACTTGATCAACGGAGTTCCCACTAGGCCATTTAGTCGGGACGGTGGATTTATTTGCAACATCAGGCGGCATCTCCCATATTGGACTCTCTGGGATGGTGCTACCGTGTTGCTCGCAGTCAGAATAATGGGATGGGGCATCCAATTCTGGAGACCATACTGCCGCTAATTCTTCAGCTGTCGGCATTTCCGTGTCATTTGTAAGTCCGGCTATGTCCTTCTCTCCGTCGACATAGTAGTTGTTGCAAGATCCCTCATCTGCTGGAAAGACATTGTTAGGTTCAGTATACTAGCATTCAAGGAGGTCACCCTTACTATTCTGAGATTCATTCCGGGATTCATTCTGACAAATTGTGGTGTTACAGACGCCGTGTTCCTCGGAATCGATAGGTATGGCTGCTGCCGGCTGATGCAAACCATCGGATTGAGTTTGAGTATGCGCCGTCGTAAGGCGGATATGAGGAATAGAAGAAGGGTTCTCTTCAATAAGAAGGCTTGGAGATGCGGGCCGCACAGTCGATGTGTAGGGGCAGGTAGTGAGAGGGTGAGACATAGAAGAAATCATGTGCGATTGAAATGAAGACATCCCGTGAGGGATCGCTGGTAACTTAGACAGCTTTCTAGGCTCACGATACTGGTACATGACCATATTGTCAAGGGAGATGTCTGCCATAGCTGGAGTTGCATAAGAGAGCTGAATAACGGAAGAGGCCGGTTACTTATGATAATAAGATTTTGCTGTGTTCTCTGGTGGCCTCACTGGGATTTATATAGGAAACCTGGGAAAGGCTTGAATCAATATTGTAAACGTCAATTTTTACCGATTTCGGTAATCCCATAATAGGAAAGATAGGAAAGAAACAAACCCAACTTGTAAGACTAGCTTCCCTAGGGTCTGTCACCAAATCTGCACGGACAGGCTGGGTAATTCCTTGAATAGGAAGGAGACCGATCTAGATTATTCCAAATCAATATGTCGCGCGGTTCAGCCCAATCAGGATGTTCTGTTGACCACCCTATTGTACCCAGCAGCAGTGGAAGCTATTTCGGTCAGTAGTCACCGGCAATGTAGTTCTGATTGCGGGATTTTTCTTATTGGTAGAGAGATCCAACTGGGATTGCGCAAAGATCGAGAATTAGGTTCCATAGTCCTAGTATAGCCTCAAACACTGGACCTTCACATTGTAGCTGAAGGGTATGGTGATGGATCCTGAATCAGTGGATCTATGAGCATACTGAATGCAACCGTGGCGCAGTGTAGAAGGCCCTTGATTCAACAAGCTCGTCTTTCGCTTCGTAATTTTCCACCAAGAAGACGAGGCAGAGCTCCAGCAAGGTGACGGGCGAGTTCCTCCACCCTTGTAAAGCGCAGTCTCATAGACAGAATTGCCCCGTTGATAGATAACAACATAGAGATAGAAATGTCCTAGATGCAACACTGGCGGAATGCCACAGGCTCTTTCTTCAAAGCTAGCTTTTCAGCTCAGTGGATATAGGGAGCCACCCTCCTGCATGGTTTCATAGTTGCATTCGGACATCACCGTCAGAAATCAATTCATGCGCTCTACCCGCCTGAATATTGATCAATGGAATGCCTAATATTAGTTAGTCGTGGAATACTAATTTGGGTGGAACTTCAAATCAACCTTCCTTCAAGTATGATTGGTAATAAGACGATCTGAGACCCTCAGAATGACTTTGGATGGACAGAAAGAGGCAATACTCGATCTAACTCATATGATCCTTGCACCGCTAAAATCTTCATGCAACCAGTTCAATCCTCATTGAGCCACGTATGACGAAGCCTGGTGTATTCATTGGCATAGGAGGACGCTTCCATCCAATCAGCTAGAAACTCGCACTCCTAAGAAAGTGGAATGCACTCGACAGAGTTCCGAATTCCATCCGCCACGGTGGCCAGGTGGATGTTGTGATTCATCGTATCCTATATTATGCCCGATGAGGAGAAGATACGCGAGCTCCGGCTGTCTTTCCCCACTGCAATACGCGCAAGTCCATAGGGACTACCCAAGACGCAATGTTTAGTTGAAAGGTAGACACTCAGAATGTGGTGAGATGGATGTGAGGTTCAACGCAAGAAAGACCTCCCCCAACTACCAGTATAAGCAGAAAATTGTACCGTATGATAAGCTTCCTCAAATCTTGAGAGTATGTCTTATAGGTGTACTCTCTGAAGCGTTAATCACGAGGGAACGGAGAGAATAGAAACATCCAATGTAACAATGGCACGGTCCACCAGCCCAGTCAAGGACGAATTTTTCAGCTGTGAGACGGCTCATGGGCCGCTAGTGAGGGCCGTGGATGCGCAAAATTATCGAGGGAGAGAAAATTAAGGATGCACACGACCGGCGGTCGTTGAGCGACGCACTCGAGGTTTATATAGTCGTCGAGATGAGTGTCACACGCACTATCCTCCATCGGGACAGGCACCACAAGTCTAAACCCAAACGGGACCCGCTAAACCTCAAATGAAAGACACTAGGCCGAAGATGGCGATCCCGAAGAGCCAGCCGAATCCGGCCGCGCCGGTACAAATCGACAATCTACTTTACTGATTTGCCACTGCTTATGAAATGATAGCATAAGTAAATGGTTACTATATGGACATCATTAAATAATCTAATGTATACTAGGGAGAGCGATCCTAATTTCGTGAGAAAATTTGGCACACAATTTCATTGTTAGTCAGCTGGGTATGCTCAGCCATATCTTAAACAGCCACATTCTGAGGAGCTTGAAAACCTATCCGCACGATCTCGCTAGTCTAAGGATATGCTAAGAAAACATGCAGAATGCTCCAAGGAACAAGAAATACTAGAAACAGAATCTTCAGAAGACATATCTAATAATTCCTCTAAGGAATCCTTAGATAAGTCTTCTAATGGTTCCTCACAGTCACCTGGGATGAGGGCGACTAAGAGGCCTATTCAGGCACAGCCTGTTGAGGAGGCATCTAAAGAATCATCTCAGAAACCCTCATCTAAGAGCTTGGAAAAGCCCTTAGACAAGCCCTTAGGAAAAGCCTCGGAGACTATCAGGCAGAAGCCTTCTCAAGAGCTTGGAGACTCCACCGACAATTGGACCACAGAATCAGGGGATATTTCTGACAAGGACTTAGAAACATGTACGGTGCAGGGGAATGAAGAGTTGATATCCACTAAACAGGATGTAGCGGGTGTTGGGTTTCAGAAAGAAAGGCTGGTGCAGGAGGGGAGGGTCAAACAACAGCAGCATCAAGAGGACATCACAGAAAACCCTTAGGTTGAGATAGATCTTACAGTAAGTTAAGCACAGAAACCAGTCAAGGCTTATGTAAATCATATGATATACATATGTTGTCTATATCAATGCCTTATGGAATTGACATGGGTATCCGAGAGGAACGTTAGGGTTGTATGTAAGAACCCTATAGTATCTGATGATATAATATGGAACTTATATGAAATTAATATGAATTCTCCTGGATTAGCATAGGGATTTGACTTAGGCTACATCTTGATCACTTTAATCTACCACGGGGATTCAGTGTATGTACTTCTTGCTGACCTTAGTTCTTTAGGTTATTGATCCAGCGCTCTTGCTGAATGTATTAATACGCAATTCATTAGCACCCTTGGAGCTTGTGCAAAGGGCGCGTTCAGTCTTGGCTCTAGTGGACTCGCTGAATTCAGAGCCTGATTTACCACTATCCCAGGCCATTTCTTGCAGGCGACCTGTGAGGATGGTTCGGTCAAAAGACATTTATTCTATGGGTAGGTTCCTATCTTTACATGAATTCGTACGTAGTTGCAGCTGATTCTCATTGTGTAGCCAGACAATCTAAGCGACTAAAGCTTAGAGTTGCTCGAGCAGATACATGATCAAATCGCTTCGCTTTCATTCTGTTTCAAATTCTTGTACTATGATTGTATTTTATTTTTTCTGCAAACTCTTCGTTCTTCCGCACCAGTATCTTCACTTTCACTCAACCTCCTAATCTAATGGCTTACAACCATCCTTTCCGACCTCTAGATCGATGTTGAAGTCCAGATATCGAGCATCCATGTCATGCAGGACACGCTATCACACAAAAAAATTAGTCAAAATATATCACTACTATATAGAATCTAAACTTACATGACGCTGAGAGAGGCTGGGAGTTATGTGTGAACGATGAAAACTTGTTCTCCATTTCTTAGCGAAGTTCCTATCGTTTAATCTAATAGTAATTAGCATTTATCAAAAGTTGTATATGGATTCTATATACTTACGCGATCCGCTCAAGGGAATCACAGTAATAGTCGATTATACTGGACTTAGGAAGGTCAGGTTCCTTAATAAAACGAGCATTGCGCTAGCCACCAGTCAACACATAGTGCTTAAGCGCACTACCATCACAGTCAGCGATTAATTAAATGTGGTGGACATATAGAAACTAGGTGGAAATACTCACTTTTCTCCCGCAATACACTTAGCATTGGATAGGGCAGTCTTATCGGCCATTTGAATAACGCTAGGGTATTCCTCACGTAGATGATGCTAGAACTATCAATGATTAGCATGGGTTCTATATGGAATTGAAAGACTACTAACATCAGGATTACTAGCAAAGCTAGCTGAGTCTTGCTTTTAGGAAGGTTCGCAAATAAAGCTATATTGTTGGGTACCATTCATAGCGACTGGGCACCTAATAACATTGTTAGCGATATCCGATATGGAACCCATCAGGAAACTTACACTCGACCATGAGCCTTTAAGAGGACAACCTTGTGAGGACTTTCCTCATTATTATGGGTAGTCAGACAAGGTTCTGTGACAATTATTAAACCCATCGCGATAATTTTATATGATTTTAATACGTACTGCGTGGTTGGGGACCGGGCTTGCCCTTCTACTTCCAGACTGCGAGCTCCTTTTTATACGCGATAAGCTTCTGTGGTTTCCATTCCTTATCAAGGATGGGAACTGGTCCTGCATTTTGTATTAGTACAAGAGTTCCATATGGATTCAATATATTATAAACTGTAGAAGTACCCAAATTCCTTGCTCTTTTGCTCAGCTTCAATGACCTCTCTGTTGTCGAAGTCAGCAGCGCGCAAGGGTGCATTCAGAACCTTGACTGGTCCTCAGGGTATGATCGCCTGATGAATGGGATATGATTTGCAGATGGAATCAATATAAAAAAGGAAAAATCTCTTGATAGCAAGTGTGTAAAAATGTAGTGTTAAGAATGAAAGCAGAAGGAAAAGGGAGAAGAGATAAGCAAGACATGAGTAGAACATAAGTTGCAGCAAGGAAAAGTGCTCTATACTATCAAAATACAAACAAAATATATTCCATGTGACCTGTTGCTCAACATAACACAACTAATAGAGAGAATATACTTATAAATATCGTCAAATCTATATAATAATTGGAAAGTATCGCTACAGAAATCTTGCTGAATCCATATGTCGAAAGATATCGATACAATGTATCTATCTAAGTTTCGTGATGTTGACTAAATATTGTGGTTGAGATTCCATATGGAGTCCATATGAATTGTATATGTCTTGTTTATGTGTAAATCCGGGTAATCCTTGTATTTTATTGTATTTTTTCTCGTTGGTCCAAGCGTCGTGATATCTACTTGTCTGAAAAGGGTAACTAGAGGAAATTTTTTATTACACTAGCGCCAACAGGATATCATCCACCCCCCAAAAAGATATCATGCTCAGCTATAACCCGGGCCGGCGGCGCCTTCTAATTGGGCAGCGGGCGTACTACCGTATAAAAGCATAAATCAACGTCAACGTGCCAAGACGCTTCCGGCTTGGCGCTGACTTAGTCAACTCCACGCGAAAGTCTCGACACGTATCCGTATCCAGATCCGAAGACCACCAACAACAGATAACGAGCGAAGAGAACGCCGAACCAACAAAGGAGATATGTATATATACAAAAAGAGTGAAGGATCTCGGTGCAGGGTGACGTGATATTTATGTTTTGGTGCCCGGTTCTATTTCCAAACGTGTCAAGTGGCTGATCCGTCCGAGCCGAATCAACGTGGTTACTCTTCATCAGGGTAGTGTCGCACTCACTGTGAGCGCGTGGTTATTAAGGGGGTTACGTGATGGAACTGCGTCAATAGACCAGTCCGCATCATAAATTTATTACTCTGCCAAACCCACTGAGGTTCGCTAAGGAGCTTCCGATAATCTGTTTCGCGTGCTTCTTTCCAGAGAGTCTCCATACGCAGGTTTATATGGGTAGGACACCGTATGAGGACGTGGGCCGTATCCTGATCCCCAAGGCCACATTCGCATTGAGGTGAGTCTTCAATCCGTACACTCGCTAAGAAGCTGCGTAGCGCTGATTTACCTATTTGTAGTTGGATTAACACTGAACTCCAAGCCCGTTGTAATCCCTCGTGCAGCTGCAACACCATCTTCGTTGGTGCTTTGATTATCCAATAGAGATGCCATCCATGGTTGGTATGCTCCCACTGTTCCTTCCACCTCTTTGCAAAGCCTGCATGTAGCCTCTGGCGACACACTGCCGTAAGAATAGTTGACTGATTTGGAATATACGACATTCGTGCGGCGTATGGTGTAGTCTGATTGGGTGCGCTGATCCTGGCTATGCGGGCGTTCTCCTGTGTACACCGTGTCGCCTCGACTGCAGCCAACTTTGCCAGCTGGTCTGCTTTCTCGTTGCCTGGGACCCCTTCGTGGCCTGGCACCCACTGTAGTCGTACACGCCATCGAGATCGGTTGTCGCGTAGGAGGCCCAGGTGTCGTACGATCCGTCGAAGGATATACTGCCCAGAGGACCGCCCTGGCTGGCACATGGCGCGTATTGCGGCTTGATTATCTGTGTAGATTGTGGCTTCGTGTGGGTTGTCATCGCATGGCTGGCTTCGGAGTAGGATTTCCAATGCCGCATCGATTCCCTCCAGTTCCCCTGTATAAACAGTATATGTGTCAGATAAGCCTACTAGCTTATAAGCCTATCCTATTGATGAGTAGACCGCTGCTCCAATCCCATTGTCAAAGCCGCTCCCATCGGTAAAGAACTGTATTGTTATATCTGTTCCTGAGATTGCTTCAATAGCCTTAATAGCCTCCTCACGGGTATCGTTAATCCTTGCTTCTGGTAGCTCCTACCACGGTGGCACTACAAAGAGGTAGATTGTCTTGATGCGTTGGCTAGTATTACATCCCAGTTTGCGGTTAATGGCTGTTTCCAATCGATGAAGTGGCAACGTGTATGGGTCGTTACAGTAGGCTTGGCCATGTATTTGGTAAAGCGTAGATCGAAGTGGTGAGGTCATGATCCGCAGGCAGGCCTCCTCAGCCAGCTTTGCGAGCGTGAGCTCTGCAGGTGGTACATGGAGACAGACCTCTAGGGCCTGTCGTGACATACGTTTGAACGCGCCAGATATCTGGTGAAGAGCCTGATCCTAGATCGATCGGATGGCTTGCTCTGCAGCTCGCTGCGCACCGGTGAACCCTCTTCCACCTCGTATATACCACGTGGAGCACGCGTACATGATCTATGGTTAGAGGACAGCTATGTATATCTTCCTTAGATGAACCAGGGGCGTTCTCCATGTCGATCCTGCAATTGAGCTTAATCCCGCCACCAGTTTTGCAGCCTTCTTTCTCATCTCCTGTACGTGCACTTCCCCAGTGAGGTGGGTATCCAGATAAACTCCTAGATATTTGATTGAGTCTGTAGGCTTAATTTCTACTCCCTTGATTGTGAGAGGTACATCCAGCCTACCACTCGGCTTAGGCACTATTTGGTGCTTCCGCCAAAAGTGGGTAAGTTGATATTTGGCAGGCGCAAATTTAGAGGCATGTGACCTCTCCCAGCGCTCTGCAACCTAGTATACTTTAGTGAGTATGCAGCAGTTAGCTGCGGCGGAGGTCCCATATGTCATGATAAAGATATTGTCAATATATCTAAGTACAATCACGTCCGGGTACTCAGTGAGTATCTGCTCAATAAGATCTGCATTAAAGAATAGGAATAGGATTGGTGACAATGGGGAGCCCTGCGGAATACCTGTATTAACTAGAAATTCCCCCATATTGCCCTCTAGGAGTGTGATTGATGTGCGGCGATTGCTTAGAAAGCTCTTAATCCAGCCAATCAGGTCATCTAGTACCCGGCGCTTTCGTAGGTTGTGTATCAGCCTTATATAATTAACGTTATCAAAAGCCCCTGCCGCGTCAAGTGCAAGCTCTAAGGCTACTCGTGAGCCCTCTCTCCACACACTATGGGTCTCTTCTAGTAAGAGATGGATTGCTAGTTCGCATGAGCAGCCGCGACGTCCTCCAATATGTTGCTTTAGTAAAAGATTATATTGCTCCACTAGATAGCTGAGACGTCTGGCTAACACTGATTCTAGTGCTTTGCCAATCGTGCTCAGTAACGCTATTGGGCAGTACGCCTTTAGATTAGAGTAATCAGGCTTTCCAGGCTTGCAAAGGATGACTGTTGTCGACTTTCGGAAATAGTCAGGGCAGTATTGTTGACGTAGACATGCATTAAAGAGATTAACGAGATAGGCCTCGATAGTAGGGAGCAGCCTTTGTAGGACTAGATTGAGGATCCCATCTAGCCCTGGTGCTTTGTTGGGCTTCACATTGGTTACTGCTGTTCGGACTTTGTCTAATGTGATTGGTGGCATCGTATACGGTTTGGGATATCTATATTGTGGTCCAATATCTGACAGATCTGCCTCCAGGGGCTCTGGGTGGAGGACCTCTCGGAATAGAGCTGCTTTCTCCTTTAGGGCTGTGTAACTCGTGTTATTGTAGTGTAATGTTGGGGTAAACATGGCACGTGGTTTGCCCCTATTGTAGACCCAACGGGCAATTCTCCAGAATCCATCTATTGACTCTGTTGCCTGCTCAATTCGTTGGCGATGTAGATCTCGTGCGAGCTCATTGGTGCGCCATTTCATCTCTTTCCTAGCCTCTGCGTAGTCCTCCCATGCCTAATCTATATTTATACAATGTGCGTGTCGTCTACACCTAGATACATGGTGTTTAAGCTTCGCCATCTCTGAGGTGTAGCCCGCTCGTGAGTAGATGCTGATCTATTTTGTAGGTGTCGCTTACTCAGCTGCCTGATTAATTACCTCAACTAGATAGTAGATCGCCTCATTGATCGCCTCATTGTTATTGAGCTCCCTTGGGTGCCAATTATATATGTCCATCAGTTTAAGGAAGAGGTCCCAATCTATTGCATTCCACTACTTGTAAACCATTGGAGGAACACGTACAGCTATAAGGTTGAACTAAGTGGAGATTGGGATATGATCTGCTCCATACCACCACTCTGGCTTGGTGTTGCAGCTTACTACCCAGTTGGCTAGATTGTGCAATGCCCACATCAGATCAATTGTAGATTTGGCGTTAACCCTCTCGTACGTGATCGTGCCTGGTGGCAGGAGCTGCTCAAGCCCATGCTCATCTATAAGATTAATCAATTCGGTGGCCTCCTCGTCAACGTGTCAGTACCGCGGGCCCGCCCACAGCAGGTGATGTCAGTTGAAGTCCCCCAATACAATATACTGCGCCCTAGGTGCCATGGCGGTTTGCAGGGCGCTAATTATAGATTCCTCGTTGCTATTGACTCCTAGATTGTATATATTATGAATATGGATGGTTCCATGGGCGGCTGTATGAAGTGTTAATGTCGGAACGTGAATATCAAACCTAGCGCGTTTCGGCACTGGATATCAGTTAGTCTAACGCGGCACGTGCGTGCCGCGTATATATGTAGTTAGCCACTCCCCGTCCCCCTTACTCTTGGGGGGCAGTCATCAATATCAGGAATTCTATACCATGTTGATCAGGCTCGTCAGCTCGTCGGAATAGCTGTTCTACGTGACTAGTGCTAGCGACCTAGACGTAGATAAACCGACAGTTAATGTGCTCAGATCTCTATTATGGTATTGGACCTCCCATGTGGCTGGATCTAGCCCTCTACAGGATTTGTAGTCGATTGGTGTTACAATATATTACTGATTGTTAGCCCAGGTGCTGTCTTTAAGGTTCGTGGTTATTAGCGTATTAGCCTCCTGAGCTGGCTCGATTGGCTCCTGAGGGGCTTCGTGGATTGATAGCTGGGTAAGTTCATCCTCAGATGAGTCATCGTCTGGGATTGTACGCACACTCTTACTTTAGCGGACAGTCCTAACAGCTTGCACATGTGAAATTTCCAGTGGAGCAATATCTGATTGCAGAACTGGGGTTCCTGGTGGAGGCTTCATATTCTGACGTGCACGTGTGTTATATATATATTTGATCTGGGTCTCAGATCCTGTCTTAGGTTCAGGATTAGGATCTGCATCTATAACTAGATCTTTATCCCACTGCGCTCTCATAGGCTTTTTCGAGGATCTATTGGTAGGATCACCTGATGTAGGGCTTATTGGCTCAGCTTAGATCATTCTGCCACTCGTTTTTGGGCGGCTGCTGCGCTCTTACTACTTGAGTTGGCAGATTGACGTGTGGTGGCTATACGAGCCGGTGCGCGAGGACTTCGCTCTGTATTAGCTGCTTCAGCTGGTGTAGGGTCATTTGGTGAGATGGCTCCAGGCTGAATATTGCCAGGTCGTATCACAGGAGTGTGATATTGTGGGCTGTATGTACGTCGTTGATGTGCCTCTGCGAGGCATGTAGCTTGTATTGGGCACTCCCTCGCGTACGCAAAGTGTTTCGTATTGAGTCTCTTAGCAGGATCTTTGATATGGACATTTTCTGCGGTGCAATTAGCACATTTAGCATATTCTTTCTCTTTCGGTGTAGGGTAATCCCCTATATCATGAGATCCAGCGTAGTACGCGCAGCAGATCTGGCACTGACAGTGCCTGGCGATATGTTTATACATCTGACATTTAAAGCACTGCTGGAGATTGGCTGCTTTGTTGTATATTGAGACATTGTGCTGTCTTCCTTTAATAATAAGACTGTGTTGGATTGCAAAATTAGCAATCCTTTTATCATCGAATATGACTACAAGGTGGGCATTTGTGAGCTTCTGTTCCTTGATCTTATACTTGCTTAGGAGCTAGCCCGTGTGTGTGACATTTATAGAGGCTGGAAGCTGCGCAAATACTGGGGCGTTGTCTAAGGTAAGCGTGGTTATGAATTGAGGCTGTTTGGGGTTAATATTTGTGTTGACGCTGTATACAACGACGCCCTATGTATGTTTTTGTATACATGCTTCGTTTCCGAATGCTCTAATCCAGTCCTTCTTGCGGGTAAGCTGGTCGACGTCGTCCACTGTGCCTAGTAAGAGTATAATATCGCCACTAGGTAGTATACGGGCTGCCGCAATTCGTCAATGTGCGATGGTGGTGCCTTGAGTGCTGCGTATTGCGAGATTTGCCTTCTCCACCACCTTATCCGGGAATCGATGTATCGGGTTGAGGATATTTGGATTGGTATGTTCCAGATAGACCTCTAGGTCCTCCTGGCTTGGATATGGGGTTGATGGCAAGCTTCCTCCACTACTCAATCCCACGCTAGGGACCGTGGGAGGGTTCGAGGGCACCTTACGTCCCCAGGCCTGTACGTACGACTCTGAGCTATTGGAATCTTTTGGTACTAGTCCGAACGGGGTTAGGCTCTGATAGGAGTTGTACAATTTGGGTGAGGAATAATTGACTCTGATTTGCACATCTTCTAAAACATAGCTAACTACACATCTTGATCCTCTTTATATACACATCATAGTGGCAAAGTATCACGGATTTACGGGATAAATGACAATCCTGACTCCAAAATGTAGGCTTGAGTTTGGCTCTCATGTTCTCACGGATATGTCGTTATTCCGAGGAATTGTTGGATTATTACTAATCCGTGGGGGCAGATTCGGCAATGATTCCTAGCTTTGCTACGTGGAAAGTGTTCGTATTGGAAGTAGAATTAACAAGCAAAATTGTATGTATTCCCCCCTTCTCCCCTTCTAAGAATTGAGGGTGATTCTATGTCTTTATATATTCCAATGCGGCCTCAGAGAAGTAAGGGAAATAACAACAGGAATTTTAGCTAAGGCAAAGCGAAGAATCCGAGTCACAAACATGAAACTATACAGGTTTGACCACTGTAGTTGATTGGTATCAAGGGGCATTTTGGCGATGTGCACTTTCTTAATTAGGGTCAGAGGTATCGTCCTGTCGACACCTAGTTATCTAACAGGAATCATGATTAGTAATGACATCCTGATTGGGATTAGCGTATCAAATATCCAACATGAGCTAGTTGTCACGTGACTAAAGCTTGGTATCGGAACTTGCAGTGCACTAGCACAAACTCAGTTAAGCTTAATACTCAAAGATATCTTTATAGTGGAAATATTGATATTGACCTTATTCTGCGCACTCTTCTATCTACATCTTGAGGGGATTGTTGGACACTATTTATGCTTGAGAATCCCATCCACGCAATCTCAAATAGAAGATTCTCGACACAGAGCTGTAAAGTTGATTCGTAGATTCAATCTTGTGACTTCAATTCTCGAATTTTCCTTGTATCAATGTTGTAGGCTTTCCTTGATTAGGTTTAGCTTACCTAATCCTCGACACTTGGAGAATTTTTCGCGTACGTGTCTCTGGGGATGTTGGGTGGCATATTGCCTCCACCAGGCGGTTCGTGTTGCTTTTGGTCGTAGTAATCTCTCGAGAGGCCTGAGATACCTCTTTCTGCGTCTTTTCCACGTGTAATTCGACCTTCGCGAGCCGCTGCGCTAGTTGCTCATTCGTAGGCGTATTCTTCACCCTTCGAGCCAGGTATAAGAACGCGTCAACCACGGAAGTCGAGAGCTCACGGGGCATGCCAATCTCCAGTGCTTCTTGGTGCTTCTTCAGTGCCTCGAGATCTTTGATGGCTGCAGCTACGTATGCGCGTATATCAGGGTCATCTGCAAACCGTGGTTCTGGCCACGGAGTGCCCTTTTTACCTCTTTTCGGACCCATGCTTCAACCACGTCGATTGAGCAGGCGAAAGTTGGTAAATAGACTGTCAAGGAGGTCTATTTTCACTGAGATTCTTTCCAGCAGTACTTTTTACCTGCGTGGGTGCGTTTTCATAGGTGCGCGAGGTGCTACACCAGGAGAAGATTTATATGTTTGAGGATGGTTTCAGCTCCACCTCGACTGTTGGAGCTATTCGGAGAAGGGAGATCTAGTATAAGTTATATGTCTATAAAGATAGCAGATGCTCCAGGATAACGGAAAATAGGTTTCAGTACATTGACTTTCCATACCCTACCTTGTGTGCTTTATCTTCAGTGATCCCTCGCGAATGTAATTATACATATCCCTCGTAACGTTGTTACAGGAGCCTCCAGACAGATCCATACCCCCCCTGAGGGTCACTAAAGTATTAAAGACGCAAGGCATTGTACCTCTATTAGCCGCTGCAATCTCTATGATTATTAGAATTAATACATACACAGAAGTAGACCTTATTGATATTAAATTGGTTAAAGAACTACGCCTCAAACCCTACAGGAATTAAAATCTCCCAATCCTCTAAGCAATTGATAGACAGACTTTCCCAACCTATAGCGCTTACAACGTCTGCCTCAAGCTTACAGATAAAAATGGCGTCCAAAGAGAAACCCGACATCTGTGACGGTCAGTAATGAGGTTATTCGCAGAGTTCGGTTTACGTAGTCACATGCTAGGGTTACGTAGGGGGGTTCGTGATTCTGTCACGTGATCACGACAATACATCTTGTTTGCAGATAGCCTCACATTCCTAGCTTTTTCTTTCTTTCTCCATGTTTGGTATTCTTGTACTTAGCTTCCAATATGACTATTGAATGAGCCCTTACATTATACTAAACATCCTCTTTATTTATTAATACCTTGACAGCTGTACAGCAACGTTGTTATCATTAACAACACCGCCTCAAGCAACAAGGTCCCTTTATCCCAATTCTTAAGATTTCGAAAACCGAACAGAACCGAACCGATAGAATAGAACTCGCGATGCCTTGTGTCAGCCAGCTGCCTGAAGAGGTACTCGCCAACTTACGAGAGGACCGTCTCCTTTCGTACATGGAAGAATTCGACAAGGCAGATCCAGAAGCCATTTTCGAGAAAACTTACACAGAAGAAGAATTCGTCAAAGAGGCAGAGGAGAATCCTTACTATCTCTTTGCCAAGGTCCTCCGTCGACAACAGCACTTGCTCCAACTGTATGAGGAAGCTGCTGCCGCTCACAATGAGATGGTTGAGAATCTTGATGCTCCAGGTGGAGTGGATACCAATCAGAATCAGAATCAGAAAGAAGAACTTACCCGACTTAAGAAAGAACTGAAAGAGGCTCGTCGCGAGGCCAAGCAAAATACCGACGATATTGTTAAACTGCAAGAAGAACGTGACCAGTACATACAAGCTTTTGCCAAGTTACACCTCCAAACTAGTGGTTGGGGTGATAGTGAGGGAGGTATACCAAGATCAACCTTCACGCCAAAATCCATCAAGTTGCCCAAGGGAGCGAAGCTCTCAGACAGTGTCGATCCAACCTTTGAATCTTGGTTGATTGACGTGGAAGGGACCCTAGAGAGCAACGCGGATCACTACCCAAATGTGAAGGATCGAATTCTTTTTGTGAAGAAAATGTGTGAGGGTCAGGCAGCTAAGCATTTAATGCCCCGTCTTCGCAAGAACTCTTCTCATCCCTTCATGGATGCTGACGACATGTTTGACCACTTGAAGACCATTTTTGAAGATGTTAATTAAGTCACCAATGCAAAAGCTAGATACCGTGCTCTCTAGATGACGAGCAAGATGAAATTCCAGGATTTCCTAACAGAATTCACTCACGAAGCTCAAGAATCCGAGACCGACATTCGATCTTGGAAGGAAGACCTTTACAGCAAGCTGAGCTTTGAGCTGCAGTGTAAGTTGACTGATAAAGTAGATGACCCGGACCTTGACTGGACTGGTTTTGTGAGAAAAGTTATAAAGACAGCAAATCATCTTGAAGCAATTTCTACTGTTGAGAGCAAAGTACGTCGTCGCGGTATGAATACGAATTCGAGTGCTAGTTCCAACGCTAGTAAATCTATTCGCTTAACCCCTGCTCCCTCTGCTGCCAGTAGCAGTTCGTCGAACAAGGATAATAAGAAAGGTGAATGGGTGGATGATGCAGCTCATGCTCTGCTTATGAAAGAGGGCAAATGCTTCAAATGTCGCCAAACTGGTCACATTGGTCGAGATTATCCTAATAATGATAAGCCAGCTGCAAAGAAGAGTTCGGACCTCAAGAAGCTAGAAAAGGTAGATGAAGCGAGCTCAGCTAACTCTAATTCGGAATCGGAAAACGAGTAAGCCCAGGGAAAGTCTCCTTCTTAGGCTCAATAGAAGTCAGCATGTGTGATATAGATCTCAGTCAATTGATTGGACGTGAAAAGGATAGTTTCACAATACCAATTCAAATAGCGAAGAATACACATTTAATTACTACACAGGCACTTGCTGATACTGGAGCGAATAGACTAGCATTTATAGATACCAATTTCGCCATATTATTAAGCAGATTCCTCAAGGTGAGGACTCATCGGTTAGAAAACAAATGTGCTGTAAGAGAATACAATAGTAAGACTGCGACCCCGATTACTCATGCCATCATATTCATGCTTATTGTGGATGGACGTCGCCAGCTAGACGTGCCATTCCTTATCGTTAATTTAGGCAAGCATGATGTGATCCTAGGGAGGATGTGGTTTGCAAAGCACAACATTCTTGTAGACTGTGCAAAGAAGCGACTGTTATGGCCAGAGGAAGTCTCTTTAAAGGATGAGATTGTTACCAAGGGATATATGCGATTGCCTTAGCAGATTCTGAAGCGACAGAATAAAATCAATCCTGATTATTAAAAAGATGCTGACCGACAAGACCAGGCTTTCGAGAAGCAACAGCTAAGACCTGTTCCCGTGGAATATAGCCAATCATACAAGAAGAGCTATGAGGCTACACTCCTAAGGATGAACTAATTTATTAAGAAATCAATGAAGGATCAGGAGAATCTGCCTCTATTTCCAATTCAAAGAAATCCTGAAGCTTGTAAGTTAGTGGAACTTGACATCGCCATGATTAGGGGAAACGGTTTCCATCGCTTAGTACAGTAGAAGAAGAGTCAAATCTTCTTTACCAGCTTGTATGAGATCGATAAGATCGTTGAGGATAAAAAGACCCTAGAGGAAAAACTAGAAGAAGAGGAAATCAGGAAAAAGCTACTAGCTTACCTGAAAGACTTTGTGGATGTCTTCTCCAAGCATGAATCGGACAAGTTGCCTCCGCACCAGCCTTATAATCATAAAATTGAGTTGGAAAAGCCGAACGAGTTGAGTTACAACCCTCTCTATAAGATGTCGAGAGATGAACTGGAAGCAGCGCAAGAGTATATTATCGACAACCTGAATAAAGGATTCCTTGAGCCTAGTAGCTCACCATTTGCAGCACCAATTATCATGGCATCGAAGCCGGGAGGAGGATTGCGTTTCTGTGTTGACTACCGCAAGCTCAACCAATTGACTAAGAAGGACCAGTATCCTTTACCACTGATCGATGAGGTTTTTGAGCGTCTGAGTCGAGCACGCATCTTCACGAAGCTTGACATTAGACAAGGTTTCCATAGGATTCGTATGGATCCAGACTCTGAGGAATACACTACTTTTTGGTGTCGATATGATACCTACAAGTATAAGGTCATGCCCTTCGGATTGACCAATAGTCCTGCGACTTTCCAGCGATTCGTGAATAACATCTTTATGGATTACCTTGATAGATTTCTGATTGCTTTTGTGGACGATCTGCTCATCTATAGTGAGAACATGGTAGAGCATCAGATTCACGTAAAAATGGTGTTGGAACGACTCCGAGCCACTAGATTACAAGCAGCAATTCACAAGTGCAAATTCAGTGTGGAACGAACAAAGTTCCTAGGTTTCATTGTGACTAAGGATGGCATTGAGGTTAATCAGGAAAAGATCAAGGCTATCACTGAGTGGAAGGCTCCCACTACTATTTTTGGCATTTGGTCTTTCTTAGGATTCTATGGTTTTTATCAGAAGTTCATACGAGGGTATAGTCGAATAGCAAAGCTATTGAATTACCTAACACGGCAGGATGTGCCATTTAAATGGACAATTAAGTGTCAAGAAGCTTTTAATAAACTAAAAAGATGCCTTGCCAGTGCACCTGTGTTATGTCACTATCAGCCCGAGTTGCCTTCTCAATTGGAAACTAATGCTTCAGATGGAGTTGTCGCTGCAGTGTTCTCTCAATTACAAGAGGATGGTCACTGGCACTTAGTTGCATACTTCTCAAAGACAATGACCGACGCAGAATTCAATTACGACATTTATGATAAGGAGCTCCTAGCAATTGTGTCAGCCCTAAAAGAATGGAGGGCTGAGCTGGTGGGCTTGTAGAGAGGCGAACAATTCAAGATTCTTTCTAATTATATGGCTTTGCAGTACTTCATGACGACAAAGCGCCTTACTACTAGACAAGCTAGGTGATACAAATTGGTAAATCAATATCACTTTGTTATTAAGCACCGTCCAGGAAAGGAGAACACGCTGGCGGATGCATTAACTTGGAGGGAAAGCACTCCAGTTGACCGCAAGAAGGGGTGTATGCAGCTCATGTTGCCAAAGAAGTGCCTAGGGCCTTCGCCAGTAAAAGATTCGTTAAGTGTGGTTGAAGAGGAAGAAGGCGGGGAAGATAATAATGAGCCTCCTAATTAGGGGAGTGTCGAGCTATCACCAATGGACACTGCCATAGATGTTATTTCCAGAGTCATCACCGCGAACACAAGGAGCCCTGAATATAAGCAATTCCGAGAGCTTGCGAGAACGGGAGACGAGAACTGGACATTGCACGAAAACGTCTTGTTATTCAAAGATCAGGTATTTATTCCAGATGAGGGGGATCTTCGAGCTTGGTTACTAGATGAAATCCATTGTCAACTGTCAACAGCTCACCCAGGCAAGAACAAGATGAAGCAATTAGTTTGAGCACGTTACTATTGGATTACCTGGAACAAAGATGTGGAGCGATATGTCGACAACTATATAACATACAAGCACACAAACACAAGAAGAGACTTACCGCCAGGACTATTGAATCCATTGCCAATCCCTAGCAGACCGTGGCAGCATATCTCCATGGATTTTATGACCTATCCTCCTGACAAGATAGGCTGCGACACGGTGTTCGTGGTGGTTGATTGGTTTGGCAAGACTCCAATATCTATACCGTGCAGTAAGAACGTTGATGCAAGAGAGTTGGCTAGACTCTGGATAAAGTACGTGTACGCTCGTACAGGATTACTGGACTCTATTGTGTCGGATCGTGGTCCCCAGTTCATGTTGGAATTCTGGAACGAGGTATGCTGTATATTAGGAATCAAGATTTCATTATCTATAGCGGATCATGCCCAGACCGATGGGCAGACGGAGATCGCAAATCAGTATTTGTCCCAACGCCTGAGACCATATGTCAACCACTTTCAAGATGATTGGTCGGAGTGGTTACCAATTATTAATTTTGCGGCTGCTTCATTGCCTCAAGATTCCACAGGGTTGTCACCATTTATAATCGAAAAGGGGTTTCAACCAAGGATGTCGTTCGACTGGAGGAAACCAGATCCACCAAGGAAGTTCACTGCCAACGAGAAGAATGCGCGCGTGTGGGTGAAGCAATTTCAAGAGATTTGGGACTTTGCTCGTGGTAATCTAGAGATAGCGCAACAGCGTTAAAAGAAGCAAGCTGACAAGCACCGACAAGAGGTTGACTTTGACGTGGGAGATAAAGTTATAGTATCAACGAAAGGATGGAGAATAGATCGTCCAAGTCGGAAGCTCGCAGACCAAGCTGCAGGTCCCTACAAGATAATCGAAAAAGTCGGCCAGGCCTATCGATTGAAGCTAGACGAAGAAATGCAAATTCACGACGTCTTTGCATCAGAAAAATTATGGCGTGTGTCATCGACCGAGCCATTGAGGGGTCAGATTTTGGAAAGAGCGAAGCTGGTGGAGATTAATGATCAGCAGGAGTAGGAGGTGAAGAAAATCCTTGATTCAAAGATGAGATGGAATAAGCTTCATTATCAGTGAAGTAGCTAGGCTATAATCCCGATCCAAGGTGGTATTTAGCGGAGAATTTTAAGAACACACCGCGTCAATTGAAGTCATTCCACGATCGATATCCAGAGAAGCCGGGACCCCCGGTGAACTTGCAACGATGGATTAAGGCAGCAGAGAGGGACAAATTTGTTGACGATGACAGAAACGATAACACGATAGAGGAGTTGGAACCGAGCGCTTGGGGGCAAGCGTCTTACAGAGGGGGGAGTAATGTAACGGTTAGTAATGAGGTTATTCGCAGAGTTCAGTTTACGTAGTCACATGCTAGGGTTACGTAGGGGGGTTCGTGATTCTGTCACGTGATCACGACAATACATCTTGTTTGCAGATAGCCTCACATTCCTAGCTTTTTCTTTCTTTCTCCATGTTTGGTATTCTTGTACTTAGCTTCCAATATGACTATTGAATGAGCCCTTACAACATCCATATATCGCTATTGATCGAGATCTTAACGACTCCCAGATTCTTCTTGATATGCCGGCTCTCGAAGACATGAGAATCCTAGTTGATTACGAACACTATGAATGGCATTATAAACTTAGCAAGGAGAATATTCAAGTTGTTAGTACAAAGCGGTTCCTCAAACAATGTATAAAAGCTAACGTCTACGCCCTTATTGAAATTAATCACCTTATCAATCTAAAGTGGTGGGAAGCGTGCGAGCCACGAACCACGGCAGTTAAATTGAAACACACACACACCCCTTCGCTCTTTCACACACACGCCACGTTGTCAATATACGTAGTAATAGTAAATTAAAGATACAGCCACATCCCGACGGCTCCGTATAAGATTTCATGAATCTGGGGACCTCAAAGCCAGCCCACTTGGCCTTTTGTCCCTAGGCACACTGACTAGTCGAATTGAGCGCCACTGATAACTAAAAAATCCGATGTTTGCACCAGCATTCTGTCTATCCTCCTAGCAGAGAGAAACTGTCTCTCATCTCTGGTTATGTGATCTCGGAGATATTCAACAACGCCATACATTTGTGAGAGCTGTACATTCGTAAGGACTGTACATTTGTAGGGACTGTGCATTTGTAGGGACTGTACATTTGTAGGGGATGTTGCTTGCTCATCGTCACATGTAGAACTAACAATAGAGTCTACCTAGCTACCTACATAGTCGTAATCGTTGGAATGGAGAGAGTATCTCGCTGAAACTTAAATTTAATTCGACTGTATACTATAAATAAAGCCACAACATAAAGCCAGCATCTTTCAGTGCTGGTACTCTGCGCTACTATATGGTAGTCGATGTAGTTGTTAGACATGTACCAGCAACACACTTGTCTAGGCACTGTATCAGACCATCTGCTATTAGCGACGAGGAAAATACGGGAATAGGACGACAGCTATACGGGGAACTGCCGGAATGATACCAAGCCAGCTAAGGTTTGAACATACATATTGTCCACATCCACCGCAATTATATTTGTTTGTATTGATATCAACACATAGGTAGTTACAGCAAGTCAAGCGAGGCTCACACTAGTTGGATATTAGCTCAATAAAACACAAATAGAGGCAAGTACAACTCACACTCTTCAATGGTGCGAAACAGAGCAGGGATACTGTTCTGGTACTATCCATAGTTCTGGTTGCAATGCTGCTATCTATGGGATTGGCGTTCACTTGTCTCAAAATTCCTGTTTCATGTAAGAGAAATGGTTTGAAAGTGACCTTTTTCCAGACTCACCATAGATTAGAAGCGTGAGAAGCATGCTTTTAGCCATATCAAACAAAAAAGTTGGGGCAGCCGGGAGAAGAACAAGCCCTCTTGCAATCATGGAATAATACCTTTATATGATAGTTATACGATAGGCATAAGATACAGCCCTTTACAATAACTCCAGACAATAACCTATATGGCATGCTATTTTGATTATGCGGTAACCCAGGCCCTTGTGATATTGAGGATATGCGATGCAACAGTTTTATTGTACAACATTGCGTAAATGAAGCTGAATGTAACAGTTCTATTTTCAGGAAATATCTATAGTACTTACGTAGTTATAGTGTAACGTTTATACCTTCGATAGTGCCTACCCTGTGACCCTGTGAAGTGAGGAGGTACCTAGGTATCATATGATAGACATTTACTCTGCGGCATTGTACCACTCAGGCTAGATAGAAAACTCCCTTCATAAGCTTAGACTATCAAAAATGTAAAATACCTGTGGATATACAAGCACATAACTGTGATAGGTAAACTACCTATCGTACTTAGGTATCAAGCTGTCTAGAAAACAGTTACAGTTTACTATGTGACAATGTAACTAGGTATTACTAAGGCCAGAAGAAATCATGTCTCACAGACATGTGATATCAGGTTGGTGTGATGCCTATTCTGTCTAACCTAGGTACCTAGTTAATATAGTATTTAAACTGAAACTTGGAAGAGTTAACATCCCATAGACTTTTCCACTGTTGATGTCAAGTTAGTGGGCTACGAGACAAGATTAATGTCTGATAGCATGTCATTGGGGCTTTGGCATACCTACAATTATTTCCATTATAGTAGAATCTTGAATCGAATGTCTATATTACTATGACATGAAGTAAAAGCAGAGGAAATGCTCGTATAATCAATATCGACATTTTATAATGTGTGTGTGTCAAGTCATACTTGGTCATCTAGAGATCCATGTGTTCCTATACATACTGAGCCAAGCTTGTACTACTTCTATGTGATACAAAGTGCTCGGAGATTTCTCTAAGATATAATTGATGAATGAATGCGTATAGAGTTTAGACAGAGACTATGTGCCTATCAGTCCTATAAGAAACTATATAAACCGCATTAATGATGTACAATTATCAGCAGAGGCAAAGCTAGCTAAGTACCTATTTTGCAATATGGATCTACTATGGTTCTACTTCTTCGCTCATCTCTCTTCAGCTGTTGTCATAAAGTATGACTGGCATATCGGATGGGGCATAGCTAATCCAGATGGAAACCAAACACGGTCAGTATAGTGACTGACTGACTATGTTTGCATACTTATCCCAGATTCTAGTCCCGTCATCGCTGTCAATGGCGTATGGCCTGCACCTATGATTAGGGGAAACGTCAACGATACAGTTGTTGTCACAGTTCATAATAACCTTGGAAACCAGTCCTTGTCTATTCATTGGCACGGTCTTCATATGGTTGGCAATAATAAAGATGATGGCATGCCAGGAGTGACACAGTGTCCACTCGCCCCAGGCACTTCATATACATACACTGTTCATGTATAAATTCTATACCCTGCCAAGAATCATTAAATAATTTGAGTCCTGAACATTATCTGCAGCTCGATGAGCCAGGAACATATTGGTACCATAGTAAGTATTGTCCCATCCCCTATCTGGATCATAGTTAACATGATTATATGCCATTCTCCGAGTCAATATGTCGATGGTATACGTGGTCCTATCCTTGTCAACGACCCTCTGTCGCCGTATGCTGGTCAAATCGATGGTGAATTGGTTGTTACTCTGTCTGATTGGTACCACGGTAAGTTCCCACACATCTAGGATCTTTTGACTGGATACTGAGCAAATAATAGAACAAGGGGCATCTCTACAAGTATACTATTTATGTATGGCTTTTCCGGGAATTAAAATTTCCAAGTATATGTATGCTTACAAGAAGGGACAACAGCTTTACCAGGGAACCCAAATGCTCTTGAGCCTATTCCCATGTCTGCTTTGATGAATGATCAGTTGTGGCCAACGTTCTCTGTTCTACCTAACAAAACTTACTTCGTAAGGGTCCTCAATATTGCAGGCTATGCACAATTCTATTTCCACATTGACGGTCACAATATGACCATCATCCAAGCGGACGGGGTTTATACGGATCCTCAGCAGGTTCAGGATCTCTATCTTGCCACTGGCCAACGATACGGAGTCTTGCTACATACACTACCAACTGCAAATCAGAACTATGCGATTTTGGGGGCCATGGACATCGCAGGCTTCCCTCGATCTGCACCACCGCCAGCTAACCCAAATGTGACGGGGGTATTAGTATACGACCGTACATCATCATCCATTACCTCCTCAGCCTTACTTATGTGCTAACTTTTATAGCATTTCTGTCCATTCCTTCAACTCCAGTGGTTCAACAGTTCAGCACCTTCGACGACTTCTGTCTAAATCCTTTTGATAAAATACCTCTTCTCTATCCTCCTAACAAAGAAATCGTATTGAACTTGAGTACATTCTCTCAGACAGTCCCACTAAACGAACAGAATCGGTAAGAATGAGCTCTGGTTGTCCTTTTCGAAGCGATTGCCTTTTACTAACCAAATCACAGTGGTGGCTTCAACAATATCACATACATTACACAGAGGGTCCCATCGCTGTACACTGCCCTTTCCGGGGGACTGTACGCTTTAAACCCAATGTTAGTTTAGCCTTCTCCCCTTTGGAAGCCAATTGAGAGCTTAACAGAAAATCCAGTGTGTATGGTAACCATTCCAATCCATTTGTCCTCAGCCTCGGCGACTTCGTGGAAACAACGATATACAACTACGGTAGGTAAAACCCTCAACCCTGGCACGAATTGGGCTAAATCTCTATTGTAGATACTGGACTACATCCAATACACACTCATGGTCACACTGTTCAGCTCGTGGCTCGTACAGGCAGCGAATGTAACTACCGATCAATACCGATGAGACGCGACACATGGATGGAGCCCCGTTGGAATAGTTCGGATCCTAACCATCCCTCCACTGTCGTCCGTTTCATAGCAGATAACCCTGGCATCTGGTTTTTCCATTGCCACATGGAGTGGCATTTGGTTGCTGTAAGGATGTTCAATCGGCGCTCCTGTGTTAATGTATCCCCTAGTCAACAGTAATAAATGCTAACCATTATTGCCACCAGGGAATGGATATCATATTGGTCGAAGACCCGCTGCAAATCCAGACAGGACAACCTGATATACCATTGTCGATGAAGTTGATCTGCTTGGAACAGGGGATCCCTCTAATGGGTAATGCAGCAGGCAACTGGATCAATTTCTTGGATCTGACAGGCGAGGTGAATGTGGCTCCAATGGAGTGCGGGTATGTCATGTTCTATTTTTCTAATTTTCTTTCTATTTGTTTTTCCTCCTATTGAAGGCTTATAATACGCTAGATCCGATTATCCTCCGTGTTAAGATGAGGTTCTTGGGTCCAAAACTCTTATCTACGACTATGAAGACTTAATTGACACTTGTGAAGTACATTTTGGAGTCCTACGATTGGATTTAAAGTATATGTGGGTGCACTAAGGTGCATGTACATACGTACAAAGCAGTAGAGTCAATTTCAATGGGTAATTCTTCGGTTCTTTTTCTCTCTATCTCTCAATGAGGCACCGACGCGGTGTTATATAGTCCTGTTGGAAACCGTACATATATTCGTAGGAGTTTGTGACACAAGTCTGCTAACAAATTATATCTCTCCTCTTCCTATTTCCTGCATCAAGTTCCAAATCTATGTACATATAGATATTTTGGTGAGATGTGTAACAACTAGCAGACTTGGGGTTTCCCACTGTTCCAAGGAATACGACCATGATGTCTCAAGTCGAGTTTCAGGTGCACCAGGTGAAGGTTTATATGTTTGAGGATGGCTTTTGGATTCTATACCTTGTTGGAAATCCGGATCATCTGAAAATACCATTCCGTCCAACAGATATCTAACACCAGGCTTCCAACAAGTCCTTGCTTGTATTGGAATTTTTGGCACTAGTCCGAACGGGGTTAGGCTCTGATAGGAGCGTACAATCTGGGTGAGGAATTGTAGGAATAGCATATTCCCGAAGCATTCAATATGGGAGGAGATAAAAGGGGGGGTAAAAGGAAGTGAGGCAAAGGAGGCAATCCAGAGAACAAGATTGGTAGACTAGCCCTGCTCATGTAATCTGCAGATCAGTCTGCCGGGAAGCACGGCATCAAAGGCGCCTTTGACATCTAGGGTGAGGAGTGAGGCAGTCATGCCTTAATTTAGCGCTTGTTCAATATTATGTGTCAGGCATGTGGTTAGGTCAGTTATAGATCTTAGTGGGAGAGCCCCAAACTGTTGCCTTGCTAATACTTTATGGTATATAGAGGTCCATGCTATACTCCATGCCACCAAGTGCTCAAGTCCTTTGCCCAGGACTGAGAGGAGGGCAATTGGTCTGTATAATCTAGGTGAGGACCAATCAGTCTTCTTTGGTTTCTGGATAATTACTAAAATTGTGTGTTAAAAGCATTTTGGGTAATAACTAATCTTTAGGCACCCTTAGTATAGCATTAGTACCTTATCCTTAATCAAAGGCCATGCCTCTTTAAGTATGCAGATTGGGATTTCATCTATGCCAGGGGCTATGTTTCCTGCCTAAAGTACTGACTTCTCCACCTGTATCATTGATATATCTGGGAAGTAGAGACTAGTAATAGGGACTGCTGGGAAGTCCAACAATATGTCTCCTGCCTCAGCTGAGTTTTGGAGGAGGTTGCAGACTAGTACGTCTTGTTTCTCATATATAGTAACTGCTGGGAAGCTGTTGGGTCTCAGTGGATCCTTTAGTGGAGGGCTTCGGAAGGTGCCTGTAGACTTATGCCATTTACTCATATCAAAGATATCCTTCATTTATATAACCGTAGAGAGCTTATCTCGCCAAAATTATCATTAAGACCATCTAGTTATCCTGCGGAAGTCTGTCTTTGAGCAGAGGCCTGAGTGGTAGTTGTGTAAAGCTTTCTTACAGTCTTCATTCTACCAAGGTTATCCTATGCCTTGTGTTAGGGTTCTCTTAGCAGAGCCTCTATATGCTCCTTAGATTGCAGATATTAGTTTTTTGGCAAGAGCATTAAGGTCTTCTTCTATCATGTTTGAGCTCTCAATACTAGCAAGATTAGAGGTGAGGAGTGAGAGGAAGCAGGTGTGGTCTAGCATGTCAAATCTCAGTTTCTGAGCTGTTTCCTTGTATCTCTGATCCCATGGTATAGTGGTGATTAGTGGTTGATAATCTGAGGTTAAATCTAGGTGGCTCGCTATGCTAGTTTTAGCTCTCGCGAGTGCCAGAGGGCTTGAGGCAAAACTGAGATCTAACACGTTACCTCTTTCATGTGTGGGACAGTCTATGTCAGAGATGAGTACTAGACCCTAGAGGTCCAGCCAGTTAATAAATAGCTCTGCAGAAGGCGTGGGGCTGTGATGTAGCGAGGGCTACCATCTATTGTATAGTAGGTTGAGATTGCCTGCGAGTATCGTTGCTTAAGAGAAATATGCATCTGGTAGGGTTATAAGAGCTTTCGTGGCTTTGCCTGCTCTAATGGAGCCTGCTAGAGCATTATAGATGTTAACTATTAGAGCAGACTTTCCTATAGGCGAAGAAATCTATAGGAAAAGGAGATCCAAGGCCTCTTTGGTATCAGTTGTAAAGGGGCGTAGCTGGAAGGTCCAAATGCTCTTCTTCTTTCGAACATAGGTGAGGACTTGTGGTTGGCCACTTATCGCCCAACTGTCAGTTGGGGAGAGGCATTCATATAATAGGTGTTTTTTCGTAATCTGTCGGCTAAGATCTTTAAATACATATGATTCTTGCATTAGGATAATATCAATATCGCTTATGTATACCAATGTGAGAGCTATTTTATATGCATCTGACGCGTGCCCTACATTTAGCTGTAGGATTTTGAGAGGCGCCTTTTAAGTTAGATAGTAATAAATTATAGCTCCCGTTCAAGAAGGGAGGCGAACCGATTTTGTGATTAAGGGGTTATAAAGCGAACTGCGCGAGCTGTAATTAGAGGATTTTCAGTTAGGGCGCGAGGTGGAGGGGTTACTAAATAGAAAGGAGAGATAATCTCATGGGTTGGAGACTAAGTTAGCATCTCGTCTAGTGCCATAGGTGTTTCTTGTGTGCTAATGGAAAGCTAAGTGCTACATCCTCCTTTAGTTCAAGCTTTTGCGAGGTTAATAGCATAGGATTTCTGGATCTCTGCTTATTAAGCTTTAGTATATTTAGAGTTGCTTTTAGAGTGTAGGAGGCATTCTGGGAAATCAGCTAGATATAGTCCATAGCAGTGTATGCATCTGGAAGGGCACTGATGAGGCTCTAGGACTGTGTAGTAGTTAATATGTCCCTATTCAGTATACTCTAAGGAGCCGCAGAGCCGGCATCAAGAAAGGCGGGCACAGGATTGTACATTATGCTATTTCCAGCATTATGTGCATTAAATAACTATTATTCTCTTAGAGAGGTGACAAGCATTAGTGATAGTGCCAAAAAGATATAGCTGGATAGGCAGTGGTAATTTCATGCCTTTGTGACGGCTCAGTCAATAGATGCCTGATTGATGCCTTGGAGCCTTACACGTGATCCCGCTAATATGTGTCAGATAATCCGGCTTTCAAACGAGGCAGAAAGATCGACTGTTCAATCTTACAGGTCTAAAAGGCACCTTTAGGCATATATCTGGGCACCTAGATTTCAGCCCAATATTTACCCCTCCTGATAGCTCACAAATGACCCCGCCAAAGGTGTCTATAAAGGACCCGGCTTTAAAAACTTGAAAGACAGACACAGAACTCAATACATACAATCTTGCTAGTCACTTCTTTTCTTTGATCCTAGTAAAACACTCTTCAGGATTGGCCTGGAATAAACCGACCAATCCGACAGGGGTGAAGGGTAGAGCTCCGAAATGAATAAATGAATATGATTATTGACCATATTGTTGGATGCGAGGATGCAGTCGAGATCTGGATAACTGACATCACGTGATTTCAATCACGTGATGAAGGCTACACCAGGAATCCCTTACGCGTCGGGGTCAAAGATAGAAAAGACAGACAACTTAAGACTACCCAATTGAACCCATATTCCATGTTAGGAAGCCTATCGTACTAGTACTAGTGCAGATGCACCCACACTGATCAGTCTTGGTTGCAGAACTAAGACAGATTGGCAAGGTATCAGACCCCTGCGCTGTAGCCACCTGTGGTTATAGGTAGTAAGGCCTGACTCCAGGATTTGTGTTGTCTCATCGCGAGGAACCGAATCCACGTGGAAGAGACGGACTTTGCAGCGTCACCTGTGACAAACTAAGTCTGTGCTAAAAGCCTCTCTCCTCTCAGAGCGAGACCCAGAGAGACTGTATTTGGGACAGTTCGTCAAAACGCCGACATTCCATAATACCGCCCTATCGCGAGACCACGCTGTTGACGCGTTCGAAAGTTAACAACACCAAACTAACAAGAAGAGACACCCTGTTGATGAGAATCAGTCACTCAACAGTTATCAGACTAGCCCCGCTATGGAGCTGCCAGACGACAAATTCATGACGGAGATTGGATTTAATAATCAAGCTGGTAAAGATCGAGTCAACATGGCGAATTGGCTCTACGACGCCGTGCCCGGTGACGACGAGAAGAAGTTATCCACGTATACAATTCGGGTCATGTACGAGGCTGCAAGTGGCCTCCAGGTCGACTTTGAGATGTTCCAATGGTTCCATGACTTCTTTGAGGATTGGAAGATTGAGGACTTCAACCGTCTAGATAAGACAACAAGAACCAAGTTGAAGGACTTCCTTTTATGGCGTGGCGTGTACGTTGACCACACGAATAGGAAGACCATCCCAATGGCGTTGATGGAATTATTGGAGATGGAAGACCCTCTTGAATGGCCTGAGAAGGCTCTACAAAAGAGGACTTTCCACCCTCGGTCGAAGATAGCCTCACGACACCATGAACAGACAGCAACCACCTATATCAAGGAGTCAAGGATTGTCAATGATACCCACATGGTGCCATCTATCGAAGAAGAAGACGAGGGTATTCATAAAGAAACACCTTCTAAGGTGCCAAATCAGGTGATTCAAGACCATGTTCAATCGCCATTAAGATCGGTACAAGACATCTCAAGATTTACACCTGAAACAGGTGCAAATGCAATACCAGTCATGACACCAAGTCACAGCCAAGTCAAGATATCCGCGATACCTACCTCTTCAGTGCCACTCCAAGCAAGATCATTGGATCCGTACACCAAGGTGCCACCCGACGAATATGGACGTCAACCTGTTGATTCTCAGTTGGCCATGAAGTTCACCAAAGCATGGGATAAGACGAAGAATTATTCAGGAGAGCTTTACGATATCCTAGATGACAAAGTTCGAATCTTCTTACGACTATGCCGGTTGACAGAAATCCAGTTGAGTCAATGCTGGGCCGTCTTTCCCGAGATGCTTTCTGGCAGAGCAGAAACTTATTACATGCACCACGTCAATCCTGATGCATCATTTGCACAGATGTATTGGGCAATAAAGAGCTACTTTGACACGGAGTCAAATCACGCTCTCTACTACCAGGATTGGACGTCGATCACCCTGGTCGACGTGCGTCGTGAGAACACAGGGAAGACACTGCCAGAAGCAGTAGAAATCTTAGTAGAAAAACTGCATCTATGCCAACGTGCGTTGGGACCGCATTATATGTCCCCTGAACATCTTGTATCAGCCATCATAAGGGCATGTCAAGGATCGCCAGAAATGAGCGAGGTCCTCAGTGAACCAACGACGAAGTTTGAAACACTGGTATCACGACTTCGTGCAAGGGCTGCTATTATGCAAAAGAAGGAAGCAGCTGGTCAATATCTTGCTGAATCTAACAACGTGCCATCAACGCACTTCACCGACAGGAAGTACGTTGGAAAGACCAGTCGAGGGAATCGCCCGCCACCTCAGAGATCGTGGCGACGCCAAAACCGTCAAGATAATGGCTCTCGACAACGACGTGACGGCCGATGTTGGATATGTAATAAACCAGATTGTCGATCTTACAACCACTCAGAGAAGGAACGAAGTGAGGCGAGGGAGCGATTTGACAGGTATCGCCACGCTGAGGGCAAAGCCAATGCCTCGGACAAGACATATCGCGCGTTTCTAATGGACTTCGAAGCCGGTTATAATATCACGTCGGACAGCGAGGACGAGGAAGAAGCCGACGATAATGACGAGGATGAAGCAACAGCGTACTTTATGGTTGGACAACTGCAAGATCAGGCGTTCTTACACTGGATAACGGGCGAGGAGACTGAGCAAGATAACCCCCCTACCATTGCTTCTCAATTCGTGATAGACCGACATGACAGTGAGATTTTCCATGGAATCTTACCTGACACAGGAGCAGCGAGAGTATCGACGGTTGGAAGACGTCAACTCACCGCTTTACAAAAGATCTATCCAGGGATCATGGTCGATGAATCTCGTGCAGGAGAGCACTCAATTCGATTTGGTCAAGGGGATAGCGTTGACTCTGAGGGAGCTGTTACCATAAAGACCCCAATTGGCGATGTCGATTTCCATGTTATGAATACACCGACCCCATTCTTACTTTGCATTGCTGATATGGATCGCCACGAAGCTTATCTTGACAACACCACCAACTGCTTGGTCAAGGGAGACTTGAGAGTGCCAATTGTCCGGAAATGGGGACACCCTTGGTTCTTCCTAGACAATAATCATACACCAGTAACATTCTTAACAGAAGTGGAAATGAGACGCCTTCATCGACGATTTGGTCACCCAAGCGTTGACCGATTGCACAAACTCTTAGAGCAAGCCGGTCATGACGACGTTGACCACAAATCTCTTGCTGAGATCGAGAGGTATTGTCACCACTGCCAAATGAATCGGCAGGCCCCTCGACGATTCAAATTTACGTTGACCGACGATCAAGAATTCAACTTTGAGATCGTCGTTGATGTCATGTATCTGGATGGCGAACCGGTCCTCCACGTCGTCGACTCGGCGACGTCCTTCCAAGCCGCCAAATTCTTGAAATCTCTGTCCGCTAAAGACACTTGGGAAGCAATCCGTATGACATGGATTGACACCTATCTTGGTCCACCAGACGTCATCTCGCACGATGCTGGAACCAACTTTGCCGCTAATGAATTCAAAGTGGAGGCAATGATGATGGGAATTCGATGCCATCAAATGCCAGTTGAAGCACACTCCGGGATTGGAAAGGTTGAACGATATCACGCACCGCTGCGCCGTGCATTTAACATTATTTCAGCAGAGATGGGAAGCACTGTGAGCAAGGATGTGGTTCTGCAAATGGCTGTGAAAGCCATCAACGATACGGCAGGACCAGATGGAATTGTGCCTACCGTCCTAGTTTTTGGGGCATATCCACGCCTAACTTTAGATTCACCACCGTCTGCTCTGACGATTAGACGTGCCCAGGCGATGAAAAAAGCAATGGCCGAATTAAGAAAGGCAGTGGCTGAGAGGAAAGTCAATGACGCGCTAAACACTAGGAACGGTCCGATAATCACAGAGACACTCAACCTCCCCCCGGGGGCCGATGTCAAAGTTTGGCGAGAAGGCAAGGGTTGGACAGGCCCACATAAACTCATCTCAGTAAATGGTCATGACGTGACAGTCGATCTTGGTAATGGTGCTGTCGCTTTCCGGGCAACGTCAGTCCAGCAGTATCTCCGAGATCAAAGAGAGACAGATGATGGAATCCACGTCCCTGAACCACCCGTGACACCTCCACCTCCACGACGTCGAGGACGACCACGAGGATCCAAGAACAAGCAAAAAGCGGATGTCAACGTATACCTATCGAAGAAAGAGAAGGGCGACCTTGAACTCGCGCTCAAATTGAGACGAGAAGGAAAGATTGTGACAGAAGGTGCCCCATTCGAACTTTCAAGCGTTGCAGAGATCGATGGCCTGATTGCAAACGGGACGTTCAAAATCGTCCACCGAGACGATGTGAACCTCAGAGATCTCCGCATTTTCAACTCCCGCTTGGTTAATGAGATCAAGGGGAAGAATGAGATCCCATATGAGAAATCACGCCTAGTCATCCAAGGATATAATGACGCTGGGAAAGCTGGGATCCTGACCCAAGCGCCAACAATTCAACGGGCCAGCCAGAGGCTGTTAATATCCCTTATCCCCACTTTGCTGAGTATGGATATGGTTGTGGAGATCCGTGATATCACACAAGCGTACACACAGGCCAAGACAAAGTTGCAACGTATTATCGTTGCCAACCTGCCCAAAGAAATGAGGGGTAAATATCCACTAGACTCACTACTGTTGGTAGAAGGAGCTTTGTATGGCATTCCCGAAGCTGGCGTTCATTGGTTTGGCACCTACCACGAGCATCATAAGGTGAAAATGGACATGGAGACTTCTACGTACGATCCATGTCTACTCGTGACAAAACCAGGCGCTGAGAGCTTCGGCCTGGTGGGCATGCAGACTGATGACACACTCATCATCGCAACAGAAAAGTTTGCCAGGGGTGAGGAGCGAGCACTACAGGAAGCGGGATTCAAAGCCAAACCCAAAACCCAATTGTCGCAGGATACTCCTTTGGAATTCAATGGCGCAAGGATTATTTTAGAGCAGGACAACGTCTTCATGCGGCAAAAAGGACAAGCGACAAAGATAGAGCCGGTTGGAACAACAGATCGCGCGCAGAAGTACATTGAGCAACGAGCACGAGGGGCTTACCTCGCGTCTATCTGCCAACCAGAGGCTTCTTATGATCTCGCCGTCGCGGCCCAGCTGCAGGAGAAGGATCGATCCGAAGACGACTATTTGGCATTGAATAAACGCCTTATATGGCAAGCCGAGAATCCCGAACGAGGTCTTAGATTCATCCCCCTCGATTTGACAAAGGCAAAGATCATGATCTTTACAGATGGATCCTTCGCGAATAACCGAGATTTGACTTCCCAGATTGGTTTTCTAATCGCTATGGTCAACGAAGAATTTTCTGAGGAAGGACGCTTTATTGCCACCGGTAACATAATCCATTGGGCTTCGTCAAAGTGCAAGCGTGTAACCCGGAGCGTTCTCGCCTCGGAGATCTATGGGTTAACAACTGGATTTGACCATGGAATTACATTGGCAAGTACCATCAAGATGATCACGGACCGCCTCAATTTACCTACAATCCCAGTTGTGGTTTGCACCGATAGCTACTCGCTATATGAGTGCCTCGTCAAGTTAGGAACCACAAAGGAAAAGCGCCTCATGATCGACCTTATGGCGCTCCGTCAGTCATACGAGAAACGGGAAATAGATGAAATCCGCTGGATCCATGGAGACGATAATCCCGCGGATGCTTTCACAAAGGCGAACCCAAATGGGGCCCTATGGGACTTCATTGACAAGAATAAGTTGACGATTCGTGTGGAAGGATTTGTGGAAAGGACCAAGCAGGATTAGGACAAGGTTGACGATTGTTGACAGGGAGCCTGATTATTGGGATTTGCATGCTTTTATGAGAGTTGGGAGCTCGACTGCAATTCCATTTGTAAAAGAGATCCAGTGTTGGATGCGAGGATGCAGTCGAGATCTGGATAACTGACATCACGTGATTTCAATCACGTGATGAAGGCTACACCAGGAATCCCTTACGCGTCGGGGTCAAAGATAGAAAAGACAGACAACTTAAGACTACCCAATTGAACCCATATTCCATGTTAGGAAGCCTATCGTACTAGTACTAGTGCAGATGCACCCACACATATTCATATTCATGACTTATGAATATGATTAAAATGAATATTATTCATATGAATATGGACCATATTCATATTCATATTCATATTCATGAATATTTCCGGGTGGACTATTTTTCCGCGCCGGCAAACAGCCGTGCCCTACATAGATACATATTAACCACAACAGAATCAGCAAATTTGATGCGAGCTTCTTCAGTTTATCTTATATTAGCCATAAGGGTACTAATCACTCTTAAGTATGGATATAGTACTAGTAGTATGATGTAACAACGTTACAAGGGATACGTATAGGGATTCAAGAGGGATCACAAGAATTGAGTATACAAGGTAGGGTATGGAATGTCAATGTACTGAAACCTATCTTTTGCTATCCTGGAGCATCTGCCATCTTTATAGATATACAATGTGTACCAGATCTCCCTTCTCTGAATAGCTCCAGTAGTCAAGGTGCAGTCCGAGGGAGCTGAAACCATCCTCGAACATATAAGCCTTCACCTGGTGTAGCTGAAACTCAACTTGAGACGTATTGGGCGCATTTCTTGGAATAGTTAGACCCTAAAGCCTGCTGGTTGTTACATATGAGGTCCTTTTCTTAAAATAACGAGAATCTTGGCTCAAGGAGAAGATATATATATGAAGTTCTCAAGTTCAATCATTAATTCAGTGCATGGCCTATATAATCATGGTGTGTAGTTTAGATAGAGCATTCTAGGAAACGCTTTCTTACTTTGCAAGCGGCAAGTCTATTTGAAATTCTCTAGAATGATTCCTCCACCCATTTGTCACGTATAACACGTATAACTAGTACTATTACATTTCATGTATTCAACTTTAACATAATGTTTACCTTTTTTGTTTACATCATAGCTAGGAATGGATTAGACTAAGTAGCTACGTGACGGACAAAGCTAAATATTGTTTAGTATATAAATTGGGGGAATTAGGCTCTTCCAGATTCCTAATTCTCTTTTCCAAATATCTATCTCCAAGTATTTCACTTGATATTCCTTCTTGTTCCTTATTTATTACAGAGCTTTGTTTATACCCTCTTCTCATGGCTTTTTCTCATGATTCATCTCCTTAAATAACTTGAAAGAGACCTCGTCGTGATTATAATGCCTTGAATAATGGCATAGTTTCTGACGCTTTTCCATGGCGCGATGAAGCAGATACTCTTGACTCTTCCTCCCCTAAATCTCTACCTTCTGATATGTCTACTCTATCTAATAAGCCTGTGCCTGCACCTCACCAAAATATATCTTCCAACAAACTGAGTTTGGTACCATCTGAATTAGCTTCACAAGGATTGAAGTCTCCTCAATAGAATTCAGACAATTCTTCTCAATTGGACTAAGAGAGTGAGTTCGACGAGACTCCAACAAAAAAAAGAAAGAGATTACGTACTAGCTAGACTGCCAACTATTTTGATGCTATAGGCCTTGAGACTACATGGTGTCCTAAAGGAGGCCGTCACAGAAATAATAGACTTCTTTTGTGTAAGCGATGTAATTAGTCATTAAAGGACTCTACTCAATAGGGTGCTACGACCAATTTAGCTACACACCTTTACAAAGAACACTATATTAAACAGAACACAATTATACCTCCAGCTGGGCCTCTTAATATGTTCATAGAACCAGCTAAGTCTGGACTTGATCCCATGCAGGCTCTTCTTCGCTAGGTAATTAAAACATAGCAGCCTTTTACAGTTATTGAACATCCTACATGGAAAGAACTCCTTAAGAGTCTAAATGCCAACTGTCCTATCAAAACTACAGATACTCTTCAAAATTGAGTTCAGAGTGAATATTTGAGTTGGAGGAACCAGTTAAAGCAGGACTTAGCTGATACCTGCTAATCGATTTCACTTTCACTTGACATCTAGATGTCAGATAACCAGATATCATTTCTTACTATTGTCAGCCATTGGCTTACTCCGGAGTTTAAACTTTAAGAAGATCTTCTTGAGTTTAAAGAGATTAATGGATTGCACTCTAGTGAAAATCTGTCTACAATTGTTAAAAGTATACTTAAAGTGTTTTAAATCGAACATAAGCTTCTAATAATCACTAGAGATAATGCTGGAAATAACCTAACACTCTACAATTATCTTCATGCAGACCTGTTAAAAGATTTTGACAAGGAAGATAGTCTATTCCACATGAAATCACTTATATAGTTCTGGGGTTAGAATAGCTTCATTAGATGTCTTGCATATATACTGAATCTTATCTGTAAGGATATTCTAGTATCCTTAAAGACCGGTACAGTCCGTGATGCACATGTTATACTTGATAAGATGCTATCATAGAAGAATCATTCACCTAAAATACTAATTTCAACGAAAGGTGCTATTGTTAAGATCCATCTTTTGGCCTTATAGATTAGTAATAGCTCCCAGCAAAGGCAGGCATGGAAGAATATCTCTCCCTACAAGCAAATTAATTATGATATTGATACTCACTAGAATTCAACATACAATATAATCTCTGAAGCTCTTCGACTTCAAAAAGAAGTTACTCAATTTATTCGTGAACATCTAGATATTCAAGAAATGTAACCAACAGATAGTGACTAGTCAACACTAAGACAAATTCAGAAGGTCCTAAAGCCATTCTGGGATCATACTAACTCTGTCTCAAAACATTGCCCAAGCATCACTGAAAGCTTCCCAATATACTGGAGTCTTAATAATATTCTTGATGATATTAAAAATAATGAAGGCAACTTTTAAGAGATTACTAAGGAGGTTTAAAATGCTGTTGAAGGAGGAATCTAGAAAATGGATAAATTTACCAAGAAGATGGATTCCAATATTATCTATTATGTGGCTGCCATTCTTAATCCACGGGTTAAGACCTCCTTCATCCAAGCTCAAATGAGCAAGTCTGATGCAGATGTGATTGTTTCTAATATACGTGAATATCTTAAGAAACAATATCCTGCAAGTCCTATCTCTTCCTCTAGCGTAGAGCGTCCACCAGGTATGCCAGGGACATTATAGAAAAAGCTCAAAAAAATCTAGCCTCTACAATCTACAGACATAATATCAGACATTGATTGGTACCTAGATTCAAGCCCTGAGATGTGGTCTCATAGTATGATAGAAGATGGGGATCCTAACTAGATATTGAAATAGTGGAAAGCAAATGCCTTTAACTACCCCCTAATATCGAAAGCTGTACAAGACTATCTTCCTATTCCGTCTGCTGAAGTAGGCGTTGAGAGATTATTTAGTAATGTATGAGATGTTCTGGGTATTCAGAGACACTGCTTGAATTCTGAGATGTTTAGATAGCTGATGTTCCTTAAGGGACAATATGGTAAAGAACGCCGGGACTCGGCATAAAAATGTTTAGGATTTAGGAAACGGGGTTTTCATCGAATTTTAGTAAGCTTGCTGTTTGTATATAGTTTTTCTGTAAGTAACTATTCAAAATTAATCTTAGGAGCGAGTTCAAGATTCAGCTGCCTCCCTCATCTTTTGTAGATATTCATGAATATTCATATATTCATAAATTTAGTGAATATGAATACGGGTCATATTCATATTCATTTAATTCATATTCATATTATTCATATTCGCAAATATTCATGAATATGAATATTATTCATATTCGTTTCGGAGCTCTAGTGAAGGGGGTAAGGAATTTGGGGTGGGGGAAGGGGAAGGGGAAGGGGAAGGGGAAGGGGAAGGGGACAGGGCAGGTAGAATAGAGGTCGTTGAGATACCGCTGATATAGGCGTTGAAATGTTGTTGGGCTACTAAGGCGAGGTCATCGCTTAGAGCGGTAAGGGCTCTCAGTAGGTGAGGGGCTAGGCTGGTAGTTTGACTGTGGTGTTTATTGAGGAATGCAGCTATAGGGCTAAAGATCTTCTATCCTTCAGAAGCTCTTGTTGTGGCTGCAGACGTAGATTCCAGTAGGGCTGTCTGTAGAGGGCCATCTATACCAGGGCCTTTATGCGCCATGGTGTTGCCGGGCGCGTTGAGACGCGTCAAAGGCTGCACTTCTGGTGGCTAGGTGGTAGAGAGGGGTGAGGAGTTTGAGCCTCTGACTGTTTGATATAAATAATTGTAAGGAGTTCGCCTGGCAGTAAGCGTTTTTGAGCCGAACCGTAACGTAATCCACGGCCGAACCGGCCACACGGGCGGCCCGGCCACCCTACCCAAAAAACCGTCTTGTTACCTACCTACCTTTTTCAAACACCCACCATGCCACCAAAACGTACTGAATCTCGTTCAAAATTGCTTAAGCAACAGAGCAAGATCTTATAAGTCCTCCAGTCTATTCAAAAGAGACAAATTAAATCGATTCGCGCAGCTGCAAAGCTATTTAGTCTACCCCGTTCAACACTAGGCGAATGCGCCCAAGGGGTACTACCACGCGTGGATATACGCGCAAACGGTCATAGATTAACCCAATTAGAAGATGATTTGCTTGTTGAATAGATCTTTTCTATGGATTTGCGCGGTGCAGCGCCTAGACCATCTACTGTGCGAGAAATGGCTAATATTCTTCTTGCTGCGCGTGGATTAACTACCCCCTTAACCGTTGGCGTGAATTAGGCATCAACCTTTATTAAGCGTCGCGATGAGCTTCATACATGCTTTTCAAGACAGTATAATTATCAGCGTGCCCTAAATGAAGACCCAAAATCACTGTGAGAGTAGTTTACTAATGTACAATACATAATCGATGAGAATGGTATTCAACTAGAGAATATCTATAACTTTGATGAGACTGGATTCGCGATGGGCCTTATATTAGCATAAAAGGTGGTTATAAGAGCTGAATACTACGGTCGGTGATCAGTTTTACAGTTAGGAAATTGTGAATGGGTTACTACGATTAAAGTAATTTACGCTAATAGCTATTTGCTACTGCCATGCGTAATATTTAAGTGCAAGGTTTATATTGCGGGCTGGTTTGAATTAAACCTACCAAGAGACTAGCAAATTGAGGTTTCAGATAATGGCTAGACTACTAATGAGATTGGCCTTTGCTGGCTACAAAAGCTATTTATACCATCAACGAATTCACGCGTACAAGGTAGATATCGGTTATTAATTCTTGATGGCCACAGTAGCCATCTTATACCTTAGTTTGATTGAACCTGCACAGAAAACAATATTATACTGGTTTATATGCCTATACATTCCTTGCATCTACTACAACCGCTTGATGTTGGGTGTTTTGCTATACTTAAACGCGCATATAGCTGTTTCGTGACTGATCTTGCCTGGAATGCATACAATCATATCAATAAACTCGATTTCCTCGCAGATTACCCTCGGGCACGTATCAAGGCCTTTCAACCCTTAATTATTCAAAATAGCTTTGCTGCTGCGGGCCTCGTTCCATTCAATCCAGAGAGGGTGCTTTCAAAGCTTAATATCTCTCTCCGAATACCAGACTTGGAATAGTAAAATAGCTGCTGCAACAGATTTGGTCGCGCGAGAACACCCAAATGATGTTGAATCCTTCCAAGATCCGGATTGAGATAGGCAACCTTGGTATGCCAGTACCTTGCAACACTGATATAGACTTTTCGATTGTGAAGATCCACCTCTTCTATCGCCATCCGGTAGCGTGCGAAATCGCCCAGGCACTCAATCCACGTTTCCTTTTAGTTTGGGACGCTCCCCAACAGAGGAGTGATGTTTGCATACTCCATGTAAACGAAGGTGTGCATATGTTCAAGCGACGAGGGCAATTTCTTTCGTAGCAGTTTCAAGAACGAATGGATGCCAAATCGCCATATCCTTACCGGCGTAGAGTAGGTTTTGGCTAGTGCTCTTAATGACTCGTCTGCTGCTGGATGATTTGAAGCCAGAAAGAAATCAAAATGCTTATGGAGTAAGGTTCTATGCAAAGCCGTGAGGGCCTGCCATTGCGGCACAGTGAGCTCCTCTGGATTCTCATTTTGTTACTTGACAATGTCAATATATTTCCTCTCTATCATGACTAGACCCGTATAGATAATCCTGACTTGTTTGACTAGTTCTTCTTTAGTGATTGGGTGTGGATGAGGCTGAAGGAACATGCCACTGGTTTGTTCGATGGCCTGCTGTGTGGCGACTGATGATTTGCGTGGCTTTCAATGGCCATCACTCCTTCTAACCATATGATCGGTGCCCAGGGTGTTGACGAAGCCACGTTCAATGACTCTGTGGTTACGGCGTTTATTGGAGATAGTACAGGGTTTGGCGCCAGCAGCTTGGGCAGCACTGTATTGCTGTCGCTCAGTGTTCATGTCATTCTTAGGTTTGTTAGCGTCAACATCGCCGCAATCTTCTGATAATTGTAGACAGTCCAATCAAATACGCAGCCGTATTGGAAGGTCTCGCACATGAACAGGTTACGAAATATCTTACGGATGTAAGAGTAGTCGGGCTTCTCATCCGGAGGCTGCGGGTTTAGTTCAAGTAGATGGCAAATTCGTTTGGCAAGCCGCAACAAAGGACGTCAGCGGGAGTGCCCATCTTCTTCATAATCAGGTCGTATTTCTCTTTCTGAGTAGCAGCCTTCAATCCTTGCCAGGGAAGGGAGCAACGGCAGAAGTAAAAACATCGTAACCTAGGGACTCCATGTCATCAGAACGAGACTGGTCGGCACTCAAGTGAGCTTTGATGCTGGCATAACGAGCAGTACCTTTCAATTTCTTGTCCTCACTGTAATAAATGTGGCGGTGAGACTTGGGGTCACGGTAGTTCTTAGCCAGACCAGAATCAATAACATTAACTTAGTTACCACGATCACCAATTCTCATAACAAAGTTTCGGGCTTGGTATCATGGTGAATAAAGGACTTGGCGTGTATATATTCGATATGAGAAATGAGCTGATCGGCAAGAAGCAAGACAGTCTTCAAAGAGAACTTGTGGTTGCAAAAGTTGAAAACATACTCCAAACTGGGCCCAAGAAGATCGATGACCATAGCGTTGTAGTCACATTCAGTAGCGAACCAATGCACGAAGGGGATGCCGACACCACCAGCCAGGACTTGTAGACGCGAGCTTCATGTCCGAGCAGGGAATGTTTTGATTTGACGCTTTCGATCTTGAGGGCAATTTCTTCTCCTGAAATGATGTTGAGCCTAGTTTCTGATTAGCCTTCTCAATCTTCCCACAGTTGAGAAAACCAAAACGTCATCTTACCTATATAAATGTTACCGAAACCACCACTTCTAATCTTGCCTCCAATGCAGTATTTGCAACCGACACGCTGATCCGCAGTCGTCAGATTGAATGTGAAGCGGTTCTACTTGCAAGTACATATTGATCGGAGACCGAATGAGCGGCCGCAGAATATCCAGTGCAATTCTTAGCATTTTTCGGCAACCAACAGCTATAGACATCAGTAAATCTATCAATTTGATGGTACCAAAAACTTACGGAATAATGAAGTCTTCTTATATAGAGGATCTCGCCCCTGGTATTACACATGGACTACTCAACACGAGCGGATGGCTTCATCGGATGTAGAGGAAATTTCATTGATAATGGCGAATAGATCGACTAGACTTCTAAGCAAATGAACCTGCACAATACTCTCTGTATACCCCGTAAGGACTGGATGTGTTGTGGTAACTGTTGGATTAGCTAAGCTGATCTAACCAATCAGACAGATCGGATCTATCAACCAATCAGAGTGACACACTTAAGAGAAGGATCCACGGAATAGGTGTCGGATTAGTCGGTTTATTCCAGACCAATCCTGAAGAGTGTTTTACTAGGATCAAAGAAAAGAAGTGACTAGCAAGATTGTATGTATTCCGTTCTCTCTCTCTCTGTCTCTGTCTAATACATCATGTTCAATGCCGGGTCCTTTATAGACACTTTTGGCGGGGTCTTTTGTGAGCTATCATGAGGGGTAAACTTTGAGGGCTATATTGAGCCCTGATAAGAAGATGACTCCTTATTTGCTGAAGTGTAGGTAGCTTGATGTGACTGGATGACCTGATCAAATAGCCTATCTTCTACATCGCCGGATATCCCGGTTATCTGACAATAGGGGGTGAAAGACGTCTCCCACCTTGACTGTACTTAGAAGAAAAAGAATGACAACAAGTATCAAGGATTCCATACTTTTGCATGAATTGAGATATACCGCTAAAGATTGTTACGTACAATCCAACAGTAACTCACTGGGTGGCGATGGCTGTTTGAAGGGGTACGAGAACAAAAGGGGAGGGAGTGCTCATCTTAAAAACCAAAAAAACAGCCAGGATTCAGTGCCTCACTGTCTTATTCGCACGATTCACTTCTGTACTGACTTCCTTCTAGAATTAGCGCGATTGGTAGTTTGGTAGCCTTGACCTGGGTGAAAATCCCTTAGTTCTAGCATATACATAGTAGATATGCAATGTAATCGGAGTGATTCGACTGGAAAGCAGCACACTGTAGGCCCTGTGGGCTAGGTAACAAGACTAAGGGTGATTTAGCCCAGCCCACATTTCCGCATGCACCAAGGATAATTTCTAGGTAGTGTTTTCATTTCTACATAACACTCGTTAGAGAAGGCACAATGCAACCTTGAATGATACAGCACCAGCGCAGCGCTAATACATGCGTGGTAATTGTCATGGTGACAGCAAGGATTAGCTTTCGTCAATACCAATAGAATCTCAACTCACCTATCTTAGCTATTTTCCCAGAATATCCGCAGGAACAGAGTACCCCTGTGTAAGTATCTTGCTAAAGTGGAGACTGGAAACTAGCGCACTGTGAAGGACCCACAATGAACAGAATCTCAGCGTGGCATGCACCGTCATGAACCAAGTGGGTCGAGATGGTCCCTGTTACCCTTAGCTGCTTTTGTCATTGGAATTCTAAGTGATGGGACCCGCGCTATAGCCGATCTGCATGCCACTACTGTGGCTACCGGTGAACGTTGCGCTATATATGTTGCCACTGTTCTGACCTAAAATTATAGCCCGCAATTGCGATGATACAACTCGGGAGGCAGTCTGATCACTCTCTAGCAGGTGGGATTGCTCTTCAATTTCTTTTATTGCAAGAGTTCGTTGAGCCCTATCATCTTCCTCATCCTCTGGTTCCTCTTGAAGTTGTTTCTGGCGCCTATCTGTGAGGGAAATATGCTCCTGTATGACTTTCTCTAGGGTCTCAATCGGATCTTGAGCTCCTCACGATCAGTCTTCGCCATATACTCCGAGTGGAGCTGAACCAATCTTTTACAGAATCAGTATTAATCCGAAGCGAAATTTGCAAGGGTCTTACAGTTGGGTGCTTTCAATGGCAAACTGAACAATGGCCTGGCAAGATTAATTAGGCTTGTGTTCTGAATGTACAGATCTTCTCTTTGTTCTCCACACCCACAGAAAGGGGATCTCGAAGTGAAAGCTGTGTTGTGCTGGAGTGTTTTGTTCATTTCTGAAGTTGCTTTGTGAAGTCAGCACATGCCTGACCACATCAATTCACAGCCTCCGCGACGCCCGTCTTTTGGAGATCCGATTAGGCTGCAGAATAGGTCATGTCATCAGAAATGACAAGCTGTTCCAGAGCAGTGAGCGGGCGCTGGATGGCCCTTAAGGAGGGGGCAATATCTTGGACCATTGCTTTGGCATCTGCGAGGCTACCAATCAAATCCCGAAGGTGATTGATGCTGGATAGAGCAAACCCTGTAATGCCAAGGGCGCTGACAGTAATGCTGAAGGGACCCATGTGTTCTGGGATCGGAAGGTGAAATAACTAACTTAATGTCTCATAATCAAATTTCATGGCGATCGGGTGGGTTCTAGGTTTTAGAAAGGCGGGGCAAGCTTCGTTTCCCCACGACAAAGCGGGGTGCTGTCCGAGGCGATTTCAGTCCCAAAACTCTAGGGTCTCAGCTTTGATAAGTGACAGACCTGCAGTGCGTTTCAACCCACCGGTTTCAATGTGATTTGGGTTGAAGCTCATTGTTTTACTCTGCCAGCTCGGCATTGTAGGTTCATTAAGATAAAGAACGCAAGACGAGATGGCAGCCAGCATAGGTGTCTTAGACTCTCAGCTATCCTGTAAGATCTACAACATTCGGGCAGAAGAGATATGACGGACTTCATTTCATATTGCCTGACATAGATAGTATATAAATCTAAGATTCGTGTCCTAAGCTACACGTCTCGGACCCACTCTTCCAAACATTTCATCTCAAGAAAATTGTCTTGAGACAATCCTTCAGTACCATACATTACCATATGAGGACCTCTGAGTCTATACGATCCATTAACCGTTTCTTTACAGTTTCTCATTGGATCCGCAGCAGGACCGCAGCGAAACTAACGAAATGTGCAAGTATACGAATACGAGTGGAGGCCTCTCCTGCCAAGAAGCGCATCAGTAATCGACCACCGTAGACAAGACCCATGTCGATATACTACTATACTATGCTGTTTGGTCAATGGGTGGCTGTCGAGGTAGGCTAATATCCTTCTTTTAAATGTGATATTATGAATCCGAGTGGGACGTGTAATGTATTGTATGTTCTGTGTGTCTATCTAGGATGAAGTCTCTGGTCCAACTCGGCCGGTTGAATCTGTTCATCCCCCACATACAGCCAGCCAAGCACCCTTGGAAAATGGTATTCCACATGTTGCACCATATGACAAAATCCATTCTTCAGGGTGAGGTTGCCAATGTCAGTGTCCCAGTGATTGCGATATTAAGTCTTCCTTGCAGGGGATTCGATCAACTCGTTGCCAGCGAACTCCTCATTCGGCGGGAAAGTTTCAGGTATACTTATCTGATATCATGTATGATGGGCTTTACTGAGCTGAGTGATGCTGTAAGAGCTCTTCTGGTGGTTGCCCAAGCGCCAGCAAACCCACCAATAAAGGTCCCTGAGTCTCCAAGGTGCAAATCCGAACCCGGTGACACTCTGAGATGTGATTTCAATCCAGATTCTTCGTGAGGAATATAAATCGTTGCAGGTCGGATGGCACATCGCAGGTGCTGCATTGCACATCAGAAGAAAAAGCATACCACCCCATACTACGATATTCAAGCCATAAATAGTAATGCAAAAGCCACGGGGCATTATTATCCATTGCCAGATTTAATTTCATCGCCCGTGAGAGCGGGTGAGGATCGCCATTCCCACAAGCAAACTATGTCACCAGTCAGTGATCCCGCTCCACAGAGTTCTGCTATAGGCTACACAATATGGTGCTTACCTCAAGGTCTTTAGCATCCCTCTTGCTTCTTGGTGGTGAATGGGACATTGTATATAGAAAATTGGAATCCACACTCCCAACGCGGTTTGGCTGGGTCATGATTTCCGATTGCACTTGCCCGTGCATATATGGATTAGTGATGGATGTATTGCAAGCCCTAATACGATTATCTCAACGACATAGGCATAGCGGATGGTCACCTTGAGGGACTGTCATAATTCCGTTAGAACTGGATGCGGCTTGTGATAAGCATCGCTGGGGTGCTTCCCTGTATCCTGGTCAATATTTGCCGCCCCATATTGACCTACGAATACGAATGTTCACGTTTAGGGCTTACCGAAATTAAAACGCTTTACGGAACAAGTCTTCCGCTGGGTAAAGAACTGTGGCCAACCCACGAACTCGTTACCGGAATCGCCCTAGTTTTTAAAACATCTCTGTAACAGGTACGAATACGACAGAAGCAAGCCTGCTTCTCGAAGAAGCGCCCGGGCATCATCGTAGTGGGTGTTTTATGTAATGCCTCGAGATATAAGGATCCTTAGACAGGCCATGAATTCAATTACGTTACAACTGTAAATGTTGGGAAGCTAGCCAATATATATATATATTATGTTTTTAACCTCATCCGAAGGCTACTAGACGGTAGTGGAACAGCCATGAGCTCTATATATTCTGATGATTGTTTATGAAACCGACTCCAGTTCGGTTGCGAGGTATGTCTTTGGTTCTTTATTTGAAAGACAATTGCCCAACAAGCCGCAAGTACGCTAATCAATTCAATGGCAGTATTGAAAATCGCGACTTACCGTCACCATACACGTATTTCGCCCTCGCTCTGCCTACTAGTGTCCGCCCAAAGACTTTCGCCCTCTTTCCGCGACCGATGCTTCAAATCCAGCAGCTTTCTGCCGATAGTCGTCCGAGTCCAATCCTTGATATTTACCAGCCCTCGTTCTTTATGTCGGGAGCAGCTCGGTCCATATCCACGCGACTAAAGCTTCGCAAAAGGGGCATCTGCATAGCTCGGAGCGACTACGTAGAGGCTCTTAAGGTCGAGGAAATGCCAACGGGTCGAAGCCCAAAAAGCCTAGGCCAAAACAAGGAGGTCGTAGCAGTGATCCGTCCGTGTCAAAGGAAAAATAAAACGACATCAAATTCTCCCGCACAGGGAGAGGTGTATTTTCAAGAGGGGCAATGTTGGTAATGTACAACTGTTTCCCATGGAGACTATCAATTCGCGACAAAGCAGAAGGATGGCATGACGAAAATAGCACTATGGAGGAGATAGCGTGATAAGGACTTGAAGAACCTCGGAGAATTGAGCGCGCGAACCCCAACTAATTCAGCGGCAGTGGAAAGGTTTTCTTTTCTAACAGCCGATCCAGCAGATAATTATACTTCGCTATTGGCCATCATGACAAGAAAGGGCATTGAAGTGTTCGATCAAGGCTCGAAGACAGGACCCGATATCGGGCTCAGAAACTTAAATAACGACTATACTATTATTCTAACTTTCGGAACTTGGGTGGCGTTTCAAGAAGATTGGTTTAAGTAACCACCAACCCTTGACTTAGCTGGATGAGATCATATGTCAAATTAGAACCATCTTAGGATAACGAGAACAGTTACGCGTCTATATAAGTACCGTGTCGCATAGAATTACTATAGAGATCAGCTCAGAAAGGTCACGAGCAAGCTGCACGTTCCGTACAATACCAATGAACGGTAATCATCTCCGCGCTACAAATAATGACAAGTGACGCCTATGGTCTTCCACGATTGCCGGAAACCTGGGTGGGTTTTATGGCTACCTTCTATCCTAAAGAGATGAATTTAATTTACTCAAGTCAATGAAGCAGAAGATTTGAATATTCGAAGCGTGTCTGTCTCTATGGTGTTAGATTATCATGCAGAGTACGTAGGTGCATGATATTAATGGTAGCAATGGCTACCTAGCTAGCTAAAATTACGGAAAAGTCCGAAGCAAAAAGAAGATAAAAGTTATAAGTTACATTCCCTTGTTTCTGTAAGTAGCCTTTGGCTACACCATTGGCTGCGATTGATCAATTCTCGGAAAAGTCTCGATGATGCTCAAGCTCCTTATGACATGCTGACAAAGTTCGTTAGGGCAGTGTGAGGGGCGTAGAATGCAGGGTTGGGGTAGTAGGTCTCATTGAACATCAATGGCTTCGCTCCCGGCAGCCAGGAGTAGGCATGTTTATCTGTGAAGCCCCAGAAGCTAATATCTTGTCGGATACGATTCCACAAACATATTCTGCATTTGAAATCCAAAGTTAGGAGTTGTCGTCGGCGCTCGGGATGTTACTTTTAATGAAGATGAAGTTTTTGATGGCAATGTGGATAAGCTTCGCAATAACCTTGCTACCACTACAATTGATGAGATTGCAGAACTGCTTAATAGTATACAGATTCCAAATAATAACTTCCAAAGCACTACGGTTAAGGGACCGTCCTAGACACAGGATGACGAACCTATCCTGAACGCTGAGGAAGAAGGCCTCAATCCTCGTGTTGACGTCGAATCGAACTCAAGGATTATTGAAGCCGAAGATAATGCTCACCTACGGGTAGAGGGTAAACCTGATATCGACCTACGGGTTGAGGGGCTGACTGGCGCACCGACTGCAGCGGGAACTGACGCCGGGATCGTCGTCGAGGATGAAGCAATTCATCCCGATGGAATGAATGATATTGAAAAGGATATTCCTTATCCAACGCCACTAGATTCACCTCTGGCGGTGTTCATGAGCGCTGCTATCCAAAATCTAGTCAAAGAGGAACTCAGTGAAAGCAGTTATCTTGATATGGCATGGAGAAAAGTGACTACATGGGAAGCAGCCTTTTATACAGGCACTTCCCATAAAATATATGGTTCACGCGATGGAAAGCCCTTCAACTGTTCTGTGAATATAAAAGGATTAAGGTTGCCAGATAGTGATGTTTTAGATAGTGTGCACAAATCTCAGAAAAATCCCTACTCTTAGATACTCCTTAGTTGATATTACCAAGTTGGTGCTAGTACAGAAACAGTTCCAATATTAGCGATAACCCTGAGCAGCTCAACGCAGACTATAGATAGTCCTCTTGTTTTCTATCCTTGCTTCTAGTTTCTCAGTTAAGTTATCAGAATCAGATTTCTTCTCGTTGTCAGTTCCTTACAATTTCCCTGAGTAGCAGGTGCTCTAGCAATCTGAAAGCTGCTATAGTTTTCTGGCCATTGGGAAGTACGCTTAGGAGCTAGGAAAGTAGTGTGAATAGACTATAGTATGTCTAATGAAAGAAGGCTATTTCGAAGTTTATTAATCGTCTCAATCAACTCATCCTCTCTGGTATTCACCGCGTTAAATGTAAGAGACATCAGATCATTCGTGCCACTACCATTGTAATTCGTTTTAAGGGACTTGATAATGGTGCCCATCCGACGTAACAGGTGCCTAGACAGTTGTAAGATCATCGTGATCTGGAGCGCAGAGGAATCAGGTACAGAGAAGGACCCGACTTTCATGTCAGGCATCTGGACGTAATCTTCGCGTGCCGTTACCATGGAGCGGTCCAAGCACGCTTGCATGTTTCCGAAAATATCATGGTAAGTTTCAATGAGACGCTGGTAGCACGAAAGTACGAGCAAGAAAGACGACTGATCGAATGATGGAGAGTCATTCGGAGCCAACACTGGCAATGCATCTTCCTGCAAACGTGTCATGATGTAACTATTGGACTCTGAATTGCGCGGGTACAGCTTGTCAAGGACTTCTATCAAACGCTGTGATAGCTGGAAAGTCTTGTCGATCGCGAAGTCTTTGTTTTTCCAGCTATGAGGTTGTGATATAGAAGTCGGAGGCTTAGGTATCGTGGAAGAAAGTGTAAACATTTCAACGTTGAGATCTGAGAGCTTACGAATAGTAGAGAGTCGCAGATTTTGTGTTTCTTGAGACTTGGCCCTATGAGTACCGGGGCAAGTTCGTACAATTCCATCGTTTGGAGGCGATTGTTGTTCTGCAGACAACATAGCCCACTCCTGGTTGAATCGATACTGCCAAGTGCTCGCGGCATCCCCCGATTGCAGGTAGGGATCGGCCGTAGGAGAAGCATTAGACAGGGCGCAGGTTGACGAGAATCCTGAGACAAGGTCGACAAAAGTCGGGCATGACCAGGTGGCTGTCGTTGGATTGTCCGGCAGTGGACATGTACTGAGCGCGCTGAAATCGAACTCAGTCTGAACGGTGGGGAATGATGTGTTCAACGGCGTCATGGACTCGATTCCATGACCATCATCGTACGTGGGGCTGCTGCCCAGAGTTGCGATAGAAGATTCTTGAAGGTTTGGCGGTTTCGAACTTAGGTGTTCGCTCTGGCGGCGTGTTGAGGGGGTCCAGGTACAGACAGCTTGTACCTTTGTACAGCGGATGCAAGGGCCTCCATGTCCGGACCTTGAGCAGCGCAGCTTCTGGCCGTGGCACCTGTCACAGGCGGACCGTTGGACGGGATTGGGCATAGTGACGCGGCAAAGAAAGCGCGTCACACTGTGAACAGCACGCGTAAATGTGGGGGCGAGCTTGATCAGTTCGTGATGAGTATATGCGCGGTGCATGGATGTTGGCAGGAAGGGAGGTGGTAAAACGAGGGAATATGAGCTGACCTGAGCGGCACTAGCGGTGGCGGCAGCAGTGCAGGGCTTACGTAAGGTCGGGTTGTCAACCTGTGTGTGTATGATTATTTAACGGCCGTAGGTCGTGATTAATCACTGCCTACCCATTCCCTAGTGGGATAAAGGCCGCCAGGGGGTAAGCCCTGGGTGTCAAAAACTAGTTACATGATGTGACTCTTTAGCGTTTTTACATAACTGCCGTGGTCAGATGGTTGACCTCTATACGTAGAGGCTGGGTGTTGCTGCCAGCTGCAGTGGTCCGCCTACTCCCCATGACCGAATCTAGCCTGTTCAACTCTAGTAGAACTTAAGATGGGAGAAAAGAAAGTTAAGAAAGAAAAGATCTATCGACTGAGGAGCTTCTCTTGGATGAATCAATTGAGCAAGAGCGCCTGCTTCAGCTTGAATCTTTCAACCAATATATCAACTCTCTTGAATCTGTCAAGAGCTTTGCTTCAGAGCCTACTTCTGGTATAAAACGTACAGCAGAAGAAGCTTCTTTGCCAGATTATAATTATGCCCTGATTAGGGCCAATCCGGCTTAGCTTATAGCGCCGAATGGTCTCAATATCACACGATATCGTCAATCCGGATTGACGACGCCGTCAACACAAGAATGTGCCGGAATTTCCTGTGGATTGCATCATGTTTGCCTCGTTCGTACGGTTTGCCTAGTTCGCCTAATTTCTCAAGAGTATATAAACCCTCTCTCCCCCCAATCTTTTTCTCCTTACACACCACTCCTGCCTCAAGAATTGTCGAAAATCTACTCTCTAAACTGCCTGCTGCCGCTGCTACCACCACCACCTTTACCACCTCCGCCAAGATGCCTGCCATGCCAAAGCTCCTCGTCAAATTGGCCCTCCTCGCCGCAGCCGTGGCCGTCATCATGGTCCTCAAAAAGAACGACTTTTTCGATGCCGGTTGCCTGGATGACTTCGCTGCCCCATTGTTTAAGATTATCGACGTCTTGAAGTACCTCCTGGAGGCCCTGGAGCTTCTAGAGAAGATCTTCAAAACCGTCAACAACAACTCGGAGGGCGGCAATGCCCAATGGTATCAGAAAGTGAAAATATTCCCTCTCTATCACTCATATGAATCCATAACTAACTTATGATACAGGTCTTCCGAGTTCGAGGAGCATTTTTTGTGTTCTCGAATCGTGTGCGGTAAGTAAGGATTCCCATACAATTTCGGACAGATTGTTAACGGTTCACTAGCTTTCCAGAGGGAATTGGGGAAGGATTGGGGGGAGGATTGGCTTTTCGGGGGATTATTACTGCTTTTTCAAGTGTTTTTAGTTTCCCCCAATCAACAAATCTCGTTTTTTCTTCTTCAAATACGTAAAATCCCGTAATCATAGCCTTGCCTAGTAATTTGTATGTGGAAAAATGCTCATAATATTTCTAATTTGCAACTGTAAAATCCGTATTACAGAAATCCAATTTACCGTAACGGCCCATGAATTTCATGTAATACGTAGTACAGGCCTGTGAAAAGTGGGTCCCGGCATCCTTAGTGCAGATCAATCCTTCGGTGTCCTTCAAGAAGCATACCCCATTTGGACAATGTAATGTGATTGGTGAATCTGCTGGCCGGCACCTTAGCCGGAGGTGGTCAGTGTAGCGTTCGGCAGTAAGTGGGGCGGATGATTAGTCACTCCCGAAACGGTTCGGAAGTACTTGTCGCGTCGCCTCCCCCCACCCTAGACCGGGTGGTGGTCGGCCCGGACTCAAGGGCCACCCGGACTCAAGGGCCAAAAATTTCAAAATCTCAACTTGGCATTTACAAACATCAAAACCAGAGCCAAAATGACCCCTAAATTATATAAAGAAGAGGAGGGTGTCAACACGAAAAAAAGCCGAATTTTAGCAAATTATCGCGTGAATATGGGGTGTCTCGCAAAAAACTGTCCCGTCGGTGGCATGGCTTACCCTCTCGCTCAACACGCCCACCTACGAGGCGCCTATTATCTCTAGATCAAGAAAAGGCACTTATTCTATGGATTGAGTATCTAGATAATATAGGTGCGCCTCCTACGAATCAGCAAATTGAAGAAAGTGCGAATTATTTGCTCGGCAAAGATTTCAGTGGTCCAGGAGAGGCCCCTCGTGCCGGAAAAAATTGGGTACACGATTTTATCAAGCGCCTGCCAAAACAATATGTACGAATCGTTCAAAAGCCTCAAGAAAAGGAACGTACCGTTGCAGAGCATTATGGTGAGGTTGAGCGCTGGTTTATTGACCTCGAGCTCGCTATACAACAATACAAAATTCGCCCTCAAAATCTGTGGAACTTCGACGAGACCGGATTCATTGTTGGACAAGGAAAAGATGAAGCGGTGGTAACAGCATATCCAAAAACATCAAAAAGGGTATCTAGCCTGTCCTCTCGAGAATCAATTACTGTCATTGAGGGTATAAATGCCGAAGGAAAGATTATACCACCTTTATTGATTCCAAAAGGCAAGGTCCATTTGGAGGAATGGTACCGGCATATAAAAGATGACGACTGGCTAGTTGCACCTGCTTCGAATGGATTTATCACAGATGAGATCGCATTCGAATGGCTTCAACACTTTGACCACTTCTCTAGGCCCGGGGCCTTCCCGGATTGGCGGTTACTTCTTATGGATAATCATACAACTCATCTTACTATACAGTTCGTGCAATATTGTGAAATTTGGCACATTCGCCTATTCCGATTTCCGCCTCATTCTACGCATTTTTTACAACCGCTCGATGGAGTGCCATTTCAGCAATATAAACATGTTCATGGACGGGTTGTGAACAAGATTGCACGCTTGGGTGGCTTCGATTTTGATAAAAACGACTTTTTTGAAGAATTACGCGATATCCGGATAAAGACATTTACCACACGAACGATTCGGCACGGCTGGAGAGAGCGAGGAATTTGGCCTCTTAATCCTCGGCTTATACTTGATATGATGCTTCAGCCAGAGGAAGCATTTGAAGCACTTGTTGCTGAAGGGGATGCACTAAAAATATATGGCGAGGCGGATGACACTATTCCCAGCTCACCAACTACAAAATCAATATCTCCACCATCAACGGCCGTAAAACTACGTCGCTATGTCAATAAGATTGAAAAATCGATTGACGGAATAAAGGATATTCTTGACGAAGTAAGCCCGGGCCTTTCACGCCGTATAAAAGTGGTTAATCAAGGCAGTCTCACCTTGGCCGAATTAGGCGATCTACACCGTGAGAGCTTTGCCAAGGTTCGTGATATAGCAACGCGCAAGAATCAAAAAACTACAAAGCGCCAAGTCAAAGCGAGTGGTGCACTCTATGTAAAAGATGCGAATCGCCTCATAAAACGCCGTCATGATGGGGATTTGTTGAAAATCTATAAGAGCCATGTCGTTGGCGTGCCGCAGCCGATGGAAGAAGTGGCTTCAACAGAGCCTCAAAACAGCGGGTTTTTCTTTGATACTCAGGGAGATAGGTGAACAATGCTTGTATTTAACACCTGTCTAGTTTTTATATGCAATTTATATGGCGTTGGTGGACTGTAAAACATTTTACATGAGACTTCATATTTTTTGGCCCTTGAGTCCGGGTGGCCCTTGAGTCCGGGTGGCCCTTGAGTCCGGGCCGACCACCACCCGGTCTAGGGTGGGGGGAGGCGACGCGACAAGTAGTTGACTGCTTTCGGCGGTTACGTTTCTTGGCAGTTGCGGATCTATAGCGTTCGTAGATGCCACGCGTTTGTAGATTCCAATATGAGCCCCCAAACACGAGGCTTTGTCCTCAACACTGAGGTTCTTCTCTCTCTACTGGGAACTATTTTCTGCACACTGCCAACCTAATAGTGTGTCGCAAACACGCACCAGTTACAAACTCGCATCAAATCAACCATGAGCAATAACAGCAGCAACAAGGAAGCGCCGTCGGAGTCAGTTCCTGGCATTGATTCACCGCCCACAGGAGAAGAGTGCGAGGAGATTGAGAAGCCAAGCAGCACAGGAGAGCCGCCAAAAGACAATGAGGAACCCGAGAGCTTGACTAAGGCGGAAGCCTTCTTGCTTATCGTTTCCATATGCGTGAGTGGAAGACAACGGGCCGCTTCTGTAATGAAAAGCTAACTTTTTTCTACGACAGATTCCCACATTCATTGCGGCCCTTGAACAGGTACGTCTGCAGATTGCAAGGCGCGAACGGACACGTCCAGTGCCAATATCTCTTGCAGACCATCGTATCTACCGCAGTCCCAACCATAGCTAAATCCTTCGATGCCACTCCAGTTGAATACGCCTGGATCGGAACGGCCTACTTGCTTCCCGTTGCTGGTAGAACCTCATTCCACTTTTCCTACAACCTGCGCTAACTCAAGACACTAGCTTCGGCTCCCCCGTGGGGTGCGCTTAGCGACATCTTTGGCCGGAAGCCAGCACTGCTCGGAGCCATCTTCGTCTTCTTCATCGGTTCCCTCATCGGCGCAGTTGCCCCTAACATACATGCCGTCCTTGCCGGACGAGTGATTCAGGGTACAGGCGGTGGTGGAATATTGGGCTTGTCAGCGACAGTCGTTGGTGATGCATTCAGTCCCCGGTAAGCCATCAAATGCGCATCACCACGAGTAGTCTGCCTAACATTAAAACAGTGAACGAAGCAAGTATTACGGCGTAATTGGTGTCATTTGGGGTTTGGCCTGCGGGATTGGTCCCATAATTGGTGGAGCCTTCGCCCAGTTCGTCAGTTGGAGATGGTGTTTCTGGATTAATCGTATGTCACAGCTTTCGAAACCTTTCTAAACCACTTTCACTCATCTCTTCACAGTCCCCGTTGCTGGTGTTGCCGCTGTATGCGTCTTCTTCTTCCTCAAGGTCCACACACCTAGAACACCCATCATCCAGGGGTTGCTCGCAATGGATTGGCTCGGCACGCTCTTGCTGGTCTGCGCAACCGTGATGTTCTTACTAGGACTGGGCTATGGTGGCGGTGCATACCCTTGGGACTCGGCCATCGTCATCTGCCTCATAGTCTTTGGGGTGGTGACGCTCGGCGTATTTGTTGTGGTCGAATGGAAGGTGGCCAAATATCCCATCGTTCCAATGAGACTTTTCCAGTCCATCTCCAACGTCAGCGTTTTTGGTATCGCATATTTACACGGGGCCATATTTATCGCCAACCTTTACTATCTTCCTCTGTACTTCCTGAGCGTCCTCGGTGCCACTCCCATCCTCTCTGGAGTCTATCTACTTCCAGTAGCAATCACCTTGTGCGTTTTGTCAAGCTTGAGCGGATACTACATTAGCAAGTCGGGCCGATACAGACCACCTATCTACATCGGCTTGATAGTAATGCTTTTGGGAACTGGTCTCTACATTGACCTCAAGCCTTCTCCATCCTGGTCACGAATCATTATCTACCAGATCGTATCTGGGCTCGGACTCGGGCCTGTCTTCCAGGCTCCAATAATGGCCATATTCACTCTCACAAAACCTGCAGATATCGCGGCCGCAACAACGACACTCCTCTTCATTCGTGACATCGCAACTGCCATGTCGATCGTCTTTGGAGGCGTTATCTTTCAAAACCGCATATCACAGCAGTCGGGCAAGATCACTGCCGCCTTCCCACCCGAAATAGCCGAATAGATAATCCGTGGGGAGGCATCGAGTGCGCTAACTCTAATCCCAACTTTGCCCGATGACCAGAGACGCGTCATCGATGAGGTGTATACTTCGAGCATACGCACTGAATGGATATTCTACACTGCACTTGCTGGTGTAGCACTGCTCTTGAGCTTGTTAATCAGTAAGCAGGTGCTCTCTAAAGAGCACAAGCTTCACAAGACAGGACTCGATACCATGGAGCAAAATCGACTGGAGGAAGAAGAGAAGAAGAAGGTGAAGCACGAGAATGGACAAGCCCATGTCTAGACTCTTCCTTGACCTCCTAGGCCAAGTAGTGTACGATACTTAGAGAGCTCCAGTTTCATAGTCTGTTCAGTGGATACACTCACTGCACATTGTTGAATGGCATTGTATGGCATGGGAACACATTATATTTCGTGGCTGTTCACAATATGCTTTAATCATAACTTATTATCGAACTTATTATCGCAAGTAGCACTTTTAAATGCACTGGTTTCTGATGGGTTAAATTACACTTGGCTGTTCTGAGTGACCCACACCTCCACTACTAAGAGACACTCTCACGAGTTTGTATCAGCTTACAACTGTGTCCCAAACTGAACCTATTCGCTCATGGCATTCTAAGCAAAAACCTATTTACTAGCTGTTTTCGATTTCCACCTTTCATTCAAGGAATTGATCGCTGAACGCCGATGACTCTATCGGGTTCGGCGGCAACATTCGGGTTCGGCGTGGCACAAACCAGGCATGTAGAAGAGAGGTTAGTGCACGACGACACCTAATCATTGCTTATATTCCGCTTCTAATCAAAATATCTTTGGTCGCAGATCAATACGATTCGCCTATGAGTCTATACAAGAGGTTCTCTGTACACTGCTCATTTCATTACTTGGAATAAATCGGCCAGCGGCATCGTCCTTTTTCGCTTCTGGTCTCCAAATTAGTTTGAGAATTTTTATCTTTCATAGACAAAATGCACACCTTCTTCAAGTCACCCTTCTTCAACTTCGAGTTCCTGCGACTCCTTGCCATGGCTCCTTTCGAGGGCGGCGAGATCGCAGAAATTCTCGAGGCAGTAAGCAAAATCAAGGACCTGGATCCCGAGAGCTGGTACGACGCCTGGAGCGAAGCCGGCACGAAGGCCGAGCAGATTGCCCGGGAAAGAGAAGACTCAGTCGCCCCGACGTCAAGTTGGACCGGCTATTCAAAATAGAGCATGGGCATCCTGAAAGTGCAACGTCCTGTGATTAGTGTTTGGTGGAGTGGAAGGAGGATTGTATCACCCGCGAAGACAGCAATCCACAAATACATTATGGAACAATTGCATCTGGGAATATGTTGATCAAAGAAGCTGTTGGAGATGTGGAACGGTGTAATAACACGGTAACACTTCCTTTTTACTCGCCAATTCTATATCAGCGTATCTCTTGATTTGATTCCTCGCTCTGTCTATTTCTAACATGGGGAATTCTCCTCTATATCGAAGAATCCAAGCCCCTCGCTATAAAACGTGTCTTTCCTTAATTGGCTGACCAACTAGCCAACTAGGGGCCGACTCGAAGTCGATTCGACACCTCATATTATCTAACAAGAGGCATCGCGCGCCTACAATATGAGGCTTGCAACAAGATCCACGATCCTTGCCAATACTTTGTTCCCAATCCGGTAAGGCCTGGATAGATTACCGAGTTTGCAACAGAAGCAATCGAGATGCCTCGCTCCGACGCACTGGGGCCGATGTCGGAACGTTGGTTTACTAGAGCGATGACTAAGCGAAGGCGAGCACTAACGTACTACACGGGTCATTCGGCCACACGGTTCATCCGGACACCTGCAAGTCCCATACAAAATGGCCTTCTTCAACACCTTGATTTCTCAACAGATTTATATATAAACCATATCTTAGATTTAACGCATGATTCGCTATATGAATCCTTATCAGAAATATCAATTTGGAAGTGCACCTCTTCTATAAGTCTTGAGATATTAGAAACCAGGCTGGTTTTCCATACCCGGTATGGATTAGCTTGGCAATCCATACCCCGTATGGATTAGTATGGTATGGATGGAATACTTATCCATACTTTTCCATACCGGCCTCACCGTCTGTTAGTAGACGCCACAAGTTAAGTAATTCGATGATGCCCATCTCAATAATCTTCGTGCTTTAACTTCTCCCTCTTTATATTATATATCCTGCAAATATGGATTCTGAGGTGGATTCATTGCTTCTTGCACCCTCAATAACTGTGGATTCAATCTCAACTCAATCAACAAGAAGTCGGTCAGCTCTTGCGACATGGGCCCATGCTCGAACAGCACAAGATGGTAAACCAGAATTTAAAGGCCAAAATCGCATTATGTATTACATCCATTGCCTACCAGGATCACAATATAGTAGCTCAGTTACTACTAACTTCCGGAAACATCTCAATTCTAAGCATCAGATCCAGGTTGAAAGAGACCTACACCACGTACAATCAGCTACACTTGATAAACTTCAACAGCTTTACCACCAAGCAGACTCCTCGGGCCAAGCAGAACAGATCAACAGCCACGTACTGCAGAAAGTACTAAATCAAGAAGTTATTGATCAAGCATTGGTTTCATTAATTGTCGTAAGAAATCTTTTATTCGGATGGTTGAATGGCCGGAGTTCCATGCGTTTTGTCAAGTTCTAAATCCTGAATCAGAGGACTACCTTATTACAGCTTATTCAACTGTTCCTAAGTTGATTGACCAGTCATGGCAAATCCAAAAAGACATTATACGAAAGAAACTTCAGTCAGCATTATTAAATATTCACCTTTCACTTGATATATGGACCTCTCCAAACCGGTATCTTTTTCTTGGAATCTGTGCTCACTTTGTTGATCAAAATTGAGAATAGCTCTCTAAGGCTCTTCTTGCTCTTCGATCTGTGACAAATCATAGTGGAGATGAACAATTTGCTGTTCTTCTTCCAGTTCTTTAGGATTATGGAATTGTATAAAAGCTCGGCTCTATTGTTTGTGGTAATGCCTCCTCAAATGATACACTCTGTCGTACAGTGAGCGCTTATCTTTGGAAGAAAAAGAAGATTGAATAGGACTCTATCTTTTGACAAATTCGCTGTATTGGCTATATTATTAATCTAGTGGTACAAGCCTTTCTATTTCACAACCTAATTAAGATAAATTAACTTGAATCATATGATAAACAGGAAGCAAAAGGAGAAATAAGAGATGAGGAAGGGAAGCAGTCGACTTTTTGGCTTTTAGAGCCATTAGGAAAGCTTCATAATATTATCTCACATATCCGCGGTTCTGCTGGTCGCACAAAGGAGTTCAAGGATATAGCAGGAAGAATGATTCCACTTGACAATCGTACCAGATGGAATAGCTGGTATCAGATACTTCTTGTGGCTGATCAAAAGGCAGGATCAATTGATACCTACACAGAGAGTCATTTTGCTACACTACAAGCAGACTATCTCTCTCCAAAAGACTGGGAATGACTTCGTATAATCAAGTCCTTCCTTCAACCATTTCACCGAGCAACATTGGAGACTCAGGGGAATCGTGCAATAATTGACCGTGTCCTCTTTACTATGGATATTCTAATTTAGTACTTTGAAAATTCTCTTGTAAGTTTACTGTTGGTATCACAGGGGTGTGCACACAGGTAAAGTGTAGGTTCGAGGTTGTTGTATTCAGTTGTGTCTGTTCTTGTCTCTAAAGGAGCTCAGCTACCTTAGGTGTAGGTAAACAAAGCCGAGCTAACCAAGCTAGGCTAACTACAGCTGCCGCCTCTAACTCACTTCCTTTTTATCCCCCTTTTATCTCCTCCCATATTGAATACTTCAGGAATATGCTATTCCTACATTTACCTTGTAGTTTATATTCTTAATGTTCACTAATTGTTGGTTTGTGGAAACAATCGAGTGTGTGTGTGTGTGTGTATATTTAACGGCCGTGGTTCGTGACTCGCACGCTTCCCACCGATCCCTACTGGGACATAGGCCGCCGAGGGGTAAGCCTCAGGTTTCGAGTCCTATCAGATTTATGTATAAATAAGAGACTCTTTAGCGCATTTCTATAGCTACCGTGGTCTTACAGGGAGGTCCACTTTGAGTGGGTTTTAGGTATTTGCCAGCTGCAATAGTCCACCTACACTTCATGACCTATCACTCCACCACTATTATAACTGAACAGTAAGTTTTGCAGAGAGGGAAAGAAAGAAGGAGAAGAGAAATATAAAGGAAGAGTAGGGCTGTCTTAGCTAGGTACTAAGGAGAGGTTGGTGAGAGCAGATATCCTCAAAGAAGTGGGTCTCTACTAGCGATATGGCTAGCTTTTGTGCTCCTTTAGCAGTGCCTAAGAGAAAAGAGATGACCTTAGAAGAAGGCCTAGGAGGCCGAGGGGCTCGTCTCTTAGCTATATGATAGAAGAAGTACAGAGGTACTTTTCGTGCTCTGCATTGGCAGAGAAGATAAGCATCATCATGGTTAAAGTGTTTATGGTAGTCTGCAAAGTCTCTATGACCAGTACAGGCTACAATAATATGGCCAAGGTCAAGTCAGTTAAGTTGAAGCTCCCTAGGGCGCTTAGAGGAAGTGGTTATTTCTAGATCTTGATAGCTCTATGGTACCATCTTCTCCCATTGTGACTAAGCAGCGGATAGGGATTGAGTCTTGGCGTATCTCTTTAGCGAGGCGTATGAGGATTTGTGAGGAGCAGGAGGGATTGAGGCAGCTCCCTCTTTAGCAGCAAGATCAGCCACTTCGTTCTCAGGGATTTTAGCGTGTCCAGGGACCCATTGGATTTAGATAGATCCGCTTTTAATATGAGGAAGCCTTTTGCGAAGTGGCCAGGCGGCTGCAAGGGTGCGAAAGGATTCAAAGACCTCTTGAGAGAATCCTGTAGAGGAGGATAGGAGGCGCGTGGCAACTTCCAGGTTATCAAGATAGATCCATAGGTTGGTAGCAAATTAAACTGTTGGATATGCTATTGCTGCTTGAGCACCAGCTAGGGCAGCTTCTGCTTCTGTGTTAAAGACCTCTTTCCCATGTCTTGGCTTCAAGATTACGATCCCCAAACACAGAGATGCTTCTTTGCAGCCTCAGAGTCAGGGTGGACTAATAATGATATCGGATATCGCTGGTTGGTGGATGTTTTTGATAAAGAGACAAAATCTCAAGCAAGCCGGGGATGGCGCCTTCTTATCCTCGATGGGCATGGATCCCACGTTACAATGAAGTTTATTGAATACTGCGACTCGAATCGAATTCTATTAGCAATCTTTCCGGCTCATGCAACACATACTTTACAGCCTCTTGATGTCGCTCTTTTCTCGCCTCTTTCTAACGCTTATACGAAGCAATTGGATGATTTTATAAGGGATAGCCAAGGCTTCACCCGGCTCACTAAACGTGACTTTTTTCGCCTTTTTTGGGCTAGCTGGAATGAGGTTTTTATAAGCAAGAATATCAATTCAGCATTCAGAACGACTGGTCTATATCCCTTTGATCCGGAGATTGTTATCAACAAATTCAACAAGAAAATCACCAGCCGGCCATCCTCAAGCGAATCCGGAGCTTCAATTATTCCTCCAGAAGATTGGAGACGGCTTGAGAAGCTTGTTAAAACTGTTGTTAACAATATTTATGATGAAAAGGCTCTACAGCTTCGAGAAACGGTGTCACATCTTTCTACTCAGCTTATCTTGCTTCAAAATGAGAATCAAGGCCTGAAAAGAGCTCTCATAAATGCAAAGAAGCCTAAAAACAAGAAACAGCCTTTATTACTAGGTTTACCATCAGAACAAGATGGTGGAGCGCTTTTTATGAGCCCTACTAAGGTTCAGCAAGCTCGTGATATTATTTCTCAAAAAAATGACGAAGCCGCGCAGAAGCAGGCTCATAAAGATGATAAAAAGCTTCAACAACAGCTTAAAAAGCAAGCTAGAGAGGCTGAAAAGGTTAAAAGAGCTCAAATCCGACAAGAAAAACGCGAGCAGCGTGAGCAAGAGGCTGCGGAAAAGCAACGGCTTAAGGACGAGCAAGAATTGGCTAAGCTAGCTGATTTACAGCTTCAAAATGATGTTATATTAACTCCAAAGGCTTCAAAAAGGCCTACAAAGCAAATTTCTAGGCAAGCAAAGCCAAGAGTGCAACCTGAGGCTCATGTGGAGGATAATGAGGTGGTTGTTACTACAAACCGTAGGGGCCGCGCGATACGGCCCCCTGCACGTTTTCGCGATTAACTTTTATGCTTTTTAGATTCGCCATAGCTTATTTAGTGCTACACCAGAAATTCACTATATTTAATTATTATGTGGTGTTGTAAAGCTTCAAAATATTCTGTACAGTAAGCCGTTGAAATTATTCCTCAGGTAGGGTTATTCCTCAGGCGGTGAGGGACGGTAAGCGAACCGGCCATGTAAGCGAACCGGCCACCTCTCCAGAAAATAACTCTCTATATTGATTTACCATATTACAACGCGTCAAAATGCCACCAATTCGCAAAAAAGACCCCCTAAAATCCACTCAGGATGAGGGAAAGATCGAATTAGCTATTTCCGATTTAAAAAATGAAAGAATTCGCAGTATTCGTGAAGCTGCAAGAATCTATATGGTTGCTCGTACAACTCTTCAAGATCGAATGAAAGGAGTGCCGTATCGACAAATAACACGCGCCAACAACCATAAATTGAGTCAATCTGAGGAGGATTCGCTTGTCAAATGGGTGCTTGATTTAACTAAACGTGGATTACCGCCCCGGCACTTTCTCGTACGAGATATGGCTAATTATCTTCTCTCACAACATGGAGATCAACGGGTTGGAGATAAATGGGTATATAATCTTGTTCAACGTCGCCCAGAGATTGAATCCAAATTCTCACGAAAATACAACTACGAACGTGCCAAATGTGAAGATCCAAAGATTATACAAGGCCATTTTGACCGCGTACGAGATATAATATCTGAGTACGGCATCTTACCAGAAGATATCTATAATTTTGATGAGACGGGCTTTGCTATGGGACTCTGCGCAACTGCAAAGGTTATTACTGGAAGCGATCGATATGCTCAGCCAAAGCTTCTACAGCCTGGAAATCGAGAATGGGTGACTGCAATTGAGGCAACAAATTCAACCGGATGGGCTCTGCCTTCGTATGTGATTTTCAAAGCAAAGAAAAACGTACGATTAGGCTGGTTTGATGAGCTTCCGGATGATTGAAGAATCAATATTAGCGATAATGGCTGGACTACAGATCAGATAGGATTAGAATGGCTTAAAACCCATTTTATTCCTCTTACTAGTGGTCGTACATTGGGAACATATAGTATGTTGATTCTTGATGGCCATGGAAGCCATTTGACTGCAGAATTTGACCGTACATGTACGGATCATAAGATTATTCTAGTCTGTATGCCTCCTCATTCTTCACATCTCTTACAGCCTCTTGATGTTGGCTGTTTTGCAGTTCTAAAGCGATATTATGGGCAGCTTGTTGAACAACGAATGAGGCTTGGTTTTAATCATATTGACAAAATCGACTTCTTAACAGCATTTCCACAGGCTCGTACAGTGGCATATAAAGCTCAAACTATTCGGAATAGCTTCGCAGCCACCGGATTAGTGCCTTTCAATCCAGATCGAGTTCTTCAACATCTCAATATTCAATTGAAGACTCCAACCCCCCCTCCAAGTCGATCAAGCAATACAGCATCATCCTGCTTACAAACACCTCAAAATATACGCCAATTTGTACGCCAGTCAACTACAATCAATAAGCGTATAAATAAGCGTACAGGAAGCCTGAATCAGAATGAAGAAATCAATCAGGCAGTTATACGGTTATCAAAAGCCTACGAAATACTAGCGAATGATGCTTTACTCGTACGGAAAGAAAACCGTGATTTACGAGCTGCGCATGAAAAAGAGAAGCAAAAGCGCAAAAGATCTAATAAACAGATATCTATTGAGCAAGGGATTACTAGAGAGGAAGCTCAGGCGCTCGTACAAGGTCAGGTTGAGGCATCTCATGCTGTTACTACTACTCTGGCTGAGCCGGAGCTCCCAGCTTCTCAAGCAGTCGTACGCCGCCAATTTCGCTGCAGTGGTTGTAACGTTATGGGGCATAGAATAAATCAATGTCCTAGTCGTACTAGTAGTTAGATTTTTGTATATAATTTGTACGTGATTGAGAAATTGGGATTTGAAATCAATATAGAAAGTTATTTTCCGGAGAGGTGGCCGGTTCGCTTACATGGCCGGTTCGCTTACCGATTACGTTACTACTACTACTACTACTATAAGCGGTTAAAAATGAACCGTTTTATAGATTTTATATGGGGAAAATCGGTTATCAGGTGGTATCGGTTATCAGAAGGTGAAGCACGGTATGCCGGTAGGGGCGGTGGAGCTTGTGCCATTCAATACGTAATTATCATATTGAGGGAGCATTGAGACCATAGGATCTTATAGTCTCTGAATTAAATTTTGCATTGTTGGCGGTCTACCAAAGCAAATCAAATTAGGAGTTACTTTACGATATAAAGAATTAGTCCGTAAAGGGAGTTTTATCGTTTTATTGGTCAAGTTAATTCCCATCCATGCTCATTTTCCACATCGAAAATCACTATTCATGTAGATAACCAAAAAGTAATAGACTCGATGTGCTACCTAAACAGCTAGAATAAATTGATTGAGAATCTAAATCACCCGCTCATGTACTTGGCAATATGCCCGCCATACCGTGCTCCATGGACGGGGAACTGATCGAGTATAGAACCGATTTGTTTGAGGTCATCATCGTCCAGCGGAACTGAAGTCAGGTTCTCATCCACTCTGGCTACCGTAGTACAGCCTGGAATTGGAAGGATCACTGGCATGCCTGGGGTTCTGCTCTGCTCGCGAACCCATGCAATCGCTACCTGTGGCAGTGTAACGCTTTTCTTCTTCGCAATCTGTTCGAGCTCCTCTACCAACTTCAGGTTGAGAGGGAAAACATCTGGCTGGAATCGGGGATAGTGGGCGCGCAAGTCACCTTCCGGGATATCACTGGGAGAACGCACTTGGCCAGTGAGGAAGCCACGCGATAACGGGGAATAGGCAACCAAAGGGATTCCTAGCTTGCCGCAGGTTTCAGCGATGCCATTTGTCAATGGATCGGTTGAAAACAAGGACAATTCGATTTCAGCAGTCGCAATCGGGTGAACAGCATGAGCACGCTCAATGGTAGCTGCACTGCATTCACTCAACCCTATCGCACCAATCTTCCCGGCTTTGACATACTCAGCCAAGGCCTCCACAGTGGTTTCGATCGGAACATTGGGGTCAACGCGGGCTGGCTCAAAGATGCTGATTTTGACCTTACCCTTAAGCACCTCGAGACACTTGTCGACACTGGCTTGGATACCCTCGCGAGTACCATTGGGGCCTTGAGGAGTCATACCTCCTTTGATGCTGAGCACTACCTTGTCGGCATCCTCGGGGTACTGGGTGAAGTAGTACTCCAGCAACTGCAGAGAATTAGCGTGGGGCGGTCCGTAGAATTGCGCGCCATTCCAGAAGTTTGCACCCTTCTCCAAGGCATGCTTCATCACTTTGGCAGCTTCCTCGTAGGGAGCAGGGTTTGGCCGCCAGGTAAGACCTGTAATATTGTGAATGGGGAGGTCTAACACTCAAAACACACATCAAAAATTTCTCTAGGGCACATACCCATTAGTCCGAAGCCAATTTGCCCGACTTGTTTGTTCACTAGAGTCACCGACATCGTGTCTCTCTAAACTTGGATTGAATGGAAATAAGTGTAAATTGTAGCTTCGCAGGAATAAGGGTAAATAACTGAAGTATTAATATCTGAAGGCCGGAATTTACGACCGAGGGTATAAGATTACTGTATATATAGATATAGGTATAGATATATAGATCAGAATCTCCCGATATGTGCCACCATTGAGACCCCGCCTTTCTCTCACCTCTAGGCCGCAGTAAAGGGGATCATTTTCTTTGTTTGGCTGCGCGAGGTGCAGATGCAGCACTGTGCTGTGACAGATATCACATTGGACATATTTGATTATTGCAATCAAGTTTTGCCTCCCAATTCGGCATATCGGCATATCGGCGCTCGATTTCGGAGTTAACTGAAATATTTCCTACATTCAACTACGTCTCCAATTTTTGCCTGGTTTACAAGGCTGACATGATCGGCACAACTCCGACTTGCTGTTTTATTTATATTTTATTTTCTTTTAATAAGAGGGCAAAGTAACATCCAAACAAAGAAGAAACTGTTCAAATGATGGTTTTGATTGGCTGTTTACTCGGTGTCGCAAGGGTGGAATTCAGCGGTTACGTACTGTATGTAGTACTTCTTCTGCCCTGGAGGCCCCGGTTGCACCAGAGTAAATCCGTGTACGCGTGAACTTCACAATTTATTGATATGCAAGACAGAGGACAGTTCTTTCAGAGAGGACTGAATTCAAGAAAATGAAAATGAAGCGAAAACGAAACCTTGAAAATTGTGAAATACTTCGAAAACGCAATTTGAAGTATTTAAGCGGACTCCTCGTGCATCGATATTATTTATACACTTATGCTAGTGTTGGGTTACCTTCGTTAGATCGCAAGATCTAAGAAGGACAGCTAATCCAACAAGCTGACTGAGCCAGTAATACTGAATTCCTAATATTGCGACTAATCCTAAGAATTAGGGGCATGCGGGTGGTGAGGTGTAGTTATCCTCCGTACGCTATAGCGCACGGATAAACCATATCCCATTCCCGCGCCGAGATAGGCAAGATTGCTATACCGACAGCTAGGGCTATTAACAAACCCTACGTCGCCCTCTAGGTACCAATTGATATCAGACAGGCACCGTATTGTCTCTATATGTCTAAGAGAAAAATTACTACTCTTGCTCAAATTGACTGTGTAGACGAGTTTCCTTTCGACACACTGTATCATTTTTGATTCCCAGCTAGAGATTGATGTAACTGCTAGTCCCCTCTCCTTCGCTGATTGATGCAATTCGCTTAGTCCGTATCCTGACCTGCTACAATTTGATATCTCATCATCTGAGCTAGGTTTGTGGATAGCATGCGACGATGCCTAATGATATCATGGAAAATCTCAGGAGGCCCGATTGATCCCACGATAATCTGGTCTTCCCCAGCGACCAACCTTTTATACGTAATATCCACGTACTCGTCCAACGGCATACCAATTTCGCGTCCCATTTCAGCTCCGAGATAGTCATGTAACTCGGCTGGTAATACGTATGGTGAGCGAGTGACCTCGCAATTTCACAAAATATACACTCATAGTATAGAACTTACTTTGTACAGCTGGAGGTGACACCTCAACCACTTTAACCGTCGAATCCTGAAGTTGTTCCCGCAGACTGAGAACAAAGGCATTCAAAGCTGCCTTTGAGCATGAATATGCCGGTAGCGGGGCTGCAGGAATAAAGGCAAAATTCGAGCCGGTACTGTAGATGGAAACCACAGAATCAGTTCCTTGGCTTCTAATTCACGTTGTTCTCTTTCCACACATGTTCTTCTGACCAATCACGTACAAGACTATACTTGTTGGGGAGTTCTTGCCCTGCAAAAAGGGGAGAAAGGCATGCGTGAGGGCAACGATACTCGTAAAGTTGACCAAGATCTGCTGTTGAAACTCTTCCAGATCGAACTGAGTGGAATCAGCAAGATTGATCTTACTTTGAATTCCAGCATTGAGGAAAATGCAGTCAAGATCTGGATGCGCTGTTATCACGCTGATATGGATGCTTTTTGTCAGTGTCCTTGCTGTGGACTGAACTTTTCTAAGAAAGAAGAAAAAAATTTACCTCTCAGCGAATTGCGCAATGTTGTCTAATTTTGAAATGTCCATCCGAACCGCCGAAGTATTTCTTTCCCCATACTTGCGAACAATCTCATCGAGCCGATCCTTGCGACGGCCGACGGCCGTGACTGAGACGCCATCGTGAAGCAAACGCTCAGTTAGGGCTAACCCGATACCTGAGGTCGCTCCCACAACCAAAGCATGCTTGTATTGAAATCCCATTGTATTTTTTGCCGATCAGATATGATGGCTTGAGGTAAAACTTTTGTCAAGTTGCCTGTTACTTTTCAAACCTCTACATGCACCATTGGACCCTTCGGTGGTCTCGCTCTCGAAACTTCTGTCTACGCCATACTTGTGGTTGCATACTTTTGACAATCTCCCTACGTCATGCCAGCAGCCTAGCCTACAATTGGAACGATAGTTCTATTACTGGAGGGATAGCTGCTAAGCAACTATGGAACTAATAGACTGAGGGGTAAATTCAATTGAGCTAGGTAAAGCAAGATTGTCAAGCGGTTGTAGTATTCTGCAATTTAGTCTACTTGCTTATTTAATGTTGGTTGATCCGAGTTTCAGTACACAAAGCCAGCATATTTACTTGGTGCTGGTACCGAGTTTGTAGTTATTACTATTTATTACTTTTATTAGAGCTAGGGCTAGCAAGCATATTTACTCGGTGCTGGTGCCGAGTAATAAATAGATCACCATCACTTAGTGTTCCCCCATTTGATCTTGATGAGTATAATAAATCAAGATATGCTTAATTTTTCGGCTTTCTTGCTTTTGGCCCGTAAGCTACATATGCTGTTGACTGGTGGACACTGAGTGTTCAAGAGCTTCGAGTAACAAAAAATCACAGACAGAGTAAAAAATGACAATCATACGGAATATATTGACATATATGGTCGATGTCTTGAGTCAGTGAGGTAATACAAGTTTTGGGGGTGAATCGATAAGACTGATCCAGCCGGGCCCTCCTTAGATTGGGGTCTAATAACCTCAGCTATAGATTTCTAGCTGCAGAACGACCACGCGCGCCTCGTAGCGGAATAAAGATGAATATAGCCACAGAGTACGAGAAGTGGGTCGTGAACATGACTAGACTTTTAATTGATATAAGAGAACATGGGATTTTTTGAGGTTTTGGAAACAGCTTGGTATTCCTTAATGAATGGAGTAACTACGGGGTAGCACTGAACCTGCAGAGTGCTTAGGTACATGCATGCACTAGGCAAGTCTAGGAAATAGGTATAATGGAGATACAGTTTTCCTCGAGTAGTAAAACATTGAAGCGAGTAAGTGGCTTGAAAGAGAAAAACAAAAGTTAATTGATCCCCTCCCACCCTCCTATGCATGCCTGTTAGCAGATCAACCACGTAACCTTATGGGGGCCATATGCCATGCAGAAGCACGGTCCAGCAGGCAGGGACTCGCCAATTATGAACTGACAAGGGAAAAGCACTTCCATACGATGAGCTGAGGAAAAACAAATGAGCAGAAGAATACTAAGCTTACAGTCCAAGCCATCCTCAGCTTTCGTATTCTGTGGTCCCAAGTAAAGGACATCACCTATGACAAAAGTCGAGCCGTCTAGATTACGAACATGGTAATCTTAATCTTGCTGTATTTCGTACTGAGCAGGTGAGTACAGATCTGCAAGCCATGTGAGATGTGCTTTAAAATGTGATGGATATCCCTCGTGGAAGTTTTTATTGCATAATCCCACCTACTAGTTTTAGGTACCTGCGTTCGGAGAATTTTTCAAGAATGTTCTCTCGCATTTCTGTGATCCACTTGCTTGCTTGGCAGCTACTTGGTAGTCTTGTCGACACTGCTGCTGCCCAGGCCATTCGAAATCCGGGATGGAATTGTACCACAACTTCCAACTGTAACTATGACTATGTCATAGTAGGTGGTGGCACTGCGGGTCTCGTGTTAGCAAACCGTCTGACTGAAGATGCGAAAGTGCGAGTGGCGGTAATTGAGGCCGGCACCTTTTACGAGTCGGTGACTGGAAATCAGAGTGATATACCTGGGAATGACTACGTATACAATGGCAAGTCTGCTGCGGATACGAATCCCCTTGTCGAGTGGGGATTCACAACTACTCCTCAAGCGGTAAGAATGCTCGCTAGATTCGATATTTCTGTCTAGAAAAAATCGATATGATATCGGGTTGCTAAAAAGATACTTTCATCTCGCAGGGGGTTGGAGATGCAATCGTTCACTTCACTCGCGGAAAAACAGTATGTTAGCTCGGAAATCTTTCTTGACACCAAGCATCCAATGCTAACCATTTTGTCAAGCTTGGCGGCTGCTCTGCTCTCAACTACATGTCGTACATGAGAGGAACAAAGGGGACATTTGATGACAAGTGGGCCAATATCACCGGTGATAGTGATTGGGACTACGACGGTGTTTCTCCTTACTACCTCAAAAGTGGCAACTTCACGCCCCCAGACATGAGCAAGAGAGCGGCTAATACCACTCCGGCGTACGATCCGTCCACACTCGGTACTACCGGTCCCCTTGACATCACCTATGCCAATTTTGGCCAGCCCTTCAACACATGGATTCAAAAGGGTTTGCAAGCTATTGGAATCGCGCCTCGTGATGGCTTTACCAGCGGAGGCCTCTTCGGTTCATCCTGGCTGGCTGCTACAATCGATCACACGAATGGTTATCGAGAGTCTTCTGAGAAGGCATTCCTGGACCCGATCCTTAATAGAACTAATCTCGTTGTTTATACTACCACGATGGCAGAGAAGATTTTATTCAATGGAAAAGTGGCCAAAGGCGTTGCAGTCTCGAGCGGAAACTCCACCTACTCCTTGTTCGCTGATAAAGAAGTCATAGTGTCTGCTGGTGCATTCCAATCTCCACAGCTGTTGATGGTTTCTGGTGTTGGTCCTGCTGTAATTCTCCAAGAACACGGAATCAAGGTCATCCATGACCTACCTGGAGTTGGTCAAGATATGAATGATCATATCTTTTTTGGTATTGCTTATCGCGTCGATGTCACGACGACGACCTCTCTTCAATATGGGAATGCATTGGAAGAAGCTATTCAAGAATTTAATACAGAACAGTCCGGCCTTTTATCGAATCCTGGAGGAGACTTTGGTGGATATGAAAAGATACCAGCAAATTATCGGGCCAATCTTTCCGCCCAAGCTCAAGCAGGTAGGTTATTCAAACATCCTTACTTAACCTTTTCATATTTTACTCTCACTCTCACTGTGGCTTCTGACTTTTGCTGACCACTTATCAACTTCTGTTTACACCAGATCTGGCAACGTTCCCTGCAGATTGGCCGGAATTCGAGTACCTCCCAGTTCCAACCTGGGCCGGAAATTTTACCTACCCAGGTGAGGGTGGCCCTGACGACGGTTATGAGTATGGCTCTGTCCAATTAGGGATGGTTGCACCCTTATCGCGAGGAAATATCTCTATTTCATCAGCGAGCACGCACGATCAACCATTGATAAATCCCGCCTGGTTGACCCATCCAACTGATATTGAGGTCGCCATCACTGCTTTCAAACGTCTGCGTCAGCTATGGGCTACACCCGTCCTTCAAGACCACTTGGTCATCGGTGCCGAGGCATATCCGGGCCCGCAGGTGCAGACCGACGAGCAGATCCTTGACTATATCAAGGTAGCCTTTGAAACCATTTCTCATCCTACTTCAACTTGTCGCATGGGACAGGCCAGTGACCCCATGGCCGTGCTCGATCCTCGGGGCCGCGTCTATGGCGTAAAAAATCTTCGCGTCGTTGATGCCTCGTCCTTCCCTGTTCTCCCGCCGGGTGTTCCCCAAGGAACCGTGTACATGGTGGCGGAAAAAATTGCGGACTACATCAAGAACAATACTCCTTAGTCAGAACATTGGCGGGGGCATATCAATGATTAAACATTGTGAATATCTTAGATGTATGGTAGAACATATCTGTATCAATTAAAGAGTGGGGCTTCACATATCCCTGTTCTTTCAAGTCTCTCGTTTTAAAATCGTTAGAATACACTAAAAATCTACTTGCAATTGCATTTGGCATTATTTTTAAGCAAACTTTTAATTCTAACTACTACTGTAGTAGTGAGTCAGGCTAAGTGTAACCAACCTAGGTAAGAGGACATACTTCGTACCTCGGTATCTGTTTAGAGAAAAACCCTCGAGTCATGCACATTACAGACACAAATTCTTGACAGTTTTAGGAACGGCCCTACAGCCTCAATATTTACGCCTTCAATATCTATTTAGTACTCGCTGCGCTGTTTGTTAGGTTGCTTTTAGGATGTTCATTGTATTGCTTGCCGTTGCTTGCTGCTACTTCCTACAGTGCTTGTTAAATTGCGTGATAGTTAGTTAGATTGCCTGCTAGATTGCTTATTAATTTGCTTGCTAAGCTGCTCGCATGCATATTAGTATCAGGTAAGAAAGGTAATACACATAGCAGTATTAACAAGTCATGAATCCATGAATGATTGATTATTAGTTTATTTATGGCCTAATTAGAAAGAGATAATAGTTTTATTCTTACTCGTAGCAGTCAAGCAAATTACAAGTGGTTACAAGATTTATGCTCCTAGATTTAATATGTTTTATAATACGTTTTATTGGTGACCTCACTCAGTCAAGATAGGCAATGTATGTATAGTTTGGCCGCAACGGGTCACCTGTCGTTGAGGTCTTACGCGCAAAGCGTATGACCACAATGTTAGAGAGGGCCAAATGACCCGGGCCAAACTAGGATGGTGGAGGGGATGGTGGTGGAACTGACAGAGACAGAGGGGCTGGCGAGCCGGTCTGAAACTGGTGGTTGAGCTTGTATAGAATCAATGCGTTCGTCGTAAAATATACCCTAAATGCCTCTGAGGTCCATCTGCCAAGGGCCTGGATCTGGTCGTCTAAAATCCCGCTGTTGTGGGCATGTTGTGCGGCATCTTTTCAAAAACTGTGGCCTGAGTAGCCATCCGTTTGCAGTCCAAGTGTTTTCAGTCTATTCGATAACGTAGAGAGGAAGTTATTACGAGTAAATGGCCTTCTGTGGAAGGAGAACAATGGTGCGTTAAGTCCTCTAGGGTCAAGAAAAAACAGCTTTTGAAGGGCGTCAACTGGGCATGCTCCATCTCCTGTTTTTGCAAGGATAATCTGTACTCCTTCATGACAGCGATCCGTCTTGCTTCCCTTGAGCGTGAGTTGTACATGATCTAATGTGGGAGAGAATCTGATGTCTAAACGGGTTAGCTTTGTTGATGTGAAGATAGAGGACGCGTTGAGGTCTTCTTTTTTGTAGGTGAATTCTCCAATACGGAGGAATCCAGCAAATGTTACTTGACAGGCGGTTGCGAAGTTCAGGTCATCTATGAGATCTGCAGTCATCTCTGAGGGCTGCGACGGAAGTGCAATTAGGCCAGATGATAGTTTCGTAATGGCCTCACAGGAAATGGGCTTTCTAACTCGTACTTTGGTTGTTGGGGTGAGCCTTCTTGCTCTGTCTATAAGGCGCCTGAAGTGTTTGTTATCAAAAAGCTTGTCGTCAAGGAAATTATCAATATGATAGGCTTGGAGGGCAGCTAAATCTGACAATGCAGTATCTGGCTTGATTGCTTTTTGGTTAGAATTACCAAGGAGTCGGGAGGTTAACCATAAAATTAATGACTGTTTTGACGCAGGCCATGCTGGTAAGTTTTGTAGCGCGTAGTGTCTCTCATAGTTATGCTGGACAGAGAGGTATATAAAGCATGTATTGGCACTGAGCCCGCTCTAGAGCAATTTCAAATGGCCTGCACTGAGCTGATGAGCTCGCAAAGAGAACCACGTGGGCGGTTCAATACCGAGAGATCCTGCCAGTGGGGACAAAGGTTAGCAATTTCTTAGAAATTATTACGAGAGAGCGCATCTGCTAATGTGTTTTCCCCTGAAGGGAGCTAATATGGCACAATTTGGATGTCTCTCGCCACCGCTAGGATAAGCAGACTCTTCAATGGTACATTGGGTGGACCACGAAGGAAGCCTTTGCTTAGTCCTGTGTGCACTGTGGAGCTATCCGTATGGATAACAAGCGTGTGATGAAGCCAATGATGGCTGAAGAGTAAGAAGCCTTGTAGGATAGCATCTACTTCTGTGGTGTTGATATGCACGTGTGCGTCTTGAGCAAGGGCCAGTGAGGCAGCATTGCATGATTGAAGCTGGTGACAATGGGTCCACCAGCAGTCTAATGTAGACTTTGATGAGAAGAAGAATAGTCCCTGGCCTGTAGTGGAGGCATCTGTATAGAGATATGCGATATTGCGGCGGCAAGGGTCAACTAAGAGTACGCCGTTGAAGAGAGACAAGGAGTCCCTCCACCATTCCAAATCGTCACGTACCTCATAGGGGATACGGCGGCGCGTGCAGCTCCCACGTGGGAAGGCGATCTGGAAGGTGTAGAGAGACTGTAGCCTTGTTCTTCCAAGCTGGACTACTCTTGAGCAAAAGGCTAGTAAGCCTGTAAGGCTTTCTATTTGCTTGAGAGAAAGACTTGTTGCGTTAAGGGCAGCTGCGGCGTCCAATGTGGCGCGGCACAGCTTCTCTTGTGGCAGACGAGCTTCCATCGCAATGGAATCTATTTGGATTCCCAGTACTATAATGCAGGTCCCTTGCTCGTCCTTCCTATTATTGCGAGGAATGCCTAGGTAGTCAGTTACCGTGTGGTAGACTTTGTCAAAGGTACCTGCAGGGTTGGACATTAAGGGAGAATGTGTGATAGCAATGAAGTCGTCCAGGTAATGGTTAATATAAAATGTGGGAAGGAGGCATTGGAGTACTCAGTGAGGAGCCTCTGCGAAGAGATTAAAGAGAAATGGAGCTGTTGCTAGTCCAAATGGGAGGCAACATTCAACATAGGTGGAATTATTCCACTGAAAGGCTAGGAGATGCTAGTTGTCTTGGGCAATAGGGACTATTCGGAAGGCATCCTTAATGTCCTGTTTGATAATTGTGCAGCCAGATCCTGCCTTTATGATCTAGTCATATATATCGTCAATTTTCATATATTCAATGGCGGACCAGTTATCTGGTATGCTCTGATTAACGCTACATCCAGAGGGCCAGGATAAATCATGGATACAGCGCCATCTCCCATCGTACTTAGGGACAAGTCTAAGCGGCGAAATAAAGGAAGATTTGAAAGCAAGCTTGACCTGGTGAAGGTTAAGGTCTTCTGCTAACTTCTCCGTGATAATGCTGGGTTCATATATATAGTGGTTAGTGGAGTGACAAGCGTGTTTCTTGCCTCTGTAACCAATCTGGACGCTGTAGGTTAAAATGCCGGCTAAAGTTGATCCAAGCTCGCCAGGATAGTAACGAAGGAGGTTACGCTATCTCTATGGATGAAGTGGGGAAGGCGAAGGGTATAATTTTGGTAGTTCTGTGTTAAAAATGGGGTATTGGAGAGCTGTGTTGGGCCTTGCTGGTTGGCTATAAGGTATATCTATCTGATTTAGGAAGTAAGAGGCTATCCTGTTAATTTCCCTTTTGACTCGAATTACTTGCTACTTTTTCTTGCGGCAAGTTATAGCACCGTGCTTGCCCAACCCACATACTGTACATTCGTGATGCCTCTTGCACCCTTCCCAAAGGCAGCCTGTTGTGTTAAACTTCTCACAAATCTCTGTATCATTATTCAATGATCTTGCAGACTTGGCATGGCGGGGTCGGGCTGCTGAGGGGTTCTGCGTTGGCTTGGCTGGTAGTGTAAGGTTGTAGCGGAGATATTTCTCGCGAAACTGGGGCGTGACTAGGTAGCTATCTGTTGATAACTCACCCTTATCCAGTAAATATTGGTGGAAGTTGAGAGCTAGTGGAAGTACTGCTTCCGGCCATTGATAGGTCTGAGCAAAGTCAAGGATTTGCCTCATAAACATGAGTAGGTTAGGGACAGCCTTAGGGTGCTTGTCACCAAAAAGATATCCTATGACTGCTAAGTAGGTAAGGAAACAGCTGGTCCATGTTTGAGGGTTAGGACCCCAGTCTTTGAGCGATGAAGCTGCCTTTTTGAAGCTCACGGTGCCACCTGACTCGGTCATTTTGAAGACTCCATTCTCTTGATCTGCGTCGATTACTGACTTCTCTTTGAAGTGAAGGAGTTTGGTCGCCTTCAATTTCCTTTCGAAGATGCGAGTAAGGAGGGCGGCGGAGACACCTGGAAACATATCAATGAGTGGTTTTACCTCAGGGGGTGGCTCACGGTTTTCTTCTTGATTATCGTCGTCGTCTTGCAGGTCCAAGTGAGTTCGCCTCCGACGGAGATCGACTTCAGTTTTGTCCAATTCAAGACGTTTGGCCCTGTCCCTTTGTATTTGTGCTAGCCAACTGGCGCGGTCCGCTGTATCCATGGTTTCCCAGATATGAGCCGGAGGCCATGCGGAGTCCTGGGGGAGCGGCGTGGAGGTGCTATGTTGGCTGGAGGACGTCATCATAAAGGTAAGAAAGAAATATCGAGAAAGAATCAAAATCAAGTCTTGACTGCGTGAGAGATGACGAGCAACTTGCGGAGGGGAGCGGCTGACTCTCGTGAGGCAGTTGTAAAAAGGAAGAACCCCGCAGTACGCAGGACGTTAGGTGAAGACTAATCCGCAGTGCGATCGTCACGTGAGGCAACCCCAATAAAACAATCTCATTTAATGATATAGTAGTAATAGCGGTAGTAATATTCAATGAAAACATACTCTTTGGCATACTCTACTATAATTAAACAGTTATGTTGAACATCAATATGACGCAACTGTAATCAGATTGATACTTAACTGTAGTGCGAAGGTCCCCTAAACGATGACGGGTAACCCCCTTTTTTAAACTAGGTATAGAACTATAGGGGAGCGAGCCTGAAAACAAGAAACAGCCCGCGGAGATAAATAAGCCAGGAAAAGTGATTAATCAAATTCATTTACTGTCGGTTTATCTACGTCTAGGTCGCTAGCACTAGTCACGTAGAACAGCTATTCCGACGAGCTGACGAGCCTGATCAATATGGTATGGAATTCCTGATATTGATGACTGCCCCCCAAGAGTAAGGGGGACGGGGAGTGGCTAACTACATATATACGCGGCAAGCACGTGCCGCGTTAGACTAACTGATATCCAGTGCCGAAACGCGCTAGGTTTGATATTCACGTTCCGACATTTACTTTTGTACAACCTTTTATCTCCTTCGAATTGCTTCTTCAAAGTCACGACAGAATAGCCACCGTGTAGTCGATTTCAGATTCATTTCTTGCCACTGATTAATTCGTTTCGGGAAGAGTGGGATCCGATCGCGCAAAGAAAGATCGTGTGCGATCACCACGAGTATGTTCTCGGCGGCATCTAGCTCGTGAATCTTTTTCACGGTTTCCATAGCGGCTTCATGGTCTGGAAATAAGGCGGTGTTGGCGACAGTAAAAAATGGATCCGCGGGGTCGCCACTTGGTATGAGCTGCGCAAGAAATTCACCGGGACATGCAGCAACATTAGCTTCTAGTTCGAAACGAAACAATGGTGGTCTGATGGATTGTGGCAGCGGAAGATACTCGGTTGGCCGGAGAACGCCCGGATGATGACAGGCGTCGGCGCCCATGAAAACGAATGATGATTCCGACGATGACAACCCATCACCAGCCGCGGTAGTACGTGCGAGGCCGCAAATATGGCCAATAGCATGACCGGGACTGTCCAGTAGGTAGAATGATCCATCCCCAAAGAAGTCAAAGGCGTCGAAACGACCAATTTTCAGGCCACTCTCGAAGCTGATCTCACGGACGACGCGCCCATCCGCGTCGCTGTCGAGCAGTCCGGCGTCAGCGCGACTTGGATAACCGGGCCAGGAAGCATCACGTACTCCCGGCCCTACGACGAGCTCTGTGCTCACTGGGAACGTAGAGGGGTCACCGATATGGTCGAAATGATTGTGCGACCATATCACAGAGCTGATATCGCGGCTATGAACATTCACTTCCCCACTCTGATCTCCATCAAGTACTTCAGCAACATCTTTGCCAACTATGACTTCGGTTGTTGCCTTGATGAGTGAGACGATCCTAGGCGCATAGTTCTCCCAGTCACGACGGACACCTAGATCGAACACGACATGTTGTTGACCATGTGAGATCAAAAAACAGTAGATAGGAGCATGAACACCGTCAAACCCGTCAAGTTCTGGCTGCCAGAAGAGCTTGGGATCCAAGTAGATGAGGGTCTCACTACAGTCGGTTTAACCACATGTCCTTGTTTCTTGGAATGTTTTGCTAAGTCCCTTTATAGGAATGTGTAATCAAAGCAAAGGGTACTCACGTGTCAATGACCCGGATATCGACTGTATAAGTGGAGTGAGGGATATTGAGCTGCGGCGGGGCAATGGGTGAGGCAAGATGGGACGAGTTCATTTTCAAGAATTATCTTTATCCTATTAGTCAGTTTGAAAAAAAGTGAGAGAGGGAGATCAACTTATTGTCTCTGATTTTCCCTTGTCCGTAATGAAACGAAGGAATATCTTCTAATATGCGCAATCGGAGCAGTGTCTGATCCTCCTTACTGGTACATCTTTAATTTTAGATAATATACCCGTTTCCGAAACATGTAAATCACGCCTTTGATTTTATTCGTTCTTATTTATCGATTCCCTGTCTTATTTACTCCACGTATCCACGAGGATCATGTATGGATGGCGAGACGGTCCTAGAAAAACGGTAAGGCTACTAGTACGGTAAGACCAAGTCAGAACAAAGCACAATCGATGACACCGGGTGAATTGTTTACTCCGGACTCTTTTTGGGCTATTTTTGGCTTTTGACAAGGCTTGTGAATTTGGTTTCATCTTCTGTTTAATTTTGTGTGTATGTGTATGTGTGTGTATTAAGCACACATGACGTTTGAATAATGAGACCGATCTAGGTACACAATAAGGAAGGAAATTTTCTCATTTCTTGGTTGCGGATATCAATTCAGCCATGGCTCTATTGCAGAATCTACTTACTACAGTGTCCAAGATGTCTAGCTGGACACTTCTCCTCTCTATCATAGGGTTGTTTCCCGTCTGCCTAGCACTCTATCGATTATTCCTACACCCTCTATCACATATTCCTGGTCCGTGGTTCGCCTGTATCTCATCAGCATTTCTTCACATTATCTGCTATCAAGGTACTGAAAGCCGTGTGTTTGCCCATTATCATCGTAAATACAAAAGCCCGGTGCTGCGAATAGCGCCTAATTCTGTCTCGGTATCAGACGGGGCAGCACTACATACCATCTATGTTGCTGGGGGAGGTCTACCTAAAGATTCACGATATCGAAACTTTCGCATCGAAGGCCATGAAACCATTTTTTCCTCCATCAACCCTGCCTTCCGCGATTTAAGAGCGAAGGCAGTGCTTCCACTGTTTGCACCTAGTCGAATCCGGACGTCGGGCGAAAATAATGGAGCGATACAGCAATCTGTAGAGAAATTTGTTGCTCTTTTGGAGAAAGAGAAGCAAGAAGCATGCCAAGGCCGGGGAAATCACCACCGAGTGGATATTCTCGATCTCACGTCCAAACTTTCCATCGATATTCTCACTGGATACCTTTTTGATAAGGTCTATGGTGGTCTCAATGAGCACGATAACAATAACAAGATGAATATTGGCTCGTCCGTTCCTAAACACAAGAGACTGTCCGCAACACCTTTCGTTTTAGCAATCGTGGCATTCAGCCGCTTTTCGTTGCTTCCAAATTGGATCTTTACCATAGTTTTCTCGATCTGGTTTCGGGTCGCAATGAGGGAAACCGACCTGGTTGTTTCGTTGGGCAAAGTAGAAAGCTTCATGAACGAGTTAATGGCCGAGACCGAGACCCAGCTGGGTAGACCTGGTAAGCCAAATAACTACCAAACACACCTGATCTCGGCAGGGGTGTCCATGGAGGAAACGCGGAGTCAATGCAAAGGAGTAATGTTCGCCGGGGCCGATTCGACGGCGCTGGTACAGTCGACGATTCTCTTCCACCTCATCCAACAGCCCGCGGTACTGACACGCTTAAAGGCCGAGGTTGAAGGGACAACGCCTTCTACCGAACTCCAGAGCCTCCCTTACCTCCGGGCAGTTTTCCGGGAGGGACTCCGCCTGGCGCTAACAAATCCAACGCGGATGACACGAATAGTAACCACGCCGGACGCAAAGGGGATTAATGTTAGCGGCTTCCACCTCCCACCAGGCACGATTGTCGGTGCGGCGCCATACATCTTTCATCTCAATGAGGAGGTGTTTCCGGATCCGTTGAAATTTCAGCCGGAGCGTTGGCTGGAAGAGAAGCGTGATGGCCCGGGCGAAAGCCAACTAAGGGCTTTGCGCGACCGTGACACCTTTCCTTTTGGGCTGGGAGGCCGAATCTGCCTGGGCCGGAATCTGGCGACCTACCAAGTTCTATCAACCACTAAAGCTATTGTACAGAGCGGCGTCCTCGAAGGTGCGCGGACGTGTCAGGAACGAATTGAGATGATCGGCTGGTTTAATGCGGAGATTAAGGAACATCATCTGGAGATCGAATGGAACTCATAGGCAATTTTCCCCTGTCCTTTCTACCTCAGCAATAAATGTAAATGCATATCAGATACAATTCAATTCAAACGCTTCAAAATCTGATTTTTTCTTCTTTTTTTTTTTTCGCAAGATCAAATCTCAATTGAATGAGCTGTTATGAAATCACGAGTCTTTCCACAAGGCATTATCCACTGTGCCACGCCTTCTCTTTTTCCAGATGAGCCTCAATCAGTAATACAGCTGCAAAATGATGTGCTTTACAACCAACCAGGTATCTCACGATGCTACCATCGTGGTTACCGCAAGAAGTGTATGATGTTACCTGGGGATGCATGTACAATTTATGAATTCTGGAGCCCCAATCAAGTACGTTTCTACGTACCCTAGTAGATGATTAGGTAGGTATAAGCAAGGCTTAAGCCTCTGGGGAGATAAGAGGATAGTTTTTAAAAAAAAAGAAACCACTTAACATTGTACAGTCCTCCAGTGCCGAGTCAGTTGCATCAGGCGCCCAGGCTTAATAATCTTTCACCTGCACATCGCCCCATTACGGTCGAGATATGCCGACTTCGTACAGAGCAGTATCAGCTTTCAGCTACTCATCGTTCCATTTCGGTCACAATCGGTCGAAATCGGTCGAAATCGTACTAAACAATATCAGCGGCTATCTTTGCAGATATTGCAGATATTGCAGTTATACATTAACCGCACTTCGGGCAATTAACGTGCGCATTTATACACGTTTATGCTATGACAATCTATGCATGACCTCAAGCTGCAGCGGCCCCAGCCAGAGGCATGGGGTGGGACGCCTAACAAATGTTGAGTTTTCACACTTATGCCGCCGTTGTCCTGTTTTTTTACGAGGCGGACATATTGTAAAGCCGAATATAAAGCCGATCATCCCTGCAGTCACAATGTTCATCGTTTCTCATCCTTAATCATGTTTTTTTACGAGACGGACATATTGCAAAGCCGAATATAAAGCCGATCATCCCTGCAGTCACAATGTTCATCGCTTCTCGTCTTTAATCATTGCTGACAGAGCTCGAAAAGACCTTGCAGGGCCCACCACCTGCAGCAAGCTCTCCTAAAAGTGGCGCTGTCTGAGAAAGGTAAGTGAACAATCTGCAAGCAAGCACTACGACAATGATTCGATTCAGCGGGATGAGGCTTCATTAATATTCATTAACGGCATAAGCAGGCATGGGTGATCGTCTTCAGGTTAACCTTATTAGCCAAGGCAACCATGGAAATAAAGTGCAGTGCATATTCCAACCCATAACTCTCAGTAGAGTGGTCGAAACTCGGTTGGTACTCGGAATGCCATGCGATGCTACTGCATCAGCCAGCCTTCAGTAATCAAGGGATCAACACAATGTTCGTATTTATACATGCTGAAGAACTACTAGAGGACGCCCTATGAATGCCCTATGTATCGATCCTAATATAACCATAACTTTATAAATTATCTTCTTGACCCCATAGATCATTAGACGGTGCTTCTAGAATTTTATCTTATTCCAGAACTCTTTTTCTCCTGCTCGTGATCGATCTATGCTGGTTTGTCATTGTATCGTTATCCGTTTACCTGGCGTAAGCCACAAGGCCCATGGCTCTGAAGGTCGTACAGCATCGTAGTCTTTGAGCCCGTATCAAAATTGCCAAGCGTTTCCTGAGTCATGGTGAGGGAACGTCGGAAATGGACACAACAGGAAGATTCGCTCCTGCATGCAGCGGTCCAGAAAGGTTTGTCTTCCCACTATTTCAGTCCTTTATGTCTACCATTACCTCCAACCTAGAGAAAAGGTGAAACCGAGGAGGTAAAAGTGAGACGAGAGAAGAAAATAATAGACTCAGCAGTTTAAGCGGATCGCTTACTTCTCTGTTAAGCCCTCACGGAATCCAAACCACTACTTTGGCGGAAAATCGCCGAAGCCGTCCCGGGCCGCACGAATAAAGATTGTCGTCGACGCTGGTCCAATTCCCTCAATGTTGATTTCTCTAAGGGCCCCTGGAGTGAATCTGAAGATGAGCGCCTGTGGAATGCGGTGCGCAAGAATGGGACCCAATGGAGCCGAGTCTCAGAGGCTGTGAGGACGAGAAATTCCGATCAATGTTCGAGCCATTGGAGCCAGACACTGAACCCAGAAATAGATTATAGTGATTGGACGGGAAAAGAAGTATGCTTCCAATCCCCTCCGACCGAAAGAAAGAAAAAACAAAAACCAAAAAAAAGAGGAGAAAGCTATCCTACTGCGAATTGTCATGAATAATAACACTTTTGTTTCCCAGGATGAATGGCTGATGCTTGGCGTGCAACAACATGGCACGAATTGGACTTCAATTGTTGCAGATTATTTACCTCATCGGACTTCACTTGCTCTGAAAAACCGCTATGCGTCACTACGTGGAAAGCTTAAAAAAGCGACGACGACGAAGACAATCGACGACTCGCGAGCGATCAATTCTTTCAAATTGCCGCTTGTGTTTTCAATAGAGGGACGCGGCACGGAAGCCGTCACCATCGCCAACAACAGCTCTGAGAGTAGTAGTTTCTCAGACGATGAAGATTATGAAGATGAGAATGACGGAGAAGGTCATGCGTCACCACCACACGAGAATTCACAGGCCACTCGCGTTATCAGCCATCAACAGCAACAGCAACAGCAACAGCAGCAGCAGCAGCAGCAGTCTTGCTTTCCAATTTTAAATCATGTACCCCCAGACTCGAGAACCTTGGTGAACGACTTACAATATTCCGATCAGGAACTGTCAAATATGCTAGATGGATTATCCAACTATCAACAAGTTACTGCCGGCGAAAATCTAATGCTAATGCCGGCAATTATGGAAAACTCCGGAAATGGTACTGTACTTCTGCCTCTATTTCGTCTTTTTATTTCTTTTCTTTCCTCACTTCTTTTGTGTTCACACCTCGCTGACCAAATTTAAGCATCTCCAATAATCGCACTTTATCCACAGTCGGAACTTCAACAGTCTGGTGTCTCGTCATTCAGAAATAACAATGACGTTGCACCATCCATCAATCACGACCAATATTTGAGCTCCTCTCACAGTCCTTTGCTGGGAAGAGGAAACATGAGCAATGTAGCTCAGTCACCGCAACAACACCAACACCATCAACACCACCACCACCAGCAAGAGCAACACCAAAAACAACAATCATTCGTTAGCATTTCAACGAATCCATCCATAACGGACCCGGCTCGTCAAGAGGTAACCATTCAACTATCTTGCACCAGAGACCAACTAAGCAGCATAATGTCAGTTCTCGTCAACATGACCGATTCCGTATCAGTGAATGTCGAGTCTCGGACGCCATGACGATAACCATGACTTCAATTCGAACCCCAGTAATATAAGAAACAGATTGCCGCTACTTCAATATTGTTTTCCTGTAATTAAATTTTAAGAGTAGAGATTCGACAATTCTAGATGATTGTATCCCTATAACTTACCCTTTCTCATAGATATAATAAGCATGATTTATGGAAAAAAATCTATTCATTTTTCCTTTCGTTGCTACTTCTTTCACAATCTTTTTAATATCCCTATAGGATTTATCCTCGTACGATGAATTGCGATTTTCACATCGTTACAATTGAAATGGAGACATACATCGAAATCAGATTACTACTTTATCAATTTATAGTTCACTTCAAGCCCTTTGTTATTCTTCAAGAAAACCGTACTCGAATTGTTTAGAGAGGAAAATCTAGCTCGAAGAAACAGAAAAAAGCACTGCTATTCAGTCTACTGCTAATTCCTCGAGGTGTCACATATATATTTACACTTATGAAAGTATCAAGGTGGGTGAAAGGAACCGTGAGGTATGTAAGTCGTGCTGCTCTATTCTCCTATTGCTTTTTATCTTCTTCCCATACGGTGGCTTTTCTGGCCTTCACATCCATTCCGTATTGTCTAAAAAACCATCCATTTTCCACCTTAAATCGTTTGGGGTCCAGTAAATCGAACTGCGGCAAATCGGAAAAGTCTAATGTCAGCCGGGAATAACTATTCTCATATTCTCATGTTTTTCATTCAGGATGAGGGGAAGATCGTCACCTCGTAATTGAGAGCTAGTGCAGCGGTCAATTTCTTAATTTCCAGCATTGCAATATGCTTTCCTAAGCATACGCGCCTGCCAGCTCCGAACTGTTACACGGATTAGCCCCCAAGCTGAAATATTGACAAAAACAAAAGAAAAGAAAAGAAAAGAAAAGAAAAAGGAAAAAGAATTGGAAGAAAATACGAGACATACTGTCAAGACGCTTTGCTCAAGCTTACGTCGATGCTCCTCAGGTACCATCCATCGTTCAGGACGCCAGCTTTCAGCATCATGACCAAAGGTTGGACGGTGTCGATTAATTACCCATGGACTCATTCCGACAACCGTTCCGGCCGGGAAATATGTTCCCCCAATCGTCAAGCCACCCGAGGGAACCACCCTCTCGAACGGTAAGCAGAATGGCGGATGCAGGCGCACAGCTTCATTGACGCATGCATCGAGATAGGCAAGGTTGCATATATCCTTCCATGCTGGAAATGGTCGCGTTATTCCACCTTCTAGTTTGCTATCCTGGTCGAGCAACTCTTTGCGGAGAGTTTTCAGTGTCTCCGGGTGAGACAGCAGGCCAAACCACGTCGTCCGCATCGTGACTGCTGTGGAGTCGGAGCCCGCAATGACATTGGAGAAGGCCCACGCAGTTACTGCCCTAAATTTTGTGCATGAAGTTAGCAGTTATGCAGCCATAGGGCTATGAGCATAAGACAAGGTAATGGCTGGCGACTGGTCCCATACCAGCGTGGAATCTTAGAATCCTTCTCTTGAAGTTCAAAGAATCGAGACAGCATATCTCGGTCAGACGCTTTTTCGTCGCTAACTGCGCTTGGTGTGTTCCGTCTTTGCCGCCGATCTGCGATCAATTCTCCAACGTGTCCTAGGATTGAGAGGCCTGATGCGCGTCGAAACAGAGTTATAAAGGCGTTCTTGTTCCAGACAACGTCAAACCACGGAATTTGGGTCATCTTGATGATGAAGAGTGTCAGCATTTGGTAATCTAATTTCAGAAATCGAGGAGAACCTAGGAAAACGAATTAGGTACCGGTGCGCAGTTACTCATATATGTCCAAATCGTCAGGAGCATATTGTTGACATCCCTTCCATGTTCCAAAAACCCATATCGCTTAGAGAATGTCAACGTTCCCATAACATCGAATGCAAAGTACTGTAACCAGTCGGCTAGATCAAAAGTGTCACCGGAGCTGACGAAACGGGTATCCAACTGCTGGAATAGCACCTCCAACACCCTGTTGACAAAGACTTCCAGTGGAAGTATATTGGATAATGAGAACAAAGGTGCGATTGGGGTTTTGATCACTTTGTGCAGATTCTCGTCGCGAGTGTTGAAAACGGCTGGCAGACTGCCACCCTTTCTCGTATAGGGCATGAGAGATCGATAGAAGTCGCTCTGTATGTATAAGCGTATGTTTGATGTTTGATTAATAAATACAATATATCCTATGTGGAAAGAGCTTACCTTAGGAAATCCCGGTCGAATTGGATATAAGCTTGGAATAAGAGCAGGGTCTCCGAGGGACACCATATTTGGTCCAAAACGGACTACATTGCCATATTTTTCGTGCATCTGCTGATGTATTTCGTGAGCCCTAGTTGTTTTCACCCAGTAGACTCGTTGTAAATTAGTGAACCGGGCCAGAAATGGCCCAGGAATATATCGCAGCCGCCAGTAGGTGCGTAAGAGATGAAGCAGGCTTAAACCAAGAATTGATCCCACGGCAATGAAAACAATACTATCGGCCTGCCGATAGCCAGGAAAGATATTCATTGAGTCCATCTTCACATCAACGATGTATTCTTTATTGCTCTGTACTCTTCTTTTCAACACAAGTGTAGTGTAAGTTGAGAGCCCCGAATTCCCTAGTCTATGTTGATGCGCTCGCCCTATCATATATTTCTCAGACAACCTTGAATAAAATTTACAGATTTAAGAAGAAAGGTAATTATAACGTATGATAAATTGGCTACTTTGCGTTTGTTACCGTCTGGCTTCTTCCCAGTGCATAGCATCCCTACCGCTATGCAGCGGAGTTCGGATGACGAAAATGCAGATCTATCCAGGGCTCATATTCTAGATGATACGAATATAAGTGCCATTAAAACTCGGTAACCAAGCGAAGATCCGTAATCAAAAGTAAGATCTTGCATTCTATGAGGGCTAAAACCGGGAAAACCCGGAACTAAGAAGGGTTTATATTACGGAAATACTTTAGGTCTCGTATGTGTCGATGGTAAGTGAATGCACTTATTTTTTCTACTTGGGTCCAGACCAAATAATAATGCAGGGTCCTGCACCAAGTAAATTCGAGTCTACCTGTCAACTGATTCTGAGAAATACGAGATCTGCATACCGTTCCTTATCTTTGGACCCTACAGAGCTTCGAAGGCTCTCAGTGAAACACGGACTTGTTGACTGCTTCCAAATAAGGAAATAAGCTCGTGTTAAGCTTCCACTGGCGATCGAAGCTGGCACAAAGTGAATTGAATCTTACAGCAGTGCCGATGATAATACAATTATGCTTATTCTTGTTGAGGGATCACTAGCTTATTGATGCTTGATTGTCAGTTGAAATAGTATAAAACTATCGGGAGCTAAGGCTGGCGATTATGGGATAATCTCAACTACTAAGCCCTTGATTTCAACATCACGGTATATTAGTGTATCTAAATTTGGTACAATTTGATGATAGATTAGATTCTATTTCCAATGAGTGTCATATCTGTGTTTTTCGGTCCTCAGTGGACCAAGGCCACCCCTGACGATTTGGCTGTCCTCCAAAGCACAATTTCGGAGTCCCCAGATCTGAAATTTCTTGTCGATTCTGTTAGAGAGTTGGGATCTTTGTGGTCAACCCTGGTCGAAGAGTGCCCAACGCTTAGGCAGATATCTGGACATCAGGAGATAGAGAATCTCGAAGCCTTCATCGCATGTCAGGGAGACCTGAAGGTGTTCCAAGAGCCAAATATTAGCTCAGGAAATATACTACGCAATGCCCTCACTGTCATATCTCATGTAGTTCAGCTCTGGCAGCTCCGGACTACAGTCCAGATTGACGCCTTCCCCACGTTAACCAGCAAACTTGTGGACCAAGGTCAAGCTCAGCTGGGAGATGTCCAGGGTTTCTGCATTGGATTCTTGACCGCTGCAGCGGTTGCGAGTTCCAAAACCCCAGATGAATTTCAAAAGAACGCATGTATTGCCCTCAACTTAGCAGTCTGTGTTGGGGCGCTTGTGGACCTCAACGAAATGAAATGTGAAGATCCATCACAACGTACGACTTCCCTCGCTGTTGGGTGGAAGTCACAGACGGAGTATGAAGAGCTTCAGGGAATCTTAGAAGGATCTGACGGCTATATTTCATGTGTCACTGACCACAACCGGGCGACAGTGAGCGCATCCAATGCGAAGACGGAGCTCATTGTATCGAGCCTGTTAAAGGCAGACTTGTCAGTCCAACCGATCAAATTACGAGGACGATATCATCATTCAGCACATAGCAGCGTGTTAAGTTCGTTGAGCCATCTCTTGGCGACCGATAAGCGGTTCCAGTTTTCCATTGCAGATCATCTAACCAAACCCCTACGATCTAATGTGGATGGTGAAGTCATCACGACAGGTGACCTGCACAACATTGCACTGGAATCCCTTCTACTGCATAGATCAGAATGGTATAAAATTGCTTCCTCAGCGATAACATACTTAAAGGAAACAGATACCCGGCCTGTCTCTATTGTAGCCATTGGATACGAAAAGAGTGTTCCCCGGTCACTCAGCAGTATGATATATAACGATCAGAAAGTACATACCAACAATCACATATATTCTGAGAGTCATACTGCGAACCATGTCAACAGCAGCTTCACGCCTTCAGAAATCAAAACACCTGCATCTGAAAGTGGATTTAATGACAACGCTATCGCGATCATCGGTATGGCGTGTCGCTTCCCGCAAGCTGATTCACTCGAGGAATTTTGGAAGTTGATCAGCTCTGGCATGTCAGTGGTTCGGCCACTGCCAGAGGATCGGTTCCGGGCCTCTGATCTGAGACGAGAGCCCAAAGGACCGTTCTGGGGCAATTTCTTGGATAACCCTGAGGCGTTTGACCACCGATTTTTTGGCAACTCTGGCCGTGAAGCCAAATCCATGGACCCTCAACAAAGACTACTCCTTCAGGTCACGTATGAGGCTTTGGAGTCTTCGGGCTATTTTGCGCCTAAATTACTCGAGCAAACAACGGATGTTGGGTGCTATATGGGTGTTGGGTCTGTTGATTATGAAGATAATGTCGCTTCTCACGACGCCACTGCGTACTCTGCCCTAGGCACGCTGAGGGCATTCATTACCGGTCGAGTCAGTCACTATTTTGGCTGGAGTGGACCGTCAATTACGTACGATACTGCGTGTTCTTCTGCCGCGGTAGCAATTCATTCTGCAGTCAAGGTGAGACTATAGCCTATTTCAATATCTGTTCGATCGTTCATACTAATTTCAACAAAAAATATTTTGGATAGGCACTCAATGCAAAAGAATGTAGTGTAGCGGTTGCAGGAGGTGTTAATGTGATCACAAGTCCGAAATTATTTCAGAATCTAGCCGCTGCATCGTTTCTCAGTCCTACCGGAGCATCAAAGGCGTTTGATGCCAGTGCTAACGGTTACTGTCGTGGAGAAGGTTCAGGGGTTGTCGTATTGAAGCCTCTCACTACAGCCATTGCCGATGGTGATTCTATAGTTGCAGTGATTACCGGGTCAGCTGTGAATCAAGGTTCAAATAGTACCCCGATCACCGTCCCTTCGGAGGACTCTCAACGTGCACTCTACAGAAATGTGCTGTCGGTCTCAGGAACAAATCCTGCGGATGTCACGTATGTTGAAGCTCACGGGACTGGTAAGTATACATTTAATACCTTTTTTGCCCTCCATTCTTTTCCCTAAAAATCCTTTTTTCTTCTGTCTATTCAAAAGAATTCGGCTAATGAGAGCTCATCTGGGTGAGCGAAACAGGAACTCCGGTTGGTGATCCTGTTGAGACTGAAAGTATTCGCAAGACTTTTGGGGGCGCCCAGCGAACACATAAACTATTCATTGGTTCTGTGAAAGACAACGTTGGTCATACGGAGTCAGCATCAGGTGTCGCTGGTTTGCTCAAAACTCTTTTAATGATCAAGAAGCGTGTTATTCCCAAACAAGCAAATTTTTCCAGACTTAATCCAAAGATTTCACCATTGATGCCAGACAGAATGGCAGTTCCAGAAAGCACCCAAATGTGGACAGCACCGAGTCTGACAGCGGTTGTCAACAATTATGGTGCTGCAGGAAGCAATGCAGCTCTCGTCGTACAAGAGTATCGCCACTCAGAGGAAGCTTATCCTAAGACCGCCTTGGCATCCTTCAGCGGTCGAGAATTTCCATTCCTCGTATCTGCAAAGTCTGCAGAAAGTCTACAGGCATATTGTTCGAAACTCAAATTTTCCTTACACGAGAATGCTGAATATCGTGCCAGTGATGATGTTGTTGATCTGGCATTCAATCTGGCAACTAAGCAAAACCGCGACTTGGAATACTTTTATACGTTCACAGCGACTAATATTAGTAGCTTAGAGAAATGCCTTGGAGAAGCAAGTCACTCTCCAAGCTCACATTTCCAAAAGCTGCCTTCTAATACGCTTCCCGTTGTTCTTTGCTTTGGGGGTCAAAACGGTCGAACCGTGGGTCTCGATGAGGGTGTGTACAAAAGCAATAGGCTTTTGCAGATCCATCTTGTAGGTTTTTGAGTTCCCTCATTTCCCTTTGCCTTTCTACACTTTTCCTTTTTGTTTTTCGTTACTGTTACTGTGTATTTTATATGAATCTTTATTCGCTAATTATGCTATGTATAGGATACCTGTGATTCTGTTTGCAGCACATTAGGTCTTCCTGGATTATTTCCCGGGATATTTGAAACCGGGCCTGTGGAAGACCTTGTCTCTCTGCATTGCATCCTATTTTCTCTGCAGTATGCTACTGCCAAGGCATGGTTGGACTGTGGCTTGAAGGTAGATACTCTCGTCGGTCACAGCTTTGGTCAGCTCACCGCACTTTGTGTCGCGAATTCGCTCTCCCTCACAGATGGATTCCGTCTTATAGCTGGACGTGCTCGCCTCATTCAAGAGAAGTGGGGTGCGGAATCCGGGGCAATGCTCTCATTTGAGGGAGAAAGTGAACAGATTGACAAGCTTTTGAAGCTAGCGCGGCAACAAAATTCAGCCTTTGCCGCTGATATCGCTTGCTATAATGGGCCACAGAGCTTTGTTATCGCTGGTACTTCAGCATCTATTGAGCAGGTTGAAGAATTATGTGCGTCTAGAGAATGGCGGTCGCTGCTGAAAGTCGTCCGGCTGAGAAGCACCCATGCGTTCCACTCTCAGTTGGTCGAGAGCATTATGCCAGGCCTCAAAGAAATTACAGAATCGTTAAGCATTAAACCACCCACTATTCGGATTGAAGCCTGTTCGGATTGCGAGGGTTGGTCTCAAGTTGAATCAACAAAAATTGCTCAACATAGCCGAATGCCTGTCTATTTCACGAAAGCTGTTGAAAGAACAGTAGAACGTCTGGGGCCTTGTGTCTGGCTTGAAGCCGGATCTGCATCTCCGATTGTTCCCATGGCGCGGCGCATCTTGACATCTAAAGGTATTGAGAAAGGGAATATGTTCCAGCCCACAGACCTAAGGGGACACGATGCGCAGGATAGACTGGCGCGAATAACAAGCAACTTATGGGCTGCCGGTGTTAAAACACAATTCTGGTCCTTCCATAGTTCTCAGAGATTCGCGTATTCTTGGATCAACCTCCCACCTTACCAATTCGAAAAGACGGCACATTGGCTCGAGTACAAAAAACCCGAACCTGTGCTACCACAGACTATCAGTGCCAAATTGCCCTTTGATGGGCCCGGTACATTGTTGCGATTGCTCGAAAGCCATACGGGCAAAAGCCTATTCGAAATTAATAACCTGAGTGAGATCTTTCAGCTCTGCACGACAGGTCATGCTGTTATGGCACAAAGTCTCTGTCCTGCTTCGTTATATGTCGAGTGTGCCGTTCAAGCGGCGACTTTGCTTTTAGAGTCTAGATCATCATCTATTGCCCCAAGGGTGGGAGATTTGAAGATCTCATCACCACTCACCAAAAACACTGAACGCAATGTCTTTCTTCAACTTACTCGAAACACCAACCAAGGTGACCAAGAATGGATATTCACTCTTTTCAGCAGTAGCAGCAATGTGGCTGGGGACAGCCCAGTCACCCATGCTACGGGGGCCGTGGATTTGTTCCCATTCAATAAGGTATCCGAACAATCTCGTCTCAAGTCTCTTCAACGGCTCGTCGCACGGTCACGGTACGAGGATATCTTGAACTTTCCTGGTTCAAACAGCCTGGCAGGATCGGTAATTTACAAAGTATTCGGTCAGATCGTCGTTTACAGCCCGTACTATAGAGGGGTTCAAAAGATAGTGGCAAGGGATAACGAAGCCGTTGGTCATGTGTTTGTACCAGACAACCAGCCTCAAGCGCTGGCATCTCGGGGCAGCTGTGACCCAATCACTCTCGATAACTTCCTACAAGTAGCGGGTATCCACGTTAACTGCCTTGTTGAGCGTGAGGATAGAGAAGACGTTTATGTATGTACAGAGATTGGGGAGCTGTTGATGACCGAGGCCTTTGTGGAGAAAAGAGAAATGATGCGGTCGTGGAATGTTTACACGACATTTGAGGAAAGCGCTGGGAAATCCGTTGTCAATGATGTATTTGCACTTGATCAGGAAACCGGGGAGCTGATGGCTATCCTGATGAACGCCAAGTTTCAGAGCGTGCCGGTCAAAGCACTTGCTAGAACTCTGGGCAAATTGAACGGTCGACCGAAACCGACTGTCTCAAACAATGATCGCATGGAGGTGAGAAGTAATGGCCTACAAGACAACCGTCGGGAGGAGAGAGACACGAAGTCGAAAATGCTTACCAACAGAAATGGTTTGCACAAGAGAAATGAGCCTCAGTCCCTTGAGCTGGTGCAAGCAATGTTTAGTGATATTTTGGCTGTCCCAATAGAGGACATTAAAGCCGATGCAACTCCCGATGATCTTGGGATTGACTCTCTGCTCGTGACAGAGGTCCTCTCAGAGATCAAAAAGCGTTTCAATGTCACAATCACTGTTGCGGATTTCCAAACAGTGAACAATTTGTCGACTCTTGCCTCACTACTGGAGCCTAACAGGCCAGTGATCGACCGACAGTCTCTACCAGCACCCCTTTCTAAACAGCCACCGGTCTCAATGAATGGGCTGTCAACTCATGAACAATCAGAATCACTAATGCCACAAGTTCAGAATATGTTTGCGGAGGTTATGGAGATGCCCGCTTCTGAAGTCTTGCCCGCTACAAGCTTGCAAGATCTGGGCGTGGACTCCCTCATGATTACTGAAATTGCGAATGAAATCACAAATCGCTTCGGTATAACAGTGCCTATTCCAGAATTGCAAGACCTGAAAGATGTCCATGCTCTTGCAAGTCGCCTCCAGCCCCATTCCACCAAAACGCACAGTAAGCCAATTAATGGACACGCTGGGTATTCAAGCTCAGCCAAGACTAACGGCGTGAGTCAAATGAACGGACATTCAACACCCCGGGCATTAAATGGGGAATCTCGACCTAATTTGACGCTGACTGCGGACGAAAGTTTCCAAAAAGTGCGTCGCAATTACGACACAATCACAAAAATAACTGGATTTTCTGACTTCTGTCGGGACGTGTACCCGGCACAAATGGAGCTCGTCGCTGCTTATGTTGTAGAGGCCTTTACTAAGTTGGGCTGCCCGTTGGCAGAACTTCGAATGCACGAGAAGGTGCCTGAAGTTTCTTTTCTAGACGTTCATGCAAAATTGAAGAGACAGCTATATCGAATCCTTGAAGAAGGTGGATTAATTCAGCGAGATACTGACGTGGGTACTTACCTTCGAACCGATATTCCGACACCTTCAACGCCGTCAAATATTTTGCATAATGACATTCTCAACAAATTTCCGCAACACGTATCAGAGCACAAGCTTCTGAACTCCACAGGCAGCAAATTGGCTGAGTGTCTGGTTGGTACTGCCGATCCGTTGGGTATACTGTTCGGGAGCTCTAAGGCTCGATTATTGATGGAGGATGTATACACCAATGCCCCCATGTTCAAGGCAGGCACCATTCAACTGGCACAATACCTTGTTAATGTCTTTGATAAGATTGATGATCCTTCGCGAGTGGTCCGTATCCTCGAACTCGGGGCTGGCACAGGAGGAACAACCAAGCATCTAGTTGAAACGCTAGTGGGACAGACAAACCAGCCGTTCGAATACACATTTACGGACCTTTCCTCTTCCCTGGTAGCAGCGGCGCGAAAGAAGTTTGCGGGTCATAATTTTATGTGCTATAGTGTACTGAATATCGAAGTTGATCCTCCAGCAGATCTCTTGAATCAATACGATATCGTTATTTCCACCAACTGCATCCACGCGACCAAGAATCTGACGAATTCCTGTTCTCACATCCGACAGCTGCTTCGGCCCGATGGAATTTTGTGCTTGGTGGAGCTTACCCGCAATCTTTTCTGGTTCGATCTGGTGTTTGGTCTTCTTGAAGGGTGGTGGCTGTTTGAAGACGGTCGTACGCACGCATTGGCTCCGGAAACGTTATGGAAAAAGCATCTGCAGCAGGCCGGATACCAATGGATTGATTGGAGTGAGTCACCATCAGATGAATCGAACATCATTCGGGTCATTACTGCATCTCCAGGAGCTATAGGTTCCAGACGCGGTGAGAACGGTTTGAGTGACAAGAATGATATCGACGTCGAAACGGTAGAGTTCAAGAGAGAAGATGATCTGCCACTATTGGCGGACATCTACTACCCTCCAAGAAATGGAACCCAACAGCAAACACTTGCGGTAGGTGAGAGCACCTACCATCCGAGTGCAAATATTTGAGATTGACTAGTTTAATACGTACTAATACCTTCGATTCTCAGCATTGATGATTCACGGTGGTGGCCATATCATGCTCAGCCGCAAGGATATTCGCCCGCAACAACTGCAGATGCTTCATGACGCTGGTTTTCTTCCGATCAGCATTGATTACCGGCTCTGTCCGGAAGTTACACTGCCGGCAGGTCCCATGCAGGATGTGTGTGATGCCTTGGAGTGGGTTCGCAGTACATTGCCCACGTTAGCGCTGCAACGGGACGATATTAGGATTACTGGCAAAGAGGTAGTGGCAGTCGGCTGGTCCACTGGGGGTCATCTAGCTCTAACCCTTGGATTCACTGCCCCTGCTCGAAATATAGCACCACCAGAAGCCGTTCTAGCGTTCTACTGTCCAACGGATTATGAGGATCCCTTCTGGAGTCAGCCAAACGTGCCATATGGACGCGAAATGGCGCCACCGCTATATGAGACTCAATACGATCTCGCCAAGGGCGTCTTCGACCGTCCCATTACAGCATACAACATATCACCAGCGAAGAGAGCTCTTGGAGGATGGATGGACACAACTGACCCGCGCTCCCGGATTGCTTTACACATGAATTGGAGAGGCCAGGCAGTACCAATCTTGCTAAATGGACTTTCTCCTTTTTCTCCTACGCTTTCCAGAGATTTGGCAACCATGCTTCCTAAACCGACCAATGAACAAGTAAGGTCAATCAGCCCCCTAGCTCAAATCCGCCAGGGGATGTATAAGACTCCAACCTTCCTCATCCACGGGACAAAGGATGACTTGATCCCTTGGCAGCAATTGCAGAGGACGTTTGAATGTCTGCTAGAAAACAATATACCTGCTGACCTAAGAATATTGGATGGCGCCGTACATCTTTTTGATATGTTCCCTGATTATGTAAGAGATGATACTGCTTACTCTGCGGTACGCGATGGTTACAGTTTTCTTCGTTTGCATGTTGAAAGGCGGAAATCTGCTTAGAATTTTGTCTGTTAGACAAGTTGGGCAGGCTTTTGATGAGAAAAGAGGAACAGGAGGTTTAGGTTGTATTATTAAGACCCTCGCTGCTAGTATATGAGCAGTGAGTATATTGTCGTTGTTCACTGAGCAGACGCATGTCCCAGTATTGCTGCGCTTTGTAGCGTATAGCTTCCTGTGAGATAGGAGCTTCGGTCTCAGCTAATCTTATCCAATCCATGACAGCCTTCTCTAACTCAGGCCACTGCTCAACACGGTGCCGTTTATCCTTCAATTGATACTCTTGGAGCTCGTCAATGAACGCGTATTTCGACGAAAGGATTCGTGTTACTGTAGCTCGATCGATTGGTTGATTGTACGTATCTTCAAACCACTTTCTTAAATTTTGATGCGTGAGATGGTGATTGATTCGGTGTGGAGCGCGTAGGGCTGCTTTCCACTCGTTAGGGATAGCTTTTCGGCGTCGTTGAGCGCGTTGTTGCAGCATATTTGACGGATATTTGATGACTTGACGTTGGAAAATGTTGAGTAATCTTCCTGATTATAAGCACTTTTGTATGGGAGCTTAGAGATGATGGTGCTAATGTCTTATAGCCGGGTATAAAGCACATTTGTATGAGGAATGAAAATTTTTCAGATTTTCGGTGCTATAAGTCGGGTTGTACTGTAGGCCAGGGATCTTATATCCAGGGTTTACTGTAGTAATATTTCTGGATCAATGTTATTCCTACATTAAGCTATCTTATCATAAAGTTTTCCTTGGCAATGTTTCAGAGAAAAGTGAAGAGAGTTATGTTAGATTATCCGGACTTCAAACGAAGCAGAGAGATCGGCTGTTCGATCTTACAGGTCTAAAAGCACCACGAAGCTGTTTTTGGTTAAGGGTAGAATAATTCTGTGGACCCGGAGAGGTCAACGCTCAAGTGTGTTGCTCCAGTAAACCATGGAGTCTGCGAGGGACATTTGGACTCAATGCTCGTCAAGAGGGCTATTCTTTCAAAAAAAGCCGGTGTGTGTACGGGAATCCTCAGGTGTTGAGTATCAGCACCGGAATATTGGTTATTCCGTTTTACCTGCCTGGGGATATCCCCTCTACTTGCATGTAATTATCCCTCTCCTCCCCTTTTTTAGAACCAGTCGTAATATTAGGAATAACTTCAATATTACCAGGCTCACCACATATGGCAGTTGGACTGCCCTTGTCGCAATCCTGTGCTTCGTGATCCAGGACCCGACTAAATCAACGGCCGGCTCAGAGACTATTCGCAAGTTTAAAGACCGCGTAGCTTCCGAAGCATTGCTAAAGTCGAACCTGAAACTTGTTCGTTGTCCATTCTGGTCGTATGCAGAGATTGATCCAGTTTTTCACTTTTCATCTACCTCTTCTAGCGGAGTAGTAGGAGGCATCTGCCGCATCTCCTGGAGGTTCCGCCGTGGAAACCTCCTTTCTACGATACTGACGACCATTTTAACTTACTTCTTGATTTGGTACCCTTACTTTGGTTACCATTCTTAATAATGTTTCTATCCACGCACGACAGCGGCCGTTTTTCGCTTCTCCTTGCAAAACTTGTGTCTTCGAACTCGCAGTCCACGATTTACATGCAAGAACCCTTGCTGTCGACAAGTGAGCTGTATGTCCTGCCACAAACTCTGGCGGGACGCATAAGTGCGAAGAGCCTCTTCAGCAATCTCTACGTACGACAGTAGAAGCCGCGCGCACAGCAGCAGTGAAACGGACTTGTCCTCGATGCAACTTGTCCTTTGTCAAATCTTCCGACTGCAACAAGTTGACCTGCATATGCGGCTATTCCATGTGCTACGTCTGCCGCAAGGCATTAAATGGACCATCATACCGTTGTCAAGAACACGATGGTGCCGGACGAAATGTATTTCCTTTAGACGAGAACCCCGCAGAAGCAGAAGCAGACGAAGGAGAAACTGGATACAAGCATCTTTTTGAACATTTCCGTGTTAATCCCGGTACTCGCTGCACGGAATGCAATAAATGCGAGTTGTGCTTCTCCGAAGATGAGGAGGCCATCGCTTGCAAAGCCGGGGAACAGGCTGAGAGGGAATGGAGATTACGACAGACCATGATGATTGCGAATAACAACAAGAATATCAATATGAATAATAGTATCATTAATCAAATTCAATCTGGGAAACAAGGACCAGGAAGTTCCTCGATACGATGGGAGGATCATCAATCACAGAAACATCCAGATCTCTACCGCATACCAACCATGTACAATCACCACAATCGATCTTCGCAATACTGGCTCATTGAAGTATGGAGAGAAGGATGTTGGAGATGGGAGATCCAAACCATGGCAGATAAGCTAGTAGAAAGAGTGGTTGTTATCGTTGACATTTCATGATAGTCTGACGGCCACTGTTTCTTATGAATGTCCATGTTACTACCTACTTAGATAGGCAACGACTATTGCTTCAACATTCCTGATCATATCATACAGCCTAGAATAACGGCCTCATGCTTTTTACCCAGTCAAACTCAGACTGCTTCGGTTCCTCTGCTCCACGCTCCTGTAAAAGGTTCACAACATCCCGCTGTCCCAATCTAATACCCAACGACAAAGGCGTCCACATCGTCCACCCCTGAACACTTTCCAAATTCACAGACTTGCTTCCATTTTTGTCTCCTTTGAGGACTGCGGTTGATCCAAAGAGTGAGAATGCGAAGCTTTGATAATGCTGATTGTGCTTGTAAATATTCTCCATTTTGAATTCTATCACAGATAGTGGATGCTTCATTTGAAGTGCCAGATTTCAAAGCTTGAAGGATATCCTTGATGATTAAATTTAGGATATGAGCTAGACAGTGGATATAGCTGTCAAGTCCTTTGAACTGAATTTTTTCTTTATCCAAACATGTCTCACTGAGAAGATGGAACAATTCTGAAGCCATAGTGTTTGTACGCACACAACATTCTGTCGGAATTTGGCACCACTGCAAGAAGCTGCGGGGAGTTTCTGTTATACGTGTTTCATGATTTCGGGATAGCTCACAAAATCCTTTGTGAGCTCATATTCATACTTCACTCGTTGTTTGTACATGTCTCAATTGCCGGATTGAGTCCTTACTCAATCCCCAACGTAGGTTCCTACGCGGGCATAAATATGGCCTGCGTTCCCCATGAGATAGTTGGAGTTATCAATTAGGAATCATGTTACTATATTGATCGAACTCACCCATAGGCTTGTTGGACTAGCCTTGCACCAATCCCTGTTTCATGTTCTGGGACCGTGCTAAACCAACACATAGTCTCATTATTACTGGCGTTATCACCCGTGATAGTGATTAGCTTTTCTCCAAGGTTCAATTCAGAAAGTGTAGTCTGGATAGCAATGGTAATATTCTCACCACTATGAACTCCTTGAAGCTCAGTGAACTCTAAGACTCTTTCTTTATATAAGAAATCCTCTGTGAGCCAATGACCGATGATAGCAAGAATTGGAAGATTATTTTTGCTTGTCCAAATATCAATAGAAAGTACAATTGATTTACAAGTCAAAGTTAATTCTTGTATCAAATCTTGACGCTGTATATTAAGGTTTTCATTAAGCCGACGCTTCACTGTAGAACTGGATTTGAACGGAAGCATAATTCCTGGGATATCTTTGAAGATCTGTCTAAATTACTGTCTTTCAATTGTTGTAACGGCCTTGTTATCATTAATGATCCAGTGAATAAGATTCTTTTTGAGTAATTGTTGAGGTGTGAGTGACTTTTTAGCTAGAAGATCGAGGATGCTAGGTTGCTCTTTTTGAGTGGTCCTGCCACTAAGATGATGAGGTGAAAAAATTGAGTGTTTTTCAAGATGGGGTTGCATATTAGTGGTAGATGTTTGGTGTTGCGAATCTGTTGTTTTCCAGGCACATTGTATTCTAGTCTTGCTATCAATATATGCACATCGAATATCTTGATCTGTCGATTGCAACTTCATGGTCCTCTTCACTATCTATTCTCGACTCACTTGGGTGACCTGAAAGTAACAAGTAATCCCATAACCAATTTGTAATAGGGGCAGGACGCGAACGTTTCCGGGAGCGATATAGAGGTATGTTTGAGGAAGAAGAGTTCGGTATAGTAGTCGCACTAATAACTGTCTGTGAAACTGATTCCCAAGGTAGAATTTCAGAGGAAGGGATACCAGTTAAAGAATTAATCTCAGATTGAGCTTCTGATATGTAATCTTCAGGTAGGGCTTCATCATCAAACCCATCATTAAGTAAAAGGTAATCTGGTCTGTTTTGGCGAGTAACCATGCGGTCAGGGGTATTTGTAGCCATTCTGTTGTGTACAGAACAATAGATATGAGCCATAAATTAGGGATGAAAGGTGATTTGTAACATCATAATCGGTAACTAATTCGGTTAGGCATTTTAACATGTGATTATATTTGACTTTCTAATATTAGCCTATATAGTATCGGCTAAGCCAATTTTTGACTATATAGTATAGGCAAATATCGGCGAGGCCTTAGGTTTGCCGATACTATTCCCGATATCGCCAAATCTTGACTATATAGTATCGGGAAGAGCCCTAAATTTACGGAAGGAGGCGTTAATTTCATTGTCACAATTCACCACAATTTGATCTTCTGTGCCTAATAGTCATATTTAGCACTGTTAATATTCTGAACTGTAAGTCCAGCTTTTCTGCACTTTTAAGCATCAGTATACGAGTCACAGAGAACTCATAATCACCGTGTAATCCAACTTGATGGGCCTTCTCGACGCCATGAGGTGGTTGTTGCTCAGAGTACGGAATGAAAGGACACCGCATTCTAAGCAGACAAACGGAATCTGAAATGAGAACGATTCTATTCTAAAAGCAAACTGGATCCTAGCCTGCGAGCGAAATATATTCAATACACAACAGGTGAAATCAGCAAATGACACTAAGAGTTCATAGATATCTACTTCCGCACTCCAGGGGTGCCATTGAAACGCACCCGTCTCAGGAGGCGTCTAGGATCCTTGATCTCGGTGCGACAGTGCAAGAACCGCGCATTATCCATCAGGATGATAACGTTCTCCTTGAAGATATCCTCAGAGAAGGTCTGTCCCACGTTATCTGGTTTCTCGAGGATAGCATTGAGCTCAGCAACGGCCGTATTGGCAACGGGATCATCACTGGGAGGATTGGCGAGAATATCACGACGGAAGCGCACAAGGTACCGGCCAGTCTCCGGATCGATGGACAGTAATTTACCCCTATTCGTGGCTGTCCCCTTGTAGAACTCAGGGGGAACTTGAATCTCGAACTCGTGGTTATGGAGAGCTTCAAGCGAGACCGGGGACAGCAGCTTAACAAGATCGTTGACGGGGAGGACGCGGAAAATGCCTCCACCGAGCTTGTCTGGGTGAATGATGTGCAGACCAAAAAATCGCTGCGGTTTGGCTTCGAAGCTGCCGTCGGTGTGCCAGGCGAATTCGCCCAGGGAGTGGGAGCGGCTGACCACGCTGCCTGCGGTTTTCTGGCTGATGACACCGCTGGGTCGGTAGGTAATGTCCCACTTTCAGACAAAATGTTCAGTTTCTATTTGGAATGACAGATTATCATGATGCGAGATGGTCAGGTCTTACCAAGGCACCCTCCGTACTGGAGTGCGTGTCAGGCGTACAGCCCATCGCCTCCACCACCTCGAGCATAAAGTGACTCTTGGGATCGTCGAATCCCAGCTCGATAGCAATGATACCGTACTCCCTCAAGGCCTGTGCAAATGCATCCTTCATTTCGAGGCCGATCTCCCGTGAGGAAGCCTTGAATGTGGTTCCTAGGGGAAATTGGAATTCGTCCACTTTCCGCTTGGATGGTTGGAGGAAGAGAGGCGTGTTCTTGATGAGGTTCTGCAGGAAAGTGAACTCTTGTAAGGGAAAGGATGTATCCAATCCGGAGTCTCCGGACTCTAGTGAAGCAACAGATGTCTTGAGGGGAGATTGGAATTCGTGCAGCAAGCGCAGCATGGGTCTAGAAGTTGATCTGAGAGCCGTAGAGCCGCTGGCACGGGTAGTATAGCCGGCCAGGCGTAGAAGACAGGACGTCGACCTGGGGGTCTGTGAAGCCAGTGACATCTTGACGATTGGATAGAGAATATCAAATTTCAGAACAGAAAGAGGGGAAAGATAGATAGGCAACTGTGATGGGGTCTGTCTTTAGACGATCCAAGGCGGAAAAGAGGGCTTATATACACCGAATGATTCATATCTCTTTCCCACGAAATACGTAGTGCGTAAGACAGACTTGCAAGTTGATTGGTTTTATTGAATTCAGGCAGTGATACGCATAAACCATGCAATGGCATGCATATGCATCGGACATCATTCCGCCTTGATCATAGTCAGTAATAATTCTGTATGTGGCATTGTGGGCAAATAAGCCAAAAGTTATTGTCACGGCTTCAGCCGGACTCGAAACGACGTACGCAGTCGATTCGTGCGGTCGAGACGCCGAGGCACGTAGACAGCAGGTCGAGGGATCGGACATGGTGAAGGTCAGTCTAGATGTCTGTGAGAGGGGGGTTTGGGACTCACCCTGGATGCGTCAAGGCAGTTTAGTTGTATAGGAAGGTAGGTGGTGTTGTTGATAAGTGATCGATAAGTAAATCACCACTGAATTAGGACTAGCTAGCTTAATGCGGGAAGAACCACAGTATGAACTTGCTGACGAGTCTAATGAGGACTAGTATATGAATGAACGCGATGTCTGTTCAGCTAGCGTCGTGTCAGTTATTGAGCAGAGACATAGGATGATGGGATGGAAAAGATGATCCAATTTTATAGTCAATGGAGCTGTCCATCACTGTGTTAGGGGTGCACACGAACAAGGATTTTGCTTATTTGTATTCATAGGCTTTTTGCAATTTGTTATTCATATTTGACTGATTTTTCTTGGCCCTTTATTCGTAGTTTTGGCCAAGATTCTAAGGCATATTGAAACTATCGTGATCCAATAAAATTTAAGCGCGTCTCTTGTTAGTGTTGACTTTGGATGTGATGGTGTCAATATAGATCTCATACAATCAGTTGCTATGCCTAATCTAGGTATTATTCAACGAAAATACAAAAACATGAAGAAGGGAAAACAGGGGTGAGTGTGAAATCGCCAAGCAGTGTTGAGATTTCCAAGATATATATAGAACCAGTTTGGCACATGACTTTTACGAATAATTTACGAATAATGCGAGTTTTATTCGTACGAATATTACAAAGCAACTGAAGTCAATTTATTCGTATTCGACTTACGAATAATCGTAAGTCGATATTCGTGTACACCCCTACGCTGTGTATATGTCTGTATCTGTATCTGTATGTAGTTAACTATCTATGTGTATAACAAAACATGGTGAAGAGAACATGTGTATGTGCAAGCTAAAGCTTAAGCGACCCCAGGTCACGTGACGTAGTCTGTTTGTTAATGTTTGTATTTGTATCAAAGGCGAATATACATGTACGGAGTGCGCCTACACTGTAGTGATTCCAAGTTGCCAGCAGCTATACATTTTTTGACGTAAAAGGCAGGTTATCAATGTGATAGTGGCGTCTAATAGCACTAAGGATGTAAGTTACATCAAAATGCAGCACAGGAGATTAGACCACTTTGATTATTCCTAGTGGAAAGACTATATTACTTCTCTTAGCCCCTTAGTGTAATATGTACTATCGTTCTAAAAAAGCCTTCTTGTGTAAGATAAGCAATCTAGATAGATACAAGTCATCTAGATTGCATGGAACTTTGCCAGATGCGTCGTCTCTTACATATATAGATAACATTCACTACTCGCAATACTGTGATGCCTTGCACTTTGTACTGTTATATCGGTCCACCCTCGGAGAGGGTCTTTTTTGATCCTAGATAATTCGGACACCTTTTGAAGTCTAGGAGGGCAACTTTGACACCATGCGCTAGCTAATTTGTATACTCATGCAAGAGTGACCAGGCCCAGCCAAGTACCATTGCAGGATCACGACCGAGTTGCGGGACAAGAATGCCACTTGTCTTGGGTAGGATGTCTGGATACCACACATGGGTGCTGGTGTATAGTTTGATTAGCACGGTTGTCACAAAAGGACCCAGACTGTTGCCGATAGTGGACTGTGCGATGGTTAAGGCAGCATTTCTATTGGTCTTTCTCGTCATGATTGTATGAATGCAATACTGCAGCACTTTTTCATTAGTTGTAACATACGACCAATCCAAATGAGTGATATTCACTATCTAGAGTGCCAGTGTTGATGAGAAACTGAGTACGAAGAGGGAAACTATCTATCGAGGGGAAACAGTCCGTATTTAGATGTCCATCCATATTCACTCATTGATGGTAGTGTCCGCCTCATACAAACCTCTGCTGCCCTGTCGACACCTCAATAGGGAATCAGTGCGTATCAATAACAATAACAGTAACAGTGCCGATCGATATCACATTTATTGATGGAGACCTTTATTCAAAGGATTCCCAATCGATAAATGGCGTCATGCCAAGCCGGAAGCTAGGGCTGAGCCGTCACATTAGTAAGAGAATGTTCATTTATTTTCCTTATAAAGATAAGGGTGCATATGTAGTAGGAAGACAGCCACTAACAATGCCGAAGCTTCTCGATGAGGTTAGAAGGTAACATTGTATCTGGACAAAGATATGCATCTTCCATTTACTCAGGTTCTCGACCAGCATTGGACATTAGTAT